ACTGACACTTTTAGTTCGGTTGTTAAGTCGGTCACTATTCGCTCAGTTTTGACAGTTGCCTTGGCTCGTGGGTGGCCTATTTCTCAGCTTGATGTCAGTAATGCCTTTCTTAATGGTGTTCTGAGTGAAACTGTTTATATGGTTCAACCACAGGTTTTTGTTGATCCGATGCACCCTCATTATGTGTGTAAGCTGCATAAGTCTCTATATGGGCTTAAGTAAGCTCCTCGGACTTGGTATTCTTGGTTGGCCGCGTTTCTAGTCAACTTGGGATTGTAGAGTCTCGTTGTGATCCTTCGCTCTTTGTATACCGTCGTGGGTCTCAGTTGTGTTTTTTGCTGGTATATGTGGATGATATTATTATTACAGGCAACATTTATGGTTTGGTTCAACATTTTATCTCTTGTCTTGCTAAGGAGTTTTCTCTTCGGGATTTGGGTCCTTTGAGTTACTTTCTTGGTGTCAAGGTTCATCGCACTTTCCGGAGTTTGCTTCTCTCTCAGCGTAAGTATGTTACTGATTAAATATGACTTGCCAATATGCATACTTGCAAGCTTATTTCAACTCCTGTGCAGGCTGGTGTTGTGTTGTCTCGTTTGGATGATAGTCTGTTGTCTCCTAATGATGTGACTACCTATCGCCGGCTTTGTGGTGGTCTGCAAATACCACTCTCACTCGGCCGGATATATGTTTTGCGGTTAATAAGCTTTGTCAGTACATGCATCAGCCCCGGACTTCTCATTTTCAGGCTCTCAAGCGGGTTCTTTGCTATCTTCGTGGCACTGTGGATTATTGTTTGGTTCTGCATCCCACTGATTTGGGCCCTCTTACTGCCTTCACTCATGCTGACTGGGCTGGTTGCCTAGATGATCGTCGTTCTGCTACTGGATTTCTCCTTTATGTGGTCCCTAATCTCATTGCCTGGACATCTCGGAAGCAGCCGACAGTGGCTCGGTCGTTTACTGAGGCTGAGTTTCATGCGATCGCTAATGCCTGTGTTGAGCTGCATTGGGTGTGTCATCTGTTGTCTGACTTGGGTGTTTCATTACGTCGTCCTCTCTCTGTTTGGTGTGACAACAGTAGTGCGTATTTTTCTTACAGCTTATCCTGTGTTTCATGCCCGTACTCGATATGTTGAGGTAAATTTTCACTTTGTTCGAGATCATGTGAGGGGAAAGTTTGTTTCTGTCCACTCTGTGTCTACTGCTGATTAGATCGCTGTCGTTCTGACCAAGCCCTTGTCTAAGGATTTATTCCTTCGTTTCAGGGAACAAACTTCGGCTTCTCTCTTGTTCACCGTCAATTTGTGGGGGCGTATTGTAATGTATGTATTTACGATTATGGCCTTGTATATGACGAATTTCGAATTTTCACATTGATAATTTCAATGAATAATGATTTTGTATAAATAATGTGTGGCCGATGTATTGATCAAGCTAATGACGATGGATTGTAATTATGACCTGCGGACCAAAGGATGTAAGGACTTCTTAGTGAGAAGTTGGTGATGATGAATAACACTTTGGGACGTCTTCATCATAAATTAAGCTGTGGTTACACCTTGTCCACACTCCTCTTGTACCCTTATAGTTCAAAATTTCGCCACGGAGTATAAACAAAAAATTAGTTTACTATTCCACGTTTTTAATATTAATTTATTCTCTTTGTTTTAAAATAAAGATATTACTATTGATGAATTTAGTTCATAAACTAATTAGGTAACTACCAATTCCTCTCGAACATGAATAGCTTCGCGGACTTTTGGGAGTCTCTATCCAGTATACCCGGAGGCACCATACTCCCCCTCCTATTTTTTACACTACTAGTCCTTACTACATTTTTTTTTTCACTTTTCTAAATAATATCCTATGATTTACAGGTTTAGTCATTTGATTTTTTTTTCTCTCCTTTAAAAAACATCTCTAATCTTTAAACGGCCATATCTCATAACCCGTAAAAAACTAGAAAACGTGTTACACATGAATTTTTTTGTACTCGTCGAGATCTATCCAACAAGATCCATGTCGAATATTTTTTTCGAGTTTAAAAATGACTAAATTTCGATGGACAGTATAAGATGAATATCTAGTTTAGAAAGATGGATAACCAGTTTAGTTTAGATTAAGATTCTTGTATTGTATATATCTCTTGATCCATAAAGAATTAGAATACAAATTATACATGAAATTTATAGTGCTCGACGAAATCTATCCGATAAGATCCATGTTGAATATTTTTTTTGAACTTTAAATGCATTTAATTTTTACGGGCAGAAATGAAGAAATGTGTTTTTCGTTTTTCTTTGAAAAATGGTTATCCGTTATGTTCCTACTGATTATCCAACCGGTTTGGACTGATTATCCATTCTGTTTGTACTTGTTATCCAATCATATTTTTGACATTCACTCTTCAAAAAAAAAAAAAAAAAAAATGATTGGATAAGCATTGCAAACAATTTGGATAATCAATGGAAAATAATTGGATAATTAGTGCAACACGTTGGATAATCAGTACAAAAAAATTTGACAATCATTTTCATAAAAGAGCAAGGAAAAAAAATACTGGATAACCACCACAAAGAAGTTGGATAATCAATATGAACACTTTGGATATCCAGTTTAAGAAGATGGATAACCAACTTATTTTACATTCATATTGTTGTGTTCTTTATATCTTTTGATCCGTAAATAATTATAACACGAATTATATATGAAATTTATAGTGCTCGACGAGATCTATCCGATAAGATCAATGTTGGATATTTCTTTTGAACTTTAAGTGCATTTAAATCTTACGGGCAGAAATGAATAAACTGAAAAATGATTATCCGTTGTTTTCACACTGATTATCCAACCGGTTTGGACTAATTACCTATTTTGTTTTATCCAATCATATTTTTTACATTCACTTTTTAAAAAAGAAAAAAAAAAGAAGATGGATAACCAACTTAGTTGGATATCCAGTACAAGCGAGTTGGATATCCAGCACAAACAAGTTGGATATGCATACAAACCCGTTGGATTACAACTATAAAATAAGTTGGATAAGCATATAAACCAAATGGATGGATATCCAGTACAAACAAGTTGGATATCCAGTACAAACTAAATGGTTATCCAGTACAAACAAGTGGGACATCCATTACAAACAAGTTTGATAAACATACAAACCAAATGGATAAGCAGTACAAACAAAATAAATAACCAGTTCAAACTGACTGGATAATCAGCATGAACACAATGGATAACCAATTTAGAACAAGTTGGTTATCCATCTTGTAAAACTGGATATCCACCTTTATTTTGTCTATCAGAATTAAGTCATTTTTAAGCCCGAAAAAATATTTACTATGGATCTTGATGGATAGATCTCGACGAGTACTATAAGTTTTATATATAATTCATTCACAAATTCTTCACGGATTGGGAGATATGCTCGTTGAAAGATTAGAGATTTTTTTTTTATAAGAGAGAGAAAAAATGACAGGGACTAAACTTACAAAATATAAAAAAATTGATAAAAAAGTACAATAAGGATTAAAAATATAAAAAATAAGAGGAGGTACACGGTGCTCCCGGGTATACTGGATAAATTGCCGACTTTTGGATCATTCCGCCAAATATGAGATGATGTGCACGTAGCATGCTGCACAATCGATTATGCTATGTTTTTTAAGGGCCTAAAAACAATACTGTAAAACTAGATTCTCTAAAAAGTTTCAATTAGAAGCAAATTTATAACCATACACGATAGAGTATAGCTTCCCGTTATATATATATAGAGGAGGAGGTACACGTTGCATTTTTAGTCATATATATATATATTTTGAGGGTTGACACATGTTGGAAAAATGTAAGCCAACGCTAATAAAAAAATAAAAAAATATTTAAGTCGCGCTAAAAAGTATTGTTTTTAAAAAAATTTTCCAATGATATTGAAATATCTTCTCAGGATTAAACTAGCCTTTCTGCAAATTAATAGATGGAACAAAAACAGCTAAAATATAATCCAACAATTGTATAGAAAATCCAAAGATTTTTTTTTTTGTTGCAAAATTATTTGTTTGAGTTGAGCCAACAAAACAAATAAAAAACAACTGATGGCTAACTCGTTTGTTTGATAAACCAACGAAGAGAACAAAAAAAAAAAATCTTTAAAAGAAAGCTTTTGTTTGTGAGTTTAAGGAGCCCGAAAGAAAAGAAGAAAGCAAAGTAAAATAAGAGGAAAAGAAACTGTTCGATTGTGCGTTTTGTAAATAGAAAGTTCAGCTCTATTTATAGAGAAAAATTATGCCCGTAGATGTTCCAAAAAATAAGAAACCAACTCCCATATTTGATCAGATTTTCGGTGATAGTGGGGAGATTTTTGGGAACAGACTATCAAGACTCATTCTTCCATTTTGACTTGTCATTTTGAGTTTTATCCAAAAAACGGGAGGATAACCAAGTCAAGTCTATCACATATACTTACTAATCAATTTAAGTAAAAATCTTTTAGAAATATTCAACAGTCCCCTACATATTTCAAAAAATTTTAAAACTATAAGAATAAGACAAACAAACTTTGCTGGATATGTTTGGGTGCAGTGCAATCAGTCTAGTGTCTTTTGGACTATGAACCAAACTTAGATTAATAAAACATGACTTACAAAATAATTGGTGAAATTAAAATTTCTAGGAACCAAGTATTCTATTTGTAAGACAGAGGTTTTATTAATCACAATACAAACTCACATTTTGCTGTTCACGAGGTATTGCTCCAATAGACCATGCGCGCGCTTGGTTATTCACGAGAACTCTAAAGATCCGACCATAAGATCTTATAGGAGTGGCCCCACTCCACTCTCATAATGGTGAATTCATCAAGTGCGCACTACTTTAGATACACTACTTGTAAGAGATGTGAATGCATTAAGAGTTTAACTCAACCTCATAACAGATAGCAGTTTAACCACCCATCACAATAAAGTTTTAATTCAAAGTGCTTCAGTATCAATATTGATTTGTTATTACCCATATGAACCAGGAAGAAAATGATTCCTCTCATCTTTCTGAAGCGTAATGCATAGTTTTAGACCAAAGAGTTATAATAATAATAATAATAATAATAATAATAATAATAATAATAATAATAATAATGTAGCAGAGTAAATTAAGAAGCTAATGACCTGATTTTTTGTTTGGTATGTCTCAAAATAAAAGTTGTATCTAACAAAATGGTAGAATTTTCATGTGGTTGTTCTTCAAACTTTTCGGTTAGATACATCTCAGCCATCTCTTCATCATCATCCAGCAGATGCTCTAGCTCATCCCTTTCATTTTCAATTAAATAATATTACACTATTCTTTTATTTTCATGCTCCAACCTAGAATATTGGAGGGTGATCTTACAAAGGATCCGAATCAAAAAAGCGTTCAAGCATTGCTAAACACTCTTTAGGTTTGTACTCCGGAGCTGTATGCCCAGCGCCCTACCAAAATCATAGATTTAATAAATACATGTAAATAAAGGACTAATTATATCAATGTCTTCAAAGCACTATATAGAGAACTTATTAAAATCTCACCTTAAGTGTGGCAAAGGTCAAATGAGCTTGACTTTCTTTGTGAATGTATCTTTCCGTGTATCTGCACAAAGAGCAGTGAATTATATCATATTCACCATTTTCGTGATGGTATACACAAACATTTGAACTTGTTCTTTCGATTCTTTCATCACTATTTCCTCCGTGCTAATTATAAGACACATATTTAAAATAATTTTAAATTAAGTTCTGTCTTATAATTAAGAAGAACGGAAAAAATATTAATTACTCTTCTATCTTGTGTATGCTCTTTATTTTTTGATTTACAAAATAAGAAAAGAAAATACATTTTCATATGAAATTAGAATTTGATTCTCGTAGTTATCAAATGACTGCAGGGAAAGAAGCTCAAACCCTGCAACTTGATCTGCAACCCGCCAAGGTCGCCAATCGTCATCAACTGTGAGGTTGAGAAGTCGTATCCATTCCAGTGTGCCAACGTATGGAATGTTCATGTCGTGATCACCGCTGTTAATGATAGTCATAGAGAAATTGTTATCTGTTAGTTCAATTTACTTTTAAATAAATGCCAAAATGACATCAAACAATATATATATATATATATATATGTAGAATTACGTTGAAAATAACAAAATACATATAGTTTGATTTACACCTGTATACTAATGCTTTGATTCCTTTGTCACTTAGAAGCTTGTGGTAGTGAACAACGCTCTCAATATTTTCCTCGTAATGTGTCCCACCGCATCTTTTCCATTTTTTGATTGTTCCCTAAAAAAGAAAAATCAAACATATACAAACTTAGGGTATGTTTGTTTCGTTTTTTTTTGTATTAGGAATGTAAAAGAATGTATTGAAAATGTAAAAAGGTATGCTGGGATGGCACAATTGTTATTAAAATAATCTGAAAAAACCATTTAAAAAACCAAACAAACAGCCTTAACCTCTATACGTGGATTTAGTTTATAGGAGCATAATAAATTGGAACGATATATATTTTAGAATGGATAGATAAAAGTGAAAGATTCAACCAATCAAGTGACACCATCACCAAAAAGAAAATGAAAACTAAGGATGAGAGAAAAAGAGATATTGGTTATTTACATTTCGGATGTGAAGAGCTTCTTGAACCGCTACTTCGTTGCCCCATAACTCTGATACGACATAATCGTCGAACTGCATGTGTTAGAGAATTAGATTAGATTATTTAAACATATCAATGGAAGTATTCTTTTCCATCTATTTAATAATAATCCAGTTTATTTTCCCTCAAGAAAAAGGGAGGAAAAAAAAAAAACACGATTATATCAAGGAATTAATGAACGTACACGACAGCGGCGTGGAGATCGTCGAAGAGAAAATAACCTAATAGAAGAATAATCATCTTCCACAGGAGCCTTGCAGTATGGTTCCAGGACTTGATCTGGAGATATATCCTCGGTGCACTATTAATTGAAATTACGATATGTAATGTCATGAACATAGTGATAACCATTATAGTCAATTCAATTTTTCCAGTAACAAAGATAACATTAACAAACATTGTAACAAGAAATTATCGAATTAATTTTTAGATCTAAGAGTAGTATAGACTTTATAAGATGTACTCTCGTCCCAAAATTATTGTCTAGTTTGAGATTTCACTTTTAATACAATTTGAATTAGAAATAAAAATCTAAATTGGACAATAATTATGGGACGGAGGGAGTATTATTGATTCAATCAACGAATTAGTTGTATATGGTAATTTATGTTGAGCCGTGATGTGGTACCATTTGAAAAAGTTGGAGAGCATATTGGCACAGCGCATTGCCGGGATCTGGACTTGTATATTCTCCCTTACAGTAAACTTTTGCCATCTGAAACAAGCATGGTTAAATTAACCCCCAAAACAGTCAACATTTATTTTGGCATTTAAAAAATAAAACTGACATTATGAACTATACATAGAGTAATTAACTTATTATCATATTATTTAATTAGACAAAGTGGACTACAAAGACTTATTGTATTAGTTAATTAGACAAAGTATCACAATTACAAGAGAAGGTTTGTAGAGTTGACCTTGTAATATTGATCAGATAAAAGCGCCAGGCGGTGAGCAAATGGAATTTTGGAATTTGCATCGATGCGTTTATCTGTAAATGGATTTCCAATAATGTAGCCTTGGAGAAGCATTTTTGGGTTCATGCCTGCCTCAATGCCTGATCAGAAACTAGTTATTATATAAATAATAAAAGAAATTATATTTGGATCGTTTTTCATTGTGTATTTCTATATATTTTTTGAATTGAGAAAGTAAAAGTGTGTTGATAAAAAGATATAGTGAGATAGAACATTTGTTAATAAACTAAAAAACTATAAAAAACAACTCCAAACAGAAGCTTTGATAAAATAAACGTACTTAAATAAGGCTATGATCAAATTTTGTTTTCCACCATAAATTAACTAAATGTGCTTAATAAATGACCTTGCAAAACCGCAAACACGACCATTGGAACAATCTTTCCGGCATACGAGTCACCGGCAATGTAAAGGCGATTCTTCATGAATTTAGGATTCTCCGAAAGCCACTGCAATTATGTATCTCCAATTTTTTTGTGTTAGTATTTAGGCATAGTGATTTGTTGCTGGAAAAATAACTTAAAAAAAATAATATCAAGTCAAATAAAATAAATTAGAGCCAATGAAATAGTAACTTTGTTGTAACATGTAACACTATGAAGATGGGTCACCTTTCTAAGAAATGTATATATATCTTCAGTGGCTTTTGTGTCTGAAGAACTATTACCCTCCTTTGTGGTTGCGTATGAAAATCCAGTCCCAACCGGCGAATCCAAAAAAATAATGCTGGCTCTCTGGAAATTAAAAAAAAAAGTGTGTTCGTTTTTTCTGTTATGTGTCCAGATTAAATAACAAGAATATCTAATTAATTAGTGTACACATGTGGAATATCGATCGTTTAATTAGTTCCTAATATTCCATTAAAAATGCATGGTAGCATGTTTGATTTATTATTATTATTATTATTATTATTATTATTATTATTATTATTATTATTATTATTTGCACAAATCATGCTTTTTCCAAAAAAAAAAAGGAAAAACTAATAAGAGAGGATCGAGGCATTTTGCACCTTGGTCCATGAATATGGATTGATGAGAAATTTTGCCGAGCCATCTTTGTCATAAGCTTCGAAATCAAACTTTAATGGGCCTGCATTAGAAGTTTACACAGTGAAACATATTCCCTCTGAGTTTTGATTTTCTTTTTTAATATAATTTGAACTTAAAATAAAAAATTTAAATAGAATAATAATTTGAAAATGGAAGAAATAGATAAATTAATACTCACTCAGTAAAGTAATAGACTCAAGTAATTATAACTTTTTCCGGTTCCAAAATGTGTGTTCGACCCGAAATTTTTAAAAAAAATCAGTACATGCATAAGATAATACTCCCCATCCTGAAACTATAGTCCGATTTAGATTTTTATATTAAATACATATTGACTTAAAAGTAAATTTCAGCCTGAACAATAATTTTGAAGCCCATCATTATAATAAATTGTAATTACCTAGGAAAAAATAATTATCTATTCATATGATTTTACTGAAATGAATTCTTTAGAAGATTTTATCCGTCTCTTTGCTTTGTTAATTACTCTCTATTTTGATTTTATTTCACATGAGAACAAGATTTAATTTTATGATTTCGTTTTTTTAATCATAACAAGTCTTTTAATTAATAAATTTTTAGCTTATTAATAAATCAATAATTACTAATTATCGATAAACTAATAACTTTATATTAACAAAATTCTCAGAGGATGTGTTTTCTCCACGTATGGTTTTAGTTTGATGTAACTAGTCATTTGCGTTTCTATTATATCAAAAAAAAAATAAAATCTGTCAATAACAGACTTTACGAAAAAAATAATTATGATTTCTTATATCATCACACAAAATTATTTCAAATTATGTTTTGTTTTCTTAGTACAATTTACAATACAAGCCAAACTATTTTCTCGGAACAGTGTGTATTTTCTTTTTCCATTATTCTTTTTTTTTAAAAAAAAAAAACGAAGAAAAAGAACCACTAATGCTTTGAGACATAATGTTGTCAAGAAACGACAGAATACAGACATCTGACATTAAGCACACCGAAAATTAAAAAAGAACTCATCCATATATGATTTCCCCAAGATCCTTGTGTTCTTTTCAGTTTCACACCAAGTTAGCAATTATGATAAATGAATTAAGAATGGTCTAAGGGAAGGAGAACAGTAAGTACGTACCAAATTCGTAAACAAGAGCGGAGAAACCAGAGCAACCCGGGCCACCGGTGAGCCATAACATGAGCGGGTCAGTCTCCGGATCTCTTTCCGACTCGATAAAGTAATAGAAGAGTTCCACATCCTCTTTCTCCCCCACCGTTACATACCTTAGTTAATAAAATATATTTTTAACATCTATTATGTAACTAATGTAATTACTACTACTAATTAGAAGCTTATAGTAATAGCTCGAATGAAATATTCTTTTTGTCTTAAAATTATTGATCAATTAGAATTTTTTTTAATTTGAATTAAAGATAAAAATTTAAATAATAATTTTGGGATTGACAGAAGGAATAGCCAAAAAAAAAAAAAGTAAACAAATGAATTTAGCATACCATACCCTGTCTCGAGTGTGAAAGGAAGAGTAGTTGGGAATCCTGGCAGTGTCTTCACCACTGATTTTGATCCACCAACGTTCAAAAAAACGAACCAGCTGAACAACAACCCTAATATTAACAAGGGTTTCTTCTGATGAGGAGGACTGAAACTATCCATGATCTCGTAGGTTAAAATTTCGTGCTAGTGAACCAAATAAAATTTGGTCGAGACAATGAGGAAGTTGTTGATACTTCTCATATATATATATATACACGTAAAATTTATGTAGTCATTAAATCACGTGTTAAAGAAATCAATACAACTTCTTTTCTGTGGACTATATAAGCATGGCTGGAGCTTCGCTAGCCGTCCAAGTTTTGGCCCTCAACTAGCCCTTCCCGAGTCCTCTCAACTACTAGCAAACAAAAGATGCATGTTCGCTAAATTATATGTTCTTCCTCCTTTACTCTCGTCCCTCTCTAGCCCCCTTCAAACAGCAACTTCTCTCCCCCATCCACCATTCCTCTTTAACCCCCATTCAAACAGCAACTTTCTCTTAATGGTGGATGGAGATCCCACTCCTTTATTTAGTTCTCTTATTAGGAACTTTTGATCTTCCTATATATTTTGAAAGTGTTGTTTCTTTCATTTTGAGAGTTTTTTTTTTTCTTTTATTTTTTTTTACTGTGTTTATGAACAGATTTGACGAAGAGAAAGAAGATTCATGGTTCAGCGAAGGCAATATGAATATTTACATAGAGTCTGAAAATTTACAAAGGGAATATTTATTACATATCTAAGTCTTATAAACATCTTTGATATTGGTTCTAGATATAAAATGTGTGGCAATTGATCAACGTAATAACGTTGGATTATAATTATCACCTTTAGACCAGAGCCTGTAAGGGCTTCTTAGTGATCAGAAGTTGATGATGATGTGAAACACGTGGGACGTCACTTCATCATAAATTAAGCTGTGATTGCACCTTGTCCATAGCTCCTCTTGTACCCTTTAGTTCAAAAAAAATTTATTCCCTTCATTCTAAAATAGCGGTTTGAATTTATTTCATGTCATGAACTAATTAAGTAACAAGCAAATACCTCTCGAACATTAAGAGCTTCCCGGAGATTTGGATCATTAGCCCAAATATGAGATGATGTATAAGTAGCATGCTGCGCAATAAATAATGTTATATTCAATTTTCTAAAGCCAAAAAGGGGGAAAAAAAAAAAACCAAAACAAAAAAAAAAAGAAAAGAAAAAACAAACAAAAACTTTAAAACAAGATTCTCTAAAATGTTTCAATCGGATGCAAACATATAACCATAAACGATAGAGTAGCATCTCCTGATGATTGTTATCTTGGGAAAGAAGCTCGGCAGAATCATCCATATCTTGCAGGAAAGGTGTCCAATTCAGTATATTTCTTGAGTAGGTTCAGAACATGTTCCCCGAATGGAAGTGTGTGAACCCTTAGTTCTAGACCAAAAAGTTAAAAAAAGATTTACTCCCTCCGGTTATAATAAGTGTGTGAACCCTTAGTTCTAGACAAAAAGCTAAAAAAATAGGGGTGATAGTTGGTCGGGTGGACCCGACAATCCGCCTGAATCAAACCCATTTCGAGGGAAACAGGTCAATTATTCGGATGAAATCGGGAATTTACGGGTTCATCCGATCAACTGAAGAGATTAATAAACCAAACTTAAATTAATAAAATATGACTTACAAAATAATTGGTAAAATTAAAATTTCTATGAACCAAGTATTCTACTTGTAAGACAGGTTTTATTAATCACAATGCAAACCCATATTTCGCTGTTTACGAGGTTTTGCACCAATAGGCCATGCGCGCGCCTAGTTATTCATGAGAGCTCTAAAAATCCGACCATAAGATCTTATAGGAGCGGTCCTACTCCACTCTCATATAGGTGAATTCATCAAGTGTAGACTGCTTTAGATATACTACTTGTAAGAGATATGAATTCATTAAGAGTTTAACTCACTAAATATGTTACGGTTGATCTCATTCCCGGCTGCCGCACCTCAGCCTTTCTTCTCCATCTCTCCACCACAGCTCCCTCTTTCTTTCCCATCTCCTATCCTTCTTTCTTTCTTCAACGCCGACCTGCGCCGCCCTCCTCTCCTCCTTCTTCCTTTCTTCCTTTCCTTCTTCTTTTTTTTCAGATCTACCATGAACCCCCACAATCCATCAATCCCTTGTTTTTCAATCCAAAAAAGTTCTGAAGACAGTAAAGAGGAAGAAATTGAAGAGATTTGAAGCAAAAAGTGTGAATTCAGTGGGTAGAAATTGAAGAGCAGAAATTGAAAGTGAATTTGTTTCCCTTGTAGTTTGTGTGTTTAAGATACTGAATGCAAAGGATAACAGTATTCAATTGATTGCAAGGTGGAAGAAAATGATTTGGTTTTGCTGTTTGACTAGTTTGGAATAACCTCTAAGCAGTTGATTTGCTGAACTTTTCGTGTGAAAGATTAACTTGGACTTTTTTAATTTGTCGTTGAATATCAAGCTGATGTTCTGCTGCAGCAATATCTTAGTCCGTCTAACTGTAGTTGTTTTGTTTGTTCCCTTTTTCCTTTGCGTTTCATTATGAATCTGAAGAAGCAAAAGATCACCACTAGATGGGAATGCAGAATAGATAATTTGCCTGATGAGATCTTAGCTATTATTCTGACCTGTTTGTTCGGTTTAAACGGCCCCAGACCCGATCCCCCCGATTGTTTAATCGGTCGTTTCGGTTTGGGGAGGTGAAATATCGATTTGGTTTCAGGTGAGTGAAGGAACTGAAAAAAAAAACCGATTACACAACCGAATTCATCCGAACCGAGTCGAACTGACCGAATTAGCAGCCCTAAAAAAAAGATATACTCCCTCCGGTCCTTATTATAAGGCATTTTGATTTCGTCCTAAGTTTCACTTAGGATGTCTTTTTAATTGATAAAAACCTTAAAAACATTTCATAATAATTAAGAGAATACAACGAATGTGAAAATTGATTTTTAAGGGGCTTTTTCCAATTAAAAAGACACCCTAAGCTAAACATAAAACGGAATCAAAATGTCGGACCGGAGGGAGTATAATGTAACGAAGTCAAATAAGAAGTTATTGACCTTTTTCCGGTTGATAATCCATACGTATATCTTAAAATAAAAATCGTATTTATCAAACTAAAATTGTAGAACAACGGGAATCTAATTTTAGGATGGGGGCAAATTATTGGGTACACCCAGAAGCACTATGCTCTCCCTGTTATTTTTTGTACTACTAGTGCTTATTGTACTTTTTTCTCAATCTTCTTATAATTTGCAAGTTTAATCCCTGTCATTTTTTTTCTCTCTCTTCCAGAATAACATCTCTAACTTTTAAACGAGCATATCTCTCAATCCCTGAACAATTAGAAAACGTGTTACACATGAATTTTATTATATTTATCGAGATCTATCCAACAAGACCCATATGGAATTTTTTTCGGACTTAAAAATTATTAAATTCTGATGGACAAAAATAGGGTAGATGGATATCTAGTTTAAGAAGATGGATAACCAATTTATTTTAAATTGTTTATCCATAGTGTTCATTTTGATAATCCAACCGGTTTGAACTGGTTATCCATTTTGTTTGTAGCGCTTATCCATTTGGTTTGTATATCTATCCAACTTGTTTTGTAGTTGTAATCCAATGGGTTTGTATCTATATCCAACTTGGTTGTGTTGGATATCCGACTTGTTTGTATTGGATATCTATCCATTTGGTTTGTAATTAAAGTTTGTTTAGAATTTAAAATGTGCTTGGACAAAACAATTAAAGTCTTTTCTAAACATCAATTTGAAAAAAAAAAGGCTTGAAACAGAATTTTTAGAAAATAGGTAGGAGGTATTTTTCAATTTTTTGAAACATGGCTTTTTTCTCCATCCGCGGGTTTAAATCCAGGTCAAACGCGGGTTACGGAAAAATCGGGTCATGAATATAACTGAAAAACAAAGCCCTTTCTCACTCTCTTCATAACCTAAACCGTCGCTCCTTTCTCAGTCTCTCTCCTTCGGCACCTCAGTGACGGCGACGGCGATGGCAAAACTCTCCGTGACGGTGACAGCGTAGTAGGAGACAACACCTTGTTCTAGTAATCTTTCTTATTCCCATTTTTTTCTCTCTTTTTTTTTTATTAGATTAGGTTTAGCTTCTAATCATTTCTAATAGTAGGATTTACACTCAAATCCTTATTATTTTAGTAGGAATTTGTGTAAATTTTTTCATGGGTTTTATTTATTAAATCATATCGAAGTGGGTTTGTTTTCAGTTGCTATGGGAAACATTTTTTCAACAGAAGTCATCTTCCTCGTAGCTGACTTGTTTTGGGAAATAGGTTTACTGACTCCAAAATTATTTTGCCCCATGACACATAATTTAAATAACTTAATGGTTTTGAAATTGAAAAATTAAAAAAAAGGGTAACTCGAGTGAAGGCCAGGTAAGGCCATGGGGAAGTGGAAGCTTAGTGGTGTCGAATAAAAAAGAGCTACTTGGATGTCTGATCACTGCATCTTTGTTTAATCTTGAAAAATTATCCTCTTGTGATTGTAACCTTGATGTTGTTTCTTGAATTAGCGTATGAATTTGTGAAGAAAGAAATGACAAATTGCTTGATAAGTTTTTCCTTTTTTGAGCAAAGATGTGAACTCATCCTGAATCCTCGTGGAACTTCTTTCATAGCTTTCTTTTTGTCTTGTAACCAAAAACATATTTTGTTCAACGTCATTGTAGGTTCCCTTTACGGAGAGAAAGTTTTTTCAAAAAGTATTCTAGTTGCTGTTATATGCATTCCATTTTATGTTAGACCCTGATTTTAGTCAAAGTGGTCTAGTATATTGGACCAGGTAAATATTGGTTAATTCAGACGACAATACAACTTTTGGTCTTGATGTGGAAAATCTGGAGCATGTCTCTTTTCATTGTAGCTTGGCTAAATTAGTGTGGCAATTGGCACCAGTAAAATGGGATAGTTTGTCACAATTGACAGGTAGCTTTGCAGAGTGGTGGTGCAACTTACTGACTGCAACTACAAACCAACACTTTCAAAGAAGGGTGGAGGTCACAATTCACATCCTTTGGCAATTATGGAAATAATTAAAGCTTGGTTTTTTGGTGAGGAAAGGGTGGAAGCATGGACTGTTGTACATAAAGCCTTGGGAGAATGGCAAGAATTTAATGAGGCGCAAAAGGTAAAAGGAAGAAGGGTGAGTGAGGAAGTAAGGGAGAATGAACTGGTGCAAGGTTGGGGTAAACCTCCTCAAGGCTACTGCAGGATTACTGTAAGTTCAGAAGACATAAAAGAAAGGGATAGAGGAGGAGGTGGTTTTTGCATCCGTGGTGAAAGAGGTGAGCTGATTGTGGCTGTGGTAGCACCAATTCTGAGAGTGCAAAGTCGCTTGGCAGCAGAAATGATGGCTATAAGGTTGGCTTTGTTAGAAGCACTTAGGAGAGGTCGGAAACAAATCCAAGTGCAATTAGATGACAAGAATATGGTCATTTGATTACAAGGGAAGATTATCCCGGTTTCAGAGGTGAGTACCATAGTCGAAGACATCTTTTTGTTGAAAGTAAAGTTCGATGTTTGTAGATTTTTGTATATTCGAAAACAATGGAACTCTAGTAGTTACAATCTTGTTAAATTACCTTATCCAACAATTGTACACAAAGTTGGGAACTTACAGTCCCGTTGTGTTTAGATAAATCGTTCAAGACGGATTATGATATCTCTTTGTAAACATTGACTTTTTGAACATTTTCATTAATATGATTATCGCTTTTGAAAAAAGAAAAAAAAAAGACGACAATACCGACAAGCCATAAGATTGGCTAGCTACTGAATACCATAGGTTTATAATATTTTGCAAGGCTAACCAAGGAGTACCTGATCGTAAAAAGAAAACAGGAAAGGGATCGCATACTATTATTATTGTATGTGTCCTGTGATATTGATCTTATTTTAATAGTAAAAACTGTTTTTTTTAAAAAAAAAAAAAAAGAAGAAGAAGAAGAAGAAAAACGATGAATGGAAAAAAAGTACTCATTTCGTTTAAATTAAAAATCATCATATAGAAATTGTGAGATGGAAAATAACATGGGTTGGAGAGTTCATTAAGCCGATTGTATTAAAAAAAAATTAAAATGTAGGAGTTTCTTTAATTAATTAAAATTGAGTATTGATCGTACTCAGACGAGTTTTGTGCCTGGAAGAAAATTAGCGGACAACACATTAATCGTACAGGAAGTCATACACTTTATGAGATTGAAGAAAGGTAGAAAATGCTGGATGGCTATAAAGATAGACCTGGAGAAGGCGTATGATCGCTTGGAATGGGATTTTATTGGAAGAACTCTCTCAGCAGCGGGGCTGCTGGATAAACTTGTGGGAATGGTCAAGTGCTGCCTATCAACTTCGAGCTTCAGCGTCCTATGGAACGGTGGAGTCACTGACAAATTCCAGCCATCAAGGGGGATAAGACAGGGGGATTCTCTTTCTCCTTATATTTTTGTACTTTGCATGGAGATTTTGGCTCGTAGCATAGTAGCTTCAGTAAATAAAAATGAATGGAAAGCAATTAAAACAGAAAGCGGTCCACTAATTTCCCATTTATTTTTACAGATGACCTGTTTTTATTTGCTGAGGCTACTGTAAATCAGGTGGCGATAATCAAGGGTGTTCTCTCTGATTTTTGCAGGGCATCTGGGGAGAAGGTCAACAAACAGAAGACCAAGATATTTTTCTCGCGGAACACACCCCAACAGCTGAAAAGGGACATAAGCAACATGTTTGGGTTTGGCGTCACAGGTAACTTGGGTAAATACCTGGGATCCCCATTGATACATGGTAGAGTTATGTAACAAACATATAATGAAATGGTGGATAAAATTAGAGGAAAGTTGTCCAGCTGGAAAGCGAACCAACTTCGCTAGCAGGGAGGATCACACTAGCACAATCGTGCTTGCAATCAATCCCTATGTTTCAGATGCAAAACGCAAAGTTGCCAGCCTTTATCTGTGACGAGGTTGATAAACTTATCAGAAAGTTTGTATGGGGCTCTATGGCGGATAAAAGGAAAATACACTTGGTCAATTGGGACACCGTGTGCAATGAGAAGGAGAAGGGTGGTCTCGGTCTGAGGAAATCCCGTGAGAATAATATGACGTTTTTTTATGAAGATTGGGTGGGAGTTGATAACAAAGGAGAAGGAGTTATGGGTGCAAATACTAAGAGCTAAATATTGCAAACTAGAGGGGGAATTCATTAGTTCTGAGAATGAACAAGAATGCTTCGTTAACTTGGAAAGGAATGTATGATGTCTTCCATTTAGTCCTAAAGGGCTTGACGTGGGTAATAGGGAATGGAAGGACGGGGAGATTTTGGCAAGATTCTTGGGTAGAGGGAGCGGGCAGACTAGAGGAGAGAGCTTTGAGGCCCATTCCAAGTGAGTGGAGATCACAACCAGTTCTGGACTTTACCAAACCTGATGGTAGTTGGGATACGACAAAGTTTAGTCCCTTCCTCAGCCAGGATTTGGTGCATCAGATTCGTGAAATGCCACCCCCGGCGGAGAGCTTGGGGAAAGATAAACCGTTGTGGCTCTTCAATAGGTCCGGTAAGTTTTCTTTGAAATCGGCATATTCTTTGGCACTTGACGATTCTATTTTGCAGGCAGATAAAGATTGGAAGAGGGTGTGGTGCTGGAAAGGGCCACAGAAAATCAGGTCGTTCCTATGGCTAATGCTCCATGACAGATTGGCAACTAATAAATTATGCAAGGAAAGAGGAGCTACCATAGCTGATGTTTGTCCGTTATGCAACGCGGATGTGGAATCAACAATCCATGCGGTGAGGGACTGCCAACTCGCACGGCAAGTGTGGCTGCAGGTAGTACCTGGATCTCGGAGTGAGAGTTTCTTCCATCAGGATATCAAGCAGTGGATTAAGAACAACCTAGATGCAGATGATTTCAAATGGGGGATTAGTTTTGCCATTACATGCTGGTTAATTTGGAGTTGGAGAAATGACTCTGTGTTCAATGGAGCTACCTTGTATGTACAAAAAGCAATCAGAATTGCAGCCAAAAAAATAGCAGAGATCAGGAATTGCAATGACATGCTTAAATGGCAACAAAGAGGGATTACACCCCAAGGATGGAGAACCCCGGAAAGCGGGAGGATAAAGGCGAACTGTGATGGGGTTGTCTGTCTATCTTCTGGCAAAGCTGTTGCAGGAGTTATTTTCAGGGACGCTCGTGGTAAGTTTTTATATGCCTGCAACAAGAGAATAAGGGGTACATGCTCGATCGAATCGGCAGAAATAAAAGCGATTAGACTTGCCATGGAAGTGGCTAGCAACCGAGGAATCACCAACGTAGTCGGTAGAGACTGACTCTCAGGTGGCTTTTGATCTTGTTAGCAGATTAAAAGGCCAAGCACAGATTCCTCTGGATCCGGAATTAAGGCGTATATACGACCTTCTGCTAGCTAGTCCGGATACCGATTTTGGCCACACATGCAGAGATAACAACATGTGTGCGGAGGCCTTAGCAAAAAGGGCACTAGATGTAGATCCGGGGGTATATTTTTTTGATGTTACCCCGCATTGTATTAGGTTTTTGTTGGAAAAAGGATGCTAGGGTTCTACCCGGCATTGTATGATTAATCGATCTTAGCTTCCAAGCTAAGTCTTTTTACCAAAAATAAAAAATAAAAAAAATTGAGTATTGAAGCCTATTGGATAAGGGGGCGATATACTCGACAACAAAATCATTTGTCGTTCTCTCTGGACTTTGAATTTAAGATCGAAAGCAACGTACGTAACTTTTGTCTTTGACCAGTAAGTTCTGCAGGCTGTCAAGTAGCATTTGCAAAAGATCCAGTTTAGAGAGCATCGTCCAGCTTCTTCCATGGACCGTTTGACGTTATCTTTCTTTTTCAAAGGACTAATTCAAAGTTAGTAAAAGACCAAATTTCAAATTTACTCAAAAGTCAAAACCGTATAAGTTACCAAAAAGACTGTAAATGCCGTAACAAAATGCATGATTCAACCAAATAGTTCAGTGATGGTATTATAATTTCCATATTCAATTGACGTGATAATAGAACTTTTCTTTTAGTTCAAAACTCTACCTACAAAATGCGTTACTTATGTCCAATCTTTCAAAAAACCGAATCGGCCATCAGTGCCCTTGTTCTTTACAACAAAAAAAATAAAATAAAATAAAATGGCAACACTAAAATTAACCTTTTACATTTGATAATTAAGCAAAATTAACAATTGTTTTGGTTTTGAGGACATTGATGTGTTAATCTATGTTCTTACAGAAATCCGATTAGAAGGAACAGCATAAGTCTTGGATCGGGGGTAAAAATTTACATTATGGGTGGTAACTTCTTCCTTGAAATCACAAGCTGCATCCTCGTCAATCCGTCCAATTTTCCCAATCCCAACGCTGTAACTCCTCTTCTGAACCGGGTCCACGTTCTTAATCTCAATTTTGGATTCGTTGTTGAACTTTGTGGAGACGGTGCGGATGAGATCCTTGAGTTCATCCTCGTGTTTGGTATCCTTTGACGAACTGACGCTGAAATTCCTCGGCAACTGAGACGACATTTGAGGAGCAATACTGCAGTTTAGCACATTGTTTTCTCCGAATCTGTCCGCACAACTTGACATGCTGTTTAAGTACGCATTTGTTACCTTCTGTAAGGCTGTCAAAGGGGATTTGAGGATTCGAATCAAAATGTTCTGCTTCTTCTTCTTCCCTTTTGTGTTCTTCATTATTATTATTTTTTTTTTTGGGTAATTAATGATATTGATGAGAAAAGGAACTATAATGATGAAAATTGAAGAGGGTTTCCAGTAGAAAGCTAGCTTGATTGTTGTGGAAATGGGAGTGAGGAATGGGGGTGATTTATATGATAAAGGGATGGTTTTGATATTCCTCTGGAGTTTGAGGTTTGGTCAAATTTTAAAGGGTATTTTTATGTTTGGATAGTTGGAAATTCGGTAGAAGGAGCCGAAAAGGAATTGAAGGGATCAATAGAAGGGAAAGAGGATGAATGAAATGTTTTAACGGGTCCTATTTGGTTGATTGTTTTGTTGCCAAACGTCCGTCCCAAGTGGACTCTTTCAAGTAGACCGCGTCTCTTTCCTCACTAGCTACACCCCAAGGAAAGAAAAAATGCCTGCCAGAATTGTATTTTTGACATATCTCAAGTTTGATCTACAAATTTCACAATTTACAGATGATTTTGTTTTCCTTTTAATAAGGTGTTCGTTATTGCTAACATCACTTGATCGATAAACTATAGTTGAGATAGAAATTAAAAAAAAAAGAAGAGGAAATTCTCATTAATTAAGTGAAAAAAAAAAATCATCATTTGGGCTGCCAATAATATCATGTTAATTTCAGTATGTCACAGGAATGAAATGAGCTTTCTTGTTATTCGATGCGTATAATATTTTCATTTCTGAGAAGCATAAATTTAATGTTAGCTATGTTTCTGTCTCTTGTACTCTCTATATTCTAAAATTATTGTCTAGTTTAAAATTTCATTTTTAGTACAATTTGAACTAGAAATGAAAACTCAAACTGGACAATAATTATGAGACGGAGAGAGTATTTGTTAAGTAGACCATCTTGTTACTGTAAATTCGTTCCTTTTCTCAATAATTTTGGAGCGAAAATGTAGTGCCCGGGGGTTGGGAGTAAGAGAGTCTTTTCAAACAGTAATAATAGAGAAGTGGCGTTAATCATTTATCGAACGATATTTTATAAATATATATATAATTATGATCGTAATAATATTATCATGTGAATAAAATCTATGAAAGATTCACATTTCAGTCATTATACCAAAATTATCCTTTTCTCTTGTCAAATTAGAGATGGGAAGAGTTCAAAACAAAGGACAGAACGCGGGATAACCTAACTAACATGGAATTGCTTTGTGAAATCCACCATATATAGATGTACTCATTATTAGTCATTATCGGAAGCATTTAATGGAATTGACAATCATGTGTGTGTTGGGTTATGAGATGTAGTTTTAAATAAAATTTGTGTGTTGATCAAGTTGAAATGAAACTAAATTCTTCAAATTAATTCCATCCAAGCAGTTTGACGGCTAATCGATAAGAGTATATACGATATGACCGTATCTTGAAGCTGATACAAACCTGAAAAAAAAAAAGTAAAGCTAAATTATGGAGAATGTATTGTGGTTCTCTTCTTTCTCTAATGTAACACTGTGCCTAATAAATTTGTAGCACGAAATATATTGAATTGTTAGTGAAAAAAGAAGAAGAATTTATTCATAGAAGTGGCCACTGAAAGCCTATAGAGTGAGAACTCTCGCAAATCTATCTTGATTGCTAACCCAGACTTGGTCAAATCACAAGTTTCACAACCCATCCTATCGCTATCGTAGAGAACAAGTCAACGTGGACTTTTTAAAGCTAACAATTTTCAAAAGTCACCGATTTGACGGACTTTGAATATATAGCTTCATCACTTCCAGTAGTGTCATCACTCATCAATTGCAATTCTGGCAAGCTTTTGCATCTGCCGTGATTCACACCAAAAACCATATTGTGAACAAAGATCCACAGGCATATATAGTTACATTACTCCCTTCATGCAGTTTCCCTTCGACAATATCCAAGGGGTACCGGCCGTTTCGTCCCACACCTGCGTTCACTATTCCGCACAAAAACCTCTACTACTACGTTAACACGACGACGAGGAGGAGAAAACTCTGTCGGTCCAACCAGCAGCCACTTTGTAACATCTTCGGCAGTACCAATTTTCCCCCGAGTCGGGAATTTACATTTTGCAATCCATCATCTGAGCTCTGTGGATGCAACCCTGGGGCCATGCATGGTTCTTCATCATTACTTGTGTCCATGATCACTCTCACCTTATGTTAGAGGACTTAAAACAAATAATAATAAAAGGGGAAGAAAACCGAGATTTTAACGTAATTATGAACATCGAGAAACTCAACGGGGCAGGAGCGTGGAAAATTGAGTCGGGATCAGGATTATTGTTGCAAATTAAAGCTGTTTCATTATCGTTACTGTCAGTTTTTTAAGTGGAAGTCATGACGTGTCTCGCTGCTGTTCAAGAAGCATCAACCCTAGGACTACAAAATGTTCTAGTGCAAACTGATTGTGAGCTATTGACTTCAAATCAGCCCCTACACCAACTCCCCATTGAGGCACAAAATGTTGTCTCTCAAATTACGAAATTTAATTTCTGCTTTTCAGTCTTGTACTCTAGTCAAGGTTAGTAGAAATGATGGTAATGAACTACATAAGCTAGCATATGCTAAACAACATCGTAATAGTCTAAGTATTTCGATTTAATATATACATGTACCGTTTAAAGAAAAAAAAACGGATTTTGGTGCTAAGTGTGAATTTGGGGATTAGGAGAAAGAAGAAAACAGTGCAGTGCTTACTCAACTTTTCCCAGTGGGCCATTTAAAAACTATAGAAAGAGATTATTTAGTCCAAATTCTCATGGGATCGCGGGCTTAAGGCCCATTTCCCTTCAAAGTTGACGGATTTGGAAGCAGGATTTAGGAGTAATTCCGGCTTCCTGTTGACGTAAGTCACAAACACAAACAATGTGTTCTTCTTTTCTTGTGAAAATAAAATTCCAACTAGTTTTAAAAATAATAATCCCTCTGTTCAAAAGATCCAAACTAATTATTCAGTTTGAAATTTTAGTTTTAGTACAATTTATATTTTTTTGAAAAAAATAAATTCAAACCGAACAATTATTTTGAAAGTACTACTATTTTTGTCTCAAAAAATAGTATATTTTGATATATTACTTTAGCTAAATTATTTTACCCTTTAAACCCCCCTCCAGGGGAAAAGAAAAAAAAAAGGAAAAAAAGAAGAAAGGATGACTACAGAAAAATCATTCAAAATTTAAAGCAAAACAGTAGATTAGTTATCTCTACGATGTACATGATGATGATGGACTTGTACTATACCCGACTAAAAAGAACTATGTTGTGGTGGTTAATATCGTTAACTTTTTCAAAAGGTCCAAGCATCATATGTTCGCATGAAAAACGGTAACCTTCAAATTGGACACATGCTCCCATCTTAATATTTGCACTTACAGATAACATTTAACAGAGCATGTAGTGTACAACGTTTGATGTAGATTTTAAAGACACGATTTAGGTGAAATAGCCAAAAATTAGGAAAAGTTATTAGGAAGAAACACACCGAGACAGTTTTATTGTGATCATTTTTTGTCCAGTCTACCATACACAAAATCGGGTCTAAAGTAATTGTAACATGGAGTACATAACAAGTCAATCTGAATGGCATTAATTTATTCAATCCACGAGATGAACACAATTTCAATGACCCAAAGTGGCATCCATTGACTTAATGCTTATATTGACAGAGAAAGAACATACTACTATTAAGAATGCTTTAATTCGCAGCTCATATTATCATCAATCGGCTGGATGATACGAATCCGGTTGGTGTCACTCGGGCTATAACTAACGTATTAGCATATTGTATACTACCACCATTTCGGTAGCTGGTGAGAAATATACTCTCTCCGTTCCATAATTATTGTCCAGTTTAATATTTCAATTCCAGTACAATTTGAACTAAAAATGAAAATCCAAACCGGACAAAAATTTTGGGACGGAGATAGTAATAATTTACTTATTATAGAAGATTCAATCTGATTTTTTTTAATTTTTTTTTTAATTTTTGAACATCTGAACTAGTTCCGTGTAAACGATGAAGTTATCACACTTAACATCATTTGCAAATTTGTTACTCTAAATGAAATCTCCTCTTCATGAATTGCAAAATTAATCATGATTGATCAAGCTGCTCCCCTCCCCAAGAATTGTTTTTTCAAAGAAGTTTTTAATGAAAATTTCGAAGTTCTTATTTCTTGTGCCATCATCAATGAATCAGAGGTTAATGCATCAAATCAAAATTTTGAATTAAAAGCTGAGTCAGATATATCAGATTACCTGACCCGATACATGTGCCTTTATTTAAAATCAACAGATTTTGACTTTAAAACTAATTAATTAATAAATTAATGCTCATCTACAAACAACATTAACTCACTGCCTAACAACAACCAATTGAGATAAACTCAAGACTCAAACTTCAAAATCAAAGAATCAATCCGTTAAAATTGGAGTCATACTCACGAAAATCTAACCATTAAAAAAAAATGATCCTAACGATGACAAAATTAAAAATGGCCGCAACCCGGCGAGGCCTGTGGAATTTTCAAGTTGTAAAACTTCTTTACAATTGGTATATAGATAAAATGATGATTACAGTAAGAAAACAAGGTAAGAGTTTTATACCTCTGTATCTGATGATTTTATGACTTAATTAAATTATATGAACCCAGGAAAAACTGAAAAATTGATGAGAAGAGAGAAGGATCAAGAAATGCTACGCTTTCCCGGGCGATCAGCAGTCTTGAGAGTCTTATCAATGAGTTGACGAGCTTTTCTGCTGCGGATCTCCACCTTAACACTTGCACTCTTGTCCATCTTTATGTACGGCTTCTTCTTCTTCTTCGTCAGGTTCAACGATTTCACCTTTGACTTTATCGACTGCACCAAATTCTCCAATTGGTTCGCCATTAAAAATTCCTCTGCGACCCTTTTACTGAATGGGAATTTTCTTTTCCTAACCGAATTCTCCAAGCTGGTGACGGAGTGACAAAAAAAATATTGGATTCCTTAAATCTAACGAAATTACAGTGAAAGTGGTTGCCAGTTATGCAGGAAGTAGGAGAAGTAAATGATGTTTTTCTGATTTCGAGGATATTGGCAAATGAAACAGAGAAAAACAGGGGAAGTGTTGAATACTAGGAAGTAGCAACAGTTTGTTTGTAGTGAGGTTTGCTCGGAGAGAATGAGGTTATTTATTTGAGGTCGGTGGTTGGAAGGAGGGAGGGATTTATATTATAAGGGTCTTGAGTCTGGTGCTCTTCTTTCGCCGCTTCAAGTGCCGTGCGAGGCTTTTGGGTTCACATCCATTGACTGGGGGATATATCGGATTTATAGACGCTTGTAAAAGACCAAACCAAAAATATATACATATTTATATAATATATATATATAAAGGTGTAAAAATCTCTGAATTAGTAACTCGTTTTACACATTGGCAAACGGCACAATTACGCAATTTTTGATTCGATAATAAGAATGGACATCTACTGTAGTAATTTACAGAAATTTTCAGTGATGTAACACATTAATTTCAGCAATAAATGTATGCCCAAATGGTTGAAAACTAGAACCATTTTTATTGGTCATAATTCAATAAGAATTAACAATGCAGCCATGAAGGACAAAATTTTCCTAAAAGAAGAAGAGTGTAGATTTTCATTAATGCTAAAAACAAAGATGCATTAAAAGTCAAGGGTCGTCTCTGGTGCAAAAGTTGAAGTCATAACTCGTAACTAACCACTGAAAAAATAGAGTTATATGCTCCATTTGTGGTCAGACTCGCTGAAATTAGAAATGGGACTTTTGTATTGGACGAATTTGACCGAAGTAATTTGATTGCGTGGTGGTACGAAGAATTCCCCTTCCTACTCTTTTTTTGGTTTATTTCTTGAAAAGGTGAAGATTTCCGTTAGGAACAGCTTTCATATTATGTGTACGATGTACTAAAATTAATGCAGCTACTGATGATTTTAACCGTTGGTATAGAAATCCTCGAAAAATAATGTGATGTGACTGAGAAGTTATTCTATTACTATTCGACTATATTTCAATCCTCAATCCTTCCGTGGTTGTTTAATCTTTTTTCAAAGTGCTATATATATTCTAAAAAAATAATTCATATTGAGTTTTCTTAGTCCATGTATTAAAAAAAAACAAAATGCAAATTGGGTTTTGAAATTTATGCCTACAAATATTAAAATGCAATGTTCACTTTTTTTTTTTTGTTGAAACAAATGTAATACTCTAGCCATCCGGTCCTTATTATAAAATATTTTAATTTATTCTAAATTTCATTAGTTTGTTCCAACTGAAAATAAAACCTTAAAAATATTTTATAATAATTAGAAAAACACAACAGATGTGAACAAATACTTTTAAGATTTTAAGAAAAATATATTAAATGAAATTTAGGAGAAATCAAAATGTCTTATGATAAGGACATGGAGTATAAATTAACATATGTGATTTGGAAATTTATTCAAAATCCTTATACTCCTTTAGTCCTCATAAAAAATAATCAAATTGAGCTTTTAAAAGTTATACTAAAAGTGATGCAAATCTCAAAACTTATATATATATATATATATATATATATCATTTTTTTAATTTTTTAATTTTTTTTTGGGTCAGAGGAGGCAAATTTTTTTTTTGGAAATAATTAATCTTTATCACACTTTTATTTCTTTTTTCACCCAAAAAAAAAAAAAAAGAAAAGAAAAAACGAATCCCCATGAAATTTGAAATGGTTCCTTGAAACCTGTCGTTTAGTCGGAATGATAATTTTGATTTTCCCGGCACAAACAAATTGACTGAACAGAAAAACTTCTAGAAGTCACCCCGGTTCTGACAGTCGAGTCTTTACTCTTCACCGTTCACCGCGAAGCTTCAGCTCCGACTGGTGACGGTGGCCCAAGGACCAGGCGTCAGACTAAACCTCTAAAGGTCTCGCTCGGTCCTTTCTTCTCACCATCCGGTGTCTCACATGGCGAACGCCGGGGACAGAGTTATTTGTGGAGTTGCCGAGTCACATCACTACATATCCCTCCTTCAAACAAGTCTCAAAATCAAAGACCCTTTTAGCACTAAATCAATTCATGCTCAGATCATCAAGTCTGGTCTCCATTTAGGTCTTTTTGTCGTGAATAATCTCATCAATGTCTATGCCAAACTCGGGTATACTTCTGATGCGAGTAAGGTGTTCGATGAATTGCCTGTTAAGAACATATCTTCTTGGAACACTATTTTATCTGCATATACCAGAGGGGGAATGATTTCTGAAGCGGTTTCCTTCTTCAATAAGATGCCCGATCGTGATTCTGTTTCATGGACGACAATGATAGTGAGTTATAACCGGTCCGGATTCTGGGATGATGCTCTCAGATTGTTTTCTAAGATGGTGTCGTCGCAAGTTCTGCCTAACCAGTATACTTTTACTAATGTTCTTGGATCTTGTGGGGCAATTAGAGAGTTGGATGTCGGTAAAATGGTGCATTCTTTTGTAATCAAACTTGGGTTCGTTGACAATGTCGCTGTTGCCAATTCGTTGTTAAATATGTATGCAAAGTCCAGGAGTGCAAATGCTGCGAAGATGGTCTTCGAGAGCATCCCGTTAAAGGATGTCTCGAGCTGGAATGGGATGATTTCCTTGCATATGCAGAGTGGTGAGGTTGATCTCGCACTGACCCTGTTTGAGCAGATGAAAGAAAGGGATATTGTTTCCTGGAACTTATTAATCACTGGATGCAATCAGCATGGATTTGATGTCAAAGCTCTCGAGATTTTCTCAACTATGCTCAAGGACACCAAAATAATACCTGACAGGTACGCTCTTGCTAGTGCTCTGTCAGCTTGTGCAAGCACTAAGAATGTCAGTGTGGGTAGGCAAATTCATGGGCACATTGTTAGAACCAGTTTTAATACTTCTGGGGCTGTTGGAAATGCTTTAATCTGCATGTACTCCAGATGTGGATGTGTTGAAAATGCTCATAGAATTGTTATTCAAACTGGAAGATCCAATTTGAACGTTATAGCATTCACAGCACTACTTGATGGATATGTCAAGCTTGGAGACATCAATCCAGCAAGACAAATCTTCGATTCACTTGCTGAGCGTGATGTGGTTGTTTGGACAGCAATGCTAGTTGGTTATGTGCAGAATGGATCCCATAATGAAGCAATGGCTCTTTTCAGATTGATGATGATCAGAGATGGTGAAAAACCTAATAGTTACACTCTAGCGGCCATCTTGAGCTCAATCTCAAGCTTGGCTTCTCTAAATCATGGCAAACAAATACATGCAGTGGCCATCAGAATTTTGGAAGCATCACCTGCTTCGTTGGACAATGCGTTGATTAACATGTATGCAAAAGCTGGTAACATTCTTTATGCCAAGAAAATATTTTCTCTATCACATCAGAGAAAGGATGCGATCTCTTGGACGTCCATGATCATAGCATTAGCTCAACATGGATTGGCAAAAGAAGCCATTCATCTATTTGAAAATATGCTTGAATGCGATAGTAAGCCAGACCATATAACTTATGTCGGTGTCTTTTCTGCCTGCACACATGCGGGGTTGGTTGAAGATGGTCGTAGATACTACAAAATGATGCAAGAAGTACATGACATTGTACCCACCTCGAGTCACTGTGCTTGCATGATTGACCTTCTGGGACGTGCTGGATTGCTACATGAAGCTCTGGAGTTCATTGAAAAAATGCCAGTCGAACCAGATGCAATAGCTTGGGGTTCACTTTTAGCTGCTTGCAAGATTCACAAGAATGCAGAACTAGCAAAAGTAGCAGCTGAAAATCTTCTGAAGATCGATCCAGACAATGGTGGGGCCTACTCAGCCCTGGCGAATGCTTATTCTGCTTGTGGGAGATGGCGAGAAGCTGCTGGAGTCAGAAAGTCGATGAAGCTTAAGCAGGTTAAGAAAGAACAAGGTTTCAGTTGGATACAGATAAAAAATGAAGTTCACGCATTTGGCGTGGAAGACGGCCTTCATCCACAGAGAGATGCAATTTACCAGTTGATGGAAAAGATATGGAAGGAGATTAAGAAAATGGGCTATATCCCGGATACAGATTCCGTTCTTCATGACCTTGACCCCGAGTTAAAAGAACAGATTCTCAAACATCACAGTGAGAAGCTTGCTATTGCATTTGGCCTGTTAAATACTCCAGAGAATGCCACATTAAGGATCATGAAGAACTTGAGAGTTTGTAATGATTGTCATTCTGCTATTAAATTCATATCCAAACTTGTAAATAGAGAAATCATTTTAAGAGATGCTACTCGTTTTCATCACTTTCAAGGTGGCGTATGTTCTTGTCGGGACTATTGGTAAAAGAAAATTCTCCATTTTCAGCTGTTTAGATTGGCCCGGAGATGCTTCGGCTAAGACACATCCAAGAATGATAGAGCCTTGAAAAATCAAATGCTACCACTAATTTGTTTCACCTTATTAAGATAATAATTTTGGGACAGGAAGTAACAACTAATCGATATTTTCTTTCAGTTTAAAAAAGCAAGGGAAAGAAAAAAGGACAACCAAACATCCAAAAATGATGTTTCTCTCGTCAAAATTTTGGACTTTTTTTTTTTTCTTTGGATAAAAAAATATTTGGACTTTTGACAAGGAACAACTAAGGAAATAGGGAGCCTGGTACCTGCCTCAGATGCAGTAAACTGAGATAAACCTCCCCAGATTCATATTCTAGGGTTCTTAATGTAGTTGTAGGTATTCGATCAATTTAGCGTAGATTAATCTGCCAGCCAAGTCAATATTCAACGGCAAAGAATAACCTGGTCTTTCTCAAACGTCAGAACTCAGAATCAACCATTCCCAATTTCAAATCTTACATCTGGAAAATGACATTAGCCTTTTACTGAATATATTCTTTGAGCCTAAAATAGGAAAACCTGTAGTAGTCGGAATACAGTCAATGCACCACGAAGAAGAGCACTATCATAGAAGTCATATCATAATCAACCCTCAGAGTGGATTTGCACAAAAGTCAAATTAAACAACAATTTAATCAAACAACTAATTAAGTTCGGTAGCTGATAACTCAAAATCCAAAGAAAGCGGCATTTTGACCAGTACTACTGAGACCTTGCGCTTGGGGGATGGGCAATGACGTTGCAAGTTGCAACTGAGGTACCTATAGTCCTGTACTACTGAGAACTGACCTGGAAAAGTAACGGTTGATATATCCTGCGTCAGGATTTTAGCAACCAGTTCGAATGCAAATAAATAACAAAGACAAGATTAGTTTTTTTTTTTTTTTTTTATAAAAAATGCCAATTCCCGCAACAATAAGCTTCTAATGCTTTTGGGTTCTCCTTCAAATATGGGAAGATGGAATCAGACATAGGAAGAGAGATGAATATGGAATATAACATTTCTGCTTCTGCATCAACTGAAGTCCTGAATATATCTAAAATCAAAACAAACAAGAAACTGCATTGATGCCTTCTTGGTTGCTAGTAAGAGAAAAGAACTTACACTCACATTCAGCACATTGTGTCGATGCAGCATTTTAGATACACACTGGCAACAATCTGTTAGTGAACCTAGTACATTCCAAATTATCAGAGCTTGTGGTAGCATGTTTACAGATAAACAGAAAAAGAAACACCAACCTCAAAAATTGCCTCTCCTGGCAGTGAATCATTTTACAGTGTTTCCTCAGAGTTGGACCACAACATTAAAGTTGACAAAAAGGTAATTGTAGCAGTTTCAACCCGTAACCGATGTGGTCCAAGACCAACTGCTGTTGCACCTACTTCCATGATCATCCTCAACTCTTTCTCAGTGAAGTCTGCAATATTGTGTGGTCAATCAAGATTACCAGGTTGCTAAGAATTTATAACTGAAAACAACAGCTGAAAAGGATTCCTCTATGCAAATTTTATTATTCTCATACAAAAATGAGAAGTAGAAGGGAGGGAGAGGCACTAGCCTAGTAATCTGTCTTTCCAGATACCGGAATAACATCTAGAGCAAAAAAACTTTAGCACTAGGATTTTAGCAAAAACGTTAGCACTACAAATTTTACTGCAACCTAGACAAATCCAGCCTCAAATCATTGAAAGTTAACACTAAAAAAGAGCAACAGTAAAAGCAATGAATGATCACTGACCTCCTTCAGGTCCAATTATCATCAAACCAGATGATTCTTTCTCCAATGAACTTAAAACACTGAAAACAGGAGTAGCCTCCGCAACAGCAATGAAAGACAGTTTTGTCTGAGCAACCTAGCATGAAAAATAAAAAGAATAAAGTTTAAAAGGAAAATCAGGGCAACGATCAAGCTTTTTAAGGCTCAGTGACACTGAAACCATGTTACTAGGAAATTTTTATTTACCACTTTTAAACAATCATCCATTCATCCATAAAACGCATGGAAAGACTTACAAGAGGCAGAAGTCCACTGATCTTTAGAGGAGGTCTCAAAGTCATTTCATGCAGTCGCTGACCTTCAAATTACATCCAAAGAAAAACAATCACCAAAGATAATACTGAAGCAAGAAGCCATCTCAACTTAGCCAGCTATGCTAATGCAAATAATTGACTAAAAAGCTGATAGCATAAAGAGAAGGCTTAATAAAAGATTACATTGTTTAGATGCAGCAAAAATGACACGTTCCAATCTGTCAAATCGGTTGTCTGAAATGGAACGAGCACGTTCAGTCAACAAAGGTGTCACACTACTAGCTCCCAACTCCTGAGACATGTTAAAAGGAGATTAAGAAACTGACTTTCAAGAACTGAAGCTCAAAGTAGCTCTGCGCCAATATGGCTAAAGAAAATAGATGGGACATACTGTGCATTTCTCCACAAGCCAATCAACCCGGCCTCCTTTCAAAGTTCCTAAGAAGGGAGAAAAACAACATTAAACTATCACTTGAAAACATGGAAGAGGAAGCAAAAATACATCTAATAGTTTCTGGAGGGAGAGATACTCACCAAAAGCAGCATACACATGCCACTGAGTGGCCATGGGAGGAACTAACTTTGCATTCTCCAGAGCCACAAAATCAGCTCCAGCACGATCAATGTTCTGTATGAATCCTTCAACGAGACCTCCTTTTCCATTGAAGAGTTCTACCCTTGCATATGGGAAATGACGATGAGAATAGAATGACAGATTATATTTGGTTTTGTATAAAGAAACCAAATCGCACACAGTTCAACTACGAAATACACATCCTTCGCCGAGCAAAAAAGGCTGGTTGGCATGTAAAAAGCCCACTAGCCAGTACCATGTCATCCAACTACATTGTTTTCAAATAAAAGGAAGTCTCTGGTCATCCAATCAATCCTTAAGAGTAAGCAACTTGCCTAAGTTTCATAACATAATTCAGTATAAACACATATAATCAAAGGAGGCTTCCAAATTCCAATTGATATCGGAAAAGACCAACAGCAAAGTCATATTGGAAACAATGCCAAAAGACTTGAAACCAGTTACGATGTGGCTAGGAAAAGAAAATAAAAACCCCACTAAACCCTTCAATGTGGCAAAGCTTATCAGTAGAAAACAGAATAATAACCAAAAGCAGAAGCTAACCACTGAATCTTTAACACCAACCATTCACCCTAGTCCTCTATGTCAATATTAGAGTCTCGAATCACAATGGTTCAAGGACATGATGGAAAGCATTCCAATGCAAACTCTCAAATGAAGATTAGGGCTGAAAATTACGAACACAGACAGCAATATAGTGTATTATTGATCATATTGTAGTCTGAGGCACTTAGATTTTTGGCTGAAAAAGTCTTATCTGAAGAAAGCGAAGTAGCTAACATTAGCAAAACTAAGACATAATGCAATCTTTTGAATGTGCGTCTCATTACTTCAAAAGCCAATAAGGATTGAAAAGCAAGAACGAAAAATAATGGTCTAACGCATAAGTCAGCCACTCTGCTTAGTCATTCTACAAAATTCAACCGGGTAACTAAAATATAGTCGAACTTACCTATCGTTGGTGTTTAATCTCAGGACCTTCGTCATATGCCAGAACTCATCACCTTGCACACGCACCACACCACCCTGCATTATCAAATGAGGTTAATCAATGGCGACGAACAATACTCACCAATTGTTGGACGAATTAGAGAAAAGCTAGAATCTTAATCATGAGCAGAATTAGAGTTTGGGGTTTATGCCTTGGAGGTAGGGAGCGTATCAGAGTGGAAGCGGGGAAGACCCCCACGAGACTGATTGGTGTAATCTGAGGACGAAGAAGAGAATGCCCGGAGTTGGAAGGAAAAAGTGAACGGAGTGGATGACCGACGACTCTTCAGAAGGCAAAGGTTAATTGCACCAGGCCTCCAAATTAGGGTTTGCATTGGGACCATTCCGGCTTCGCCCGTCGGCTTCCGGTGCAACGGAGGCGCTAATGTTTGAACAGGTGGACACGAGTGTCTTTTTTTAGCCGGAATTTCTCGCTGGTTTTTCACAAAGACACAAAATGGTGGGTGGCAACACAAAACAATTGGGAATTACTACATTTGCCCTTTAATTCTGAATTTTTACTGAAAAGCCCTCAATTCTAAATCTGTTGCTCAAGTGATACTAACAAATTTAGTTCCTTTTCTAGTTTCATTTAACTTTCTTTTCGGCAACAGCTGGCTCCAATAGAAGAAGGCAAAAAGCTCACATTCGTACAGCAATCGAGCTATTATCCGCACTAAAACAATGAATAACGCAAGATCAAAATGAGAGCCAATGTTTTTTTTTTCGGGAAAAAAAAAGAAGGAAAAAGAGAGCCAATAATATTGTTCATGCACTTTATCCAACTTTATCACAAGTTGAAGTTAAATACGCATTATTTTACATCATTTGAAAAACAATTAAATTCTAGATTCTATAAATATGAGGTTGGAAGAGGCTTATCGATCACAATTAATGAAAATCAACGATATTGTGTATATGTAAAGTCTGTACCATATATAATATATAAAAATTAATAATACATGTATACGATTAAATAGTAAGATATACGCTCGTTGAAATCCTTTGAAGTATGTGATGTAATGCAAATAATAAGATCATAAATATATTCATAATCATTGTTTTATAATCATTTTTAATTATCACCACAGGTCCCTAAATGGCTAAATCCATCTGCCCTCCAAAACTCTGTGTTGTGTACCAAAGAAATCTGCAATAGCCAACAATGACAATGATACGATGTTAATTTACAAGCACCAAGCCGACTAATTCATGGGCCAATCTATACTTTTGTGCGGGAGATTGTAAAAACGCAACTGGAATAAAATTATTCCATTAACATTTTTGCAGGAGGGCTATCTCTGTATTTGGTTATTCTTTAATCGAATAGAAAGCTGGACTTGCGGCTGGCCCCAAAGCTCCCAAAATACAATGCTAATAACCAATTAAATTGCCTGTGATAATCAAATGACTTATATGGTGGTATATAAATTGTTACAAATCCAATAACATTAACGGTGCACAGTTCGTCTGCACATGATCATGAGGGAGAGACGTGTACTAACATATAAAAAAAATGTTTGTGAAATAGAGAAACGAGTTGTGTACGAGAGGTGCAACATTATGCTCTTTTGCAACACTAAGGCAATCCTTAAGTAAGGTTTTGACCCGATTTCATCCTCTGGCTGGAAGGCTTTCAGATGAGAACGATTTCACCGTAGATTGCAACGATTCTGGGGCTTTATTTGTTGAGGCTAAGATTCAGGCCAATCTGGCTGAGGTTATTACAGAGCCGAGCATGGATGAACTGAAGCAGTTTCTGCCACTTGGGCCAACTGAAACTAATGTCCTCCTAGCGATTCAGCTCAACGTGTTTGATTGTGGTAAACTTGGGGATGGAGCCTCATTGGTGAATTTCATGCATTCATGGGCTGCAGTAACTTTCCATGGGCGGCGATGTAGGTAAAAGTTCTTCACCGCGATTCGATATGGCGGAGCTATTCCCTCCCAGAGATTTGTCCAGCTTCGGGTTTGATTTCAAACCATCCACTGATCGGATTTCGAAAGAAGAAAAGATCGTCTCCAAACGGGTCGTGTTCGACAAAGAGAAGCTGGCGAAACTCAAGTCCTCTGTTCCTGAATCCCAAGTGACGGATCCGACCCGAGTCGAGGCTGTTTCTGCATACTTTTGGAGGCATTTCATGGATGTCGCAAAAGCCCAAAATCCTAACAAGAAGATGGCAGTTGTGGCGACCCATGTTGTGAATTTGAGGCCCAGAATGGATCAATCTCTTCCGGATTAACTTGTGGGGAAGGCATCGAGGCCTGGGTTAACTTGCTTCAAGAAGATGCCACCTTTGATTTCCAGCAAATAAATTGATAGATTCATCGACTGGCTTAAGTATCATCAGAGTGCAAATCTTAATTTGCCCGAAGCTTTTAAGATTAGTTGGAGTTAATCAACAATGCCATATCATTTCGTCATATTTTCTTTGTCCTAAAATTATTGTTCACTTTACAATTTTTTTTTCTTTTTTTTTCTTCCGAGTTAAAAATTTTAATTATTATCGCATACATCTTACTATATTAGAAACAAAAACCACACTTAAGAGAAAACACCACCATTTGCCATGTGGCATTTCCATATTATATTTTTAAAATAAATTTTTATTTACACATCAATTTTCTAGACTTAAAAGGCAAATGCAGTCCAAATCCACCATCACCTCCTATTTTCGCCAAAACAAAAAAAAACACGGCTTTATAAAAAACACAAATCCTCATCTCCATCTCCACGACAATCGACTTCCTAATCAATCCCTTCTCCACAGTAAAAAAAAAAAAAAACAAACAAATTCCTCATCAATCATCAATTGAGAATATGTGGTGAAATATACTTCTTTCTTATTAGTATGTTCAATCTTTTCATTAGCGATGATCAACTATATCCTAATCAGATAAAATTTCGACTTCAAAAAATATTTTCTTTACCTCTCTATATAAACACAAAGGAAAAAAAAAAATTCTCATTGATGTTGCTTTCGGCCGTTGTGGTGGTGCCATTACAGATATTAAAATTTAAATAATTTTATATCCACAAATCATTTGTACGGCTTTTATTATTTTTTATTTTTTCCGTTCAAGAATAGTGTTATTACTATTATTTTTATGCGTCCACCCGTTACAGCTACCGTAGCCGTTGCCAGGTAATATGATGTGATTTCTTATATGGTTAGTCAGCTTAGAATTTTTGTATGATTTTAGTTATTTTTGAATTGAATTGATCAATTGAGTTTTTGTCACAAAGTGTGGTTTTCTTAATTGCTTTTTTATGTTTTATTCATTTAGAGTGGTTTTCCTTTTTTTGATTATGGAGTCTCAGTTTTCTTTCGTATATGGTCAGTTATGAATTGTATTTTTTTCTTTGTTTAATTCCTTTTGATTTTGTTTCATACTGCCAGTTGACTAATTATTATTATTATTATTATTATTATTATTATTATTATTATTATTTTTACAAATGAAGCTCGTTTTTTTTTTTTGTGTTCGGACTTTCAAGAATATACTTTTTTGGATTTGATTTTTGGACTTTTTTAAATTTCTCATCATATAAATGGTTCAGGTCGCTTCTTCTAACTAATTTATAGGGAAGCCTTTTATGAATTTGAGGTGGAGAGGGAAGGAATGATGTTTCTACGTTTATTTGTGTTTTATACATCATTTTTACCTACAAGAAAAAAAAAATTCTCAATTTTTAATGGACTCTTTTACTTATTTTTTTTGCCATGATGAGGTGAGTTTTTTTTTGCTATAACTTGAAACCCATGCAAATTTACATTAATTTTCATTCTCATATTTGTGATCAACCAGTTTCAACAATTAATCAGTTTCAAAATCATAGTTTTGATATTTTACTAGCTATAAGCCTTTGGAAGACAGTTCCAACAATTAAACGTATACCCTTCGGAGGATGCTTACTACAAAGCTATTATAAATCTCCAAAACCAAGTATTGATTTGGCACGACAAATGGAGAACATCAATAAATTATCTTACTAATATTTAAACTTATTAAGATACTTTTATATTTTGTCTAACATTTACTTCAAGAGATATACTTGATCAATTTTATTTATATTTAATAAGTAACACTTATAAAATATTTCTAAAATATTCAAACATTTCTAAAACGTACCGAGCCAAATACACTTTCTTTTTTTTTGCCAAATACAAACATTTCTATGATCACACTTATAAAACATTTCTAAATTCTTCAAATATTTCTAAAATATATCGGGCCAAATACAAATTTTTTTTTTCAAATACAAACATTTCTAAGATCTACAGATATACTGGGCCAGGGTCGCGCATTGCGCGACCAGACATCACTAGTATGTCTAGGTTCGAATATAATTTATAGCCGGAACAATATTTACACCACTCGGAGGAAGTGTTTGTTGGTTAAATCACTTATTTTAATAGTAGTAATTTTAAAGAAGAATAAATTAGGGGTGAAAGGGGATTTCAGTATAATAAGGTTTTCACTTTTCAAGGAAGTCCCTTCCCACCCTTCTCCCTCTTCTTGGACATTGTTGATTTCTTGCCTAGAATTAGGTCTCCAAGAGAGCCTACTTCAACCCCCCAAAAAAAAAAAAAAATTAAAAAAAAATCGTTAGAAATCAATCAAGTCTTATTCCGACTGTTGCGTTTTTTCGCAGTGCTCCTGAGTAATAAGTTATTGCTCCCGGAAAATCCAATTATAGGCATATGATTGTAAGCATCTCCGAATATCACGAGACGAAAGAGAAGTTAGAGTAATTATTTATTGTACCCAAAAAAATTTTTATTTATTTAATTTTCTTGGATACGTACAAAACTAAAGCGGTTATTGGTTACTGTTGAAGAATGGATCTGATGATTCATTAATTCCAGACCCATCAATGGACAAGGATATTCAATCATTATAGCATTGTGTATATGTCAGGGATTCGATTGTAAATACTGATAGTTGTAGGGTGCCTTTTGTAAATGTTAGATGGTATATATTAGTCCAGGACAAGACTCTGTAAATATTGAATAATCATTTTCATCAAATACATACAAAAATTTCCAAATACTCTTCGTCGGCTGTCAACCACCTATCGGAACCACCAAAACCTCCGCTGAACTCCGGTGATGGTATCAGAGCAGGAGTGATCCTGCCTGATTACTTAACCGATAAATCTACTCGTTTGTGCTTCAGGAACAAAACCTAATCACTCAATTTCACTATGGAGAACGCTGATGAAGAATCCAGCCGCGATAGAGAGCAGCAGGAAGAGGAATATCGATTCGCTCGTGGAATTAGAAGAGCAGACAGGAGCAATCGAAGGACTGAGCGTGATTTTTTCCGAAGTCCGATGACTGATGGCGATCTGGATTGGTTCATGGAAGAACAACTTCAGTTGCATGGTTCTGACAACCCTGGGATGTCGTTGGTAAGCACTCCTTTAACCACTACAAATTTGTTGATGTGGGAAATGTCTGCTATGACTGCTTTAGATGCAAAGATGAAGTTAGGGTTTGTAGACAGTACTTGCATCATGCCTGCAATTAATTCACATGACTATGTCCGTTGGAGGAGAGTTGATAGTATGGTTCGATCTTGGATCCTAAAGTCCATAGATGCTAGTTAGGCCAGTAGTTTTGCTTTTATTCTCACTGCCAAGCAACTTTGGGATACAATTATGGCTAGATATGGAAAGAAAAATGGTTCACTAGTGTATCAATTGAAGAGAGAAATGGCATTGATTAGCCAAGGAAACATGAACATGGTAGAATATTACAACAAGCTGAACAAACTTTGGGATGAGTATAGTCAATGGAGACCTCCGATTGTTTGTGAGGGAGAAGCTATGAGGAAGTTGTATGAAAGAGAAACTGAGGATAAGGTCTATCAAATGTTAATGGGTTTAAATGACTGTTATGAATCACTCAGAAGTGAGATTCTACGCATGGATCCTATGCCCAGCCTGGATGAGATATACTCCAAGCTGCTGGATGAAGAAACTCAGAAGCAGGTAAGTACTGTGCTTACAGTACAACCTGAGAATGTGGCCATGATGGCTAAGCCAGGGACCTGGAAGAAGGAAACCGAACAGAAGGATTGGAAGGAGATTAAGAAAGAAAAGATGAAACTGTTTTGTAATCAGTGCAACAGACATGGACACATAAGAGATAATTGTTTCTTGATCAAAGGATACCCGGATTGGTGGGAAGAGAAGTATGGGAATAAGAATCAGCTAGGATATCATGGATCAACAGGCAAACAGATGCCACGGCAAATGCCCAAACAGCAAGCTCACCTTACAGATTCACCTTTTGATGGGACAGAACCAGCTGAAGGAGATTGGCAAATGATGATTGCCAATTTGGTGCAAGCAGAACTCGGAAGAATGATGAAGGGGAAATCTCCTGTGGATGGTGCTCCTACAACTTCTGCCAACCATGCCAGGGTGAACTATGCACATTTGCAGGATTTTGCAGGTAGTCATGTTATTTCTCATTTGGCTGCAAATCTAGTTAATGTGATCAGTAATGATTCTTGAATAGCTGATAGTGGTGCCACGGCACACATGTGTTGCTCTGTGTCACTGATGATTCATGCTAGAGTAGTCGATATATATACGCCTGTTTATCTGCCGGATGGGAATATTAGGGATGTGCATCATATGGGAGAAGTAGAACTTTCTAGTACACTTACACTTTCATCCGTATTACATATACCAACCTTTAAACATAACCTTTTGTCTGTGAGAAAACTTGCACAAACCTCAGGTGTCTGAAGTTTTTTGACGACTTTTGTTTGCTACAGGACCTGAGGAGTAATGAGGTCCTTGGAGCAGGCATGGTCGTCAATGGGCTCTACATAGTCAATTCCTATTCTTTTACACAAGCTGCAATTCAACAAACACACATTTTATACTCTAAACTAGTTCTAGCTGTTTCAAGGAAATTTTCTACTGTATCTCTTTGTAATCCTAGTATTGCTATTTCAGATTCTACAGCTAAGGCCAATGTAGCTGTATCTACTAGGCATAACAGATTAGGACATCCTTCTATTGATGTTTTGAAACATGTATCCAACCTTGATTCTGCTGACTTTGATAATAAATTGTCCTTTTGTGAAACCTTTCCACTATCCAAACAACATAAGCTAGCTTTTCCTTTAAGTTCTATCAACACCAATGATGTGTTTGAGATGCTTCACGCTGATGTATGGGGGTCGTATAAAATGTTGTCTCTGACAAATGCTCAATTTTTCCTTACCCTAGTAGATGATTTTAGTAGGACTACCTGGACTTTCCTCCTTAAACACAAGTCACAAGTAGCTGAAACAATTAGGCAGTTTCTCATCTTAGTCAAAACTCAGTACAACCACCGTGTCAAGATCTTTAGGACTGACAACGGTTCTGAATTTCTTAATGCCACAATGCAAAAACTTTTCTTGGAAAACGGCATTGTTCATCACAGAACATGTCCATACACACCCCAACAGAATGGGGTAGTAGAAAGACGGGACCATCACATTTTGTAGGTTGCCAGATCACTGTTATTTCAATCTGGCCTTTCGAAAAGATTTTGGGGAGAATCCATTTTGACGGCAACCTACCTTATCAATAGAACACCCTCCAAGTTACTTCTTTGGAAGACCCCTTTTGAAATTCTGCACCAAAAACCACCCACTCTTGATCATTTGAGGACCTTTGGCTGTTTGGCCTTTGTTCACAATATGTCACCTGACCGGGATAAGTTTGATGCTAGAGCCATTAGAGGAATCTTTGTTGGATATCCCAGTGGTCAGAAGGGATATAAAATTTACTGTGCCGATCAGAAAAAGATTATAGTATCTAGACATGTCCAATTTCAGGAAACCATATTTCCTTGTAAAACAGTTTCTGGTGACATTATAGACCAACCAACGTTACCATGTCCTATATTTGCCGATGTTCATTATGAACCCTCCACAGTCATTTCCTCTCCTCAAGAGAATCCAACTAAATCTCAGTCCTCCCCTTTACCATCATTGAATCATTCCCCTTCTTCGTCTTCTCAATCACATTCCTCAGTCCCTACAGATTCTTCTGTTTCAGATTCTTCTGATGATTATGTCATTCGTTCTTCTCCTCCTGAACCCTGTAGAAGTAATAGAACTCGCCACCTCTCTACCTGGCTTCATGATTTTGATCTCACTAACAGTGCTGTACACTTGCCACCAACCTCAGCCAATGTAGTTTCTAGTGAGTTCTATTCTTTCTTTGATGCACATCTAGGATTTCTGGCCAATCTGTCTACTATAAGAGAGCCACAGACCTATAATCAGGCTAGGAATCATTGTCATTGGATTACTGCGATGAATGAGGAGTTAGGGGCCCTGGAAACCAATGGTACTTGGTCTTTGACTTCCTTACCACCCGGAAAACGAGCAATAGGCTGCAAATGGGTGTATAAGGTGAAATGTAAATCAGATGGGATCGACCGGTACAAGGCACGACTCGTTCCCAAGGGGTACAATCAAATTGAGGGCGAAGATTTCTTCGAAGTTTTCTCCCCAGTTGCAAAAACGGTGACAGTTAGGGTTTTGCTTGTTCTTGCCGTATATCGAACCTGGAATATTCATCAGCTTGATGTGAATAACGCATTCCTTCATGGGACGTTGGAAGAGGATGCGTATATGTTGCCTCCTCATGGATATGATAAGGCGCAGCCAGGGCAGGTTTGTAAATTGCACAAATCTCTCTATGGCCTTAAACAGGCTTCTAGGCAGTGGAATCATGCCTTTACCGCTGCTCTTACAGATTATGGATTTAAACAGTCATATGCTGATCCCTGTCTTTTTGTCTTGCATTCCGCATCAGTACTTATTCTGTTGTTAGTATATGTTGATGATGTGCTGGCACCAGAACTCAAGGGCTTTTCTACTCCGCATCAACATCTCTTACACTCAGGGCCTATTATGATGCGGATTGGGGATGCTGTGAGTTCACTCGACACTCTCTCACAAGTTACTGTGTGTTTTTAGGTGATTGCTTGGTCTCCTGGACTACCAAGAAGCAACCCACCATTTCTCAGCTGAAGCTGAGTATCGAGCAATAGCCTTCACTGTGAGGGAATTGCAGTGGCTTAGTTATTTGCTGAGAGATCTTCATGTTCCTGTACCGTTGCCTATTTCTTTTTGGTGTGACAGTAGGGCAGCCATCTATATTGCAGGTAATCCCGTCTTTCATGAACGTACTAAGCATATAGAAATCGATTGCCACGTTGTACGGGATTGCTATACCTCTGGATTTATTGATCTTCACCACATCAGCTCTTCTCACCAACTTGCCGACTTGTTTACCAAGTCCCTCGCTGCTCCTGCTTTCTGGTTTCTTCTCGGCAAGATGAGCATGTTGTGTTCTTCCTCTGCTCTTCTTGAGGGGGACGTGTTGAAGAATGGATCTGATGATTCATTAATTCCAGACTCATCAATTGACAAGGATATTCAATCATTATAGCATTGTGTATATGTCAAGGATTTGATTGTAAATACTGATAGTTGTAGAGTGCCTTTTGTAAATGTTAGATGGTATATATTAGTCCAGGACAAGACTCTGTAAATATTGAACAATCATTTTTATCAAATACATACAAAAATTCTCAAATACTCTCCGTCGGCTGTCAACCGCCTATCAGAACCACCAAAACCTCCGCTGAACTCCGGTGAGTTACGTGAACATCTTATTTATAAATGATTCATTAATTAAGTTGGTTTTCGGTGTGATCAACATATATCTTATTCATGATTCATCATCTATAAAATGCACGGGATGAATTAAAACAGTTGCATATGGGGGTCAATTGTTTTTTTTTTCTTTTTCTTTTTTAATAAAGAAATAGTACTATATCAGTTCCAAAATTATAATTCGTATAAAAACGGATAAATCATTCTAAATTTAATCATCACCATCACTGAGATGGCATACATTATAATTGGGTTCTGTATCTAATTTGAAAATATGAAGCAATATTGAAGGTGGTTAGATGGTAGACACCCCTGCAATATGCATCAACAACAACTACCCAAAAAAAAAAAAAGGAAAAAAATCATAACGCAGATAACTTAATGAAGATTTCCTCAGCAAAATAAGTGTAGGCTGCTTCTGTAAAATGCACACCATCCCAAAACAAGTATTGTGAAGAGTTGCTGCAATGTGGGATTAGCGGTAGGCATAAGGGCCAAGATGGGTTGATTTGGCAACATCCTTTTCCAGCGTCCACGAAACCTGAGAAACATGTTTCTCGTTAACTTAAAAAGAAAAGAAAAGAATAAATTGAATCAGGAAGCACTAGTAAAATTTACAGAACTAATTCGGTAATCATCCAAATGTTTAAAATACTAAATAAGCATTTCAGACAAAAATAATATAACAGTAATTAAAATAAAAATGCATAAGATGTCGGGAAATTATATGAAAACGGACCATATTTGTTCGGTTGGTGTATCATGTCCATAACCAGACCAAATATGTCAACCAGCACAAGTTTGCTTCCTGGAAGTTTTGCCTGGATTTGAGGAAGCAGATCTACCAGCTTCTTGTTGAAAGTTTGAGTCTCTAAGTTAGTCTTTTCCACACATTGGAAAGATGGGAGATTTTGTGCCCTCTTGAATGGTACACAACCAAATGGCGGTAAACCCATGAAGATCATGCGGCGACAACCAAGAACATACAATTCCTACACATGTATAGTAATCGAGAGGTCGTTTTAAATGATTAATACATTAATTTGATTAAAGCTGCCATTTTTAATTACTCTCTCCATTCCAAAATAAGTGTCGTTTTAGCAAAATGGAGAAATTTCAAAATAAGTGTCGTTTTCACATTTCAATGCACTTTTTTGTCCAAAATTTCCAAAATTACCCTCGAAAGAATTAATACTATTGGTGGACATTTTTTTAGTGGGGTTGGTTGAGGATATTCAAGTAATTTTATTATCATATTTAAGAGTTTTTTAAACTATGTGCAAAGTGTAAAATGACACTTATTTTAGAATGGAGGGAGTACGGTATTGATTAAAAAACAAAAACTAAATATTATTCCCTTGTCCGTAAATTTGTAAGTATGGTATTAAAAAATTTGAAGAATTAATGTGAATTTTTTTGGGGAGGGAGTATCACGTACCTCGAAAAAGTTTTGAACTTTTTGCATCAAAAAGTCCTGGTACTCGTTATCCGCGGAGGCGGAGGAGGAAGAGTTGGACTGAAAAATCCGATTGACCGTCGATGTAACCGAAAAATCACCGGCAGTCAAATCGTTGACTCCCGCATGAATAATCACTAAAGCTTCGCTAACAATTCTTTGAGCCTCCATTTCCCCTACAATCGTTGTCAGCCTCGAGATATAATCCTTAAAATATTCCAGCTGCTTTGACATTGAGATTCTAGGCATGAAATCGTAAGTCCGATCGTCGAATCCTGCACAACTCGACGCGAAGCCAACGCCGGTAATCAGTTCATGGTTGGGTAGATTCGGCTGCAGATACGGAGGAACGGCTTCCTTGATGCCGAGCATTGTTGCCAGAATGTCCGGAACAAGTTTCCCGTCCGACGGGCGGCCGGCAGGTTTGCCTGGATATTTGGATCCATATGGGGGATAGTTGGTGCTACACAGAGTAACAAAGTAGGCGTTGTTCCCATTGTCAACATACGAATCACCAAAGACCAAAATTGCACTGTATTTAGGATCAGCAACACTTTTATGAAATTTTGAAGATATGAGTATGAAAGTAAAGCAAAATGTTACGAATACGCGCCACAGCTGGCAGCAGAGAGATTCCATTTCTTCGCAGGAAAAACCGGAGTAAACAACTTCTTCTTGCCGGTAGCAAACCAAACAGAATGCAGATGATTGCAATCAATCACGAGAAGAAAAACTTAGAGGGGATCAAATTTCTTAGCTCGACAACTATTTAATTTCTTTCTATTCTATATCTCACTTCCAACTTTGTTCTTGAAATCCAACTAGAAAAAAAAAATACTATTATTTTTTCTTTATCACAAAATAAATTTTAAGTTGTGAAATGTAAATTGTATTAAAAATAACAAAATTTTCAATTTACAGTATGGACTGTTTTTGGAGTACTCCCTCTATTCTAAAATAAGTGTCATTCTACACTTTGCACATAGTTTAAGAAACTCTTAAATAGGGTAGTAAAATTACTTCAATATCCTCAACTAACCCCACTAAGAAAATGTCCACCAATAGTATTAATTCTTTCGAGGGTAATTTTGAAAATTTTAGACAAAAAGTGTATTGAAATGTTAGAACGACACTTATTTTGAAATTTCTCCATTTTACTAAAACGATACTTATTTTGGAACGGATGGAGTACTATTTAAGGCCTTTCTCTCTAATGTTTAATAGTCTACCTTAATAAGTTGAACTCTTGAAATTGTATGGGAGAAAACTCAAAAGTCAGCCTGTGGCGCTCGTGTAGAAAACCACATTGATGATCATCCGCTCTAGTCCATGTGCAACATTATATGTTTTTGCATTTTGGATGATAGTGGTTTTGAAATTTTATTTTTAGTATAATATTTCTTTCAACTCTTATTATAAGATTTTTTATTTGTCTTAAATTTCACATAATAAAATATTTTTTAATTAAAAAAAAACTTAAAGATATATTTTCGCGTTTATTGGTGTCCTCCTAATTATATTGAGAAATATTGCTAAGGTTTTTCTTTTCAATTGAAAAAATATACCATGTAAAACATGTAACAAATCAAAATGTCTTATACTTACTCTGTCTCAAAATTATTGTCCAATTTGAGTTTCTATTTTTAATCAATTTGTACTAAAATAAGAATTCAATCTGGACAATAATTTTGAAACTGGGGAAATAATAAAGACCGGAGGGAGTAATTATTTTGAGACCAAGAGAGGAATACTTTATAGGAATGTGAAGGTGAAATTAATCTAACTATTCATAAATGACCGCATGTTCCTTCTTCTTTTTGTTCCTTTTGTCTTTTGAGTTTTCACTAACCAGTCCCTCACTCTAAAGTCTAACCTAGCCAATCAAACACCCCTCATTTTAAAAGAGTCGAACTATTTAATTGTGTTCAAATAATTGAAAGTCGAGACCTCAAAATTAATGATAAACGTGATTCGCGAGATAAGGTCTAATTCGTTAATCAGCGTAATCTCGAATCCAGCTGTTTAATCAACTATTTTTTTCTAATATATTTTAATACGAAGTATAGACTCAGAACGTACCACCTATTCATCAACAACAATTAATGGAGCCAGCTCAATTTGTCTGACCATGTTAAAGAACGAATCTATTCGTTTTATATGGCGGTCCAAATGGAATTATTTGCGATGTACCTGAAACAAAATCGGGGAAAATCGAATGAAATGATGGTGACATAACTTCGTGCGACATATCATTATATATTATATCTTACTATATTAAAATAAAAAACTACACTTAAAACAAATTACCACCATTTACCATGTGGCATTTCCACGTCATATTTTTAAAATAAATTGTTATTTACACATCTCCTAGACTTAAAAAGGAAATGCAGTCCAAATCTAACTCCACCTCCTATTTTCGTCAAAAAAAAAAAACCACGGGTTCATAAAAAACTCAAATCCTCATCCCCATCTCCACAACAATCGACTTTCTAATCAATCCCTTCTCCACAATAAAAAAAAGACAAATTCCTCGTCAATCATCAATTGAGAATATGTGGTGAAATATATTCTTTTCCTATTCACATGTTCAATTTTTTCATTAGTGATGATCAACTACATTCTAATTAGATAAAATTTCGACTTCAAAAAATATTCTTTTTACCTCTCTATATAAATACAAAGGAGAAAAAAAAAATTCATTGATCTTGCTTCGGCTGTTGTGGTGGTACCATTACAGGTATTAAAATTTAAATGATTTTATTTTCACAAATCATTTGTTTGGCTTTTATTATTTTTTATTTTTTTTCGTTCAATAATAGTGTTATTACTATTATTTTTATGCGTCCATCCGTTACAGCACTGTAACCGTTGTCAGATAATATGATGTGATTTCTTATATGGTTAGTTAGCCTATAATTTTTATGATTTTAGTTCTGTTTAGATTGAATTGATTAATTGGGTTTTTGTTACATAGTGTGGTTTTTTAAATTTCTTTTTTTTTTTATGTTTCATTTAATTAGAGTCTTTTTTTTTAATTATGGAGTCTTTGTTTTTTTTTTTTTTCCGTATATGCTCAGTTATGAAGTGTGTTTTTTCTTTGTTTAATTACTTTTTATTTTATTTCATACTCCTAGTTGACCAATTATTATTATTATTATTATTTTATGTTATTTGCAAATGAAGCGCGTTTTTTTTTGTATTCGGACTTTCAAGAATATACTTTTTTGGATTTGGTTTTTGGACTTTTTTTAGTTCCTCATTATATAAATAGTTCAGGTCGCTTCTTCTAACTAATTTATAGGGAAGCCTTTTATGAATTTGAGATGGAGAGGAAAGGAATGATTTTTCTACGTTTATTTGTATTTTTATACATCATTTTTACCTACAGAAAAAAATAAATTTCTCAATTCTTAATGGCTTATCTTTTACTTTCTTTTTTTTTATTTGTCATTGTGAGGTGAGTTCTTTTTTGCTATAACTTGAAACCTATGCAAATTTACGTTATTTTCATTCTCATATTTGTGATCAACCAGTCACAACAATTAACAAGTTTCAAAATTATATTTTTGATATTTTAATATCTATAAACTTTTGGAAGAAATAGTGCCAACAATTAAGCGTATACCTTTTGGAGGAAGCTTACTACAAAGTTATTATAAATCTCCAAAACTAAGTATTTATTTGGTACAACCAATGGAGAACATTAATAAATCATGTTACTAATATTTAAACTTATTAGGATGCTTTTATATTTTGTCTAGCATTTACTTCAAGATATATATTTGATCAATTTATTTATATTTAAGAAGTAACACTTATAAAATATTTTTAAAATCTTCAAACATTTCTAAAATATATTGAGCCAAATACAATTTATTTTTATGCCAAATACAAACATTTTTATGATCACACTTATAAAACATTTCTAAATTCTTCAAACATTTCTAAAATATATTGAGCCAAATACAAAATATTTTTTTTCAGATACAAATATTTCTAAGATCTACAGATATATTAGGCCAGGGTCGCGCATTGCGCGACCAGACATCATTAGTATATCAAAGGAAATAAAGATAATCGACACGTGTCACTCATTGAGACCATCAAGCCTCAATTAACACGTGTCGTTTGCTAATTGGTGGATCATTAATCAGTTAAAATTTTTTGTAAACAGTTAATAAATTATTTACTACTCCCTCTGTCCCATAAAAATAATCCAATTTAATAAAAAATCTTGTCATAAAAAAATAATCTAGTTTAACAAAAGTCAAAATTCATTGAATTAAAATGACTTAAATATCCAAAAGAGTAGTGGTATTAAAAAACAAGGTACACTTCCTTTGATATTCAATTTTTTTAGTTTTCTCTTATTTTTTCAAATGATTATATCTTTTAATACATAAATAATTAAAAAATGTGTTATATATCAAATTAATCTACGTAACGAGATCTTTCCATCAAGATCTATTGTCAATATTTTTTGAGATAAAAATTTTGATCAAATTTAAGTTGTAAAATAAATGCATATGTAGTTAACTTTTATAGAAATAACTAGAATGGGCATTAGTGGAAGTTAGGAGAATGAAATGAGTTGTACATTTGGTGTGTTGACCAAATTAAAAAAGTTGTACAGTTTCAAACTGAACCATTTTTGTAGGACGGAGGAGTATATAAGATTTTTACAGATATTACAAATTCCTGATTGTGAGCTTGAATATGAATATTTTTAAAAATTACTGAGAAACTTCCGAATTCAAAAGTCCTTTCATTTACGAATTTAAACTTTCAACCTATTGTCATTTTGGCCCTTAAAGTTCCATTTGTGTGCTATTTAGTTTTCAAATTTATCGATTTTACATTTTCAAAGACGATTAATTCTGTCTCATATTTTATTAGAACTACATCTAATCCCCAAAGTTCACTTGCCTATAAAAATAGGCCATATGCATCTAGACATAATTTACGCATTTTTTAAATATATTTTTTTAAACCAAACATAACATTAGTTAGTAGTGACAATTTTTATTATACAACTTCTGAAAATCTTTGTTGTAATATTTTTTACCAGATCTTACAAATATATATCTCATAAATAGTATCAATACCTCTCATTTTGATCTAAAACTGATTAATCAAAAATATTTTACAGTTTTAAGAAATATTAGTAACTACATTTTTTTAAGAGAATAAAGACGGTATATTTGTAATTACATTATCTAATCAATTCTTTTGATATATATATATATATATATATATATATATATATATACACATAGGAGGTTCCCATTGGGATCCCATTAATTATATTTTGATGGGATGCGAATGGGTATTGGGAATTCCAAATCCCAAACCCATACAGTCCCAACCCAAAAGATTTTTTAATGGGATAAGCTAAACCCATTCCCAATAACTACCCGCCCAATAACATTCCCACTCAATATCCACCCTTCCCATCTAAATGTCAGCTATAATTTAGATGTTTACAAATATTTTAACATAAAATTAGTTAGAGAAATAAAAGTTGGGACACTTTAGTAACCATTATTTATGATGAGAAGAGGATGTTCATGATATATATTATGATTCTTAAAAAATAAATTACTAATTGATATTTTCAGGAAAAAAAAACAAATAATATGTTAAAAAAATGAGACTCTAATAATTTGGGGGTCTAAAGCAAGTGTTTTAGGAGCTTGTTCTTAAAGCGGGTTCTGTGTTGAGTAGTTTTGAGATTTGTACTAAAAGAAGGAGTGTTAACTTATTATCTAGCGAGTTTTTATGGAAACAAAATGCTCCACTGATGCCTTTCAGTATTCTAGTTTGGACCAATCGATGTCATGTTTGACAGTAGTAAAACAGCCCCAATATAATGAGAAATTCACCCTTTATTAATTGATAGAACTTGCCAGGCATTAATTTTGTTCAAATTTAGCTAGCGATGAAGTTGATACTTCAAAAATGTTAAACGTGCTAATCAAATAATTGAGAATTGACATGAGAGAAATACATCTGACTCGAAACTGAATAAGTCTGGGACAGACGACTTCAACCATGTATACATAATATACCAAAATAATAATAGATAGCTGAGACTTAATTCATACTAATAATAGCAGTGAGTGGGTTCGTTTTGTTTAACTATGCTAATCAATTCAGCCTCAAACTTGGACGAGGTTTCATTATGTCGTGATAATTAGAAACAATTGATGAGGGGTGAAGGTCCAAAATGAATTATTTTCAATGATAGAGAGAATTAAAGGTCGAAAAAAAAAAACAGAAAAAAATCTAATGAATTAACTTTGTTTGAATCCTCCGTATAATAATAATAACCTACATCAACTTGTAACGTACCTATAAACAAAAAGTCGCAAAAAAACTTAGCGTTACTCCAATTTGAATCCGTCGGATCAACCTATCATCAGAATCATATCCCTTTCTGCACACATCTGATCCGTTGCTCCTTATATCACATCCGATAGAAAGTTGGCCTCAAGGTTCAAGCTGTCAAAATATAATTATGTCACTGATGGTTCGTAAGATGAAATTAATTATTTTTCCCGAATGTAGTTAGAGGAGTATATTACTCCCGCAATCTGGTTGTAAAATACTTTAGGCATTATGCCTCTTTAGTTATCAAAAAAATAAATAAATTCGAATTTACCATTTGGCCCATCACTGAATTATGTATATGTCAGCAATGTACTCTAACAAAATTAGTATGAGGTTTCAATGTCTCTATTATTATTTTGAATTAATTCGAATAGCTTGCTATTTATCAATATTTCAATAATTGCCAAGTGATAAAAACAATGTGGATCAAGCTTTTGTAAATCATGTCGTGATTAATTGATAAAATATCCGGGAATTCAGTCCTGTTTAATTCGTTATTTTTTATTGTGTAATTTTTGTCGAAACTAGCTAAAACCAAAATAGAATAGATATATACTGCATAGAATACGAGCATATGAAATGTCATGTTTCATTGCATTCAAAAGAAGATACATATATAGCACTCCATACAATCACATACATATGTTATTGTAAACTGAATAATTGCGTTCAAGAGAAAGTGAGAAACAAACCGTACATGTCGTAATGGAACTATTGCACATAAATTTATAATGCTTTAATTTTTTTTGTTATAACGTAAGTTGCTCCCTATTGGCAATTCATGTTTTCCGAGGGTAGAGGCGAACAGGAAGTCCTTGAGCTGGCATTGCGATTGGGAAGTTGGAAATCTTCTCGTTTGGATTTAGTTTTTCCCACCTGAAATTAATCATCACATGATGTACAAAAGTGAGTGTTACAAGTCTAGTGTACTCATTTCCAGGACACATGCGAGGTCCTCCTCCAAATGGAACAAACGTATAAGGAGTTGGACCATCCCCTTCAAATCTTGTTGGGTCAAATTTCTCTGGATTCTTGAAATATTTAGGATCCTTATGGGTAGCAGGTCCAGCCCAATGTATCTACATATTTAACAAGTGAAAATGAGACATACATATAAATAAAGGAGTGAAACAACCTTTTTTTTTTAAAAAAAAAAAATGGAGTGAAACAACGAGCAATGATACACACAAGGAATAAAGAATCGTGGAAACTTACCTTCCAACCTTTAGGAATTGTGTAGCCTTCGTATGTGAAATCAGTAATAGCTTCTTTGAAACCTGCTCCTGGAGAATAGAGTCTTAACGTTTCACAAATAACGTTCCATGAATACTTCATCTTCCTGAAGTCCTCCCACATCAGTCTGCTCCCTGGTTCCTTTGAACTCGCAACATCCATTTGCTCTTTCATTCCGTCGAAGTTTCGGAAAAGGAGAAATAGATTAATTAAAGAAGCAAAACGCACTTCAGAAAAATAACCAAACAGTTACAATCACAAATTTTTTTAACCATTCAGTTGTTTTTGAATGTCCAAAATATAGTGTCATTTCTATCATCGGGGCTAAATTTATTAGTCTTTGAATTTCGAATACTCCATATTTTTAGTTACCTTTGAGGACAGCTTGATAGACATGAGGGAGCTCGGCAAGTGACTTCATGAGCATGCAAATTGTGGGATGAACAGAAGTATAGGCTGCCTGTAAGAGAGCCAATAAATAGCTCGCAATGTCTTCATCATTCACGAAATCCCCATTTTCCTCAACTCCCAAAATCATGTTCGAAATGAAGTCCTTTTCCGTGTCTGGATTTAATGAAACATCAACCTTTTTCTGCCTAATGATTTCCATAATTTCTGAACGCATAATCTCACCAGCTTTGATACCAGGGTTCAGTGTAAATTGTGGCAGATTAATCCGCGCTCCAATAATCGCGGATTCCACTTCCTCCATTCCTTTAAGAACTCTTTCAGCCTCTTCCGAATCGGTGATGCCCAAGAATATATTCCAGCCTAAAGTCAGTGTATATTTTTTAGTCATCTCGCTTATGTTGACTTTATCTTTTCCAATCCAGTATTTCTCCAGATGCTGTTTCATCACGGCATCCATGATGCCAGCCTGTTTCCGAAGTGCGTCGCCTTTTAGGAAGTACGGAAGAACGATTGAGCGGAGCCGTTTTGAGTGCTCGGCCACCGGCTCCTTACCGGACACTGGGATGACGGTATCGAGTTTGCTCGACATCCATAACTTGACCAGTTTCCCTTCATTAGCGAACAAGAATTTGTTGCCTTCCGCGTTGCAGAGTACTGCAATGGGCTGGCTAAACAGTCCCGTCTTGAAAATTTTGGATGAATACTTTTCCATTCTTTCTTTGAAGAATTCAGACTGAAACCCTCTTTGAGTTTTCCAGAGATAGGTTAAAGATTCACCAATGAATGGCAAACCTGTACTCCCTGGAGGAAGCGTCCTGATCTTCTCTTTGTTAATGCCATTTCTCGTCTTGCGACGAAACAGATACATCAATATTGGGATTGATATAGACACAAGGACCAAGATCACTTGTGATAAATCCATCGTAAACATTTTTTCGATTATAGTTTTTGATCGATCAGCGTTAAGGATCAGATCAGATGAATCATGAATGTATGAAAGGGAAGCTAGAGCTAGCTTGTGGATGCCATGCAACGTTGAGCTATCTATTTATAGTACTAAGAGCAACCTAATTATCTACATTCTACACCATCTCTCTCCTCGTATTTTTTCTTTCTTTTTTTTTTTGGGTTACAATTGTACTAGTATTTTATTATTCATTATTATTATTTCGACGACCAAGTGATGTTGGCTGGTGAAAAACTAGGGGAAGATTTTAAATCCTATACACGGGTTCTGTAATTAAGTTTATAGACCCTAAAAAATAAGTTCGACAAGTTTGTGTATTAAATCAATGGAATTAATTTACTGAAGAGACTTTTTTTAAGAAAAAAGATTAGAAGAAAAAATATTTTAAAAAAAAGGCCTATAGCCTTTAGTTTTAATTTACTCCAATAGTCATATTTAAATTTTCACTTTTTTTAGAAGAAGAAAAAATAGTAAAAAAAAAGCCTATAGCCTTAAGTTTTAATTTATTCCCTCCGTCCTAAAATGGGTGTTATATTTGAATTTTTACTTTTGATACAATATGTATTCACTCCATTTCAAAATGTTAAGTCACCCAATACAATCATTTAGTAGTTATTTTTATCTTTTTATGACCCTCATGAAGAGTATAGAATTGTAAATAAGATTAATTGAAAATTAGTTGGCATCATTTATGTGTTGAGAGTAAAGTTAAAAAATTAGTAATTAATTTGTATTGAAATCTTAAAATAATCTATATTTTAAAATATTATTCTAAAACTAAAACTACCTACATTTTGAAATGAATGGACTATAAAATTTTTACTAAAAAAAACCCAAACAATCATTTTAAGACACAAAGAGAATGTATGGAAACTTAAAAAAAAAACTTACAAAATAAAAACCTTTCTTTAAAAAAAATTAAGGCGAGAAGGTGGCTATGGTTTTATAATGATGAGAAGTCCATTTATTTTATTTTATTTTATTTATTTATTTTGGTTTACAAAGTCCATGGTTTTTCAAACAGGATTCGAACATCAATCACGTGAAAATAACAATCGCTCACCTAAATTTCTGTAGTCTAACCAGCTAATAATCCACACCCGATTAATTTCCTTAGTAGAAGGTCGAGCTCAGTACCATAGTTTAGTCAGGATACATATACAAGCAAATGGTTTTAGTTCTAAACAACGATTTGATTAATGTTGAGGCGCAGCATACCCTATTAATCTCCACCCCCCAAAAGAAAAATTGAATGTGACAAATAACATTAATGCTATTTGTTGGAGGGGAAAACCCACACTAATTTTTTTTATTTTTTTTTTGAAAAGAACACTAAAATTAAGTCAAAGCAAGCAAGCTACTTAGCTTACATTATTAAGATGGTGGATAGATACTAGCGAACATGCATTATTAAGGTGGCAAAGAGTCAAGCTTGTCGAACTGGCCGTCAGTAGATGACTAGATGCACATTGACTAGTGAACTAAGTGAAGTCTTCTTTTTTGTGCTTCCTTCTTACTCCGTTGGTTATAGAAAGTAGATATAATGCACCGAATTATTTTTGAGAGATAGAGAGTTAGTTTTATTTATACTACTAAAATATGGAAGGTCAGTTGGAATATCAATAATTGCAAGTTTATTTGGCGAACCTTATCTTCCCTTTTTTTTTTTTTTTTCCTTTGATAATACATGCCCTATCTTAATAATGTTTTTTTTTTTAAAAAAAAAAAGAAAGAAGAAAATCAGGAAAGCTGGGATCCAAGGGGGAAACAAAAAACACTAAACTATGATGTCCGCATAAATTTACAAAAAGAATCTACCAAGCATCAAAACGGACCCTTAAAGCCACTAATTTTTCCCTAAGATCACCAATAGCACATGTTTTTGCATGCCTTCAAGATTAGGATCAAATTGCTGAGCAATAATGTGAGTATCTTCTTCAGCCCAGAAATTATGAACCAATTCCCCGATATATTTGACGTCGATAATGTTAATGTTATCTTACAATGTTAAATTGATGTTTACAAATTACGTAATCCTTTCCAAGTCCAGATTCTTGAGTCTCCACAAATTTATTAGAGATGTCATTTAGCGTCGGCTATGTGTTTTTGATTTTAGTCTTAGTATCAGAGGAAAGTCTCCTAGCCGCCTCCGGCTTTCCCTACGAAAAGAAAACTTGTTCCCCCCTTTGTTTTTTTCTAATTCCAAGGAAAAATCGTGAAAAATAAGCAGAGTTAATTGAATTTTTGATATTTCTACTAAAAACAATACAAATTTGAAAATTCGATGCCGGCAATTTTATTTTTTTTTGACAGAGATAGCTAGGTTTTTCCTTGTCTATATTCCTTGTTATAGAATCTGTTTAGTTGTAATGCATTCAGATAAAAGTGCAGACCTTAAGGATGAAGTGCCCAAAAAAAACCATTCAGGATGGAATTGGAGGAACCCAAGATAGATATAACTTCAAAGGAACTCATAAAACCATCATCTCCAACTCCGCAGAATAAGAAAGAGCTTAAACTGTCATTGCTAGATCAGAAAATACCCGTGCTTTTCTTCCCCGTTATTTTCTTCTACCGGAAACTGCCTCCTTTTCCTGCGTTAGAAAATAGTACTAGTACTAATATTGTTGATCCTCCTACCAAAACGATCCTGGAACTAAAGCAGTCTTTATCAAAATGTTTAACAAAGTTTTACCCCTTGGCAGGAAAGCTTGCTCCAGATCTTCGTTCCGTCGAGTGCGATGATTCTGGAGCTCTGTTTGTGGAAGCCAAGGTTCATGCAACTCTCTCACAAGCCGTCCGAAATGCTCCCACCGGCGAAAACTTGGTACAATACTTGCCATTTGACACATTCTGCAATGCTGCTGATGATGATGAAGTGCTGTTATTAGGCACTTACCCAATAAATGAAATACTATTAGCTGTTCAATTCAGCTGGTTTGAATGTGGTAGCATTTGCATTGGGGTATGCGTGTCCCACAAAATCGCTGATATCAATTCCTTGACGGTTTTCATGAATTCATGGGCGGCTTTGAATAGGGGATCAGATACTATAACTACTAATTATGAATCATTATCTCCCAATTTTGAATTAGGGAGACATCTGTTTCCTCCAGGGGATGATTATGTTTCTCCTAGTAGTAATTTTGCTCCAACTCCGCAAGGGTTCAACCACAAGGGGAAGAAGAAGGAATTTATGTACAAGCGTTTTTCTTTCAGTAAGAAAAATTTGAAGGAATTGAAACAACAAGTGGTTCCGCGGCCAGGAATATTATTGAAGGAACAAGCCACCAAAGTGGAAGTTGTTATCGCTTTCCTGTGGAAGCATCTGATCAATGCGGCCCGAGCCAAGAATGACGAACACCGTGACATGATGGCCAGGATCTCGGTTGTAATCAACTTGAGAAGCCGTATGAGCAGTTTGGTGTCGGCCTTGTCGAAAATGGAGTTTCCTTTCGGAAATCTTGTCTTTGTCGGAACTGCTGAATTTATCAGTCCTGGTAGGAATTATGGGGATGTTTATGGGGATCTAGTTTGCCTAACAAGAGATGCAACAAGGCAAGTCAAGGAGGATTACATATTCAAGTATGCAGTTCCTTTCCTACGAAATGACTTGGGCACAAATGATAGCATAACAGATCATATTGGTCAGCAACAAGTACAACAATGGACTTTTAGCAGCTGGTGCAGATCTTCAACCTACGAGGTGGACTTCGGATGGGGCAAACCCACATTAGTTGGACCAGCTGGTAAACCAAATACGAGCGGGTCAGTTGTCTTAACTAGCAGAAGCTCTTATGAGGACGAAATCGATGCATGGATCACCATTTCCGAAGATGATTTAGCTTCCCTACCACACGAGCTTCTTTCACTAGCGCCTGCCGATTTCTTTCCAGTGAATTGATGTGTGTGTGCCTGCACGCGCGTGTTGTCAAAGCCTTAAACATAGTTTGTAATTGGAATAACAATTGTTTCTGCACTACTTATGTGTTGCTACTTGCTCTACACATGTTCTCGTTGTGCTACCTTCAAAATTTCAGATTTGGGCATTTCATGGTGAATTTGGGAATGACATTTGATTATCCTTAATTCGTACTACTAAAATAAAGTCACTACCACCCCCAACATTGCTTTTCTCCCAGTTGAGAATTGTTTTGACGAGGGGCATAAAACTTCAAGTAAAACCAACAACAGCACCGATAATATTAATATTTGCATTTGTAATTCAGTCACAATTTTATAGATTTCAATGACAGACTATAAATTGCATCACATTCCAGCCTAAATCCAGAACTACTTGGTTATGGTACCTTAATTCTGTTCGATCGTCTTCCAACAAAATCACAAAAACCCACAATCCTTCTTATCGGCCTTTCTACAAACACATAAACTACAACCAAAAGGGAATAATCCCAGTCAACAAGCATCATCCTGACCAGCGCCGCCGCCGTCACCCTCAAACCCACCGCCCATCTCAAACACCCTTTCCCACAAGCCGGTCTCCACCGGCACCACCGACAGCCGAGGCTGCTTCAGAAGACCAAAACCCTCAAGCCCAGCTTCTTTCTTCATCTCCGCCAAGTCCACGTACCTCCTCATTTCCCCGACCTCTTTCACATTCACCGCCGGGCCCTCGTCGGTATCTTCGCCGTACCACTCGCGGATCACGGCGACCACGCTGACCACGCGGCGAGCTTTGGCGCCGGAGTGATAGAAAAAACAATAGTCTCCGACCCGCATGGATTTCATGTTCTTCTGGGCTTGTTTGTTCATGACGCCGTCCCATTTGGATACGCCGCCGTTGGCCGCCTGATCCTCCCATGACCATTCCCCTGGCTCCGTTTTCAGCAGCCAGTAATTCTTTTCCTTTTCCAGCTTCTGCTTTGACATTTTTATTGCATTAGGACGCCTTCCTGAGGCATTTTCTGAGTTGGATTTGGTAATTTGCCGAGTTGACACATTGGAGCAGCAGAAATAGTATTGGTTTTAGCGGGAAAAGTACCAACTTGGCGCCACATTTTTTGCCTTTTTGGTTGCTGATTCATTTCCCTCCACCTCTTCACATCTGGGAGTTAAATCTGTACAGGTCCATTCTTATCTAGCTCGGCCCATTAGTAAGCCCAATCAAATTCAAAATTAATGGGCCCAATAGTAAGTCTATTGATTCAGAGAGTAAATGCGTAATATACCCCCCGGCCCCCCAAAAAAATAGTTACAATTCCGTTAGGTTGAACCATTGAAGGGGAAAATAAATTTTAGATTATTTTTTCTGGTGTCCCATCCCACTTAAGAAGACTGTTTCATCTCTATTAACACTGGACGGATCCCATTTGCCCATTTCATGATATATGTGCCGCCCTGGTACGGAAGTTACTAACTCATTTTTTTCAAAGTTCTCGGATTCATAACCGCTATCATCACTTTCTGAAGACACTTCACACCCTTCCTCGCTTTCACCACTTCCTGATGTATAGTCCGAATCATTCAGATCACTGTAATACATATAATCCTCATTAACCGGGTCCTTGTAGCCCGGATCACTCTGGTCTTCCATACAATCCTCATTAGTCGGATTTTCAAATAACGACCTATCTCGACCAGTCCTTGTTTCCACATTGGACCGAGAAGCACCCGTCCCCATTTGGCGTGAACCACTACCATGCGTGTTGCTTGTCGGGTTCCTTGCCCTCTCAGAGTGAGTAATATCCTCTGTATCCACATACAAACTTCCAGAAAGAAAATACAAGACTTCTAATGATGGTTCGTCCTTGATTGTAGCGTAACGCCTTGACCCATTACCGCTACTATCAAACAATAGTGACATGTTCATTTTCTCAATTCTCTATCCCACCAAACCCTTTCACAAATCCTCCCAACCAATTCATTGTAAAATAATCTACGCTCAATCACCATAGATGCATCCGCCAAGTTATTAATATTATTGATAACACCATTCTCTATAAAAAAACTTACTTGTCCAAAACACATTCAGAATGTATGGACCGTCAAACTCATTTACATTTGTTGATTAAATAAATAATCATTTGTCAAATATTATGAACAATTTTATCCGAATAAACCTAAACCCTAAACACAAGGAAACAACCCGGTAAATCCTTAACTTCTACAATTCAACAATGCATTCTAAATAAACAACACCTAATTAAACCCTAAACCTAAACAAATCAACAGTGGTTTTACACAACATCCTTATTTATCTACAATTATACATTAACCATTATAGAGACTAAAATCTCAAAAATACACAAAGTTTCACATTCATCATCTTCAACACCACGTGCATATCAATACATTCTCAAATCAACCATGAAATTTCGCATAAAACATCCCATTTCTTATACAAAATGGCAAGAAATCAAAATTTTCATAGTCTATAAACAATGGTTCTATGAAAACCATATTAATCACATAAAACATCACTCATTCTATTAAAAAATCATAACAATTATCACTAACCTCCTTTGATGATGAATCAAGACTTTACTTTTGATAATCCTTGGAGAAGATTCCCAATTTGCCGCCCAAAGAACCCAATTACACAAAGAACCTCACAAAATTTTGTTTTTATGAACAATGAAACCTGTTTTTCATCTTTTTATAATAAAAACAAACCGGATTTCAGAAATTTGATTTACATAATCAAACGGAATCAAGGAATCCGTCTTCAGAAAAGACGGATTCACCAAACACGATTTAACAGTAAAATCGGATTCTGTAAATCCAGATTGAGTTAAGTCGGATTTTGCCAATCCGTTAGAATTTATTATAATAAATATAATAAATATAAATATAAATCTTTTTTGCCAATCGGATTTTGCCAATCCGTTAGGATTTTGCCAATCTACCATAATAAATATAAATCGGATTTGGAGAATCCGATTTCTTTTAAAAAATTTTCGGCGCATAACAGTTGGATTTTCCTAGGATTCTATTTGTTTTTCATTTATTTTTTAAACATTTAATATAAATCGGATTTTTGTAATCCGATTTGTTATTTTTTAATTTTTTGTCTTTTTTAAATTACAGTAAAATAATGTTTTAATAGATAATACAAAATCGGATTTTGAGAATTCGATTTACTAATTAAATTAAGAAAATGGGTTTTGCGATCCGATATGCCTAAAAAATGTCGTGTTCCAACTACGGTCTAACGCCTAACATTTAATTTGTACTGAAATTCAAAATTCAAAATTTATTTTAAAAAAAAAAGCAAAAACAAAACAAAAAGAAAACCGGACTCATGAAGACGGATAGAATACAACCTTGATATGGGGTTGTAAAACATGTCATTCGTGGATTAGATTCTATTTAAGGGGCTCAAATTAAAAAGAAGGAGGCACGCCTAAATTAAAAGCTGGTTACAGTGTCCAAGGAAAAAAAAAAAAGATTTCATCGAAGATGGAAAGCAAGATAGAGGTTTTATCAAAGGAGTTCGTAAGACCATCATTTCCAACCCCAAATGACAAGAAAGAATTCAAACTGTCTTTGTTAGATCAGCTTGTACCCTTTCCTTTCATCCCCATCATTTTCTTCTACCAAAAACAGCCTTTTAATGATCTGAAAGATGGTGATACTAATTTTGTTGATCCTCCTTCCAAAGCGATCCTGGAGTTAAACCAGTCTTTATCGGATTGTTTAACTAAGTTTTATCCTTTAGCTGGAAAGCTAAGCTCAGATCTTGGTTGTGTCGAATGCGACGACTCTGGAGCTCTGTTTGTGGAAGCTAAGGTACAGTGTCCTCTTTCACAAGCGGTCAAGAACGCTCCCGCCGACGAGAGCTTGGTACAATTCTTGCCATTTGAGCCATAGTACGGTGGATGATAAGGTGCGGATATTAGGCACTTACCCAAGAGACGAAATACTTTTAGCCGTTCAAATCAGTTGGTTTGAATGTGGAAGCATTTGCATTGGGGTATGCATGTCCCACAAAATTGCTGATATCAACTCCTTGACGACTTTCATGAATTGTTGGGCTGATTTGAATCGAGGAGATCGAGGTGGCGGCGCCGCCTCTAGTGGTTGTGCTTATAAGTCATTATCACCCAATTTTGATCTGGGGAGCCATCTTTTTCCTGCAGGGGATTTTCCTATTCCTACCGGTAGTAAAGTTGTGATTCCGGTCTTCAACAAGGGGGAGAAAATCGTGCACAAACGGTTTTCGTTTGATAGGGAAAAGTTGAACACATTGAAACAACAAATGGTAACGAAATTGATCAAAGAACCTACCAAGGTGGAAGTAGTTACCGCTTTTATATGGATGCAATTGATCAATGTGGCCCGAGTCAGAAATCATCATCGTCGTCGTCGTCCTGATGGCGATGGCGTTGATACACCACCAACAACATTACTGATCAACAAGCTCTGGCACGCGGTAAACTTGAGAAGCAAAGTGAGCAGCTTGGCCTCGGCCTTATCAGAAGGCGAGTTCCCATTTGGGAATCTTGCTTTTGTGGCAACTGCTTCATTCACTTGTGATGATGATCATAATAATGGGGAAGAGAGAGATCTAGTTTGTCTCGTTAGAGATGCTATAAAGCAAGTCAACGAGGACTATGTATTCAAGTGTTTGGTTGATGCTTGTTCTGAAAACCAGTCTTTGGATGGTCATCAGCAGGAGCAAACAACTGAATGGACTTTTAGCAGCTGGTGCAGATCTTCAACATACCAAGTGGACTTTGGTTGGGGAAAACCCACTCTAGTTGCTCCAGCTGGTAAACCAAATACTAGCGGAGCAGTTGTCTTAACTAGCAGAAGCTCCGATGAGGACGAGATCGATGCATGGCTCACCATTTCGGAAGCCGATTTAGCGTTGCTCTCAGACGAGCTTCTATCGCTGGCACCCACTCATTTCTTTCAATCGAATTGATCATCTAAAACAACGTGAGTTATGGATAACTTACCCAACATCGCCAAATTAGTGTGTGTGTGTGTGTGTGTGTGTGTGTGTGTGTTAAATCTGGCAACAAAGAAGAAAAAAAAATCTTGGTTTGTGATTGGGTTGAAACTCATTTGTGATGGGTTAGCAGCATGCTTTGACGACATATGATATATGATATGCTCATCATCATTTAGTCTAAAATTATGCGTGAGCCTCTCTTTTCCTCCCAATTATTCTGTTGAGGAGCATAAAACTTCAAAAGAGAAAATAAAATAGCACCAACAATGTTGCATAATTCATTTCATTAACTAAGTATGGGTTGCATCACATTCAAGCCTCGATTCCGCAGCTATAATCATGTGTGGTACGCTAATTAGACCCAGGTTATCCCACCGTCTGCAGACTTCCCAAAAATAATGTTCCGGCCAGGCTATTCCCCGAAACCACAAAATCACAAAAACCCACAATTCTTCTTATCGGCATTTCTACAAAAACTTAAACTACAACATAAAAGGAATAATCCAACACTTAAGCAGCATCATCCTGACCAGCGCCACCGTCACCCTCGAACCCACCGCCCATCTCACACACCCTTTCCCAAACGCCGTTCTCCACCGGCACCACCGACAGCCGAGGCTGCTTCAGAAGACCAAAACCCTCAAGCCCAGCTTCTTTCTTCATCTCCGCCAAGTCCACGTGCCTCCTCATTTCCCCGACCTCTTTCACATCCACCGCCGGGCCCTCGTCGGTATCTTCGCCGTACCACTCACGGATCACGGCGACTACGCCGACCACGCGCCGTGCTTTGGCGCCGGAGTGATAGAAAAAGCAATAGTCTCCGGCCCTCATGGATTTCATGTTCTTCTGGGCTTGTTTGTTCTTGACGCCGTCCCATTTGGATACGCCGCCGTTGGCCGCCTGATCCTCCCATGACCATTCCCCTGGCTCTGTTTTCAGCAGCCAGTAATTCTTTTCCTTTTCCAGCTTCTGCTTTGACATTTTTGTTGCACTGGGACGCCTTCCCTGAGGCATTTTCAGAGTTGGATTTGGTAATTTGCCGAGTTGACACATAAAAGCAGCAGAAATAGTATTCGTTTTAGCGGGAAAAGTACCAACTTGGCGCCACATTTTTTGGTTGCTGATTCATTTCCCTCCCCTCTTCACATCTGGTAGTTAAATCTGTACAGGTCCATTCTTATCTAGCTCGGCCCATTATTACGCCCAATCAAATTCAAAATTAATGGGCCCAATAGTAAGTCCATTGATTCGGAGAGTGAATGCGTAATATACCCAAAAAAAAATAGTTACAATTCCGTTAGGTTGAACCATTGAAGGGGAAAATAAATTTTAGATTATTTTTTTGGCACAATTTTTAAAAAAATATTTTTTAAGGAAGAGATGTGGTTGTTGAAAATTGAAATTTCGGAGAATTTTGATCAACAAGAGATGAAAAAGATGTCAGTTTATGAATTGTGGTTGAAAGAAAATTTGTTTCAAACAAATGAGGGAGCAAAAGGTTGTATTATATTATATGTTCATGATTAATTAATGTCACCTCTAAAAAGTCTCTTTCTTTCTCACAACAACTAAGATGAAAAGAATAAGGAGTTTGATCCAGGCTGAGTGTACAGTTTGTGTAGTTTATACTGTGTTCTGTTTTGTATATATATATGTACTGTTTTGCCTTAGTTCTTGTATAGGAGTGTAGTTAAGATATAGGGTACAGAAGTCTTTTTGTAGGTCTTTGTATATATAGCTTGTACAGCACAAATACAGGATATACTTTCATTATTATTCGAGCAAAATATACAGAAGAAAATTTTTCCCAATTTTTTCTCTCAACCTTTCTTCTTCCGTGACTACAAACCCTAGATGACAGATCCATCAATTCTTCTAGATAAGACTCTTATTTTTTTCTTTTTTTTTTCTTTTTTTTTTTTTGAGACGTTAGAACTTAGAATTATTGATTTAGCCAATAAATCTAACTTAAAAATTGAAAGCACCGAAAGTGAAATGATGATTTCTCGAAACTTTGGAGAATGCATTATTTTCTCCCCAAAACAAAATGATGATAACGTGGAGTTGGCAACTTCCAACTTTCAGGCAGCCGCCGGTCAAAACCATATCTAGAATCAATATTTGACATTTAGTGCAAAGTCAAGGATGACAATTGACAATGTCTTTGGCTTTACTTTTTTTATTTATAATGACGTACGGTAGAGGACCGTAGTTTCATGAACGTCAAAGAAGAAGAAGAAGAAGAAGAAACAACTCCACTTTAACTTCTTGTCCTCAGATATCTATTCCAGAACAAAGAAGAATTGCCCAGATCCCGCTGACAATTATGCCAATAGTAAATGGTAAAGGACACCAAATAATGAGATCGATCGTTCTACTTTGAAAATTCTGCGTGCACGTTCGTCATATTTTTGTAATTAGCGTTCGTAATTAATATTCCTTCCGATCCTTAATCTCAAATATTTTAATTTGTCTTAAGATGTACCTAGTTTACATATTTAAGTGACAGAAAAACCATAAAAATATTTCATAGCAATACGGATGTGAAAATATATATATATTAGATAAAATTTAGGAAAACTCAAAATATATTATACTAAGGAGTACTATTTTTTTATTATTTTAAGTGCAAAAACTTTTGCCAGACTCCAACATAACACATTGATACTCCCTCATAACACATTGATACTCCCTCCCGTTCTCATTGTAAGTCACAAGTTTAAACTAATTTTAGTGTTTATTTATTTTTATTTTTTTGGTACAAAATGAGGGGAATAGCCTAGGTTTCAAGCTATGACATTGCATGGGTATGACACCCCTATTACATCGTGCATAAGCCAAATTTTTACAACAGTAGGAAGTGCTGTTAATTTTATATAACCCCACGAAATATGAGGCATTCCCGCCAAGGAGTCAGCTGCAAAATTAGCTTCCCTCCGTACATACCTCAACTTGATCTCCCAAAATTATTGTTTATTTATTTTGCATAATTAGGCCCAAAAGAAATAACATTTTTGGTTTAGTTGTTAGCGAGGCCAGAAAACTAATGTAGGAAGTTCAAAATGTAGGGAAAAAATAATAATACATGATTATAATTTACAATATGTAACAAATCAATGTAGGAGATGAGAAAAATTATATAATACATAATTTTTTATTAAAAATATTAAAATACCTCTACTAATTATAAAAAATTGACCAGATACAATTGCACCTCTCCTGTCTCCCTAGCTCCACCGTTGTGTTACTATAGTCATATACACAGAATTGCCGCAATTATTCAGTGCATATATTCGTTATCTAGCTTTCTGAGAACTCTAGTGAATCCATAAAGATTCTTGAGATTTCTTTTGGTCACTTCATCCGAAAATAACTACTTCCTATTTGAATAACAATCTAGTGCTTAAGATGTTGTGTTTTTTGGTACTGGATTCGGATTTAATTCCTACCAAGAATTTGTAAGGGAAATTTTACTCACATTTAAGTGGAGTCCATTAAGGTGGATTTTATTTTATTTTATTTTTTAAAAAACTACTTCCTACTTGAATGTATATTATGGTAGTATATATTTTTCATCGTAGTGCAATACTTGTACTGAATAATTGTTCTCGAATTGGACATATGCGCACCCTCCTGATTTAACTTAATTACTTAAGTTAGAAAGAACTCAGGTCCACACTGCTCATTTAATGGTAACTCGAACTCAGCGTCGGTTTTTTTAGCACCACGGTACACACACACATACAAACTTGAACTTTTGACGTATAATTGAGAACCTAATATATGGTTGTTGGCTTCTTTCTTTTTTCCCCCTTAAAAAAGAGAAGTAATTGTATAGCCATCGAGATAGAATTGGGAGAGGAAGGTGAAGAAGCTTTGAATGATTTGCTTCCCAACCAAAATGCATGGCAACTGTTAACCAGAAATGGGAGATGGGAACAGCTAGTCTCTCTCTAGCTAGGCTCGTGTTATGTATGGTGGTGCTAAGCATAGCATGGGACGCGAGACACAATCACGACAAAGCAAATTGAGTGTATTAATTATACTTTCTCTGTCTCAAAATTATTGTTCTGTTTGATATCTTACTTTTAGTACAATTTGAACTATAAATGAAAACCCAAACTGGACAATAATTATAGGACGGAAGGAGTATTATTTTTGTCCAAAAAATAATTTAATATTAAGTTTTCGGATTTTTACGATTTTCTTTTACAAATTTTAAAATTCAATACGAACTTTTATTTTTTTTAAACAGGGGAATGTTTATATGTATGGTTGGGACAAAATCGGAACTGGCTTGGGGGGGAGGAGGATGGCCATCATTTCCTTTCTAGGTGGAAGAATGAAGATGATCAGTCAGAGATATGGGCTCTGAAAGTTCAGATTTTGAGGCTCGTGCGTGAATCTCACAATAATACAATATTATAAACCCCGCTGTGTCTTACATTGATTAACTGTTAATCAATCTCAAATCATTAATTCCCTCCCCTAGCTGGTTGAGACTTGCGAGGACAATATGATTAATTCTGATAGGCATAGTTAACGTTTGGTGTACTAAGAGATTTAAAGTGAAACGGTAAGATTAGGAAATTGTAGTCACCAGTTCGTGGTTCAAAATCATTATTATAAGCAACTAATTCTAAAGGTTAAAAAAAGGTCCGCGTGAACTTCTCTTTTAAGCCTACAACTTAATAATTGCATCAAAGAAGTAGTGGGTAAAAGTATGGTTAAAATCAAGTAATAACACGCGGCTGATAGAGCTTGAGCAATACAATATGCAAATTAACAAGAAACCGTTGCTTTGAAATATGGTTGTTCCACCCCAACTAGCTATAGGCTATGAACTTTCTTTAGGATCATAAACCAAACGCATGCATTAGAATGCTATGTAGTTGGGATATCAAACGTAATTAACTGTACCCCAAAAAAAAAAAAAACAACTCATGCAAATGAGAATTATGATTGTTTGAGATGGTGGAGAAAGATAATGCACACAGCATGCAAAAAAAAAAAAAAAGAAAGAAAAAAAGTAGATATAATAGCCACCGAGGCTGTATATTAATAATAGGTATATAATATGATGGTACATTACATCATTAATCCTTCATCCTTATAAATATTTAAAGGATTGAATTAATGGAAAAAAACAGAGATGAGAAATTAAAGATTAGGGTTGCGTCTTCTGGGTGTAAATATAATCAATATGAGCCTCCAGAGTTCTCCTCATCATGCATTCATCTTCCCCAAGTCCTTCACAAACACTCTCCTCTGTGTCCACCTTCTCAACATGCTCGTTATTAGTATTCTGCATCAGACGACGAGAAAAATCAGTTCAACAAACATGACAATTATTCTGAAACAAAATATACATTAGCTAAATTGAGAAAAATGGAAATTATATAAGACAATGAGGGGGTGAATTAAAAAACAAAAATGATGCACAAATTTTTAACATACCACGGGACGACCAGGTTGAGTTTCCATGGGAGTAATGTCGTAAAATTGAGGCGACGGCCGGGCAACAACAGAGGATGAGATAGTAAGGAAAAGAAGGAGGGATATGATGCAAAGGATGCTGAGCTTAGACATGTTTTCAATCTCTTTTGTTTTTTGATAGTTTCTAAATTTTCGGGGTTTTTTTTTTTTTTTGATTTTGGTGTGATATATATCTGAATTCCCTGCAGTTTCTTCTTCTTCTTGATAAAGTCACTAGGTAGAACTAAAAAAAAATGGAAGAAAGGGAATAAATTAGGGTCATGGGGGAGGGAGCCAAGGAGGAGAGGACAGTTGAGGAATTGTATTTATAGAGATCTGAAAACGGAGAAATTGTGAAGAAACCCCTCAAGAGATTTATGTCATGAATGCTGAAAGCAACACGGGTGGCCTCTGAATGTGGATGACGAATTCTATAAACACGGTTGGCCTCTTCTTCTTCTATATTTATGGTTGAATTATGAACTGTTTTATTTTTCTTCCGTTTTTTTTTTTTTTTTTCCTTTTGATTAATTAATGACTGGATTATTTGATAGCTTCTACACAGATGTGTGCATATCATTAAATGACTTCTGGAAAGGGTTGATTAAAAATATATATAAGGGAGAGAGGTGTAGTCAAAACATATAGATCAGCAAGAAATGTAATTAGTAGGTATTATAAGTTCTAGAAGGTTTATGAACCTTTTTGGTCCTAAAATAAGAGATTAGTAAATTAAGTTGCCAAATATTTGACTGCTGTGAAAGTTGGTTTCCTATATGATGTCAAATTGGATCGGTAATTCCACGTGTTTCGAGTAAAACAAGTGTCTTTTCTGAATGATGGGGGTATAAAGACAAATGGTAAAAAACAGATGAGATTTCTAAACAATTAAAAAGTGAGTATTTCTTTTTCTTCTTTAGTATTTTTTTTTTTATTTAATTTGGATGGTCTTCGAATCATGATGGTCGGAAGACCTTTCTGGTTTACCTGTACTTCTTTATTTGGTTTACCCTGCGTTTCTTTGGTCCTTTTTTTTTTTTTTTAATTTCTTTCTTTTGGTTTACTTTCTTCACACTAAAATTAATGTACATGTCATCAAAAGGTTATTTTGCGTGCATGCATGTAAGATGAATGATGATGACGGTGCACCAGAAGACATTATATTAAGAGGCTTTTCTTTTATTCTTGAAGATTTGTTGTTCACTGATTAAGGATAACCTTCATCTGCAGGTAAAGGAAAAGGAATAATGACCATACATCAAAATGATAGAAATCCTATAATGTCGTAGCGGAATGATCCAATCAGTTATGTAATCTAGCTGTATTAAGTTAAGATTTTTACTACAGTAAAACCTCTCTAAATTAATACACTCGGGCTTCCAAAAATTTATTAATTTATAGAGTTATTAATTTATCGATAAATTAATATTTTATTAATTTAAGGAGTTTTTCAATCCTATTAGTAAAAAAAAATACAAAAAAATTTATTATTTTTATGTCAAGAAAAATCCGTTGTAGCCCTAACCACAACATTATAATTTTTTTAATGGAACAAAAACATGATATTTTCAAACATAAACAAAAATATTGAAGTTAAAATTTATGTTAATCTTCAAATCTAAGTTGTATTTGTAAGTATTTATTAATTTATGGGATTGTGGGGACTTATATTTACATAGACGATTCTTGAAAAAATATTATCTCATAAATTAATCGAATTTTTTCATTTTTTGTACTGGTCTCGAGTTGGAATCACGAAAAAATATTATTAGTAGAAGTTATTAATTAATAGAGGATTAATTTAGGTAGGTTTTACTGTAATATGAAAATTATTAAAACCTTTGAATTCTTAACTGAATCATTCAAGTAGCAAATTTTTATTTTAAATTTTTCTTTTTACCTCAAAATGATACATACAGCCTTGGCTGGATTAATAACGGACCAAATGCGTGATAGTGTGAAAAGAAAAATGCTTAAAAATATCTGATTGTTGTGTACGATTTTGTCATTGATGGTCATTCTGATAATAATTAAAGAACTAGAGAAACCTAATTAGTAACTGTTTAATGTCACTTTAGTACGTCCAAGACGAACACGTAAATATATGTTGACGCACTCCATCTTTTGTCTCAAAATAAATATCGTATTTGTTGAACTATAAAATAGTACGTTAAAAGAGTATCTCTAATTGAACATATTGGGCTATTGGCTAAAAGCTGCATAATAATTCACTACACAGCTTGCGAATTTAATTCCAGCGTGCTCCTTAGAGACACATGGGTCATAACCCATCATCCCCATGTAGGATCATAGCAAAATCATGTGGTTTGTAGTGAATTTTATTGAAGGGATCCGTAGGTATCAAAGTGACATCTTCAAGCAAATGAAAGGCATAGATAAGTTGACGATGGTTTAGTCATTGCTTATCACCAATGTGATAAAGATGGTAGGGTAGGTTTGACAATGTATAGTTAGAATCTTCATTAAAATGAGGATTTGGGCGTTTTAAAAAGGGTGATAGAAACTTGCATGGTCTGAGTTTCTTGCCATAACTTTAAGCTACGGCAAAGAAAAAGATCTCTCTGTTCACAGTTCAACATCAGAATAACAACCTTACTTATCACTAAACCTTCTAAACTGCCATTTCGCACACACAAATAGTAGTTGAAGGAAAGTGAATGAATGCCATGCAGTCTGTTCATATTTCATAAATACGATGGTAACCTCCCAGGATTTCGTTGAAGAAATCAACAATGACATGCTGCCGCCATTTTGTTTAGGGCTGCTTGTTTTTTCTTTTTCTTTTTTTTTTTTGTGGATACCTAAGTTAAACAAAGGCATTCAAGACCTGTACTCGGGAACATCCCAAGCTTGCCGGGTCTCTTACCCAGGTCGAAGGTTGTTTCTGTTAGCCACTCATCAAAGATCATAACATTGCCCGCATATACATTCTATAGTACTCTCCAAGTTTATTTGATGACTTCCTCACTGAACAATGACACTTTTCTATGCCACCGGACAATTAATTACGGAACATATGTTTACTTTTGTAGCTTACACCAACATTAAACCGAAATGGTGATTCCTAATAGTGACAACCTGAGATAAAAATTTCTACCACTAGACTCATAAAAAACACAACAAGAGTACACTACCCAATTGCCGCCTTTAACAAAGAACACTCCACCAAAAAGAACAGGAAAAAAGAAAATCAAAAAGAGGATGCACTTGGATATTCCCGAATGCATTGAACAACTTTGACCTAATAGATAAGTAATTATCTTAAATTCCCAATAAACTGGTTCTACAACTACGGAAATTCAAAGCAAAATTGTTAACATTATTCACAAGAAAGGAAAATCAATAAAGAATCATACTATAAGATACTTTTACCTATCATGCTCAAAACTCCAGTAAGAATTAGTTACGTATCTATCTATCCCATGTCTGTTGAACTGCCTAGCAGGAGCTACCTCAGAAAATATACTAACTTAGAAAGCAAGTAACATCATACCCACTTCTTCTTCTGCTCCTCACTATGCCTGTGAGACTTCCTTGACCAATCTCTATCATTTTCATCAACAATTGTATCCTCCATAGAATTTAAGTGCCTCTTCCGATGTTTTTTATCCTTGTCTCTTCCTGACCTTCTGCTACCTTCAATATTGTGAGAATCAGCCCTATCACTATCTGTTTCGTCACTCCTCGACCTCTCTTTTCTTTTCCAGCTTTCAGCTCCTTGCTCTCTGTCTCTTCGATGCTTCTCTTTCTCCTCCCCGTGCTTTCTTTCTTTATCCCTTTTCTCCTGCAAATAGAGCACCTCTGATCACCAACTTACATCCATTTCATAAAAAAATATAAGCTTGAGAAACAGAAAAAGAAGACAACACTTTGTAACAACATAGAGTGGACTAAGTCAAGCATCATCAACCAAGCTAATCAATTCTCCTACCATCTTCAACCAGAAGAATAGGGTCCAACATGAACAATAAAACTAAGAAGAAACAAGTCGTAAATTGACAACTCATAAGTCTTCCAAAGTTATTATTGCAACATAATTTTCTTTTTTCATTGACAACTCCATTCCACTCACAAACAGACTAAATTTCAAAACCATGTACATAGATTAGTACCCCCAAATAAATAAATAAATAGATAAACACAGGAACCTCAATAGTAACTGAAATCGATTTCTCGTCTACAAATCTTAAGACTTAAAACATAGAAATTGGCAATCTTTCTCACTTGTAATTTATGTGAATATAAAGACTCGGACAACGAGGAAGATGGCAAAAATCATGAATCAAGCAAATTGATTTGCAACATCAAAAACCAGTTCAAATACCTTTTCTTCCCTACGCTTCCGTTCCTTCTCTTTTACCTTTTCTTTCTGTTCCATGACGAATTTCTCAAAAATTTCTTGAAGAAAACTCTCCTCTGCACAGAACCTGAACAAAAGTAAAATCAGCTCTGTCAATAGACACCAAAGAGAAATCTCACCAAACCAATTAAAAAAAAAAAAAACAGTAGAAACTTTGAGGACTCAATGAAGCATGAAACCTAGAATTAGCCAAAGCAAGTGATTAACATTGAAGAGGGTAGAACATTCATATTTCTAGAATAAATGAACCGTATTACTTTATATACCAAACAGGTAGGTTTTTTTTTTTTTCTCCTTTTTTCCAAACAGGTAGTTTAGTATAAAGCTAGCATTCTTACAAAGTATCCAAGTAACAGCCTTGACATACTCAAAAGGCCTGAAATAAAAAGATTACAGAACAATCAACTACCTTTAACTCAAACCATTGGAGCCAGTAAAGCTCACCCACACAAATTGACAATTTCAACAACCGCCAGCCAACACATTGTTACTGGGTTACAGATTGCCGTATAACAAATAACGACATCTAATAGACTTCACTTCCCTGAGCAATCCTCTAACCAGTGAGTTTCCGCAACCATAATGGTTGATACCCAAGTATTTATCAAATTAACATCCTCCGTGTACTTAAATTTTTGAAATTTTCCCATATATCCCACCAAATCCATAGTCCATAGAAACTCCAATATTTGTTAAGCTTGTCCGGATAAGTCTAAAGATACACCTTTTTAGATTTGATCTCTCTCCTTTTCTAAATAAGGTAGTCCATGCTAGCAAATGAAGGGTGCTCACAGACGACAACAGGATCAATCCAGAACCTATTTGCTCTATCAAACCCTTTCAGCTCAGGACAGATTCCCTTTCAAATACTATAACTGATGGTGTCTGTTTCAAAGTCACTGAGCGTGATGACTTTCATCAACCTATCAAATTACCAAGAAAACGAGATTCGTATAATAGGGTTCTCTATAACAGAGAGTTACGCAAGTGTGATCTTTGAGCAGCTCTACAGCCAAATGGGGAGAAAACTCGACAGGATATGATTCCTCCAATTACTAAATTTTGCAACATTCAAATGTTGCAGATGTTTATAGATGTATAATAAGTGAAATGAAAATATTGATCAGCCAAAGGTGATTCTTGCCTTTCTTCAACATATTGTTTGCATTCCTCCCACCTTGAAGAAGCAGTAATTTCCTATCATTCATAAAACAGTGATAGATTAACACTGGCTCAATGCCTAAAAAAATTACAATCACTCAATAATGTTGGCAGCACAACCCACTCTATTACCTTTGAATTAAGACAAAATTGATAAATTTCGTCAGTAAGGCGTTTCCGCCTCTTAGCTTCTTTTTCTTCCTTCTCCTTTGCTCTCTCTAGTAGTTCCTCAAAAACAATCTGTAACACATCATGCATGATTAGGTACTTAGAGCAAAAAACACACACTGTTAAAAAAGAATATGTCAAATAACTTGCAGAAACCTAAAAGTAAACAAAACAACACGAACTCCATAATGTAATAAGACAAGCAGCAAAAATTGTAAAGATATGCAGAGGAGAATAACCACAATCAGAAGATTGGTAAAAGCTCTAGGGCAACTATTATAATCAATCTTTTCCTCAAAACACTTTCCTTGAATTCTAGTCAGCTCTTAGAAAATAAAGAATCTTCTCATCATTTACCAGAGAGAAATTGACACCCGTGTCTTGCTTTGAAAGTATACATGATCCACTGTGTTGATATAGTAATAACTATATAAAAGATGCACCCAGAATAAAAAAAAATAAAAAAAAAGCAACAACAAGAACAAGAAGTGGAACAAGAAGAAGAAAGAAAATAGAACAAAAAGTAGGCAGGAGATGCATCCAGTTCTCAACTAGCTCCCAGACCGTTAAAGATAAAACCACTACCCAAAACTTCACTCAAGGATAGGGCCAACAAATTAAACTGTAAAAGTAGCAGAAGACCAAAACGAAAGGCAAGGATAATAGCTTAATTAGACAAACTTGAACATACATAGAATATCAAATGTCAGAAATGGCAGAGGAAAGCATAATAATGAAGGTGATACATTCGCACATTGCAAAGAGAAAACACTTACTTTTAAGTTAACATCAGACACTGATGAACTAAGATCCTTCATAATAGCAGCCCTGAAGTCGTCAATAGTCGAACCTGATGTCAGAGTGATCTACAACCAACAAAGAGAGCGATGGTAAACCATCAAGATTTAAAGATAATGAAAAAGCACGTTGGCAATAGATACCTCTCCAATCTCGACGGCATCTCTTATGAGGGCTTTGTCATCCTGATACTGCAGTTCATATTTATTTTCCAGTTAGGAATAATCATATTTTACAATTAGGGGGAAAAAGGCAGCTCCAAATGCAGGCACAGTATATATGAAGAACAAACTAACATTTAAATCAATTTATGCCATGATCTTGAAAATATTCAGAGGCTGTCTCATTAAACGTCGCCCATTTGTCATCCGAAAACTTCCATATGCAACAGACATACTAAAGGAGTATATATTCTTTAGGATATCATGATACCCCATTGATCTCGCTATCAATAAACGATGCCTGCTCTAGAGGAGTTCAAGCATTCAACTACTAACCCATCTCCAAACTAGATAAGACAGATGATGACAACAAAGTCAGCCCTCCTCCTCCCTCCCCTCTTGCCCCTTTTTTTCCCATAGGGTAACAATTAGTATTGTGCATTGCAAAGTGCACAAAACATTTTCCAAGCGGATGCAGACATCCTAATCTTTTCATTTTGCATATTTCTACGAAATCGTGCAGGAAAACCAAATGTTCAACTCTTACATTTAACAATTTCAAGTTGGATGTTCCAGGTAACTGAACTTGAGAACCAGAACTCAAGAAGGCCAAGGATATTTTTAAGCTAAATCAGAAATTCACAAAAAGTCATAGAAAGTAAAGCAAATACACAAAAATTCCAATACAGGAATTCATCCTGCTTTAACAAAAAGGAGAACACAAATAATATTTCACCTTTCTCTGGAGCTCCTCAGCAACAACGTCAAAAAGATCTTTGGCAGTTGATCCAGAGGAGTTTGATGAAACAGCAATATATGCAGGCGCATCTTTAACCTAAAACAAGTCCAAGAATTTAGATAGACAAAAAAGACCAGAGTATGGCATTCACCATTGCTATCCATTTCTTACACAAAAAGAAAAAACAAGTTCTGTGCATCAGTTTTGCTTTTAAGGAAATTGAGCGGATCCCATAACCAGGAGTAGGAAAGATAGCATAGAAAAAAAATCCAGGACTAGATATGACGATCAAATGGCAATTTCAAGTATAAGATATCATAGACGCTCTTTACTGCCAAAGGAAAGAAAAGCACAAAGTTCTGATCATCAAGATCAAAAAGAAGAAGAATCTCATCTTAAACAAAATCATCCCTTTCAAAAGATCAATGAATATGCAAGGGAGAAAGCAAATAAATGGATCTTCAGTTGTTAGATGGCAATGTAAATAGTAACCTTCAAGCAATAATCACGCCAGAGAGTCCTAGCTGTAAGCATGCCTGACGCAACATGCTCTTCCATCAGCTTACGAAACTCGTCACGATTTTTACGCTCTGCTTTTCTTTGTTCTTCCTAGTTTAAATAAGAAAATGAGGAGGGTTTCGCCAGGTACCATTTAAGAAATAATACACAAGAATAAAGCCAATAAAATGGTACCATCTGCAACTTCCTTTGCTCTTCCTCTTCCTTCTCTAGGTCGCGGAGATATTCCTAACATAGCAACCTCTGTTATCAGCTTCCACATTAAATTTGAAAAATCTAGCATCATTGAGTAAATTTCACGAGACATTGCGAGAACCTCAATTCTTTATGAAACAAATGACTACAGAAAATTTAGAACTTGCATCAGTCCTTGCAACCACAACAACGTTCTATCTTGATTTTACATTTCCCTCAACCTAACAACTAAATACGTGAACTGAAACAATATTCAAGACATGTCTCACAATTGCAAAAGGAAAGGAACCAACAATTTTTTTAAAGAAAAAATTTATTTTTTTTGAAAAAAAGGACACTGAGGAAAAGATGAAACCAGAGGCTTCAACATGACCACCCAAAGATAAAAATCTATGTCAGAGATTTCTGCAAGCAATTCCAAATTACAGACTAGAAAGAGACACCACCTGAAATAGTTCCAAGCGGTCAATTTTTTCCAGGCGCGAGCACCTTTCATCAGCTTCTAAGCGGTCTTGCACTTTCCTCCACTGGCTACTTGCCTGCAAGAAAGAATTAAAACAGGATTTGCAATGAATTTCGAGCAATTACACAGAGACAATGAAAAATCTTCAAAACAGATTACTGTTATAAATTCACAGTAGATTACCGTTATGAAGTCACAGGTTTTCAAGAACTCTAGATATTCTGCTTTGTTACGCTTGTGCTCTTCCATAGCCTTTGAACGCTCCTAATAAATGATTGCACCAAAGAGGCAATAAGAAAATTGAAATTCAAAGGAAAAGGTTCAAGGACCCTGAGTAATATACAATAACAAAGCTTTAAGTACCAGTTCCATACAACAACAGAGCTTTGTTATAAACTGATTTTCCCAACATATTATAAAGCTTCGGACTTTTCTTTCATGGGAAGAAACAGAGAAGGGGGAAGGGGTGAGAAATTCAGAAAAGAAAAAATAAATACAAGAAGTTACATTTACGCAACCCTAATTGAAATCTTAATACCAAGCAATCAGTGAAGGACACAAGAACAATGGGATCAAATAACAGGACAACTGCACTTATAAACCCTATGCGAACCACCTTAAGAAAATAGAAATGAACAGAATGTTCCACAATTATCTTGATTAAGTTTCTTTATCTTTTAGCAAGAAACAAAACAATAGACTTCGATGTATACCTTCTTCTGAAGTTCCTCCATATAATCCTCAAAAATATCTTCACGATCCTTAGCTCGGTCAATGGCTTTAAATCGCTCATCATCTTCAAACATAGATTGTGCTTTGCTGGAGAGCGAAAAAATCAAGTCAGCTAATAACCCCAAAACAGTATCCTCACTCAAATTCAAGACCTTACTAAACTTCAAATATGGCATTCAAAAAATACGACTGTCAATGAGTAAAAGCACATAGAAAAGAAGACCTCCATCTTGTAGATAATGTAAGCTCTTTAGATTCCTGTTGAATGTAAAACAAACAAATATAAAATCATATATCAGAGCCAATAAAAACAAGAATTTTCTTGTGCATCACAGAAATCGCAGCGGTAAGGAAACCTCAAAGAAATTGAAAATAATCACTTACTTCTAACATTTTCTTGAAATCTTCCCGTGCCTTTTTTTGTCTCGCACGTCTTTCTTCAACTTCCTGTTTTTTCTTGTGGCTCAAAAACTACAAAGAATGACAGCACTCATTCAGTATTCATCAACAATTATTTTAAAAAAATAATAATATAATAGAAAGAAGAAAATTTTCTTAAAAACAACAAGTCATCACTGTATAAATCAGATTACAAGGACCACCTTATACAAAGCATTGTGGAAGACAAACCTCATTAAATACTTGTTTCCGTTCACCAAGGGATTTCAAAGCTCCATATCTTCTATCATTAATTATAGCTCTCATGGCCTGAAAAAATGCTTATGTAAAACAAAATTTTACGCATGAAACAGTTCATAGTTATAATTTGACAAGGTTTGAACCTGATCCCATGTCCAGTCTGATCCAACATTTGCTGTTTCCAGAAGTGCTTTAAAGGCGTTCTTAGCCTCCTGAAAGAAGAAAAGAAATAGAAAATAAGATTGTACATTGTACTAATCATCACAACAAAGAAAAGAACAAGCAAATTACAAGACGATACCAGCTTGTTCTCATAAACAACTTGTCCCTGATCAAAGGCTTTCTCTTCAGATGTTCCATATTCCTTGATGTTTTTGGCTTCCTAATCCACAAACCGTATTAGTTCACAACAAGAGAAAATAAGTTAGCAATTCTACAAACCGTATTTTCACAACAAGAGAAAATAAGTTAGCATTTGAAATTTCCAGCAATGTTTAACACAATGTGACTTATGAACATAAATAGACTTACCTCACTATCTACTGGAGAAACTCCAGCAACCGAAGCTATGGCATCTGGGGTTGACACAACAGCCGAACTATTTCTGAGGAAAAAGGTGAAAGAAATTAAGTGTTTAACGAACAATTAAACAATTTAAGTATTATCAAAGCAGGATACAGATGCTTTACATTGGTTTTGCATCAGTAGATTCCAACCCACCCGACAAGGGATCCTTGTCTGGAACAACAACAGGAGTGGATGATTCTAAAGAACTCTGTGTTTCGACCCCACCAACTATCATTGGAGAAACCTCTGTGGGTGAGGTTGAAGACACAGGAGTTGTCACGGATGGTTCAGTTACAACAAGTGCTGCAGTAGTTGAGCTTGATACTGCCTGTTGAGTTTGAGAATTGGGAGCTTCTGTCTTGGAAGGCGAAGAACTCACTCCAGAAGTAGATACAGTAGTGGAGGCATGAGAAATAACTCCCTTTGTCTCCTGTGTTGATGAATCCAAATTTGCTTTTTCACGAGCCAACTGTAAGTACAAAAAACTAAAATCAGAACCAATATCCAACCCATAATTTTCCTTTAATCCCCCTCCCCTGTAAGTTCAAAAGATGAAAAAAAATGAGATTCACAAAGGCTTCTGTCAGTCAAGAGAACCTTGACTTCATCTGGAATCCTCCATTTTGATTGTTTGGTGACTTTATTGTGGAAATATCTGCATTTCACAATTATAATGCCAGAAATCAATATCACAAGTGTGCAGCAAACTATTCATACTCTTTTAAAAAAAAAAACAGAGAAAAAAGGAGGCTAAGATGATATCATTGTTATATTACTTACTTCCTACCATCAGGACTAGTATATTCTCGCCAGTCAGTGGATGCGTCAGCCCTCTACATGGATAAAAGAAGCCAAGTCAAGTTAAGCATTGGAAAGCCAAACAACATTGATTGGTTGACAGCAAGAGAAGCCAATATAACATGTTGAATATCAAGCATCACTGACAATGATACAGGACAGCGGCATAGAATTTATAGAAGCCAAGAATCATAAGGCCACATAGATTTTATTGATGAAAGCATCATGAGGCAAATCAAGCTAAATACCAACACAAGTCATCAAACATGATTGGCGCATAACCTTAAATCTGAAACTGAATTAATTGCTTACCTCAATTGGGGTCATTAACTCTATAGGCTTCTCCCATGTAGAAAGCCTAGTCAACCTATTGTAATAATACCTGCAAAACCACATGCCGGAGAAATAAGAAAACACGCCAACGAGAAATTGGGTAAAAGAAGACACCAAATCAGCTCCTCATCTCAGATACAAAGCTACATGAAAAAGGGAACGTAATAGAAAATAAACTCATATCCAAGAACCATCTTGTGAGGCGAGATTGTAAATTCTCAGCTTAATTTCAATCCTAAACCTCAGGAGGACATTTGCAAACAACTCAGTTTTAACCATATGCGCACAGATAGCAAATATCAAATGAGATTCGCATTGATTTCAGTTTAGAATTTATTTTTCAGCAGCACTACCTTACAGAGGTTCTTCAACCCTCTATGGGTTTTTTGTTATAAGAACAAAAATCATTCCCATGGTAGAATATCAAACTTTAAAACAACAGCACTGAGATTTGACACGATGATTCTGCAGAAGTTCTTAACCGTACATTTCCAAGAATTACAGTATACTAATGTGAATATAAATGACTAAAAGATACCACAAACAAGACCACTTACGTTTTTCCTTTACGACCAGTGTGTTCTATCCAAAGAAGTGGAATCATTTCCTTAGGGATAGACATCGGGGTTACTTCCTGAAATCATATGGAATGGCATAAGTCGTTCTGTGAAGAAAATGAATTAAAAGAATAGCAACTATGAAGTACCTAGAATAGGCACACTAACAACTAGATTCAGAACATTTCATAAATTCTCACTTGAATTGGGGCAATTTGACCTGGTTCCCCAGAATGCAGCACTGGCGTGGCAGGTTTTATACTCTGATTTCCAGTTGGCAACCAAGATTGTCCATCAACAGGAAAATTTGCACTCTGGAGAACTGGTTGGTGTTCAGCACCCGAATCCAAATTCTTTTGCTGCGGCTACATGGATGATGAAAAAAATGAGAACACCAACTTCTATATGCTGCAATGTTTTTTACTTACAAGTAGATAAACCAATTCATACACTTACAGTATTTGAAGCAGAAAAAGGCATTCTGGGCCCACCAAAGCCCGGCATATTCTGTTGAGCCTGTGTGGCTATAGCTGCAGAAGGTCCGTTTTGTTGAAGATCTGGTGCAGGAAGTGCCTGCGCATGAGGTTGACTATCTCCTGCAGCAACGGATCTAGCAGGGAGCTGCGGCATTGGTTGATGAAACATCTGAGCAGGAGGAGGAAGAGAAGGAGGGGGAGGCGGCATTACTAGATTTACATGTCCGATGGGCTGAAATTGTTGAGGAGGTAAACCAACATATGACTGCGCCTGCTGCTGTGGGACCACTGGCCGGTACTGCGATAAATAAGAGAAGTAACAGATTACATATCTAGTTAAACTTGTATGAAACTTTAATAGGAGGCCTATTGAATAGCAATAAATGCGGTTGGCCTGATCTGCAGCGCCATTATTACTGAAAAATTGGATATAAACTCAAAAAAAAAACGGAAAAGATCTTACTTGTAGGGACAAAGATGGAAGAGCACTTTGAGGAGGGCCAAGAGGTGCAACCAAAGGAGGACGATGAGGCTTTTGCAGCATGGACAAAACAAAAATTTAATTAATAAAAAAAATGAAAAGAAACAAATAGTATGAAGTTGCAAATATTCACATGCATTAACATGCAATTCTCAAAATTACAGGAAACCTCAGTTTCAAGAAGCAAGAGGAAAGTATGATGAATCCTCACACTTTGAGAGGCATGCTAACTCAAAGAATTGGAATGTTTTACCTATTGACCGTGAAAGGTAGTTCAATTTTCATTCACTGAATTCCACTACCTACGAATTAAAGATTACGTGTTGAATACACCAGAACATCAATTGCAGACAAACATATTCATTTAAATTAAACCAGACAAAAAGGAAAGCCTGTCCTACTACTATGGTGTACTCTAAAATTTTCCGTCAAAACTGCCCCTAAGTGCTTTGCCCTTAACTTCCGCCTCCTTTTCCAATCAAAATCTACAGAACTGAAGTTTCATGGGGGTTTTTCACTCTGATTGCAGTGGAGCAACAATCAATTAGAATCACTAGCAAGCATCAATTGTGCCAAGGTTCAACATTCAGACTACCATATACTTCATGTTACATTTTCTGGGACTCGATTAAAAAGGTAACTGTTCAGTGTGTTTCCCAAAAAAAAAAAAAATCAGTTTCCTCTTCAGCACATATATTTCAAGAGATTAGAACCATCTTTGGTAAAAGAGGCCAGAGAGTTAAAACCAAAAAAAAACAGATATCGGATAGACCCTTTACCTGCATTCCTGTATATTGAGAATTATTAGCCATCGATGCGAAAAAAAATTTAATCCTGCAAAGTTTCCGAAAGATGATGAGGTTTTCAGTTGATCCAGCTCCAAGGTGTATAAAACAAAATTTTACAGAAATAAGAAACTATTTGACTACATCGCTGTAGGCAATGATATAGTGCATAGAGATCACCGCTTCATCAAAGTAAAAAGGAAACTATATCATGGAGAAACTAACTTAAGTTGATGCATTCCCACATTTGATATAGAAGGGACTGATATATAAATTTGCATAAATAAATAAATAGATAAGGACAAGTGACTACTCTGTCGAATGCCACGTGTGACATATAAGAGAGTAGGACAATCAGATCACCACAACTTTCTAAATTTTTCTAAAAAGAAAAGCGTTAATGTGCTCAAATAATACATGTTGCATAAGGAAATTTCAAACAAAAAATGCCACAGGTACAAATTCAGTAGCCTATTAAAATTTTCCAAATCTTACTACACAAATAAATACCATAACAAATGTACTTGTAATGACTGCAAGGATTATCAAGGAAGCATTAGATCTCAGGAGTGAACAATCAGGAGAAATAATGGAATCATTTCATTACAAGTTTCTGAAGGAGTAGTCTTTTCTAAGCAAGGGCACGGCTTGTTTAAATAAGTCAAAAGTTTCGCGACATATCATCTAACGGAAAGCATGAGCAATGAAGCTCAATAGTAACATCCCAGCACTGTGTAAATCAAGTAGTGACATTAAGTTGCAACATAAACCCTGCACGCCCTGGCCCCAAATTAACACTAACAAAGAACAATGACATCCATTCAAGAAAATTTGATAGAATGATGAAAAGCATGATCCCATCCCTTTATCTAATTTCAACAAAGGCTATCCCAGTTAAAGTTCTTTTTCCAATTAGGTCTCAACAAGAATTTCATAACTGAATTTCCCAAGAAAGAAACTTTAATCAGCCCAGAAACAATTCTAACAAGAGGCAGAAAACACATAAACAATCCCAATGTACCAACCTCGAAATTCAGCAAATTCCCGAAGCTAGGTCTTCGGTGATCTTCAATTCCAATCCTTGTCACCTTCAGCTCCAGTAACCTTTCTTGGACACCAGCAAAAATGAAGCCCTAAAGACAATCCCTTTGTACAGTTAACAAATTAAAATAAACAAAAGGGCTCCAAAAAATTTTACCAAGTGACCTCCAACTCGTAAAAATAGCCGCCAAAACGCAAAGGGGTTCAATAATTTGCTAATGCCTATATCAACAAGGCAAGAAAAAGAGATGGGACCATCCTCCAGGTCCGGAAGCTCGATTCTTTATTCAAAATAGAGGGAATTCAATGAGCGATTACATTAATAATAACAAATTAAACCGTGATTGTGTTGGGCATGAAGACAGCTTTGGCTTCAGGTTTGAAACGAAACTGAAGTGAACCAAAACTGAAAACGAAACCGAAATAAGGGGTTGTGGTTTTCTGGGACATATATATAGGCTGACCAAATGACATAGAAAATTTGCTTAAAATGAGCTGACCATATAATACTCTCTGTACCAGTTCTACCCAAGAAATCACAAGTCTTCGACTGAATTAAAACTGATCATTGTCTTACTATCTTTTTGTCTTCCAATTTTCGGTCTGATAGAGATTGCAATTTACGAAGTAAGCGGAAATATCCTCTGCGCTTTCAGAGAAATTGTTTTTGTAGTTTGGGAGCCTCTAATTTTAGGCTTAATTCGTAATTTTGGTCCCCCTCATAAAAGAGTATGGGAAGAACTCATATGAAAATTTTTTTTTTAATTGACAAAAAAAACTTAAAAATATTTTCTAATAATAAGGAGAACACAACAAATGTGAAAATATATTTTTAAGTTATTTTTGTTCAATTAAAAATATATATTATGTGAAATCTATGACAAATCAAATATCTTATATTAAGAACCAGAGAGAGCATATAATTCTTTTGTAAAATCTAAATATTACTCCTTCCAATCTTATTGATACTCCCTCCCATCCTTATCATAAAACATTTTGATTTGTTTTAAATTTTACTTAATATGTTTTTTAGATTGAAAAAAAAAAATTAAAAATATACTTTCACATTGATTGTGTTCTCCTACTTATTAGTAAGAAATATTTTTAAAGTTTTCAATTGGAAAAACAAGTGAGATGTAATGATACAAAAATCCAATTTCAAAAATGAATATTATGACTCAATCTTTTATTTATTTAGTGTAAATTTTAGAATTTAGTTAATTATCCAATAGTGGTTTAGAATTATAATTAGAAGATAAGATGTAGAAGTAGTTATTAGTGGGAGTCATGGGTTAGTGGGAGATAACCTCTCTAGTTGGAGTCTACTTATATGATTGTACTTTTATTTTAACGGTAAAAAGGAATTAATGAAAAATGGCTTTTATGCCAGAATTCTGCCTCCCTCTATTTTCTGGAGTTTGATCCAACTCGAATAGAATCGTTACATTGGTGCTTTTATTGAGAGATTTTTTCTCTTTTGAGAGTCATCATGACTTCTATGGAAGGATTAATAACCCATCTTTCTGAAAGTATCAAAGATATTCGAGTTCAACAAGTTCGACAGAAGAATATCAATCAACAAATTCTATCCAAACTTGAATCTCTGTCAACTATGTTTCAGAATCTCACCCACCGTGTAGATGCCCTTTTACCTCTACCTCTTTCGGTCACACCAACACCATCCATCACTGTTGCACCGACCACAACGCATTCGATTCCAACAATCACCAACATCACTGCTGTAGCTCCAACTAACCCCGTCACCACCATCCATAACCTCCCAATTAGTGCTCCTCTCGCTGTTGCAAACCCGTCACCAACAACCTTCACAACTCCGCCAGAAATTATTGCTACAACCAAAGCAGCCTCCCCATCATCAAATCCCTCCCTTTCTTTTAACCACCAAACCAGAGTTACAACCAACAACAATCTTCATCACCAAACAAACGTCACTACCAAAAATCATATCCATTTCAACATCACCAATGCATCCCCACATCAACAAACCAACCATTTCTCCTCAGTAAAGAATCACTAATGTTCTAACTTTCAAATTTTGTCCTTTCCCCACATTTCCTTTTGACCCAGGGTTATTACTTGCAGCCCCAATTAAGGATTTTTTATGTACTTTAATGGTTCCCTACCCCATCAGCAAGGTCGCCCAAAGTTTACTACTTCCAGCCATACATATATGCCTCATATACCTTGTTCCTTGGCCTCAACAAACCCTATCATTCACCATCACAGTCCGCCAGTTTTACCCATCAATGTTGATTTGGAAGTTACCATTATCCTGTCTCTGATGAAATTCTTAATTACATAGAAAGTGAAAGGATTGTTAATTACATGGAAGACTGTGGATTTCCAAGATGAAAAGGCCTTTGACGTTCAATTTCCCACAAAACAGGCTTGCCAAACTTTAGGCTTGAGGACAAAGTCGAATTTGAGCGAGGGAGTAGTGTAATGATACAAAAGTCCAACGTAAAAAAATGAATATTACGACTCAATCTTTTATTTATTTAGTGCAGATTTTATTATTTAGTTAATTATCCAATATTGGTTTAGAATTATAATTAGGAGATAAGATGTAGAAGTAGTTAGTAGTGGGAGTCATGGGTTAGTGGGAGATAACCTCCCTAGTTGGTCTATTTATATGATTATACTTTTATTTTAACGGTAAGAAGAAATTAATGAAAAATGGTTTTTATGTCAGAATTCTGTCTCCTTCTATTTTTTGGAGTTTGATCCGACTCGAATAGGATCGTTACATTGGTGTTCTCGTTAATATAGCTTTTAACTAATTTACAAAATATATTTTCTCTGTCCCGAAATTATTATCTAATTTTTATTTTTATTTTTATTTTTATATTTAAATTGTATTATACTCAAAATGCAATGGACAGTAATTGCAGAACACGGAGCATGTAATATGATTACATTCGGGGAACATAGTAAGCTGGCTTGCTTATGATTGATTTCGTTTACCGATTATTTTTTGCCATATTTTAATTCCGCAAACCTCGTAAATGGGTTGAAAAACAATACATATTTTGTTAGATTATATTAAATAGTTTAATAAAGTTACTTTTTTTAATTATGAAATTATATTTATTTCAAGATGGATAATAGGTAATGTAAAATTACTATCATCATTTTTTCTAAATTAAACGAGATGACACTTGTTTTGTTGTTTGTTACTCGTACCGTGTTTATGCCTTGTCAATTATATTAATTTGGACGATCCAAGCTTGGGGTTTCAGGAATTCATCACGTTACAGACTCTGATTTAGATATTTTAATCGGATACATATCATAATCAACAAATGTTAGTCGAAAATGTGCATCTTAAGATATAATACTCCCCCTGCCTCAAAATTATTGTCTAGTTTGATATTTCATTCTATTACAATTTTAACTAGAAATGAAAACCAAAACTGAATTATAATTATAATTACGGGACGGAGCCACTGAGGGAGTACCACATTGTAGTTGAATTTTGCATAATTCTCTTGAAACATCGGAATAATTCTGTGTGAAGACGGAACCCGTCTAACTTCATCAACGTTGATCTCAAGAAAATTCTGCCAAATGATTCATTGAGCAGGCGGAGTAAAATCGGCATCAGATTCCACCCAAAAACAAAAGGCCAAATTACGTCTTAAGAGTAAAAGCTCACTCGCACTTTGATTCATTCATCAAGAGTTCCTTGTTTACTTCCTCAACTATCTTTTACCTATGGCTACGAACTCAAAACAGGTACTTTACGATTACTCCCCTCTGATCAAAGTATACACAGATGGCAGCGTGGAAAGGTTAATGGGAACAGAGATTATTCCTGCATCAGTGGATCCTGAAACCGGAGTTCAATCCAAAGACGTCATTATATCTGCAGAACTTGCCGTCTCTGCTCGTCTTTACCTCCCCAAAAACGCCGAACCTGGTCGGAAACTTCCTCTGCTCGTGTACTACCACGGCGGAGGCTTCTTTTCGGAATCTGCATTCTCTGTTACTTACCATACTCATCTAAATGCGTTGGTTGCGGAAGCTAATGTGGTTGCGATTTCGGTTGAATATCGTTTAGCCCCAGAGCATCCTCTCCCTGCTGCTTATGAAGATGCATGGCTTGCTCTTAACTGGGTTGCTTCTCGTTCTTCTACTGGAGAAGATGGCGGCGGCCCTGAGGAATGGCTTACGGATTATGCTGATTTTGATCGCCTTTTCGTTGGTGGAGATAGCGCCGGCGGCAATATAGCACATAACATGGCCTTAAAACTGGGGGTGGAAGGACTAAAAGGAGTACGCCTTGAAGGAATGTTTCTAAATTGTCCTTTCTTTTGGGGGAAAGAAGCGATTGGAGTTGAAACCAAGAATCTGCCATTGAAGCTCAATGTGGATAAGTTCTGGCATTATGTCTACCCAACTACTACAGGGGTTGATGATCCATTGGCGAACGTTGTCAAGGAACCGAAGCTTGCAAGCCTGGGCTGCAAAAGGGTCCTGGTTTATGTCGCCGAACAAGACATTCTCAAAGACAGAGGATGGCTGTATAAACAAGAACTGGAGAAGGGTGGATGGAATGGTGAGATTGAAATCGTGGAGGTTGAGGAGGAAGGACATGTTTTCAATCTGCGTTTCCCCAAGGGGGAGAAATCTCTATCCTTGCTGAAAAAGTTGGCTTCTTTCATCAACATGCATGGTTGAAGATAGGGTTTGCATAACTTGCGTTTCAGCTATTTCTTTGCTACATATGAATGTTACTCAAATGAAATAAAATGATTGTTCAACGAATTTAACTAACGAACTCTTCGTTCTCTCGCAATAATTGCAGAAATTCAGATTCTCTGGTTGTTCATTCACAGCAGCATATGGTACATTTTGCTATTGCAATAATGTGGTTACATTCCAAATTTAACTTTCTATAAACTGCGATGTTTTATATATACATCATATATACATACAATTCTCAACAAAAATTACATAAAATTGTATCTATAAGTCACCTCTGAAGTAGGGGGAACTGAAAAATGAGCTAGAAAATGTGCCACCTACATTTGGGAATAGAGTCAGGAAGCATATCAAGAAGAGGACGCATCCCCAAGCAAACCTGTCATCCCCTAATGGGGTGATCTCATCCTTGGCAGGGATTTCATCTCCTCCCCTGAAGAAGGTGGCAAAGAGCCCCCATGCCAGACAAAGAACGCTTCCACTTAGACCACCAATGCCTAACAGCAGTGAAGTGGCGAAAGACAGTAAGTTTGCCGTGCTTCTGCCAAACATTGCTTGCGCAATGCGACCCCCTTCCAGCCTTCCACACGGTAACAAGTTCAGAGAAGTGACTACCATCCCTGTAAACGATGAAAACAACTCATTAGTTAGTGAGACAAGGGGTTCATTCATTTCAGTTACGAAGTACATGAACTAATGCATTGGATGATTTGATGATTTCCATTGATGCCAAAAGGTAAAGTTCACACCATTCTGATTATGATCCATGGTGTAAATTCAAAACAAAACAAAACAACAACTCATTCTGGAACCAATAGACGTAAAGCTACTTGCACAAAAAAAATGAGAGAAAATATTTGTTGATGCACTCAGCTAAATATTTTTGCATGTGCATGAAACAGAGACTGACCTAAGAGTCCAGCAAAAGCAAGGGGATCACAAGGGACTCCAACTCCTTCAACTGCATAAGGCAGGACATTTCCCAGATCGTCGGTGTAAGGCCCGATGACATACTGGATAAATGAAAGGAGAGGATTGTTGAAAAAGAATTGTGGTCGTATGTACCTGCAAAGGAAATGACAAGAATGAGCATCAAGTAAAAAAAAACATTGATGTTGCAGCCAATACCATTGTTTTGTCCTTGCTCATCTCAAAGGTTACATACTAGACTAGGTTAACAAAACCGAGGACGTCACATAATACAGAAAAAGAAATAAATTAACTTACAATGCATTGTCACCTCCATTGACGCTGCCATCAGCAATGAAAGCAGCAACAGTCAGTACCAAGGACGTCAAATACGCACTTGCTGTTCGTGCTACAGGGATATCAAATAAAGCTTTCTTATTTGGTAGCAATGACTCGTAGTTATTTACAACTCCTAAGCAACCGGTCCAGTTGGAAGGAACAAGAAATGATGGACTAAGCTTTACACCATATCGGGCTGCTGTAAGCCTCGTCGCAATCTGCAAAATAAGAAGATGAGAAACTTTGATAACTTAAATTAAAAAAAGAATATCAACATCCTTGACTTCTCCTTTCATAAATAAATTGACATACAGTATATACATGAGAAAGAAGATTAAGAAGGAAATGCCCTTCTCAGTTGAAATTGTAAATACCATAGCAAGCCATACCTCTGAAACTCCCAAAATGGTCAAAAAACCGCCAAAGAGGGGCACAACATTTCTAAAATAGTCATCCCATGTAGCATCAGGCTTGATGAAGAATCCGCTTGTTAATGCTATTGTCCCAAATGTGGTAACACACAAAGCTATTGCACTAAAATAACCCCAAGCATTGCTAAGATTGGTCGACTCAAATTGCAGATCCATCTCAGCCTTCGGTTGCACCACACAAGCCTTTAAAAATGACAGAGTTCACACGTCAGTTCATCAAGGATAAAGAAAAGGACAATGCTGCAAACGAAACTCAAGCATTTCCTTAAAGAAATAATCACAAGCCACAATAATGTTAAGCTTGTACAGAAAATTCTTATTCTACTGTACTTGAATTACAAGAGTACACAGAGAATCTAAATTACTAATGATAGAAAAATTATAGCCATTATTGACATAAGCCAATAGATTTAGAAGACACTTCAATGAAACTTTGCCCAAGCATAAAGCTGTTAGCTGTCCACAAGTTACGAAAATCAACTGGTGCTCAATTTGATCACATAACAACCACAAAAAAAAAAAAAGGTAAAAAGGAAAGTGCAAGTACAGCCAAACCGAAAGCAAACGCCCATTGAATTTTATTGAAAATGTAAATATTTTCAAGATTTTGATACCTGCTTTGTGATGTCATCGGTTTTTTCCTCCATAAACCAGACTACAACCTCTGTCCCTGCAGCTTCTGACAACTTCTTCTCCAGCTTGGGAATTGCTTCTTCGATTGGTTTCCTTAAATTGCCAATGAATATTCCCCCGTCTCCAAATCTTCTCACATCAGTAGCAAAAAATGTATCAAATCCAAAGCAACTCTTCAACTGCACGGAATGGAATGGTTCAGAAGTTAATGTTCGTTCAACAGAAGCCAGCAAAATGCAGTCTTTATCAATCATATATTGTGGAGGCCAGCAAATTAAAAAGTAAAAGTAAAAAAATGAAACACAAAGAAATCACGATGCAGATTTCAATTCATTCCAGGAAGCGAAAATACCTTGTTAAGATCAAGAGCCTTGAATGTCTGTTCCACTTTCTCCAACCTCTCTTTCTCCTTAGACAAATTATCACGAGCCAACTTATTGAAGAAGGCTACGATTGGGTTATCACTTCTTTCTCGATCAAGCTCCTTCAGCTTCCTATCAGTCATCTTCTTTTCCAGCTTTATTGCAGCCTCAATAGAGGGATTTCCCATAAACTTCTTGAAGTCCTCATCAGTTTTCCAGTCCAATTCTTGCTGTCTCTCTTTCTCTCTGGCCTCAGCATCAGAATCAACCTCAGATTTGGCTTCACTGGTACTTTCCTCCGATTTAGAATCACTTTCTGCATTGGAATCAACTCCGGACGTGACATCTTTCCTCTGGGATTCCTCCTCTGACATAACAGCCACTGATGAAGATGATTCATTTTTATCTTCAGCTTTAACAAAAAAATTGAATCTTTTAGAGCTGGGTTTCAATACTGGGGAAAGACAGAGATGGGTTTTCTGATTCTGACCCAAAGGAAGCTTCGAAAGAGGAGTTACAAAACATCTTGGGTGAAATGGTCGTTTGTCCAAAACCCATGAAGATGAAGCGTATGATGAAGCAGGAAAAGGAGTAGCCATGAGAAGATTGAAGTGCTTGAGACTGGCTTTTGGTTATGAAGTAATACATTATGATTTGTTGCTGGAGTCAGCTAGTTTTATTGAAACAGGAATATCAATCTAGAAAGTTGGAGAACTTTCACAGGTGTTGTGGGTTGCGAAAATAGCGCCAAATGGAATTGGGAGAACTGAAACCCCACTGAAAATTCTGGGAATTTATATGTTTGATGAGAAAAAATGCAGAAAAGTTTTTGTGGTTCACATTAGCCCTCTGTTTTCTGAATTCTGATTGAGACATTGAAGTGAGACCCCCACCACACCCCCCCCCCCCTCTTTTCCATGTTTAAAATTTCCCTGTTAAAAATACACCATTAGAATGATGGGCTTGCTCCATCAATTGGGCTTCAGAATTGAGACTTTTAAAGTTGGGTTTATTACTATTGGGACAGCTATGCCTATACTATATGCGTGCTTCACGGGTTACATGAATGTTTCGGTTTCGGTTTCGGGTTCGGGTTCTAAATTTCAAAGTCCAAATACCAAATTCCAAACAGTAATACCGAACTGAGTTCAGCTAATCATGGCGACGAAGATCGCGACTAACACGTTAACCAACTCTGCCGGAAGTATCCTCTTAAATAGTACCAAAGGCAACCTTCCCGTGAGATTCTATTCAATTCGGGCTCTACCAGTTAGTAGTATCCATATCCGTTTCTCCCGGCGGCGGTCTCTGATTTCAGTAAGGTTATCATTTTCAACGAATTTCTGTTATTCCTGCGGTTTCAAAATCAGTTTGGGAACATGAATTTGCTTGTGTTTAGGATGGCGATAGTTTGAATTTTAATTCTCGAAGCTGGAGTAGAAGTCGGAGCGGCATCGTCAACGGGGGGTTTAGTGTTGTTGACGACGTTGACGATGATGATGAAGATGACGAAGAGGAAGATCGGAGTTTGGACCTCCTTGTTCGATTCGTCCAGAATATGTTCCGGAAGATTTCTAAGAAAGCCCGCAAGGCTGTTCGATCTGTTCTGCCAGTCCCCATTTCATCACAACTGGTTCTTTTCCCCCTCTCCATTACATTAACTGTTTGTTGTATCCATTTTACTAAAAACCTAAATCTGTGTTTGTTTTACTTCATTATTAGCGTGAACCTTGTTGGGATGTTCTTTACGATTTCTTTAAGCCATTTATTAGAAATTTCATTTCATTGAGGGGAGCAGTTATAGTCCAGTATTCAAACTGGTTTTTCCTGTCAATTGATTTGAGTAATTGATATACAGTAAAAAATAAAATAAAAATGTAGCGCCAATAATTTGGCAGAAGCTGACAACATCTGCTGTTAGTCACCTGTGTAATACTTCTCTTATAATTAAGGATGCTACTGGATTTTAAGAATTTGCGTGTGTGACCATGGGTGCGTGTGAGGAGTTTCTTATCTGAAATGTTGTAACTTGCATAAGATTTTTTCCTGCATTGCAATTATTTGAAAGATTAGGGTAATGCAACTAAATTACTGGTAGTGCCTGAGCAATTAGGCTCTAATATTCCTTTTATGAGATAGTCAGTCATGTATTGTGAACTGAAATGATTTACTTGGAAATGTCTTTAGGCCTTTGGTTTCCTGCGAGCATGTTCTTTTTAAGTCAATAGAATATTTTATTGTTCTGCTTCCACAAATTATGTGACTTCAATGATGAAATTGCAACTCTCTGAAGTTAAACTCCTATTGATTGTTTGTTTCACATCATGCTAGGTTATTTGCATTTGACACAATTTTGTTTTTTTTGGGCTTTGTACAGGTTGGATTTTCTGTTAATGGTGTGATAATTCTTACTTTCATGTGGGTTTTGAAGGCGTTCCTGGAGGTTAGACTTTCACTTGCTCTTTAAATGTATGTTTTCTAAGTTTTATCATAATCTTTATCCTTGTTGATATCTTTTATTTAAAAGAATGCAACTACACCCCGCACAAATGTACATAAAAGTTTGTCCAGCCACTTATCACTGAATAGTGTTGTCTCTTGGTATCCGGGGGAGTTCTTCTGAGTTAAGACAAGTACTTTCATGTGTATTATTTAAATGGAAAGCAATGGTTATTGAATAAAAATAGAAATTTTTCCTGACCCTGTCTACACACAGATAGGTTGTTTATCTGTGTATTCTCTACTATCCCTTAAACATGCCAGGATTCAGGCGTATAGTATGCATTTCTGTTGATATTATTGGTTGATAACTTTTGTACTTTTCTTTTTCTCGTTAGTGTGATGTTTTGATTGAGATCTAATTAAGTTTTGACTAAAAACTTATATGAATATAAACATAGCTGGTGTCACCAGTCTATTGTTTTGAGCCAGCTAAGACACCATTGGCATCTCTTTTCAGTCTTTAATAACATTCCTATTGGGATTATGCAGGTTATTTGTACTCTAGGGAGTGTGATATTTGTTAGCATCTTGCTCGTCCGTGGAATATGGACAGGGATTTCTTACTTACAAGAATACCGCAACCATCGCATAGATGAACTTGATGATGAACACAGAGCCTGGAGAGGCAGTCAACCTGCAACTTAATATTTTTCTGTTTAGTTATTGAAGGCCAAACTATAGTGCTCGACAACTCTTCTTAATACATACAAATGAGCTTCAGCCGGAGAGAGTTTGCCAGTCAAGGATAAATCAGAGATGGGTTCCAACATCTTAGATAAGCTGGACTACTGAAAGAAAACTGTAGCGAGATGCAGAGGGGCCATCCTTTTACCCATTTGGATGATTTCTTGTGGTTTAACTTAAAACGGCGGAAGCCGGTTTTGGTTCTATACTTCATACCGAATAAAAGATTAATAATAGATCTTATCATCACCCTATTGTTCAAAAAGAAAGCAAAAGGAAATGAACACAATAAGATGTTTACTGGTGAACATTTGATGTATCAATCATCAATTATATACTCCATCTGTCTCAAAATTATTGTCCAGTTTGAATTTTTATTTTTAGTTTAAATTGTACTAAAATGAAAATTCAAACTGGACAATAATTATGGGACGAAAGAAGTATATGTTTTTAGTCGTTTTTGCCTTTTGGGGTTGAATATTCTGTTTTCACTTGCACTGACGCTTTGCTTGATCTCTACTTCTGCTTTTGAAGCTGGTATGCTTCTCATCTACTCCATTTCATAATCTGCCAACCAAAAGGTTAAGATAAGTATACGAAATACTAGGTCCAATGATATTGACAAAGATAGATCCTCGCGGATCATGATGACTTTGTTCCTTTGAGGTTGGTTTCAGTAAATATTGTCTTCTTCTTAGTTTTTTTTTTCCTTTTTTTTTTTAAAGCAAGTGCATTCTTTTTAATGGGTTTATATTCCTTTTTTTTTTGTAATTCCTACAATAGTTTTCTTATCACTGTCACAAATTCACAATTCACAAATGAATGTTTTTCTGTCAAAAATGATTGCCTCTTTATTATTGTAATAAGTATATAAAATAACGGAACCATTATGAGTAATTTCCTAGGGAAAAAAATTAGGGATCTCTCTTCCTCATTTTTATTTTTATTTTTTTTGGAGAAAAATAAATGGAGAGATAGGACCAGACCGCTACCTTTGGATAGGCATATGATATCTAGGCGGCAAATTTTGTTTTTTAAAATTAAAAAACATTAATCATGGTTAGTATCCAACTGCAGGCCTGCCGGCCCACAACAGGCCCATCTATTGCCCTGATACAATACCTGGTTCCAGCTAGCTATCTCCTTAACCCTGGTTAACTCACGTCTTTCCCTCTTCATCTGAAATTTGTATAAATAATAGTGACTGTCACATTTCGTCTCTCTGCATTTCAGAGTTTAGAGAAAGAGAAAGAGAGATACAAAGGCGTCTTAATAAACGCCATTGTACCTCCACGACCTAGGTTTATCTTTTTCCGCTTCTCGATTTTCCGGTTGCGCGTTTAAACCTTCAATCCGAAGATGAGAGAGTGCATCTCGGTTCACATCGGACAGGCCGGGATTCAGGTCGGCAATGCGTGCTGGGAGCTCTACTGCCTTGAACATGGCATTCAGGTTCGATTTGCTTCTTTATTTCTGATTTTATCGTTTATAATTTTATTAAATTAGTCAGAACTTTGTATCAGCCTAAGATTTGTGTCCATCGATTTTGTTTGGAAGTTGGTGGTTTTGTTAGATCAAGGTTTAGGATTATATCTCCACCGGTATTTGTACAGATTTGCGCATTTTGAATGATTTTCCTTCTATTTTGTCTCTTTAATGTCGCGATCTGTTAATGTGGCCGCTTTTTTTGATACGTTAAATTTCTGATTTGTTAGTTCTTTGTATATGAGGATTATTTGGATAATTGGATCCTCAATCTCCGAAAGATTGATGGAATTTGATGTAGGTTACCATAGTAGTAGTTCTAATTCTTTGATTTGTTTTAGATGAACTTTACAATTAGGTGAATATCGGTACTAAATTTATATGTTTGCAAGTCAAGGGGTTAATGATGTATTAAGTAGTAGTAGTTTTGTTCTGGATTGTTGATTTGTTTGGAGGCTGAAGTTCAGTATGATCTTATGCTTGTTGTGTCTTAATATGTTTATGGCATAGTTGTTTCTGCTCTAACTTTAATGCTTGCTAGTATTCCTATCAGATCCGAAAATATTGTCATGTGCTTGTTTTTGACATTACATAATGATAAGAGAATTGTAACTTTCGTGTGTGATTGATTGTTCAATAAAACAAAAATAACCGATCTACCCTTACAATTAGAGAAGGTTGCGATTCAACATCATTAACCGGGGAAAACTTGTATAAAAATGCAATCGATTGTGTAAAATCCTAAAGATTTATTTTCTCTATGCAGCCTGATGGGCAGATGCCAAGTGACAAGACTGTAGGTGGAGGAGATGACGCCTTCAACACCTTCTTTAGTGAAACTGGTGCTGGAAAGCATGTTCCTCGTGCTGTTTTTGTGGATCTTGAACCTACTGTTATTGATGAAGTGAGGACTGGAACTTATCGCCAGCTATTCCATCCTGAGCAGTTGATCAGTGGCAAGGAAGATGCTGCTAACAACTTTGCCCGAGGACATTACACAAGTAAAGTGACATGTTCCTTGTGAATGCCTGGCTTCCATATATATATATATATATATATATATATATTTCTATCGTATCAAATGCTGAAATCTTTGTGATTTGTTTCAGTCGGGAAAGAAATTGTTGATCTCTGCCTGGATCGCATCCGAAAGCTTGCTGATAACTGCACTGGCCTCCAAGGTTTCCTTGTTTTCAATGCTGTGGGTGGAGGTACAGGGTCTGGGTTGGGATCCTTGCTCTTGGAGCGTCTATCTGTTGACTATGGAAAGAAGTCAAAGCTTGGCTTCACTATCTATCCATCACCACAGGTCTCAACCTCTGTTGTTGAGCCTTACAACAGTGTCCTGTCCACTCACTCCCTACTTGAGCACACTGATGTTTCTATATTGCTTGACAATGAGGCCATCTATGACATCTGCAGGCGGTCCCTTGATATTGAGAGACCAACCTACACCAACCTCAACCGCCTGGTTTCTCAGGTAAAGTCTTCCTCTTAGCATGATATTTGCTATCTTGTCCATATGTTTTTAACTAAGGGTATTGAAGATTACCATTGGTTTTAATTAATTGATTTGCTTGGTGTAGGTGATTTCTTCCTTGACTACATCTCTGAGGTTTGATGGTGCTCTGAATGTAGATATGACTGAGTTCCAAACGAACTTGGTCCCTTATCCAAGAATCCACTTCATGCTTTCCTCTTATGCACCAGTTATATCTGCTGAGAAAGCATACCATGAGCAACTCTCTGTGGCTGAGATCACTAACAGTGCTTTTGAGCCGTCATCTATGATGGCGAAATGTGATCCTCGCCATGGCAAATACATGGCTTGCTGTTTGATGTACCGTGGTGATGTGGTGCCCAAGGACGTGAATGCTGCTGTGGCTACCATTAAAACCAAACGCACCATCCAGTTTGTTGACTGGTGCCCCACTGGATTCAAGTGTGGTATTAACTATCAGGCCCCAACTGTGGTACCTGGTGGTGATCTTGCCAAGGTCCAGAGAGCTGTCTGTATGATCTCTAACTCAACTAGTGTGGCAGAAGTTTTCTCTCGCATTGACCACAAGTTTGACCTCATGTATGCCAAGCGTGCCTTTGTCCACTGGTATGTTGGTGAGGGAATGGAGGAAGGTGAGTTCTCTGAAGCTCGTGAGGATCTTGCTGCTCTCGAGAAGGATTATGAAGAGGTTGGCGCAGAGGCAACCGAAGATGATGGTGATGATGGAGAAGATTACTAAGATGCCTAAGGTTCCATTCTGTTATGTCCAAATAAATCTTGAAGACTATATGAGTAGTTACGGTTTTACTTTGTAATCGTGTGATTGCATCCCTTGCATTCTCTTGTATGTGACTTTCCATTATGTTACATTCTTGTCTGATGCACTTTATTCTACAATCTGAGAATTTTCTTCTACCGGATGGTAGGCTGGTTGACCTCTTTTCATAATGCTTTTTGTCCATATTCCCCATAATCCCATTTTGCATGTTTATAATAAATGAATCAACCTCTCATATCAGCCAAAGGTTAAATCAACTTCATTTACCGAGAATTTCGGTTTTACGAAAGGCCCCAAAGAGAAAAGTTTCAGTTTAATTAGCAAAGAAGCAACAACAGAATATTGTGTTAGTGGACCATTTGCAGGAACCGAATGCAGAACATTGCAATGCATTTGTGGTACAGGGTCTAAAATTAATAGCTTCTAGTTCAGCATCTCCTGGTTTTTTTGGATTTTAGAGAGAAAGTAATGGACCGTGTAAAATTTGCACTGAAAATTACCGAAAGAAATGAGAGCTTCACCCCCGAATGGGATTAACCTGGCTTGATGAATGTAGACTAAACTCCGGACTCCAACTCCAATTGGTGGCAACGATGGAAACTGGAAAAAGTTGGTGTTGACTAAGTTGGACCATTTGATGGTTCCAAGTAGGATCCCTCTCTAAAGTCTACTGAAATGGTTATTATACTGCTTGACCATTTTGACGGTACCTAATTACTCCACTTGCCAGTTGTGTATAATTAACACATTCTTCAGCTTTTTGAGCAATTTGTTTGAACCATCAAATTGATTAAATCAAAAGTACTCCTATACACAATGCACAAGTAGATTAGCAAAAGAAAAATTCGATTAAGCTGTCAAAGAGAAAAACAAAAGAAAGTCTTACGAAAGCAGAAGTGCACTAACCCGAAAGTTGGACACGAACCGGAGAAAGTGCAGGAAACAAATATTATTATAAACAATTAACGAAATATGACGAAAGAACAATGCTCATTTATTGTGGACATTTTTAGCAATCGTAATCCAAGTAGTAGTATTAATTACTCACCTCCCTTAAGCCCCAACCGTGTGCCTCTCTCATTCTCATTTCACCACGTCTTTCTGGAACTCTATAAGTACATTTTTCCAGTCTCTCCAAAACAGAGTGTAGGAAAAACAAAAACATGAGTTTTTCCTTAGAGAAAACATATGACGATGCGAAATTCGACGATGACGGTCGTCCCAAAAGAACTGGTAACATAAATTGCTAAATTTCATCAATTTTCCAACTTTCCCTCCAATGTGTTTCAACTGGAATGAACACACTGTGGTTTTTTTTTTTTTTTTTTTAAGTTAATTTTGATTTTTTTATTTTTTATTTTTTGTGTTTGTGGGAAATCCCAAAGGAACTCTGGGGACTGCGAGTGCTCATATCATAACAACGGTAATTGGGTCGGGAGTGCTGTCATTGGCCTGGGTGACTGCTCAATTGGGTTGGATTGCCGGCCCAGTTGCGCTGATGGCGTTTTCCGTCATCACATGGTTTACCTCTGTTCTTCTTGCCGATTGTTATCGGTCTCCTGATATTATAACTGGCCGCCGGAACTACACCTACATGGATGCCGTTAGAGCCAATTTGGGTTAGTACTCATCAACAATTCTTTATCAACCGTTTTTTTTTTCCCCTTTCTCCGTTCCGTTCTTCTTCAGAAACATGACTCATTTTGTGTAATCTGGAAAGCCTCCGTCGGTAATCTGATTGAAAAATTGGGAGGGGAAAAAAAATGCATGCATGAAATATTTTTTTCTATGTAACTCTAGAAATGACGGTAGTGCAATTAAAAAAAATGATGTGAATGGGGTTGGTAAAGTTTTGGGTTGGATTTTTTCGTAAGCAAAAGTAAGAAAGGGGAACTGCTTTTGGGATGTGCAGGGGATTAATGGGTTGTTTGTTTCTAATTTTTAGATGTAGTTAGTTGTTATTGGTTCAACCATCGATTTTATTTATATGTGTTTTTTTTTTTGTTTGGTAGCATACTTGCTTAGTGCATTTCTGAAGCTGATACAAATAAGTTATTTTGCACCATTTCATTTTAATAGTGGTATTTCCTCTTAATTGATTGATGATGTATGATCCACTTTTTGGACTTTCCACCTGGAAAACAAAAGTCTTGCTTCTTTCTTGCCTAGTATTCCAATTTCTTTCACACTTCCTCTGCTTTTTAATTCTTTTTTTTCCCCTTTTACTTAAAAAGAATTCCTAGTGAAGTCTAAAATGGCGTGCTAAAAACAAATTAAGAACGAAATTCCTTTTTTGAAAATTGTTTCAGCATCAAGCTTTTTAGTGTAAGTAGCCACTAAAGAAGTCATCAAGCTTTTATAAAATTGATGGTACGGTTTGGAGAAGTAGATGCCTAAAAAATGATGATTGAGTCAGGAAGCCCAGCATGTCGAAAGAGAGAAAGGGGGCGTGAATCGTGATACACGTGTACGGAATTTTAAGCCGTCAGTAATAAATGTAGTCAGCATATAGGTCGTTCGAAAAGCCACCAGAGTCAACGTACGTTGACCCGTTGACTCAACTGTATCAGCCCTGAATTGTGGTCTGCGTACGTCTTCCCACTTCGAATAGTAAATTTTGGAGTTTCAACTGCAGAGTTAATAGCCAATCTGACCTTCCAAATTACTAGTAGGATGAATTAAGATGTTCACAACTAGGGAATTGGAAGTAAATAAATATCCCACTGCAGCAACTGTACCATGACAATTTGTGCGGCCAGATACGTCGGGAGGAAGGCCTCAATTCAGTAATAGAGAAACATTTGTAGAAGCCAAAATAAGTATTTATCCTTCATTAATTGGTTCTATCAAAAAAATACGTACGACTGCTGTATAAAATATTTTATGAACTATTTTTTTCGGCATAAGTGAGGGAATATAATTTTGAGTGAGTGGTTCAGATCGAATTTCAGTTTGGAGAAGAGAGATTTAGTATAAGATGTTAAGATAAAGAGATCGAAGCAAGATTTGCAATGTAATGTTTCTAAATTTAAAATGTACTTGTTGGTGGGGGATGAACCGACGAAGGTGAATTTGCAATGGTGGAACCAGTTCAATCTCCTCCTTTCTTCTTTGATTGTCTAACCATAACAAATTCCTTCAAGATAAGACTTTCACTTAAAGTATTCTGTTGCCTAGAACTTCAAATTAAATGGAACCATTTCTTTTGTAGATTGATTGACTCAAACATTACAACTCTCACTTACGGTTTTCAATATTTTTGACACAGGGGGAATGTATGTCCCATTATGTGGAGTAGCTCAATATGCAACGTTAGTAGGTGCTACCATTGGATATACAATCACTGGCTCTATCAGCATGGTGTAAGCCAAATAATATATAAATAATAATTCTTAACCCCTCGTCACGTATATAATATTTTTCAGCAAAGTATAATCAAATTTATAGTTATATTGATTTGTTATATGGTTGGTGTTTCAGGGCGGTGAAAAGATCCAATTGCTTCCACAAACACCATACTCGTGAAGGATGCCACATTTCCTACAACGGTTTTATCATCCTATTTGGTTTGATCGAAGTAGTTCTCAGCCAGATTCCCAACTTTCACAAACTTTCTGTGCTGTCCATCATCGCTGCGGCTATGTCTTTTGCTTACTCTTCTATTGGCCTCGGCCTCTCCATTGCCCACGTCGCAGGTTAGAATTACAATCGTACACCAATATTATTACACTATTTCCATTTCTTGATTTGGTTGTGCTAATATAATATACTCAATAGTCAATACTATCTAGTTTAATTAGTCGAAGCAAATTGTCAAAATTGATTATCATTTGTAAGAACATGTTTCGCGCAAGAAATAATTTAAGTGAATTTTCAGCGCTGTCACTACTAAGCGAGTTCACCTTTACTGATGTTACCGGATTGATTTTTCTTTTACTTTAAAGAAAGGATCACGCATGATACACATATTTAACTTAGTCTTCCGTAAAGTGAATTTTGTTCCACTATAAACTGTATTCAACAAATTATTCAAGTTGGACGTAATTGAACATTTTTTAAATAAGAGACCGAAAGGGAAACATTGCCAATTGAAAGACCAATTGCATAATTATACCAGTTTTTCTTATATATTTTTCCCCAATTGCAACAGATTATTAATTCACTGAGTATAATTAACCATAATATAACACCTATCTCCTGCATGCATCATGAAGGTGGAGCTCGTCCGACGACAAGTATCACAGGAATACCAGTTGGAAATGGAGTGACCGGCACTGACAAAATGTTCAACACATTTTCAGCCCTAGGAAATGCTGCATTTGCCTATGCCTTTTCTTTAGTCCTTGTTGAGATACAGGCAAGACACTATTATAAATTGCTGTTTGATTTACTATTCCATCACAAAAAAAAAAGAGTAAAAAATAATAGTAATAATTCTGTTAAATGTTAACACGAACATGAAGTAGACTAATACCGAATCCTCGTGACTACATTTGAATGATTACAGGATACCCTCAAGTCCAGCCCTCCGGAAAACAAAGTTATGAAAAAGGCTGCGTTCATTGGAATTTCAATCTCTACAATGTTCTACATGCTTTGCGGGATCATGGGCTATGCTGCTTTTGGAAACGATGCACCGGGAAACATATTGACGGGATTCGGTTTCTTTGAGCCCTTTTGGCTCATTGATGTGGCTAACATCTGCATTATGATACATCTTGTCGGCGCCTTCCAGGTATTAATTAATCGTCCTACATTCAATGATGTAGCATACAAACCATCACTTAAGGAATAAAGACCAGCAAGTGAATTTGTAAATGTAGGTATTGTGTCAACCAGTCTACGCATTTGTGGAAGAATGGAGCAAAAAGAAATGGCCAGAAAGCGAATTTGTGACGAAAGAGTACTTGTTCGACTTGCCTTGGGCAGGCATTTCGAGTTTCAGCATCTTCAGATTGGTATGGAGAACGGCGTACGTTGTATTCACAGTGATAGTAGCCATGATCTTCCCCAATTTCAATGATGTTGTGGGGCTTGTCGGCGCGATTTCATTCTGGCCGCTGACCATATTTTTCCCGATTGAGATGTACATTGCTCAAGCGAAGTTACGCAGGTTTTCATTCACCTGGATTTGGATGCAAATATTGAGCTTTGCATGCTTGATCATCTCATTGCTTGCTGCTGCTGGATCTATCAATGGCCTTATTAAGGATCTTCCCACCTTGAAGCCCTTCAAATCCATGTCCTAATTAACAAATCAAAGCTCTATGTCCCAATTGATCAAATTGATGATGATGATGATGTGTTGTGGTGGATCAGAAATTTAGAACAGAACTGATTATGTGACGTGTTTTATAATTGTCGTGTAGGTTTGCAAGCTCATGAATCTATGCACCCATTGAGAGATTAGACAGATTTCCTTTTGGCAATGGTTGCTATTCATTTTGCTAAAACTGTTTTTGCAGTCAGAAGTTTGTCCTTTTTTAACTGTGGTTAAAAGGTTACGTTTCGCCCAAAAATGGTGAAACTTCATTGACGACTATTGGCAATATTAAGTGGTTGCGACTAGTCAAAATGGTCAAAATGGGCAATTTTAAGTGGTTGTGACTAATTAAGTGTGATCAAATTGACCGACTGATTAATTAGCTACATGAAAGAGGACCTTGAAAATTCAAGATTTCTTTTTCTTTTTTTCCCCCCTCGAGTTCATAGCTACTACAACGCAGTAACGGTGCACTGTTTGTAAAGTTATACTATATATTCCAAATAACTCTTCTTTTTTTTTTTTTCTTGTTAATTCTTTTTGAGTGCAGGACTACTAAGACAAATGAGTGTATATCAAGTAGTACCCCAGAAAAGAACCACCACACGCAGTCAACCACTTGATAAAGAGCATTTACGATGTTACTAACAATTGTTTTGATTAAATGGTAACTAACTAAAAATGAATGCAAATTTTGTCGATTTTTTTCATAATTATCCTCAAAAGTTAATAAAATTAATAACATTTCATTGTTTTTAACAGGAAAAAGTTAAAGATAATTAGTTATTCACTTATGGTATTTAAATGCTCTGTTTAATAACTATCCATTGATATTATTTTTAGAGGGAGTAAGTAGTAAATTCCCATCCTCGAGTTCAAGAATGTGGATAAACAAATACTACTTACCAGGGATTTTTTTATCTTTAAAAAAAAATCAATTAGGATAAAATACAAATCAGTTTGAGTAAGATACTTGTCAGTATAAAATAAACAAACGGTGTATGTAAAATATATACTCTATATATAAATAAATTTGGCTCACTATGTGAGTCAAAATCGGTGTACAAAAGGGAAAAATCCATTAATTATTGCCAACCGTCTAATGGCAAAAGCACTTAATTAAGATCTGAGAGCATCCCATAATCTTTTTATTTTTATTTTATTTCCTTAATTATTGCTACGATGCAAAAAAAAAAAAAAACAAATATTTGCAATGCTAGTATTAATTACACCTCTATGGGGGAGGAGCCTCTTGTCACTTACAAGTACAACCCACCCACATATTTCCCCTGCCCTGCTCACCTTCTCTCCTCGTTTTCTCCCAAAAAGAATTCATCAAAAAATTCAGTGAAAACAGAGAGAAAAATGCAGAGCAGCATGAGTTTCGATATGGAGAGATCCTACGATAATTCCAAGTTTGATGATGATGGTCGTGCTAAAAGAACTGGTAAACACACCCCCAAAAAAAAAAACAAACATGATATATATAAACTTGAATTTCAGAGCAATGAAAAAATATTCTACTTTCTAATGCATGGCATTTCTCTCCCTTTTTTTTCTTTTTGATTTTCTGTAAAAGGTACTCTGACGACGGCGACGGCGCATATCATAACCGCCGTGATTGGTTCCGGTGTGCTGTCGTTGGCGTGGGCGACCGCTCAATTGGGATGGATTGCCGGACCGGTTGCCCTTCTGGCTTTTTCCGTCATCACTTGGTTCACTTCCATCCTTCTTGCCGATTGTTACCGCTCTCCTGACTCTGTTACTGGCCGCCGTAACTACACTTACATGGAGGTCGTCAGAGCTAATCTCGGTAATTCTTTCGCACGCCACCCCATTGTTTTTCAATTACCAAATTACATATAATCATTTCTCTTGCCTTTACCACCTTTCTTTTTGTCTTTTTGAAGGCCCAAAAGCAAAAAAAAAAAAACAGAACAAGTTTTTATTTTAATCGTTTGACTTCTTAATTAGACAAGAATAGAACATGAATTAATCAAATCAAATTACAAAATCACTGACCCTTTTCGTGTTCCTGATCGAATTGTTTGATTATTCAGTTGAATCACCATTTATTTGTTTTTGAAATTGATGGGTCAGGGTATGGGTTGACTCTTTTGAAATCGGTGAATCTTGAATTCCGCATGCAGGGGAGATTATACCTTTTTTTTTTCTTTTTTTACCCTTTCACCTCTTTCTTTAGCTGCACCGGACTACTTGTCTTTGTAGTATTGGCTTCATTAATTGAAGGCTTTTAATCAGAACCTGACAAGTCTACAAATCTCACGAACTTGTAAGATTCGAATTAAAGAATTGAATCAGTGGAGTGGATCACAGATGTTTGGTTGTCACTCCCTGGGAAACAAACAAAAAAGAATAGTTGAAAGTTGCCGAATGCCTATGTAAATGCATTTACTGAACTAGCTGTAATTAAATTTGATCATTTTTTTAGCGGTAAATGAGTTAGTTGCATTTGTTAGCTATAAATCCAGAATTGGCAATTGGATTGTGACGGTTTTTGTATATAAAAGGATTAAGGAGGAATTACTCCTTCTGCCCCGAAATAATGTAATCATTTTGAATTAAAGTGAGTATAATAAAACTAGTAGTAGTATAAAAAGAAACCAAAAGATTTGAACTTTAAGGAACATTTTTGTTATAGAATGAAACAAAACAGAAACATCAATTTATCTTACTTGTGCTTGATTGTGTCACAGGAGGACGAAAATTCCAGCTTTGTGGTTTAGCCCAATACGGGAATCTGGTGGGCATTACCATTGGTTACACAATCACTTCATCTATTAGCATGGTGTAAGTACCAAACAAAAATCATTTTTCTTTTATATGCACAATTAAATCACACTATTATTCGTATGCAATTTTTATTTTTATTTTTATTTTTTTTAAAAAAAAAACGGTACTCTATTATGTTTTGCTATTTCGATTTAATAACAATATTTATCTTCTTTTTTTTTGTTGTAAAATAAAAATGTAGGGCGGTAAAAAGATCAAACTGCTTTCATAATCATCACATTCGCGATGGGTGTCACACCAGCAATAACCCCTTCATTATCGTCTTCGGAGTGGTTCAAATATTACTCAGCCAAATCCCCAACTTTCACGAGCTTTCCATCCTTTCCATCATCGCCGCAGTCATGTCTTTTGCTTACTCTTTCATAGGCCTCGGTCTCTCCATTGTCCAAATTGCAGGTGAGTAGTGACCATGTCAATTTCTTGAACTTTCTTTTAACTTTATGAATAAAAGTAAAAAAAAAAAATTATAAAATGTAAGGTAGTACTATTAAATTATATTAGGGCTTATTTTCCTGAATATTTGTCGATTATCTTTCGTGACACATGAACTTGTTATATACTAATTCAAAGAATGTAAATTAAACCAATTTTGTGGTTTGAAGGAGGAGCTCATCCTGAAACAAGCTTAACCGGAATACCCGTCGGAAAGGAGGTGACAGGTTTGGACAAAATGTGGCGCACATTCTCAGCCCTTGGAAATATTGCCTTTGCTTATGCTTTTTCGACCGTTCTAGTTGAAATTCAGGCAAAACACCCCATCCTTAATAAGTTTAATTTTCTATAATATTTACTTTAATTCTCAACTAATGGATTATTTTTTTTTAATAACTTTAAATCCTCAGGATACACTAAAACCCAACCCACCTGAGAAAACAGTCATGAAGAAAGCCTCAAGCATTGCCATTGCAATTACAACAATTTTTTACACACTATGTGGAATGCTGGGATATGCTGCATTCGGAAATAACGCCCCCGGAAACCTCTTAACTGGATTTGGTTTTTACGAGCCATTTTGGCTCGTTGATCTCGCTAATGTCGCCATTGTTGTACATCTTGTTGGCGCTTACCAGGTAAATATTAAAACGATCAAATTACATGTCTAGACACAATTAAACGAGATCTTCTGTCTCACGTTTTGTGTGATATATTGGTGCCAGGTGTTTGCACAGCCCTTATTTGGATTTGTGGAAGAACAGATCAAGAACAAATGGCCGGAATCGAAATTCATCAACAAAGAATTGTTCATTAACCTGCCTAGTGGCGGGATTGTGACAGTGAGTTTCTTCAGGCTGATTTGGAGAACAGCATACGTGGTGTTCACAACAGTGATAGCCATGATCTTCCCTAACTTCAACGACGTGGTTGGTTTGCTCGGCGCCGCATCATTCTTTCCTTTGACTGTGTTTTTCCCAATCGAGATGTACATAGCACAGACAAAGATGCGCAAGTTTTCATTCACGTGGACTTGGTTGCAAATCCTGAGCTTTGCCTGCTTAATCATCACTCTTCTCGCCGCTGCTGGATCCATTCAGGGACTCATTAAGAATCTCGACACCTTCAAGCCGTTCAAGTCCGAGTCTTGAAGTAACATCAACCCTTTGATTATTAGTTCATGTAGCCGTGAACTTTATACATTAGGCCATATATCCATTGATGGAGGTCATCATCCTTTAAAATGTATTAGAATATTTCGTAATTTGTATCCTTGTGTTGTAAAACTCCCCTAAGTAACAGAGTTTTTTATGAATAGAACTATAGAAGTTCACATTATGGGCTTTGTTTAAAGAATATATACAACTATAACATTCCTGCGGAAATTCTCTTTGTTTAAATGTTCTGAACTTGTGGAAGTCATTGTGGTTTTAATTCAAAACCATCAACAGGAGTTATGCCTCTGGAACCGAAGATTTTTTATTTTTTGAAATGGTGGAACCGAAGATTAAGTGCCAATGAAGTTGAAATTGAGAGACTCAAATAATGGAAAAACTCAAAAATGGAGTTTACCAGAAGGGGGCGGGTGTCACGGTGACAGGAATCGATCCCAATCTTTAGGAAAGATGCATCAGAGCACTAATCACTGATGCAACTTTTCAATCCTATATTGATGATTGAAAGAGAACTCCTTGATTTATGCATAAGCAGAAAGTTAGGTTCTAAATACACACGCATAAATTTATCAGAGAACTTGTTCGAACGCTATTAAAATATAGCTTCCAAATGGAACTAAAATTCCTTGTCAATAAAGCTTATACAAAGGGGTGTGAATAATAGGCCTTTGTTTCTTTAGATTAACATTTATACAAGGAAAGAATAAAGCTACATTTAAAGGGAATAAACCAACAGAAAACTTATATACGAGCTAGAAAAGGCTGATCAGCAAGGTGCCATGTCTTCCTTCAATATAGGCGAGGGGCTGTCTGTGATAACCTTTCTTCCTCAAGAAGCTGATAGGGATCTATGTACTCAGGTATGTTGATGTTACTGTCCCTACCATCATGGATAAAACTCGTTCCGAAGTACTGCATCCATCAAATTAAAGGTAAAGTTTGAGCCATTGCATATAAAATACAGACAGGAGGACTAGACTTCCACAATCATGGGACACAGAATCTGACTACAGGGAAGGAAATTGATTAATTAACGCAAACAAGCTTAAGAAACACAAGTGTAAACTACAAATTAAGCATAATTATTATATTCTATCATGATTTAAGCACCAAAGGAAAAGCTCAAAACCAAAATTAGAGGTCAGAAAGAGTTTGAGAAATCTGCAGAATATACTCCACTTTGGACTGAAAAAAAAATTAGGTCAAAAGGTCCTACTAGTCCCATCTCTTTTCTCATAACCTTCAGTGCCATCAATTTTTACTTTTATTCTACTTTCCATTTATCTTCTACCACACATAATGGTAGAATTCTACACTGTGCCCTCCAATAAAAGATGCAATAAAGAATGGTACTTCATATTTAGCGGTAGAGAAATGAGAACCAGAGCAACAATGTTACAAAATGTCCAACCCTCATTGGTGCATCAAATGATTGCCACCTGCTTCATGCTTGTCTTAATCATGACTTTAGAATAAGTCTCAAAGAATTGAGAAAGCAACCAGTGCTTCGACAGTAACAAGCTCTATTACCACCCTTTGACACTCATATAAATACATTTTTGACGTTTCAAAGCAGTGCAGCAAGGCAGAGAAAGAGAGAATAATCAAATACACACAAAAAGTAAAACTCACCAGGTATAATCCAGTAGTAAAGGCAACAGTTATGAGGATCAAAGGCCAAAACGCCAAAAAGAATGTTCCTCCAAGGGTAAGCAATAGTTTAGCCCGTGGGATTAAACCCTATAAGAAAGACATACAACAGGATGAGACAAAGTTCTTGGAGCAAAACTTCAGTACGTGAGTAAGGAAATCCAAGGGGGAAGTGTTAGATAGTTTCAACACTGAAACAGAAGCAGGACTAAAATATTAACAGATAAATGCAAGCAACTAGGAAAACGGGCATGGGCTACATTAAAGTGAGACCAATACCACATCCAGGATAACATGAAAACAGGAAGTTGAACTCTTTTCATGTCAACAAAAGCAAAGTAAATCAAGCCACCTCAAGGCCTTCGCTATTAAGTGCTCTAGATTCCTCCAGTTGATTCTTTAACTTTGTTTCAGCATCCATAGAGACTGTATTTCTCGTAGAAAATCCTCCATCTTCCTCCCTATAATTTGTTTCATCCCCAGCATTGCTGCTTTTTTTACTGTCCTCAAGCACTGAAGTAGGAGTCATGCCCCGCTTCTTTAGCTCTTTCATAAACAATGACTCTGGAGGTTCTTCCCCTGAAATTATTATAATTATTCGTCATATTCTCCCAATAGTGCACACAACCTAAAACTCGAACAGAGTTTTTCCAGTTCCACTGTCATTCCCAGGGAGACAGCAAGAGACCCAAAACAACATATTCTCAATTCACTTTTGAAGAACTCATGAAAACTAACCAGAGAACTAAGAAAAGCCCCAGAAAGGATCATACAAGTTAACAAAGCTTTGAACCAAATTGTTTCTCAAGAAAGGATAGAACTTTAAATCATAATTGGGCTTTGTTCTCTTTCAAAACTTTTCATCAAACCATGCTCAGTAAGGCATCATTTTCGAAGACATCACAACAATCAAAATGCTCTCGCCCCCTCAACATAAAGAGAAACTAAAAGCCAATTTGTGTTTCAAACGTCAATAACCAAAACGGGTAAAAGCAAATATTGAGTTGCAATCAGATACACATATTTCTTAGCAGCAAAATAACAGTGATAAAAAGAAAACAAAACGAATTGAAGCTGGAAAAACATTTACCATTGCTTTGGTCTGGGGATTCTTTAGTACTACTGGAAGAAATCCTGAACCTTCTGGGAAGTATCATCGGTCTCAACTTCCTGCTTCCCCGGCCAAAATTCCTCCCAAGGGAAACCGTAGAACTGAATTCCGAGCAGAAATAACTCCATCTAGAAGGTGAATACTGCGATTGTGAAACTGAAAATGGAGAAATGCTCGATTTTAAGGATACATGAAAAGACGCCATTTTTATTTTACCAAATTATACTATTTTCCCACCCAGAATTGATAAAGAAAAAGGGAACCCAGAAATCACACAATTTTAAGCGATGAAGGAAGAATTATTCAGTGGCGTGGGGGTTGCAACCGATTACGACTAATTTTTCTACGAATTACAGTTGTCTACTCCTCTACTTCAGAATTATACAGAGTTCGGTTTGCGGTAAGACAAAGAAGAGCAAGTGGTGATGAAGACGGTGAAGCGGGTTAACGGTTCGGTGGTGTCACACCCGGGGGCGCATTTTAGGATTCGGCCGTTCAGTTTTTCTATAATGCGCGGGGATGAATTCGTGGCTGTGGTTTTGTGGCCCAGAAACTGGTAGAAAGTAAGAAACTGTTAAGATCAACGTTTTATTACTATTACGGCGCTCTTTACTCTATTTGTGGCGTAATCTTGGAATGATGACGCAAATCGACAAATCGTACGCTCGTTTTGCTGCTTTTTTTTTTTTTTTGCTTGCGCCTGAACGGCTTTGTTTCAATCAATTTGCGACTTTTGCACGATAGAACTTCGAAGACTGCTGCCATTTTGCTAATTGCCGCCAAATATAGAATGTGGGACGGGGAAAACTATATCTTGTAATTATTCGACATACAAATATCTTGTAACTTATGGATCCAGAATACTTAAAATGCGTTTTTAGTTACTATTTGCTACAAGCTTCAAAAGTTTATTACTAGTTGTACGATAAAAGGAGTTGCATCTAACGTCAATGTTTCATGAGTTTTGGCTATGAACCAACTCTACATTGACCATCATCGTTCAGATAAAAAAAATTGTTAATTGTAAAAGTTGCGGATTTTTGTATGGATTATATAAATTTAAATACTAAATTTTAGATATACAATTTGTACTTCAAAACATGTAGTTGAACACTAGTACAATTACTAAATTTATCACGGATTTTTTTCAGGTTCCAACCTTATAGTTTTAGATTACTCCACCGTTCGTTTATCTGAATTCAGCAATTGACAATAGTGTATGAGTAAAACATATCTTGAAAAATATAAAATGAACAATTGAATGTAATGAAACTTCTGAAATATATATTAAATAAAGGATCTTTCACTATATGTCCCGTTTAGGTTACTGCCATTTCATCTTATTGAAAATACCGAGCCATTCTACTTTAAACTTTAAAGAATGCAGTGAAAACATAAAATCAGTTGAAATATGGAACGCAAAGACTATTTAGGAGTGAGGTGGGCTAGAACAATGGGCTACACCAACAGAACTGGCCACTGGTTGACGACTTATTAATGTAGGTTTCAGTTTTTCATTGATATGTCAAAACATTTAAAACCAAATTGAGACGATGCATTTTCTTTTTTTCTTTTTCTTTTTTTACAAAAAGGAGAGGCACAAAGCCTAGATACAAAAAATCAAAACATAACAAGGATAGGAGGCCCCCATCAAATCATAATGTAACCACGAGCGCGCTTCTTTCGGAGTATCCAACAAATATTAGTAACCACCTGGATATCGAGAAATTAAATCTCTGCAAAATTTGTTTTTCTGTACACATGCTTCAACACAAAGGTCTTCTCAACAGCTCCTGAATTGCCCGAACAAGACTCGACTGAAGGCCCAAGTCTCCCACATCACCTTTCACCATTTTCAAAACACACATGCTATCCACTTGGGCAATAATCTTCCATCCTCCAGTCTCCCAAGCCAAAGTAAGACCATGAAACAAACATGTGCTGGTAAACACAATTTTTTTTTCCCCCAGAAAGAAATGAACTGACACGTTATGATTTGGTTGGTCTGAACTGCCAACTTTTACGATTTTAGGTTCTCCACCTAAACACTAGGCCAAAACGTTACTTATTGAAAGTTTGGAACAAATGGCATGGCCAGATTTTAGTACCACTTCCACGTGAAACACGCGAAAGAAGTCCACATTTCATCTTACAGGCTAATGTATATACGGAGTATTTTCTTCATGTGTACGTGAATATTGATAATAGCGACAGCATTATTGATTACGGTAAAATAAATATTCCCTCAACTTGATTGAGCATCCTGATTCCTGAGTTCCCGAAATGAAACTATCCTCAACAGCAGCCATTGTAACTTAAGAGGATAGTAACCAACCATATAGTAGTACAAGGATTCGCTTACAGTTTACCAGTACCATCTAAACAACAGTTTTCACCTGAATCGATTGAAACAAGGTTTGTGATGCAGGTGATGGGATTATGTCTGACACAATCAGAACTGTATCTCCCTCGTTTATTAGCCCTTTTGCTTTGATGAGGCCTGTGGTTTTTTCTACATTGGCTTCCATGTCATCGGTTAGATCAACGAGAAGAGGAGTCACCCCCCACTGCAGATTGAGTGCCATCCTAGTGCTGTTATCACTTGTGAATGCAAATATCGGAGGGTTAGGACGATTGCGCGATAGAAGAGTTGCCATTTGTCCATGTCTTGTGTACACAAAAATTGCATCCAACCCTAGGTTGTTAGCTGCAGAAACATCCAACAAGAAGTCAAGGTTAAATGTGTACCGCAGCACAATGCGATATGTTTCTGTTGGCCTAATGCCTGTTTGCGATCCAACAAAGGTGTTCAATGAACAATGATAGCACAGGTAAATTTAGAATTCAGAATGAAATCCATAAGTAAAAAAAGACAAAATAAAAAAGTTGCAAGTTATATATTGGAGAGTCAACATAAAATGTCATGAATCGGAAAAATTACCCATTTCTGCAGCACAATTGCAGATTTGCTCGGCAACTTGGTCTGACAAAGATGTGCCGAGTTTTGATTGGTTTAGGGAAGCTTGCATGCTTTCCTCACGGCTCCATGATTCCATCCGGCTGCTAGTAGTCCGCAGTACAGAAAGAGCTTTCTGCCCATGTGAACCAATTGCAGACTCACCGGAGAGCATTAATGCATCGGCATACTGCCTGACTGCTTCAGAAATATCAGCCACCTGGATTGGCATTTTCCATGTACAAGAAAACATTTAGATTTGCAGGATAAACTAAGTTAGGCATAAAACAATTGAAAGTCAACGAATGCTTTGGATGAAGCCTCATGGTATGGCATCTCTATCAATCACCTAGTAGAAAAATCCTGAATTCTTTAAATCTTTAAACAGATCAAAAGATCCAAGTACCTCAGCTCTGGTTGGAGTAGGATATTCAATCATGGATTCAAGCAGCTGAGAAGCAACAATAACGGGCTTGTTCTGCTGCCGGCATACCTCAATGATATTTTCCTGCACAGTTGGAATCTGTTCTAGAGGTATTTCAACTCCAAGGTCCCCTCTTGCTATCATGATCCCATTAGATGCTTCAACAATTTCTTCCAGTTTTTGGAGGGCTTCCACACACTCTATCTTTGCTAAGACTTTCACTGACCTGTGATTTAGTCATAGATGTACAAATTCAGTACAAGCACCATAATCTAAATCTTGATACAGTGCTTCATTATCAGTAATAGTAGTCTCACTTGGAAGAATTGGTGGAAAGGTAATGCTTTAGATGCTTGATGGCTTCTGCATTTTTGACAAATGACAATGCCACAAAATCCACACCTTCAGAAATTCCAAGCTCTATGTCTGACCAATCCTGCAAGCTAGAAAACATAAGCTACACAAAGAAAGTATTATTGGTGAATTAGCATAAAAAGGAGAGGATATTTAAAAACAACCTCGGAAGATATGGTTGGGAGATCATTGTTCCGTGCTACAAGCTTCCCATCTCTCCAAAAGCTCAGTTTAGCTCGGGGAAGCATTAGACCGGAGTCGGTGCATTTACATCGCAAATCATTTCCAATCTTTTCAATAACCTCGAATGTGGCCATTCCTCCATCAATAACAATTTCATCACCTATTTCAATACCTGAAACAGCAAAATATACAGATTGAAAAATGCTGCTTTTTCTTTTCCTATTGTTATCCACATTAGCAGTATGAAGAATGAAGTGTTTCACAGACCTTCAGAAAATCCTTCATGGTTTGCTTTAACTGTCAATGGACGATAACCCTCAAACTTCTCCGTAGCAAAATGCCAGATTGTGCCATCCTTACAATTTAGGATTCCCAAGTAAATTTAAATTTTATACTACTTAACTAAACAAAATATTATTACATTTGAGCTAGGCATCAAATTGATTAATGATTTATGCGAAAAATTTCTTACCTCAGCCTTGACTGAAGAAGGTGCTCCGTGATCAACAACGTGTATCTGGCTTCCTTGAGTATCAATCATCACAGCCACAGAGTAACCTTTATCATTCAACTTCTTAATCTTCCTTATAACATCCAAGTGCCATTCTCTTGTATTATGACACATATTTAGCCTGGCCACATTCATCCCTCCCTGTGCTAACTTCTCCAATTCCTCAAGAGAGCAACAAGCTGGTCCAATGGTACAGACAAGCTTGGTCTTCCTCAATCCCATGAATCCTTTCATCCTCAATTCCTCTTCTGAAACCAAATCGAAACCCAAAGTTGACTCTTTTTCCAACCCTTTCAAACTCCATAAATCCTCTGCAGTCCCAACTTCCATCTGCGTGACTGCGTTTACTCTCAGACGTCCAGCCTTGGATTCCTTCAACTTCCAGGCATTGAAACAAACTTTCTGACTTTGAACTGGGCCACCAAGTAAATTACTACTTCTGCCTGAAACAAAACTTGATTTTCTGATCACCATCTGATTACAAGTCAGAGCAAACTCCCCTGCAACCGCCATTATTGCCTTTCCTCTGTTCTGCTTGACCTTGAACTTTATCAAATCAAAAAGATAAACAAAAACCCACCAGGAATCTAACTCAAACAACAAAAGAACCAATCCGGGGTATTGGATTTTACGTCAACCCGGTTGATATGTCCGTCAAAGAAAACGTCAAAAAATTATTTTAGTGTTTTGGGTTTCTGTCAAGGTTTACGTAATACCTAACAATGATGAATGTTGGGCAAAAAGTAGGGCTTTACTGAAGGATTAAAATATTCTTATAAAAAAAGAAGAATAATGATTGAGTGAACAACGAGCACTAGAAAACAGATCAATGGGAACTATTAGAAGCAGAACACGGTTTCCTCGGGGTTTTAGTTTCTAATATTTTCCAATGTTCTTCCATTCCATAACACTCAAACTAAAACCCTCGTGTAGCTTTTTGGGGACAGTCCTTAATTAGGGACGGACGGCTAATAAAACGATCCTATTCCTATTGGCCTATTGACACGATCCAGCTGTCCAGATTTTAACGGTCAACTACCTTTCCCGGTTTAAGGTACCCCACTCTTAAATATTTCTCTGAGCCTGTCCCTCGAGGAGGCCTTAATAGCCTTTAGTTTTTTCAAATTTGGTGGTGATTGTCAGGCATTGTTTCGTATACATTTTGGTCCAAAAGTTTTTTTGTCCTTTTTCTTTCTTTTTATATTTTAATAAAAATATCACGCTTGGAGAAATCGTCATCTTCTGCAATCTTTGGGTGTTATTTTAAGATTTATTATAGTTTTGTTCCAGGGGACACGAATTAAAATATGTTTGGTGACTTTTGGAGAAGTTGAATGCAACATAATCATGTGAAGAAAAGCTTAAAACGAAGTAAAGCAAATATGATCCCCCAACCCGTCACACCAATTTGATTTAGATAATATCAAATCAAACTAATCTCCCACCTAATAGTATTAAATCAATCAATACCAGCAGCTAGTTTTAGTTATTAGGGGTTCTAAATGAGTCACCACCAAATTAAGTACTCTATCTGTGTCAAAAAAAATAAAATAATTCGCATTAAATTTTGAGATTTGAATTAAGTTTAGCCGTACAAAATTCAAAATCTTGATATAGATTATTTTTGTTAGGACGGAGTAAATAGTACTCCCTCCGTCCCATAATTATTGTCCAGTTTTACTAAAATGAAAGATTTTATTTTTGGTCAAACTTAACTATATTTTATCTTAAACAACCGAATATACCCCTACATAAGTAATTGTTTAACCACTAAGATTTTATAGATAATGTTTTTTACTAAGGACAAATGTGTAACTTGATCCATAAAAAGTCAAATTGGACAATAATTTTGGGACAAAATTTTTTAGGCAAAGTGGACAATAATTATGGGACGGAGGGAGTATTCATCATGCAAAATATTCTTTTTCCTTTTCTTTTTGCTTGTTTGCCTCTTTTCATCAATGCGAGACTGGTCTTTCTCTTAATAGGAAAAAAATAAAATAAAATAAAATCTTCAAAGTCAAAATTGTATCCGTAATCCGCTGTTTCGAGAACGGGAACTGCGATTGTTTGATGAACCAGCAGGTATTAGACTTAGACATGCGAAACTAGCAACTTGAGGTTTTTTTTTTTTTTTGTATTAAAAAGAAAGTTGCAAATCAGTGACTATATGTGTTTTCGTAGTTATAACAAAAATGGAGGAGAAAATGATCATTGGAGATGGATTGGACTGGCTCTACTCTACGTATTGGGAGTTTTGAAAAGTTACCGTCAGAGATTAGGATTAAAAATATTTCATGCAGCTCTTGTGCCAGTCAAATTGTGTAGTTCATGCAGTTCTTCCACTTTGCTCTAAAATAAATCATGAATAGTATCCTTTTCTTTGATCCCGTTTAAAAGTCTTATATTTGTTATAATATTTAACTAAATAAATTAGATTAAAAAACTAATGTATGTTCATCTCATTTTAAATATTTTATTTTTTATTCGATAAAAATGTAATGTAAAATTATCAATAATTAGTCATATACTCCATAGTTTATCCATTTGTCTCAAAAGCATTTAATTATACCCCCTTCGTCATAAAAAAATAATCTATATCGTAAATTGTACTTTTTAATTTATTTTATATTTGCATATTGACTATTTTTATGGAATAAAATAAATATTACTACTTTTATTATCAAAATGGATTATTTCCCTGTCTAGCTATAATAATAGTTTAAGTGAGTACGTTCTACCTTTCTTTTAATGACCAATCCACGTTTTGACTTTTGAGGATGGAGCCAATGAGCACAAAACTGCTCGAATTGCATACTAATTTCTAAAAGCACCTTTTATTTGATATTTATATCTCTTTTTTTAGTTTAGTTTTTTTTTTCCTGTAGATATTATCTAAAAAGTAAATCGGGATCTGATACGTTCCCCATATAATTTTTCCTAGACAAAAGGTACATTTTAGCATGATAGCATCCTCTTTTTTGAATGGATGCGGATTGCTACTTGCTAGATACTATGATCAACTACCCTAATACGGAATATGTTAACTCCATCGTAATACAATAAAATCTCCGTCGCAGCACAAATATACTAATGTATGTTCATCTCATTTTAAATATTTTATTTTTTATTCGATAAAATGAAGTGTTAAAGTGACACGAAATAAGTTATTATTACGTTACACTATAATGCACCTTATTAGTTTAACTAAACTATTAAAAATGAAGCAGCGAGTAAACACATTATGTTGTTAAAATAATGTTCTTTCTGTCCCAAAATTATTGTTTAGTTTGAACTAAAAATAAAAATCTAAACTAAACAATAATACTATTTTTTTCGATGAAAAGATAAATTTTATACAAAATTACCAAAACAGTGAAAGTTCATTACATAATTTCATGCCTAACTATTACAAAATTGATGAGGTCATTTAGCACCTCTCTACACACAAACTGAAGAGAGCATCTATTTCAGTAAAATCTTACATTAAGATAATCAAATACTTGCTTTAAAATCAGCCTTTCTGCCACACTGTTTTTAGTATGCTTCCTCTGTCCAAATCTGCACTTTAGCTCCATTTGTAATCCACTAAACAGCAATTCTGGAGATCTTTCTACACAATCAAATTGCATTCTATTCCTTTCAGTCTACAGATGATAAATGCAACCCATCACAGAAGTCCTGAGCATGCATCTTTTTAACTTCTGTTTCTTCCACACGGATTTTGAGCTTTCCATCTGAGACTTTGATTTGAAATCTTCCTGCAGTTTAATCATCTTCTCAGCAACTCCAATATCTGCTTAGAATAGCAGCATTGAAAGAAAAGGTGGTCACAGGTTTCAACTTCTGATCTGCACAGCCAACAACTAGCATTTGAAACTGTTAAGTCCATTCTGCCGTTCCTATCCTTAGTGAGTATTTTCTGTTTATATGCCAATCATGCTATAAATGCATGCTTTGATAAGTTTGCATTAGCCCATATATAGCTTGCATTCTCATCATTCTCACCATCTCCAATCAACCATTGGTATCCTGATAACACGAAATAGATATCATTCTTCTGACCTCTCCATTCCAGACCATTAAAGCCCTTCCTGAATAGTTCTTGCAATTTAAGAAACTGTTTCCAATGCCAACTGGTAGCAGCATTTAGAGCAACATCCGAAAAATTTGACTGTTTGATGTATACTCCATAGATCCATCGAACCCAGAGGGCTTCCTTGTTCTGTAACAGTTGTCAGACTTGCTTAAAGACAGATGCCTTGTTCCACAACCTAGCATCCTTAACACCAAGTCCACCCTCTGATTTGTCCTTACACACTTCCAACAAGTTTACAAAGGATAGAGATCTGCTATCATATTTGCCATCCCGTAAGTACTCCCTACATACTCTATTCACCATTTCAGTCACCCTTTAGGTAATAGTAACATACTCCCCCAGTAAGAATGCATTGTCATCAAGACTGAGTTAACGAGGGTCAACCTCCCAGCATACAAAAGATGCCGGGAGCTCCAACATCTAATCTTTGCTACCATCTTGCTAACAATGCCATGTCATTCCACCTGATTCCACTTTTTCGGGGCTAATGATACTCATAAATATTTCATAGGGAATGAAGTGCAACTAAAGCCAGTGATATTACAGAATTTTTCCTGTTTCCTGTCCCCAATACCCCCAAAAAGATCTCAAACTTCTAAGAATTCGCAACAAGGGCAGTTGATTCAGAAAAATCCCTAAATACATCCATAATGAGCTTAATAGTTGGAATATGAGCCTTGCAGAAAATCATAAGATCGTCTGCAAAGCAAATATTCGTAAGTTTCAACTGTTTACATAGTAGATGAAATTTAAATTCTTCCCTAAGAACATTTTTCAAACTTCGAGTTAAATACTCAATAATGAGGACAAACAACAGTGGAAAGATTGGATCTCCCAGTTGTAAACCCCTTTGACCAGCAAAATATCCCAGACCAACCATTTTGGGCTAATGAAAAAGATGTTGATATGCAAGTCATAATTCACATTCTGATATGTTCCGGGAATCCATACCCCAGCAATGTTTCCTCAACAAATTCTCACTCTACCGAATCATATGCCTTTTTCAAATCTATTTTCATCAACAGCCTATTACTAATGCCTTTTGTATCGTATAATCTAATAAACTCTTGTGTAATAAGTACATTATACATGATGAACAATAATACTCCCTCCATTTCAAAATAAGTGTCATTCTGGAATTTGTACACAGAATATGAAACACTTAAATAAGGTAGCTAAATTACTAGAATATTCTCAATCAACTCCATTAAAATAAATGCTCACTAATAATATTATTTCTTTTGAGGGTATGTTTAAAAATTTTTTGGCAAAAAATGCATTGGAATCCGAAAACGATACTTATTTTAGAATTTCTCCATTTTGTTAAAACGACACTTATTTTGAAATAGAGGGAGTACTATTAAAACAAAGTGAATTCTAACATTGAGCTCATTATCCCGTTTGAATGCACAAGGGAAGATAATTTATGAAATAAAAGGTTAGAGCAAAAACTGGAATAAAGTAGGAGGATAAGATTAGGAGGGGGCACAATTGTCAAAGAACTCAGAATCTTCTTTTCTGCACAATTGCATATACCCCCCACTAATTGAGAATGGATTACTAATAACTAATAAAAAAAAAATTCTAAAAATAATAGAAGTACAAAATAGAAGCTTGCTTCTTACTCGCTCCCCTTTCTCTCTGAGCGCACTCAATCCTATCTTTTTCCGCCATTTCTTTTCACTTCTCAGCTTTAGAGCAAATCAAACCGCCATTGGTCAATTTCATAGTTTTTGGGGAATATTAACTGAATAATCAACTCAATAATCAATTTTCTGATTTACGAACTCCTCTTTCTTTGTGATTTGATGCTGGTATTTCATCGCCGATCAATTTTTATCGACAAATAGATTCCGGCGAGAAAAAGCCTGCCAAATTGAACGGCGATACTCGAGCTTGTTCCTTTTAACTGTTTCTTTGAAGAAGAGGTTTGACCTCGTCGGAGATACTTTATATTAGAGTTTTTTATTTTTGGTGGTTTGTGATATAATATTGATGAAATTTAACGGAGAGACTGCAACTGCATTCGCCGATGATGATGAGGACGGCGACTGCGTAGAGAAAGAAGACGACCTGATTCTGATCAAGTCTCCTGTATCGCCGCCGCAGCCTAAGCGAATCGTCGTCGGCTACGCCTTGACGTCTAAGAAACGGCAGAGCTTCTTGCAGCCTAAGCTTCTCGATTTAGCGCGGTATATAATGCATTTTAGTTTCTCATTTTTGTTCAACGATTTTTTGTTTCGCCGCCTGATGCAACTTCTCCGCATTCTCATTTATTACTCGGTTTAGAGTCCCTCCTCCTGCTGGTGATGTTGAGTTTTTATGATTAGTTTCGCTTAATCTGCGTGTTCCTTTTTGAATAAATTATTGAGAAAATGTTCCTCACTTCAGTTTTTTTGCTAATCGCGCTTAATCTTTGAGACTTGCTTGTGTAGTGCTCTTTAAATATTTTGTGATTATCATCAGGAAAACAGAGGTCTATCTGGTTCTTCCTTCAGACTTTGACAAGCGGAATAGTTGTTTGATTTGATAATAGAGTTTGATGGCACATGTCTTTGTCGTTAGGCTCGTGTCATTGGAAAGGTCGTGTAGACTGCCACTTTCGATTTGTGTCCTGAGTTCTTAAAGCATTGGAATGCGAACAGATTAATATTTGATTTAAAAGCTTGCTAAATAAAATCTTCTGTTATATAAATCACCAATTGAATGTAAAATGAAAAGAGAAATGGTTTTGAAATAAGCTTGGAGTTCCCTCTATATCTAACTATTTTCTTTCCCTTTTCTCCTGAGTTCTTGCTTTGATGGTTGCACTAGCACAATAGCCTTGTATTTTCACAATGTTGTGAATGAAGTATTTGTGCCTCATACTCGTAACAGTTGATCAATTGTTTGTTTGACTTATCCTTTCTATTGTAGAATAATGCTCTTTGGAATATTTGATATCTGTTATTGAACTCCTTTTGCTTATTGGGAATATTCCTCTTAATATGCTCTAAGCAGAAGATATGTCACTTTTGAGTGGTATAGCCCGAGTCAATCTGCTGCACTTCTGACTTGCTATTGGAAGTTATTAAATCAAAAACCTGTCCCCACTGTCTAATTAGTATTTCTATTTCCATCTTTGTCCCTGGTTGAGTTTTCCTATTTAACTGTTTGCTTTGGTTTCGTCCTTTTCTTAAACTATTCTTGCTTTAAGGTTTTGAGTTGAAAACCTGGAGTGAAATGTACGTGCATCTTGCGTTAATTGTTCTGAGATGTTAAGTGGCTTGTAGCACTCATATGTTTTCATTCTTAAGCGTCACTGTCATTTGTATATTGACTTTTATTCTCCGACTCCCATGTCAACTTCTCTTGGTAAGTTGGTATATCTAAATGAACATGTAGAATGAGCTTGAGAAAATAATGGACATGCTTTTAGTCTTTTCATCATGTTTCTGCTCCATCCTATGTTGATTGCAAACCTTTCTGTAGTTTAGCTGGGGCATGAGGAGAAGAAAGTCTTCTGGTAGTTTTTGACTGGTTGTTTCTTGTGGTGCAGGAATAAAGGAATAGTATTTGTAGCTATCGATGTGAAGCAGCCATTGTCAGATCAAGGTCCTTTTGATGTTGTTTTGCACAAGGTTAGTGTGGATTTGCTTTCCAAGACATTCATCGTCCTGCAGGATTTAGGTTCAGATGGCTAGTTATGAAGCTTTTTGTGCTCCTTTCCATTTTCATTTGTCATTGGAAATCTTTAGTTTAGGATGTCTTATACTGTCGTAATAGTATTGGAAATGTATGCTTAATTGGTCTCTTTGCTAAACATTGTGCTAATTGATCCCACGATTTTGTCATGTTTCCCAGATGACATGTTACAACCACCTTCTTAGCTACAATGGAAAAGTAATGTGGAAAACAGTAGCATAATGCTTATGAGCTAAACGAATTTTAATGAAATATCAATGTATAAATCTTAATGGTATACAATTTTGTTTCCCTGTTTGTAAGGTTGTTCATTTGTTTGTATGTCCACACGCCTCACTTGTTTCTTTTTTATTTCCAGTTGACAGGAAAGGAGTGGGGCCACATAATTGAGGTTTGTACCTCTAACCTTACATGTTATGTTGTAGTTGTTGACTCGTATTACTTTGCATTGCTGAACACTAAACATTGTGGTTTCATTCAGTGTAAGACTTTTTCCACCTTAACATGTTAACCCCTTGCCATGGATATTTACATCAATGCTTCTGTTTGAGTCGAGGAGTATGATTGTCCTGCTCAAACATCATTATCTACTCCGGCATGAAAACCATTTTTCCTTAATAATTTCACGATTGTGTCCTCACTCCACTCCTGATCTGACGGTTGATTGGAGTTCCTTGTGGTATTCAAAGAAAAAGTTCCTTTGAGAGGGAGATCAGCTGCTAAACTGGTTCCAGACTTTGTTATATAGTAGATATGGTTCTCAATGTTATAGATCTTCTTTTTAGTGGGGGGAAAATAAATTTATTGCATGTTTTTAATTTGTCTCGATACTATTAGTGTTGGGCTTGTATTTACATGTTATGTATGTGCTACTGCATTTTGACTCAGCTACACATAGGGGAGTAGGTTGTAGAACTGTTATGTTACTAAAGATTTATTATCTGGATTGTTGTTGAACTATTTAAAGAATGCATTTCTTGTGATCGCAATCTCTGTCTATATTTAAGCTGTAAGTCTTCTTCAGCATTTTCAGTTTGTAACTGGACAAAGGCAGCAACTCTCTTGGAAAATGTTTCATTGTTCATAAAAGGATTTTATCCACCTTTCTAGAAGCATGAATACCCACTGCACATCTTATTTTGTTTGCTCTCATCCTGAAGGATTACAGGCAAAAGAATCCGAATGTAATTGTCCTTGATCCTCCTGATTCAATAAAACATGTTAGCAATCGGCAATCAATGCTTCAGGATGTTGCCGATCTCAACTTACCTGACTGTTATGGTACTTTTCTTGTTTCTTGGTTTGACTGTTGCATCATGAATGTGTTATGTGAATATCTAAATATTACCAATGCATTTTTGTATTTCCCAAAGTTAACCAAGCTACTATTCTTTTGGCTGCTTGGCTCTTAATCCTGAAAGGTACCGTCACTGTCCCAAGGCAGTTGGTTTTCACAAAAGATCCATTATCGCTTCCAGATGAAGTCACTAAAGCTGGTCTTAAACTCCCGTTAGGTAGTTCTTGTTTTTCTCGTTTCTGTTTCTTTTCCACATAAAAGTTGTGTGTGTGATTTCTACTGCCGCACCTTTACTTTCTATTCAAGTTACTTTTCCTCTGACGCTTTGTGGAAACCTATTCAACCTGTGTTTCAGTTGCTAAACCTCTGGTAGTTGATGGAACTGCTAAGTCACACGAACTGTTTCTTGCATATGACAAATTTTCGCTCGCTAAACTTGAGCCGCCTTTGGTACTGCAAGAATTTGTCAATCATGGTATTCGCATTTTCAAGATGTGTATACTGTCATCTATGTCATTATATACTCCTTTAACTTCTCTTTAATGACTATTGTAATCGATTGCAGGCGGGGTTCTCTTTAAAGTGTATATTGTTGGAGAATTCATTCAAGTGGTCAGGCGTTTTTCTCTACCTGATGTTTGTAAACGTGAGCTATCAAAATTTGCTGGTGTATTTCGTTTCCCGAGGGTTTCGTGCGCTTCAGCTTCTGCAGATGGTGCTGATTTGGATCCTTCTGTCGCGGGTGAGTTATTCATTATAATGAGAAGATCAACATAAAATACTGTGGAAAATTCATAAAAGGGCCTTATAGAACTTGAAAGAACACATCTCAATGGTTAGTTCTTACAACAAAAGACGAAGCTAATGAACCAAAACCTTGAGAGGGTAAAAAGTACCAACCATCAAACATGAAGGACAGTAAGGGTAGTGTGTTTGGAATTGTTTTTTCAGTAAGTGGCTTTTCTTTTCTGTTTGAAATGTAAAAGGTTATTTTGAATGTAAAACGTGGTACTGAGAATGTGCTCCTCTCAACGTAGTACTGAAATTTCCTTCTTTGTTTTCTCCTAACACAACTTTTTCTTCAGAACTTCCTCCAACTCCTTTGTTGGATATGCTTGCAAGAGAGCTTCGCAATCGATTGGTAAACCTTTTTATATCCTCAACCCTTTTAGTTTCTGCCATGATATCTTTGCAAGTTGAGCCACATATCTGAATCCTGGAATGTTACAGGGTCTGCAGCTATTTAATGTAGATATAATTCGAGAATACGGGGCAAAAGACCTTTACTACGTCATTGACATCAACTACTTCCCTGGCAAGTCAAGTGACTATTCTTACATCACTTGATATATGTTAGATTGCTGGTTGCATCCATAATTACCATGCATAAAATAAGAAGTGTGCATTGATTCTCATAATCAATATTTCATCATCTGGTGGGCAACACATGATAAACAGTGGGTTTTTAATACATTACGTACTCTGGAATGGACATGTGTATAGAAGGGCCAGTATAATCACAGACAATCTTTCCTTGCCTTTTCATCTTTCTGTGCTTTGATACGTGTATTATGCATAATCACTCTTGTCAGTATTATGCATTCATCTTTCTGTACTCTTGAATGGACATGTGTATAGAAGTGTCAGTATAATCACAGACAAGCTTTCCTTGCCTTTTCATCTTTCTGTGCTTTGATACGTGTATTATGCATCCATCACTCTTGTTGCATTCGATTGTGGCTTTTGTCACAGTCTTTTAAGTCTCTATTTGTCTTTTTGTGCACTTCATCTTTTTCAGATTTGTTTTCTCATTTAGATTGATTATATCTTATGTATGAGAAGCGTTTGATAGCTGTTGCAGGATATGGAAAAATGCCTGGGTATGAGCATATGATCACAGATTTTCTTCTGAGTCTCGGGGAAAGGAAACACAAAAAGGAGCTTCTCTCGTAAATATTGGAACCCGTCTTTTTAGGTTCCTCCCTTGGAGGTGGACTGGTAAGGGAAGTTTTCTATCGTTTCTCTCTACCTCTTTGCTTAAGACATGACGAACCATTAGGTGTGACCATCACATAGAGAAGTCAGGATGGTATTTCATGAGAAAATAACTCTTTTCTCCCAGTGTTGTGCATTTTAAAATTGTTATCCTTAGGCTGGTTATTTTTTCTGTTATTAGGGGGAGATTAGTCACCAACATATTTGTTTCGCTTGTATTATGCAGTCTGCATGCATGTAATGAATTCATGGAAGGCCTCCCTGAAATTTTACATTTTTGGAAATGGTGAAGTAGATTGTATATTCATGTTGTAATGTGCATGGAGGTGATTCGTGCATATGCTGCTATCCGTTAAATTCATTTGTCATTGGAAATTTGGAAGCTGCAATATCAGTCCATGTATTTCCACTCGTTACTTTTGAATATTGTGCTTCAAGTTTGTCATGACTTCTAACCGGCGTGGTTATAAAATAGAGTCTCTGGCTGTAGCGGCCTTTGGAATTCGTAGCAACATGAGATGGTTTAAAACTACAAGCAAGTCATAATATATTTGCCTAACAAGTTCAATAGTCATCAAAATTAACCTTTTTCCTGTTGATAGAATCATTTAATTTACATACATGCATTAGGCCGTCAGTTATTGTTTAGCCGCATTTTGCACTTATTTGTTATTCATAAAACCATTTATTTTTTCCAACTAATTTTGTTTATTACAAAGCGAAAATTGAGGGAAAAAAAGTGCCCGAGAAAGGAAAAAGCGAAGTCAAACACTTGTAAACACTTGTAAAAAGCGAAGCCACAAGCGAAGTCAACATTCTAAGCAAGTTCTTTATAGCGAAGTCAAACACTTTAAAATTTGAACATTAAGAGAAGGAAAAAGCGTGGAGGGGGTATTCTAGAATGTTATACGCGAGCAATATGATGTGGCGGACAATCCATCACTATGGAAAGGTGGACTCAAAGCCAAATCAATATTTTTAAAATGTAACTTTATCGTTGATGATGTTAAATAGTTTCGAAAATGGACTCTTTCTGCAGCAAGTTCATGTGGTCCGCTATTGAGCCAAATCAACCAGCTGAAATCCGACTTTCGAAAAGCTAATTGTTGCTCCGAAATCCGAATCAATTGGTTCGTCCATGCTATAATGCCCGAAGACATCCTATAAAGACACCATTGGCTGATACGTATCAACACCTAACATATGGATACACTGCATTTAGCCATTTACAAGTATAATGAAATTACAACATTCTAAGCTTTTAATTCCTGCAGCTACAGCCAATGATGTTAACTGATATCGTCTGGCCTAAAATATATACAAGGGCTCCTATGGTGACATCAAAATCAAGTAAGGGCTATTTACATTTATTATGTACAGATACCGAGCGATCTCCTTCTGTTTACCAGAAGGGGCACCACCTGAAACAGTCAAAATGGGACGGTTAATTCAAATTGCAGAAGTTGACAAGAAAGTTCTAATTCAAACAGTATTTGAATTTCTATAACCAAATTGCAGAAGGCAACTAGGAATATTAAGTCATACCCGACATAATTCTGGCACAAATTTTCAAATGAAGTTGCTTGTTGAATGAGCTTTTGAACTTGCACCTTTACCGACAAATGTTCGGGTTCACGGGTATCACCAGATCCTACGGTACTATGATCAGGCACATGTTGTAATGAGCTATTTGGCCCTGGAGCAGAAAAATCACGACCAGTAAGCTTGTTACTCATCCGTGCCATAACCACAATGGCACGCTCATTCAGAACCTCATTGGCATCTCCCAGTTGATGGACAGCCTGAAAAATTCCAGTTAAGTTAATCTGTTCATTGGCTTGATAGATTCCACAATATAAACTAATTAGACCTTATCTCCCTATGCGGAGAATAACTATATTTTATATCTGGAACTTTAGCTTTTATAAACACAACCAACAACTATGAGCTTAATAAAGAAGGCACCTGGAGCAGTTCTCTCTCACGAGCTCCACGTTGAGGCTGTAAGAGCTCCCTGTTTTCCTCACAATTTACAACAGCAGGGATATGAGCACTTGTAAGAGCAGACATTTGTGGCACTTCATTGAAATTAAAGAGACGCCAATTTATCAGTGGATCATGAACGAAAGCCTGCACAAGCAGCAGGTTCTCTATTAGCACACACTTTGTCACGAGATTCCCTTTTCCTTAAATGTAACAACAGTCACGAGCATGATTCCCTTCAATCAAGTAAAAAGGATGAACAAATGACAAAAAAAAATTGAGAGGATAAAGCACCAGGCAGTTGATCAAAATAACCATATGCTGAGCTCTCAATGATCCTTTTCCTATTGGTGTTTGTCCAGATTCACATGGTTAATACATATGTGACATTTCCTCAAATGTGAGGCTAGGAAAAAAAAACCATCTCAGTGATTTTTTCCACTTTCATTTATAATGTTCAGACACACATTTGAATGTTTTCAAACAAAACTAACAAGAGAAGGAAACGTTAGAAAACGGCAGATTTCAGTTTCGGTACCTCCATCATCGCCATAACACTATCTTTATTAGTTCTGAGAACTTGCATGACATTTTCACATGTAGATCGGAAGTTGCCTTCGAGACCGCTCACTTCCATTGCTTTAACAAGCATTCTCGTTAAGCGGAAAGGAACCTAAGTCAAAATCCTTTCGTTAGAGGAACCGTTCAATTATTTGTTCAAAGGAAAGGAAAAGACAGAAAAGGTGGCAAGATTGGCGAACCTTTTCTGGGAATTTCTCTCTGTTCATTGAAGCTTCAAAGCAATCTCCAAAGTCAATATGTAAAATCTTCCCACTGAACAAAAACATAAAATCATAAATCCACATACCAAACCAGGAATAAGTTAGCACTGAGGGCATCAACATACCTGTAGCGATGCAGCATAAGATTACTAGGATGACGATCACCTAGGCCAAGAAGGTAACCAACCTGAAATGAAAAATTAAGGGGGAAATAAAAGATATTGGTGTCTGCGGATAAGAAACGAAACAGATACACAGAGTTCATGTAATCACCAAATGCAGGAAGATCCAAATTGCAGTTCAGTTTGCTATGACAGAGCACTTGGAAGAGACACCAAGAAAACTTTATTTACTAAACCTTTTTCAACATTCAATTAATGCCTCAAATCAACTGAATCTAGAGTCATGTTAGGTTCTGATTCCTGGAAGATGTTATTTGCCTTCTAGAAGTAAACATCTTTTGTGCTCTTAAATAAAAATGTTTTATGCTCCATAGGATACTCAAAGTTATTTATTCTCTTTATGCTGCTGGATGACATCATTCAATGCATTATTTTATGAAGGAATGGAAATTTTTTTTTGAGACTCCTATCACTTCTCTGTTTTTTCAAGAATATTTACATCCTTATTGTTTTATTAAAATTTTGTCCGTCTCTCTCTCTCTCTCTCTCTGTTGCATACAAGTCAGTTGGCTTTTACTGTTTCAGTGGTGAGAATTTGCTTCCTTACTTTGCAGGAATCCGTGTCTGACATTTTTCTGCCCAATCAAAGTTAATGTCTTTGAGGAAAATGCCACAGGTTCCTATTCTTTTATCTCTCTATTCAGAGATTTTTTCCGTTGTTCAATGTAAGGATTATACCACACGCAGCTTCACCTCGTCGACTCACAAATGTTAGGCATATTCTTCCCAAGGACTAGGAAAAAGGTAAGGGTTTATACGTTGGCCAATTTTATATCACAGTTTTCAAATAAGAATCATACACAATAAAGAAGTTTTACCAAAAAGCTCTCAAAACACACCATTATATTGGACAAATAAAAGAAGCATAGACTCAAACAGGATCAAGACGTAACAAAAGTAAAATTATCAAACCAGGAGCCAAAATATTAATAACTAGCATCACTTGATACATAAATAATTCAATAAGACACCATCAAACATTTGTCTCAAATCAACCAAGCCGCGATAAAGTAGCTCTATCATGATCAATACTATCCTTGTGAGAATTATCAGTCAAACAATGTGAACAGTGACAAAAATGGCAACAAACCCATGGAAAAAATTAAAATGTGCAAATTGAAAAAAAAAGTTCAAACAGAAAATTCATTGACAATAGTTCCTTGTAACCATTCACAACAGGGACTGCATATTAAGCCTCTTCAAAGTATAGAAAATAAAGCACGTGAAGAGTGTGTACCATGCTCATGACAGCTAAACTTCTGGTATAATTTGTCCTCCTATCTAGCCAAACCTCTGATGTGCGACTTTTCAACCAGAGAACCTAGACAAAGAGTGATTAGATTCAAAAGAGAAACCAGCTGGAGAGCGTGAATGAGAAGACAAGGATTGCAATAACTGCTTACCCTTGACAGATCATTTCCTTCTGTATTCTGTAGAGCATACTCAAACACTTCTACTTTAGCAATAAGAGGCAAATGATCATAGTCCGGTGCAAAACTAAGCATGAGTTTGTGCTCTTGGTTTAGGGTGATCTAAAAAGTCCAAATAAGATTTGAAAATTTAGAATATGCGCGAGAGAGAGAGGGGGAGAGAGAGAGGTGCAGGGTGCAGTATATGGAAATATAGTACCCAGACAAACCTTACGAGCATCTCTATACTCTCGAATAAGATGGTGCAGGGTGTCACAATTTGGAACCCATTCAATCAGTCCACTGTTAGGTGATAAAGGAATGACTGAATATCTTTGAATCGAAAGATCTTTCTCTGCAGTCTTTCTAGAATTCTCCAAGAGTGTATTCACAAGACCAAAGAGCTGGTAAACAATCAAACTTTAGAATCTGCAGGTTCTTTTAAATATTGCAAGGACAATGGAGACTTATAGTAACTCAGAAAATCGAGGAGCTAAACAGGAATTCAAGAACAAAAAATGACGTAAAGAGGCAAGAAAATTTCCAAGCAATTTATAACCTGCATGACACGTTCATCTTGGCGTAGATCTTCATGTCCCTTTAGAAGAAAAGCATGATCTTCACCGTCACTACCATGTATAGTCAATTTTCGAGGACGTTGCTTAGATGTAATGACAACAAGCTGGTCGGCAAATGACGCTATGGTGACCACTGGTAAATCTGTGGTAATCGAATGTTGAATAAGGACACAATGCTAAGAACAAAGGAACTGGAGTCAAGTTTATCAACAAGTTGTGCCAATTGAATTTTACCAGCTCGATAGGTTCCTGGAACAGCTAGCTCCAGATTTCGGCACTCCAGTAGCGCAGGAGAGACAGACTGGATATCCAAAACGAAAAGACTTAATGCTGGGAGGCATTCAATAAGAAAACTACAAGCACAAAAGAGGTGCCACTACTTGCCTGTAAATCCAGGGTTGTAAGGGTCTGAAGTTGCTTATCTATCCTCCTAAATACATGATAATATAGATCCCAGGCCTAATTTAAGATAATTTTAAGTTAGTACAAGAGAATAAGAAGTGACCACAAATTTGCAATGTAGCAGAAAAACCAACATGTTCATTCACTAAAAAGAATGTACATCGGGGAAATGACTGCTTCACGTGTCAATGCAACTACCCAAATTCAAGAGTACAATTAAGATAACTAAATAAAGTGGTGAAAGGCATTTACCACCACTGAGGCTTTGACAAAACTACCAAACAGCCATGGGTTTGAGAAAAATACCAATAACTCCCTTAACCAGTTAAAACCCATGACATTTGAACCCCGAATGACGGGAATTTTGCTGGGAAGTACTTCTCAAATTTATGTTGTATAAACAAATCCTCCCCTTAAGCTTTTGCATCAATGATTTTATATGAAACTTCTTGTTCAATTTCAAAGTTTTTTACAAATTGCAAAAATTGCGTAGGAAGAAAATGCATAAATTTGAAGTAAGAGGAAAATTAGAAATGTTATGACCATTGCAAATGGAGCTGGAAGAATCATCATTGACGATTCTTTTAGCTTTGTGCTAATAATGGACTAAATCAAAACAGTTCTATTAAATTCCACAGCTTCCTCTATCAGTGAAGTTGCTGGAAATCAATACTTCAAATGACGCAATGTATCTTCGGTCACAACGGAAACAACCTCTTTGTATAATTACAAGGGTAAGGTTGTGTTCATCAGACCCCCCAGACCCCAACTTGGTTGGGAATACACTGGGTATGTTGACAGGAAAATTAGAAAATTTCACCAAATGCTACACATAATGACGATTGATGTCTTATACGTATACTTCCGTTGTTGATAAGTTCTTGTTACACTGGAAGTAGCAGTAAAGAAATCCAACTTAATAAGCATGTACACAAACATTTCGCTGCAAAATAAACAAGTAACAGGACCAGAGGAATAAAAAATTAAAAAAAAAAAAATCTTTCAAGCTAATCTCTATTAAAAGCAAAAGATTAGCTGGTACCTGAGTAAGTTCGGCATCTTTTCCCGTTCTCCTATACTTCATGCAACATTCATATGCCTCCTGTAATTCATGGCGGTATGCCTACCAAACACAGAAAACATCCACTCCAATTACATAACTGACACAGTAAATTTCATCTTTAAAGTAATGAAAAAGGAAGAGGGGAATCCAATTGCAAAGAGACATAGAATAAGATAGTGATCCAAAGTATAGAGAAACTAGGCTTTGATTTTACAGATCAACCAGAACACTTGTAAACATGCAATGACAACAGAGAATACCCAATCTGTGGTTACGGGGCAATATAATACCTGAATGAAAGCTTTCTCTTTTATTGTGGTATCGTTTCTTGCAGAGCCTTCCTCGAGCATTTCATGCAGAGGTTCTAACACCTTTAGCATCCCCTCAATGTTATGCTCACCAAAATATAAACGGCTAGCCTCTTCCAATGCTTCATGCCACATTTCGTGCCAAAGAATTGCAACCCTGATCAACTCCTTTGAGACAAGTTGTGCCTTCAAGGAAATCGAAACTGTTAGACCAATACTGCAGGTCACAAAGAAATTACATCATGGCCACAATTGTCACCTGGTCCACCAATGCACCACTATGTTGTCGAACTTTATCTACAACTTCTTGTGCTGCAGCTCTACGTAAATTGCTAATTGATTTGCATGCCACAAGAAGCGGATACATAAGAGCCTGCAGTATACACATATAAAATATGAAACTTCCCTCCCAAAAAGAAAACCACCAAACAATAGGAGGGCAGAGGTCATGGCAACCACCCATGCTTGACATGATTAACAAGAAAGTTGCAAGAAATAGAAAGCTCAACCAATAGTCCCCATCGTATATGGTCATAGATGGGGTAGAAGAATTAACAAAGAATGATTGAGGAAATCACGTGTAAAAAGAAGGAAAAAGTACTCTTGTAAACTCCCAGGGAGTGGTGTACAAACCTGTGGATGGGTCTGCCCAATTCTTACTAATAGTGATTGTATCAATTCACGGACAGCGTGATTATTTGAATGTATCCTGGCAATTATCTGAGGCAAAACAACCAGCCAAGTGTTGATATTTACATGCGTAAATCCTATCTGCAATGCCATTTGAACATCTGAAGTTGCGCCATGATTGAACCACAAAGTAAGGAGACGAAGAATATCCTGAAATCAAAGAGGAAAAGTTACAAATCGGGAAAAATGGGATTGGCACAGTTGCACCATGATCGAAAGAAAGAAGACTCTTCCAGGTTTTGTCATGATTGAAAGAAAGAAGACCCTTCCAGTTGGAAAGAAAGAAAACTTTTCCAGGTTTGTCTGATCACAGTACGCATAAATACAAATTTTAGACACTAATATACCTGTAAACTATCATCCACTCCTTTAGCATGTGCTCCGCAAGCTATGGAGTGAAAATATCCATTAACAGCAGCAACAACATATTGAGAAACTTTGCTCGAAGAGCCTTTGAGAGTATAATGTGACATCACAGCTGTATTAAAGAGCGCCCAAGTATGCCATGCTTTTGCCCAGTTTGCCGCAAAATGAGTAGCATTCCGAAAAGCAGCAAGAATTTCTAAAAAAAAATCAAGAAATTGAACATCGTTAATAAATTCAGGACAGATCTCAGATGTGTTATATATATATTCATTTAAAAAGAAAAGGGAAAAAAAAAGAAGAAGAAGCTCCACATGGAAAGAGATTAACCAGTTATAAAGATCTCAATCAATCCCTCATTTCTTCTCCATGGAATGGTTCAAACCATGAAATTTTTTGCCCAAAGGAATATGCTGCCAAGCTACACTAAAATCCCTCCTATTGTTCCTCTGTGTCAGTAATTAGATTAACTTCAAACCTGGCTTCTCAGTATGGGCTGTTTATTTATTTGTTCACACAAATTGCTCAAGGTTACTCTTCTAAACCAAAATAAAAAGAGGCTCGTTGGGCATTAAGCCATTCCTTCTCTTCTTTGAAAGTGTGTGGTCAGGTAGTCAACTCTTTTCGTATACTCCACTCACTCCCTTCCTGCCTCTCTCTTACAAACAGGGCTAGGTTCAGACACGCGGATCTGCTTAACTTGCTAAATTAGAAAGAAAGTACCCTGTCACATTCGAAGTTCGGCAGGGAAATCTAAGATTCTCATCCGGCCAGCGGACCGGCAGCAGGCTTATCTTCAAGGAACATGGATACAGAAAGAATTCTAAGACTTCAACGTATATAAGACAGAATAAGTTGTACACCACGAATGGCCTCCAAAATTTGGTTGCAGGAAGTAAAATGTGCACAAATATGAACAGTCCTACGACTTCGTTGTCCTACCCTGTTCGACATAAATAGGGTATAACCCTACCAAGAGAGGTAGTGTACTTCGCTTAAGAAAAGCACTCGCCAGGCAGCAATGTACATACAAACAAAATATAAACACGATTTATAATGTAAAGAGTGGCAGTTGATAACTTGACCATTCAACGAATGTAAAAGACGAAAACAGCTATGAGTTCCGGGGAGTTCATTGTTGTTTTGAAAGTTGTTATCGACACCCTAGATGTAACAGAAGATAAAACCCCGGGATCTAAAGCAAAGATGGGGAACTTTTAAATTTTGATTCAGTTACAGGAACCCGAAAAGAGAAATGAGCTCATATACCAATGAATAGGTACAGTCACAAAGAGAGTGCACTTGAACCACAAACTATATCAATCGTGTAACTGTATATATCTTCTGTTCGACATGTAGTGTAAATCTCAAAAGACAAATATAATACCTTGTATAGAAGAATCGTCGTCTAAACCAGGAGATAGTGCCCACTGCCAGCTTCCTACTTTTAAATATACACGAGCAAGGAGTGGCACACTGGAGTTACTAATTGAGCTAGTCTGGATGGCAGGTTGAAGATTTGGCGTCCTTGTAAGCTCTACAGCCAAATCCTACAATGATGAGAGAAGTTGAAACAATAAGAAATTTTAACATAGAGAAACAGATGCAGACATCTATTACCAAAAATAGTCTTACCTGCAATCTCATAAAGGCTTCCCTGCGCTTATGGTCCTCCCCTAGGGACCACTGGTATTTCAAATAAGCTAACACCACTTGAGGAGGTCCATGCACCCGTAAAGTATCAGGGGTTGTTTCAGGATCAAACTACACGAACCAGGGTAAAATGTTCTGAGCATGATATATCAGTGATAGACAACATATACATCATTTCCAAATTGGAAGCATACCAACCTGCAAAAGCTTGGTTAAGGTAGATTTAGCCTGACTGATTCTCCCACTCTTGCGGCAAAGGGAAGCAAACTTTATCCAGGTCTCACAGTCTTCGGTAGGAGGAAGAACAAGAGCCCTGACAACTAGTAGAGCTTGCCAGACCTAGAAGTCAAAAGACTCCAGCATTAAGAAAGTAGAAGGCAAAGAAACAATAGAACTTGGAATAAAAACATGTGACAAGTAGAGAGAAGTTAAGCCATTGCGGTGTATGTTTCACCAAATTTTGAGCCCTAAAATAACCAAATAAAACAGATGTATGCTTTGAATGTCGAATTTACAACCCCCGACCCTTGACACGTCAATAGCCCCTCCCAATAAAAAGCAAGAAGGAAACAAGGTAAGGAAGATTATTTCCAAGTTTTGACTTCAATGAAATAAAATAGCAATAAGAAAAATTTTATAAACCTCAACATTGCGCTTTGCGCCTTTTATGCGTTCATTCCACATATTACGGATGAGTGCCCTCCGTCCCTCCGCAACAGAGTTTCCTACCGGAATTGTACAGTATTCAATTACCTATATTGATCCACAAAAACAGCAATTACAAAGACTATAACATCCAACAACTTATTCTATATCAATCAAATATTAAAACATACTTCCTCTAATTCCGAAAGCTGCTGAACACGGACCATATTGCTATATGCACGGTCATAGCTCTCAAGAACCTGAATTGAAGACAAGAAATTAGGTCAACTACATCAAACACTTGTACAGAAAATCCCTTAAAAGGACAATCACAAAACACATAAAACTCTTTGCAGCCTACAGGATCACAATGCACAGAAGTTAAGTAAACAAAAGAACCAACACAAAAGGTACTTTCAATTAGCCAATCAATAGTTTCAGGAGAAGTCATGTTAACATCACCCCTTCCAGTTTCATTTTTGCCTGGTACTTAGAGAACTAGTCAAACTGAATGCAGGACTAAGTCCATGATAGCTAATTACCTGCTTAAATATCAGTTCATTGCATCTCAATTTGAGCTCGAAAAACAAAAACTTACTCTGAGGACCAACTAATGTGTTGATTATGAAACGCCTTTCATGTTCCAAACTTTTAAAAGAATGACAAACTTTCAGCACTAACAGCTTTTTTCAGAATCCATTTTGAAGGTTAGATAGTATCCAAAACACATCTAATCAGGAAAATATAGTCTAAAAACTAATCCTAGAGGGATTAGATGGGGATAAATCAATGCACTTGAATCCTCGATGAACTTGAGCTGATTCATTGCAGTCATGAGTGAAATAAAACCATTCACAAATCATGTATTTGGTTGCTTCAATAAGACTTTCAAATAAGAATGTGGGAAAGGGGTACCCAACCGACCAGAATGAACCAGAAAACAAGCTTCTTAATTCTACATTCACAGAGAAGTTCAGAAGAATTGTTGACTAACCAAAGCAGCAAGCTCAGTGGCCAAGCATTTCCTTGCTCTCTCCACGTACTCGCGTGCTTCGTCGTACTATAATAAATGAACAAAGGATAAGATCCTAATGAATTAAGGAAATTTTGCAATGGAGAAAGTAGAGTAAAACACATGAAAACCATACCTTTCCACGGCGAACCAATAAAACAGCCCTGAAAAATGTCCCATTACTGCTACCATCGCCTGTAGCAGCTGTATTCCCCAAAATACGAAGTTTGCTTTCATCACCATCATCTAGTCGGGAAACATACTCTGCCATCTGATCCCACTCACCCATGTTCCATGCAGCATTTGCCGCCTGATATCATATCCCAACAAATCAAACACTCAGAAAAATGATGGCCAAGCGGCACATTATACTACTAATATAAGATGGAATAGGGCAATTAACCATTGGTGCCATCTCTAAACGAGCAGCAGGCTCAGCAGGTGTCCAGTATTCCTTGCAAAGATTGTTAAGTTCTTCCCAGCGAGCCAGCGCAGCAAGGCATCTCATCCGTCCTTAACAAACAAGAAAGCATAACAAATTGTCATCAGCACCAGTTCAATGATAGCCATTATAGCCTTCAAATGGAAGCCAGGTGAACAACAGAAGAGAACAAACACCATATGGTAACTTATTTAACAACAGGTTATACATCATTGGCAAAGTTTTCAAATAGTGATGATTAAGGCGAGCAAGTTAACAACTATTAATTGAAAAAAGCTTACATATGACCAATCTTAACATTTGAATGAATGGCAAACAATTAGGCACATATTAGATGTGATTCAGGCACATTTAAGGAACATCACTTGAAGCATTAAACAACCAAATTCTATTTGTTGAAAGGATAGGTAAGAGATGAAAAGAAGACTATGACAACATGATGAAAAGTACAGGCAACAAAGATTCCGGATAAAAATGGGCAATGAGCTAACTTTGAAAATTGCAGTACATTTCATCCACCAGGATATAAATTTAAACACACACACAAACCGAAAGGAAACCCCCCAAGAAAAAAAAAAAAGATTCAGCTAAAAAAGAATGTAGGTGAAGTCGTCTGAGTCACAGCACCATGTCTTCCCTACAAATATTTGAATAACTGATGCAGACAACAGATACACATGAAAAGAAAGTGCTCACTTCACTTCAAAGAAACGCGATAAGAATGAAAAGCTTTTCAATACATACCCAGGGTAGCATCTAAGACTAGATGCGGGTTAGATGTTTGAGAAGCTTTGGCCGTGTAAGCTTTTAAGGCATCGTCCCATCTTTGCAATTTCTCATACCTAAAATAATCAAAGTTCGTATAAGAAAAAATCTTGTAATATTAAAAGGGATTCAGAAGAAAGAATGTGATCTCAGTGCTACAATGAGTAAAATGGGCTGCAAAAGAAATCAACAGTACCATGACTCTTTCAGTTGAACCCCCAGATTTTGTTGTGCATAGGTCAAGATACCCACAGCAGCCTAAATAGACAAAGCATCAAATTACATGACACGTTCAAAACAAGTTTAATTATAAGCACCATCCTACATAGAACTGAATGAATAGGAAGATACCTCATGTTGATGTAGTTGATTGTTTATGTGAATAAGTGCTTCAACCACAGCAATGGGGTTTGCATCCATCCTATTGGAACGTGCTCCTTCAAATTCCATCTCTTTATAATGTAAAGCCTTTGCGAATGCTCGACACTTTTCAATGAAGGATATGATTAGATAATGAAAGAAATTTCAGAAGAGAAATCTTAGCCCAAAAGGGAGGAAGGAAAAACCCTTACTTTTTCAGCAAGAGCACCTAGGAGACGGATGTCAATAGGAAGGGGTCTCTCATCATGTTCCATAAACTCTGCCTGCCAGATCATGCAGAAAATGATCAGCAAAATCAAGTTGAGTCCTTGTGATCTCAAATGCAACAATGACAAATATACCACCAAAAGCCTAAGCTATTCATCCTCCTATTCAATGCTACCATCTTGACAAACTATATCAAGAGGCAGTAACAAAAATCATTTCAATGTTGCTTCTGAACATGTAATTGAATCAGTTCAAGCAGTACAAAAAAAGTGCATGTCAATGTACTGGCTATTTCCGTTGAAGGCTGTATGGCAAAAGCCAGTTTCTGTACTTCCTCGAGCATTATTATTACAACCATAAATAAATGAAGATAGCTAAAAGTTTCAATATATTATTCCTATATATTATGAGAATATACAAAATCTGCAAAAGTGAATTCAAAGACTCAAAAGATATTTCTGTAAGTTGATTATGCATAGAAACAGAATACCAGCTTTGACATTTCCAAAATCATAAATTTACAGGAAAAGGAACAAATTAACAGGAGATACCAAATTCAGAAGTGTTGCTAAAATCTCTGGAGGTATATTTGGGGAGGAAAACGCCATTTCCAAACTTCGTACTAATTGTCTTTGACTGGTCTCATTGAGTTGTGACCAGCAGCTAACAAAACCGGCTGCAAAAAGTTCCCTTCCAACAAAAGGCTGCAAAGATACACAAGAGGTTTCATTCCTGCAATTCGAATTCATCTATATGATTCGACCTGGAGCCCTTGTTCAGAAGGGTACATACAGGTCCAAGAAAAGGAGACTAAAGGAGTAACCAATAATACCTGCAGCTGTGCCAGTCTCGCACAAGTTCTAAGTGCAGGAAAAGGAGACTCCTTCAGCAGCTCAATGCTAAAGTGCCTCATCCATTCTGCCCAATCCTCCTTGGTACTGCGCTGGGAAGCCTCACCAGCAGTTCGTAGTCGCCCATCATTTACCTGAAATATGGACATTGATGGTGTCACAATCTCCTTTAAATAAAAATCATTCCAGGGGACCAATCCAAGATCTGAATCTTACTTTATCTACATTCAAAATTAGTTGATCAAACAACTTTCAGAATTCATGGTTTAAAGCAAAATCACAACAAAGTCCATGTCAAAAACGACAAAAGCTGTAAGCTACATCACTATTCCCGCAAATGCAAAAAAGTTGCTGCCAAAGAGAAAGGAGGCTTCGTCTTTCACTCACATACTAGCTCAAGATCTAACAATTCTCAATTTCAACCACCAATGTTATACAAGTCAGGAAACAGCAATATACAAATAAGAAAAAATAGCCCACAACTGCTTTCATTTAGTGGTCTAGGGTACATGCACAAAGGAAAACCGAATCTACACCATTCATGCTACCAATGGTTGAAAGCACCAATATGGCCAGGGTTTCTCCCAAACCATTCCCCAAGAGGAAATAGCCTCCATTGTTAGGACTCTAAACTGATGCTAGTTTAGCCTTACACATTACTAGGAATAATTCGTTAAGATACTCTTCACAGGAAAAACAACCCTACAAACCTTACTGTAACAACAGAAAGCAAAGCAGAAACCTGATGGCTTTTCAGCTGGCGATGTGCATCAACTCCATCATCATATTCATTCTCCATTTCACTCAAAGGATCACTAATTACATCAACTGGAAGACGGCGACTTAGCCTTTGGGCAGCTGCACTGGCCGTGATCAAAGGTTCACGTTTGCGCAGTCGAACTTCAATCTCCTCAAACTCTTTGTGCTGCATCACAAACATTTTAGAAACTCAACATCAATAAAGTTTTGGAGAGTAACTAGAGAAGTTCTTGTAGTAATGTTCAAGGTGTTAGCATATACCCTTAGCCGATGCTTTAGCATCAGCTTATGAATGGAGGGTATGAAGATGGTAAAGTCTTCTCCGACAGCATGAGCAAGACAACAAAGTGCATCAACGGCATCCTTTCTAAGATCATCATTTCGTCTGTCACGAGACCAGGTAAACTAATAAAAATCTGAAAATTGACTACATAGAACAAGCTATCATGAGATGAGAAGTTAGAGATTGATATGCTAGAGATAAGCAAGGCTGCTGTTCATGTGATGGTTAACAATGAATTGATAACTCAGCCGAAAAGCATATTTCAATTAAATAAAAATATGAAAAAGAAAACACAAAGTTATCATTGAAAGATCCATAATTTGTATAGCATTGTACTTTAGCTCTGTATTCTTCAAACATATCCATAACTTCATTTACAATGACCAAAGTTATTCGAGTTTTTACACAAAAAATTCTTGGCACACAGTAACAAAGAATTCAGAAGGATATCAACTTATAATTTAACAGATACAGTAACTTGCTCCTAATTTTCTAAAGTTTCACAATGGTTTAAGACTAGAGGGAAAGATCGGGTTCCCATTTTGTGCAAATTATGACTCAAGGAAACCATACCCATCCAAGACAAGCTTCAAGTGATGAACCAGAGCTGAGATATGCCCAGTAACCTGGTCAGAAAATATAATCACGCATAAGATGGGGGCAAAACAATAATCAACTAAATACTTCAATTGGCATGATAATGATCCATTTGGTGATAAAAATTAACATACCTGCACGCAAGGGATTAATCTTGTAAGAGTCTTGATAGCAGCACGCCTCACATCAACTGATGCATCAACTTTGAACAACCTAATTAGTGCTGGCAAAAGAAGGTGCATATGCTCATCCAGTGTACCTGTAGGAAGATTTCAAGAGGCTTTTCAAACATGCTGAAACATAATATAGGAATGAACAAATAGAGGATCAAAGAAACCAAAACACTGACCTCCAAAAACTTCAATTGTGTGGAGAATACCCAGGACATATGTATAGTCATTAAAGCGCTCAGCATCACTTAGGACTTGAATACAGCAGGGAAGAATTACAGGAAGATAAGTCCTGAATTCATCATTTAGCGCCAAGCAAAGTTGCTCAACCAAATGCAGAATCTAAATACAACACAGAGGCCATAAGGAAAATGAAAAAACATTCACGATAATGAATCCAACACACAATGAGGATAAATTAACGTATACTAAAAACCGTGCAGAAAGACAAGGTCATATATTCACCGGAGATCCATGTACAGGTCGATTAGCAGCAGGAAGACTGAATGATGACCAAAGCTCTGAAATCAGAGAAAGCAATTCTGGCAGATATTTGCGAATGTGCTGCATATTCACATTGAGTATTACTTCCAACCCTCTCAGGATAAATGGTGAGATATAATAGGCAACCCCAAGCAATTCCATCAAGTTAAAAGTACCTGGCGAACTATAGAAACCAGAGTTCCTAACTTCCAGGTTATAAACTCCTTCAAACCATCTTCACAAGTACGGACAGTATGAAAAAGATCAGGTAAAACCTACAAAACAATTAAATAGAGAGTTACTTCAAGCAACAAAAAATCAACAAAAGCTTAAGGTATTACTTGTCTTCCATTTGAAAATCCAGGTTAAAGTCAGTTTTACAGTTACATTACCAAACATATTACCAGATAATTTTATTTTTGTGTTTCGAAATTTCTAGTGATAACCCTGCATTAGCGATACATTATTTACAAGTTTTTCATCCTCTCTTCACAGACCACACCAGAAGCCACCCGACTCATGTCATAGATCTTTTCCTATTCATGCCATTAAATGTCTTGATTTTCTTTTCTGTACGGACATAATGTTTAAACATTCCTTCAGCATTCGGAGTTCCCAGATTTCAGCTCAATTTGGGGAGGCTTGAGGAAGACAGATTTTTGAAATTTCAAGAAAAATTTAATGGCTTTTTAACTGTACTGCAAGCATTGACACTTTTGTGGTTCATAAATAATATGATATCGTGAACCAAAAATATGACATTAATTAGAAAATTGGTGGACTAACCTTCGGCAAGTAAGGGACGCAGCCAAGACCCATTGACTGATTTCCACCAAAATATGGACCATTAGCTTCCATTAAATATAATAACAATATAAAAAGTCGAAAGATTAAATATGCAAGACAAATGAGAGAGTGCAAACCTTGAATATAAACATAAGAGATCCAACAACTTTTTGGTGGTAGCTAGATAGGGAAGGATCCCGGAGAATCCGCATGAGGGAATTGATGGCAACCTGAGAAAGAAATGATGGTCGATGATCCGTTGGTAATTCACCATGAATTTTGGGATAGGGGTGAAGGAGGAATAGGAATTCATTAATCTCTTCAAGGTCTTACAGTTGAATAATAGTCTTCAGACGTAGCAAATGATGGCCAAAGATCCATTGGCAATTCATCCATTGAACGAATGTGTTGACCAGGATCATTGGCTGCACGGCTAACCTCACCATGCGATCCGGGCAAGCTTTGCTGGTTTCGTTTATGTGCATGGGGATCCAAAGCCCCCATTATTCCAAGAACCTGGTGAAAAGTATAAATTTAGCATGAAACACTAAGTATGAAGTTGCTGAAGCTCTGCATGACTATTGTGTTACCTTCAAAACTTCTCTTCTGGTTGACCAAGCTAGTTCCCCGTTAAGAAGCTTCAAAAGTAGACCCAGCAACTGCGGGTACTCGTTGTATGGGGCTATAACATAACTACAAAATAATCCACAATGACGTTACTCATAACCATGCACAGCATCTCTGTACAACAGAAACTAATCAACAGATGTGGAACCGAAACAAAATGCCAGAAATCTTAAGTGTGTCCAGGAAAAGGAAGCTTTTCCTCTCAAAATCCTGATACTCAGGCTTACAACATCACTGAAAAGACAAAATCACAATCCATTTTCTCTTTAACAATAAAGAAGGACAACCACACTTAAGTAGGAGATGGTTCTAATTCAAGATAAACAAACCGAACAAACCATAACTTACAAGAAGTTATGACAAATAGAACGGGTAAAGAACGTGAAGGAACAAGACATACCCTGTGCTCTGTACCACCTGACCCAGAGTAGCAACGGCTACTTCACGTTTTGTAGCTGCTGCTCCGTCCAATAAAGCTTCAACAATTAATGGCATGAGTTCTGGAATATACAGCCTCATTGCAAAGCCACCCTGGATTCGGACCATAAAGGGGATTTTCAGTAGAACACAAAATTATAAGTCAAAAAAAAGAGCTTCCAGTTAACCAAAATAAATAAATAAATAGAAATTGCAGGCCAAGGTGCAAGCATGTCAAGACCAAAGATCATGATTAACAAAGATTTTAAAAGTAATGCATGCAACAACACAATAAATATAGAAGCTCCTGCATGTGCATGACCCAGGGAAAGGCCCCACGAAAACCATGAAATCAAATAGTAGAGCCTGTAAACAAGGTCACTTGTTAACTAACACATATTGCATGTAATCTGATTTTTTTTTAAGAACATCGACTTCTAAATTTAGGGCTAAACTATTTTAAACATGATACAAATAGATAGATCAGCAACAAAGCGTTCCACATCTAACAGTCAAATAGAAGAGGCAAAGACAATAAATACACCACCCCAGCTTATCTCATTTGGAAGAGAGGCTTACCACTTTGGCAAGATCTCCAACTGTCACCAGAACTCCAGTTATAATTCCATTATTAGCATTGACACCAGTTCCCTCACACAATTTAGCTACAAGAGCCTGCAAAATATAAAGAATAAATAAGTAAACCATTGACAAGGCAGATTTAGGACCTGCAAAAAGACAAGACTAAACCTTGTGAATTGGGGCAATATAAGGAAGTATCAACCGCTCACAATTGCGGATTAAGCAACCCAGCAGTTTTGCACTTTCTTCTCTACATTTAATATCTGCACTGCTGACAGAAAGTACACGAGTCAACAAGCTTCTTAACACTAAAGCAAATGCGTCTAAATGTTGGTTCGAATAAGTAAATGTCACTAATGGCAACACAAGAGACAACCATACAGTTGTTACATTAGTTCAACTGATCTTCCGAGCTAACTTTTATACTCAAGAAAGATTAGAAAGGAAAACCCATATTTAATACAGTATGAGCAAAGAAACTGAACGTGGTGAATCATGATGAAATCATTTCAAACAATAACTTTGAAATGCTACCTTTGTTCAAGATATGTCAACAATTGAATAAGATGGCGACGGAGTGCAGGAAGTACATAGGCAGGATTCTTCTCTGACAATCTCCCGGCAAGTGAAATGGCAAATTCTCGGACGTCGAAATCCTGTATACAAAGGTAGAAGACAAGTAATAAGTGCAAAATCTTATGATTAGAAAGCTTCACTAAGCTTACAACCAGTGGACACATGAAAATTTTGCACATGATAATAACTGCCTCTGACAACTAGGAATGCTATAAGACAAGTATTCTTCGGGTTTTGTAAGCAAAACTTCTAGGATATCTATGAAGAAGTTTAAGTTAGCTAGACGGTTTCTATTATTTTATTTTTTTTCTTTTTCATCTTTTGTAGGATTGCTCCCACCAAGGTTTGAACCCCCCCCTAACCTCGTGTTACAATCCCCCACTACTTAGCATCCCACCCAACCCTCCCACCCCTGCTGCTTGGCTTCTTTCACCACTTTTGAACCTCAAAAAAGGGGCACAGGATGAGACACGGAATGAAAACCTTTAAGAAAGGGAAAGCAACAAAACAATCAAAGGAGTTCAATTGCAAATGAGGAATCAGAACAGCATCAGAAAATGTAGCTCATCATATGTCACCTCATCATTGAGGGCAGCAAATATTGCAGTCAAACTATCAGCTTGTGCCAAAAAGTCATCAAATCCCCTATTTCCATGAAGAGCAGCAAAAATTGAGTTTCTAACGATAACATCAGCATCTGCCACGGCTGCAATGAGAAGCCTTTCCACAATCTGCAAAAACAGAACCACAGAAAACAACAGTGACCCATCGACAATCACTTATATAATCAATAAAACAAAATAGATGGCACAGATACTACAATTCAAGGGACAGTATAAGCAAACTGCAAACTGAAGTTATTCAAGGGACAGCAACGAGTACTATAATTGAGAAATCCAGAAAAGATAAAAAAAAAATAATAATAAAAAATAATAAAAAAAACTGAAAACTAGATTCCTGCAAAAGTTTACTTTTACTACGATCAACTGGGGAAGTTATATCACCTATTTATTCACTGAATTTAAAAAAAAAAAAAGAAATTCATTCCAATCTACCAAGCAACCACAAGCAGTATCGGTGAGTAAACATAGAGAGAAGAAGAAGAAAGAGGAATTTGGATATGTTGCTCCAATATGTTAAACGTAGCCAAGGGTCGAAATACTATGGATTGTGATTTTCATCAGCGCAGATAAAGCAGAGAAGTTACCAAGTCCTTTTCACCATTTTTTAGGTTCTTTTCAGAGCTAAAAACAGATAAATATCAGCTTTAACATTGTCACAGAATAAACAATTTCTTAAGAAAACCTCAAAAACAAGAAAGTCTTTTTTATCATAAAGCCTAGCTGCCACCTGAAACAGTCAATACTCAACTTTAGGGTGAGAATCAGGACGTAATGCAACAATCAATTGCTCCAAGACAGGGGGGGGGGAACAATTGTGTTTAACCAGAAACTCTCTTACGTAGTTAACTAGACACAAACATAAAGTAGAACTCACTACTCAATACAGCATGCATGTAACGGTTATAGTAGGACATGCTGCAGCACAAGGAAACCCTGCTAATACTATGCAATTCAAAGAAACTGTCTCTGAACACTTAAAATTTCCTCAGAATGAAGACCAGATAAGTTAAACTTGGATATAACCACCAGATTCAAATAGCCTGTATCTGTTTTAAGAACTCTTGAACTTATAGAAGTGAGAGTAAAGAGGAGTAAAGGTAAAATGAAATTTAACACGGAAGTAACCTTGTTTGAATCAAACAGAAGGAAACAAAAAAGAAAAAATAATAGTTCTTTATCAGTAGATCATCCTTCTTAGCTCTAATCTTTTACATTAAGTTCATCAACAAGAGAAGGATAACAAGAGAACAATGCATAAATTCACTAATATTGTAACATCTACAGAGAGAAAAATAAATAAATAAATATTCAAGCAAACCTCCTCAACAAAACGGCGGCGCTTGCCTCCAGCACGACTGGTCCTGCTAGAACTGAACTGCATAGGTGTGCCAGTAAAGGAATTTGAAACTAGCTTGCAGCAACATAAGGCAGCATCTTTCCTTGTTCCTCCATCGTCGTCTTCGAGATACACCACAACAGATTCCCGAGCAAACTCGAGAAGATCATGGCCCTAGAAAACAACATCCATTGCTGATATACTGGAAATGAAAGAGAAAGTCCCAAAAGAAAAGACAAAAGAATATGATAAAACATAGTGACGCACTTTGAAATTGAACTTAGCAAGAGTCTGCAAAGCAAGTTGAACAAAGGCAGATCCACTAAGTTCTGACACAGGTTGAATAGCATTGGCAACATTCCCTCGAGTCACGGCCACCACAGGCCTTGATTGATTAGAATGGGATCTCGTAAGAACAACTGAAATGCATTCAAGCAGCCGGTCTTGAATAGTAGGTAGCAAGGACGGAATGCTGATGCATCAGACAAACAGAATGTTAGCAAGAACATCCTGGTTACTTTAGTATTCCTGATCTAAATCACAAGAATGTTATTCTTCTTGAACCTAGAAGTACCTGATGGATATTTGATCAAGAGCTTCTACTAAGGTAGGAGAGAGACCAGCAGAGAACATGGCATCCAAGAGACTACGGACATGAGGTTCCATCTTAGGGCCCATTGCTTTTGCTAAATTTCCAAGACAAGCTAAAGCCTCCGGTATTGGACGACCTCTACGAGGAGCAATCTATAAAACAAATGTGATTATTCAGGCACTAGGTGCAGAGTTCATTGAAGTTAAGCTATAATTTTAAGAGCTAAAAGAACAAGCAGCAACAATCACACAAAAACAAAGAACAAAATAAAAAGCATACTGCATCACGTAAATGAGTTGTAATTGTCGGCAAATAGTCAATGAGCTCCCCGTCCAATGCACCAGCCATCTCTCCTAGAGCAATAAACCCACTGGCACGCTCTGCGGGTATTTTGAGGACATGAAGTATGTGATTCATGCAAATCTGGACAAAGATCGACCATGTCATAATTTTAGAACTGAATATTCAAACAATATACAACAGCCAATGAAATTCAATGCATATATCAACAAGTCAGAAGAAATCCTACATACCGTTAAATAGTTCGTCACAAAACGATCACGCAGGAAATGGGCAATGCGGGGAAGGAGAGATGTGATACTGAGCCGAACAAGCCTATCTCGGTGCTCCAAGTATCTAAGTACAATTTCAGCCACTTCTCTATATCTTGACATCATAAACTCCCCTGTGTTTCTGTTTAGACGACCAAACACAACCAGAAATGTTAACCCAAGATGATAAATGCCTATGAAATATAAACTACAGTAACTGAAAATTTGGTAGATGACTCCAAGACAAACAAGCGGAAAGCCAACAAAAAAGATAGGAAACACGGAACATGCCCTGGAAAATAGAACTTGGAAGACAAATAACTAAGAGGATGACTTAGCATAACGCCAAAAGTTTGTCCATGTCGTATACACAAGAAGCTATAGTAGATTTTGTACTCACTAGACCATTGTGTACCATGAAACAAGGGCAAGGAATTTTCTTCTCTGTTCAAAGCCTATGTTTTCAAAATAATATTCAGCTCAACAGTGAAAAAGTTTAAAACTAACAGCTAGTTTACTTCTAAGAAATGTTGAAATGGAATATGGAAATGGGTCTTCAAGGAAATAAAGATCACAGAAACATGCTAGGTCTAATTTGGATATTTTAGATAAAACTCTGCAGCAACCAGATCTCATCTCACACTCAACAAGGATATGCCTAACATGTAAAACTGGCACTTTTTCTTGAGCATCTTCTACTTTTAAGGAACACAGAAGAAAGGACTCCAATGCATTAACAGAAAAGTTCCAATCAACAGTAACCATCAGATGGAAGTTGTCAACTTAGATACACAAGCAACAAAACCAACCTTAGGAGCTCCCCGACTGCAAGTAGAGAACCATGTATGCTATGGATGGGAGCATTTTTGCCCAAACCATCTTGAGTAGCCTCAAACATACGATAATACCTGCCACACAAAACACGAGCCAAGTGGGGCTTGATATTACAAACGGGAAAATACTACAGAAGAAGTGAATTACTTCATGGCCACAAATTATCAAATGCATATGACATTCTATTTTCAACCGCCAATTGAAACATAAAAATGAAGATTGAGAACACTCTATTCTACCAACAAGCAATAGAAGCTAGATTTAGTTCCCCTAGATGTTCTTAATTAAAAATATCCCGAGATATGCATGGACCATCTCATTCTCTATTTCTTCTCAAAAAAATTCTGACTAAGTCCATACAATTACAATACTCCAGCCATCAACCAATTTTCGAACGATCCTAACCGCGATCAAGATAATTTATGAAGCCTTGAATCTGATAAGCCACATATTCACTTAGTGCTCCATAATTAAAAAAATTACTGTACTTAAGAATAAGAGACAAAACAATTCATGTTGCGGGAAATGTAAGCTTCAGCATGTCTGAAGTTTGTATGTATGCTTACCACTGGACACGCCACCGTGTCTCACGCTTTTCAATTACACGGAGGCAAGCACGCAGTGCCTCCACAGCAGGTTCACGGACTTCAACTGACGGATCACGAAGAGCAACCCATATTGCATCAACAAATTCAGGTACATGAACATTGAATACTGTGGAAGCATTTTCAGCCATTTCCTACATTAAGAATCAAAATTCAAGATTAATGAGTTAAATATGCATAACAGGAGAAATCCCCAGAGACCCTAAACTCCAACAGTACTCTATCGAACTAAGTCCTACGAATCAGACTAGAGTTACAGTTTTCTACAACTAATTGAAAATTAAGTACTCGGCAAGAAATAGCTTTCCAATATAATAACAAAAAATTGTGTTAAACTGAATATCCAAGTAGGGGGTGTCACATTATTTGTCGGAAAGGAAAACACAGTAATATGGACAGAATAATGCAACACTCGAGACAAGTAGGCAAAATATCAGTAGATCACCAACAATTTACGGTAGAAACAGTAAGGATATCCATAGAATTAAAAATCTCTGGCTTTAGAAAATTATTCAAGTAACAAACAACGAACTTACTTTCAGTATTAAAACAGCAGCTAAACGTCGATATTCAATTCTATCTCCACGAAGCCACTCCAGAGCATTTTTAATCTGTTGTGAGAGAGAAAGACAGATTAGATAACCTGTTCCCTAAGTAGCAGATATATGATGCAAGAAATAAACTGTTTCTGCTGCAAACCTGGCGCTCAACTTCATCAGCTGTCATCGCCCCACCAGCTCTAGCCAGATGACCCAATACCTTACTAGAAACAACCAGAATCTCGCGGTCACGCTTAGACTCAAACACAGTCCGCATGTAATTGGAAAATCTTGAAACCTTTGATGCATTTTCACCAAATGAAACATCAATCAATTCATCCATAGCCCGTAAAGCCCCCAAGTTATCAGTAACTTCATTACTCTCCAGAAGACTATTAATGCGATCATATAGGTGATCCATGAAACGAGAAAATGCTTCCCCACTGAGATCACGAGCTTCTTCCTCCACGAGTCTTTTCAATGCTAATGTTGCCCCCTCCTTTCAATATAGAAATGACGACATATTAGTTGGGGAAAAGGAACAAGATACTGCACAAACCAGCGAATAATTACCAATGCAAGACACATTAGTCCAAAGAAACCCACAAAATGTCAACGGAAATAATAACCATTCATTTCCGTTTAGTTTCCTTAACAAGGCAAAACATGTGTGAGTTCCCAAACAAGAGTAATAAGATGTTGAATTCCCAAACTTGGGAGATTAACAGTGCAATGTCTCTTAGATGTACTAAGTCCAGCAATTGCCAACGATGAGATGGGTGCATTTACATTGATAATTACCAAATGATAGCACCACAGCAACAATAACGAGTTTCAGCAATTACTAAAACAGAAAAAATTAGAATCACCTAGGTGTATTTTTAGGTAAATGGAACCCCAACACAACCACCACCCCCCCCCCCCAAAAAAAAATAAAGGAAAAAAAAAACTGTTAGGTAATGAATCCACAACTCTATCCAATTAGTTTAAATCTTCAACCAAATTCCAATAGTTCCAAATAGACCAAAAATGCAGTCAAACTTGTATCAATCCAATTAGAACACGTGTAAGAATATTAACATATTTTAAGATAGACATACTAAAAATTGATTGACATTTCCTTTCTGCTGACTTCAAAGCTAGAAATAGGGCATATGGAAATCTTTTAGCTGCATCAGGTTGTAAAATTCCTCCTTCAAAGGAAGGAGAAAGCAAATTAAGTACCAAAATATTATGCATGATTTTAGCAAGAAGAGCAAGTGATACAGGTAGGCACGCAAAGGCATATTCCTCAAAGAAAAGAGGGAAGAATGAGATAGATAATGGCCAAGACGCCAAGCGATTAGATGTGAAACAGTAGGGTTTTGAGCAGAACTTAGATATGGAGTGGGCACGAATGAACCAATTACATTAGGGAATTTATTAAACAGAGATGCACAGGGCGATGGAAAGTTTTAACCGACTAACAGAATAATATTGGGGTAACTTGACATATAAAGCAAATACGGAATAGGTAACAATTAACTGCCATTGATAACTAATTAGGAATATAATTTAAACAAATAATCGAAGTGTATTAAGATTAATATAGAAAGAAGAACTAAAAAGCAAAAGAAAAAATCATAAAGACTAGTGCGCAGCAGGTTGCATATGTTTAGAGAAAAGTTGCTTGAACGCCTCGGAAAGACATCCACTACATTAATAAGACAAACGGGCCCCACTGCAAGTCTCGGCCCTATTCCATGTCTATACGTAAAAAAGAAGCATATGGATAAGATAGACACTTAATTGTCAACAGTCCAGTTGCAGAATAATACTCAAGATATATTCACAAGGCAATAGACGCACATGCAAACAGATATAAGCCACAGATCAGCAATGACAATGGTCATTGTTGTTAACTACTATGGTCACTGATCACTAGCAATTCCCACTAACATTTTCCAGATGTGTATAATAAAGGTAAATCATCAGTGAATTTATGCTACAGAAAAAGATTAGCTATTAATTAAAAGTTACTACCATTAAACTAGTTAGACACAAGACATCAGTCACATTGAAGCAACATAAGGCTTCATTAAAGGACAGCATCATCACTCAAATCATAATCAATTAGGTTCAGCACATATATTGACAAACGGGCTAGTTGGCATACATCTTAAAGCATTACATGTACTGCATGCAACCATCCACGTTGTTAACTCACGTCGTACGCGTGTCTAAATAACCGTTACTCTTTGAAGAAAGCGAAACAACTTAAGCAATGATTGATCCAGATCAAAATCTTCAAAATCTCACATGAATATTTGCTAGCTCACGAGTCCCAGCACTTATCAAGATGCAACAACACATTCTAAGTGACTCTAAACTCATAACCTTAAACTGAGAGCAGCAACAGGTAATCATTGAGGCCATTTTCAATCAACAAATCCTGCCTGAAAACAATTTTCTGACAGCTGTCTAGAACATACTTTAGAAAACAAACTATATAACTCACATAGGAAACATCACTAAAAGGAGTTTCATCCTCATAGTGAAAGCAAAAATCCAAAAAAAAAAAAAACAAAAATCATAAAAAAGAATAGAGAAAAATCACATTTGCGTTGATGCCACTGTTTTCGAGAAATGCAGAATAGAATCTATTCGGCGACAACATGCGGTCGGTTCAATTCAGAGGAAGAGGAGGACCAATATAGCTAACTTTCTACACACTTAGCTCTCTCATTTCATCAAGAAACCTCAATCGAAATGGACTCATTATTTTACGACACAGATATCTATAAAACAAAGAAACGACTTAAATCCTCAAAAATTATTTTACCATAAAAGTTTTGAATAACGGCAAAAGAATGAACAGCAGAACAGGTAAAAAAAAATTGACAAACCTTGGGACTTCCTTTGCTGCAGAGGTCCCCGAGCACTCTATTGAGCGCATCAAGATTCCCGGTACCGGAGGAAGGTGCCGTTGCGGTGAACCGAATTGATTGAACAACATTCGCCATGCTTACATATAATAAATTACAGAAGAGTGAGATACAACTCTCTTAAACCCTACCTGATGCAACAACCTACATCCTTGATGCAACAAACTTCATCAGAATCTTTAACTAAGGCACTTTCCACCATAACTTACACGCACAAAACTGAAACAAACTAAAATAAATTATGGTGAATTAAAAATGAAACGAGTTGCAGAGCTTCCAATTCCAGTGGGTATGGGGAATGAGGAGATGAGAATTGGAGCCTTCTCCACCAACAAAAATCCTCTCCGGAGATTTTTCCCTCTCTAAATTCTGCTTTGCGGCTCTATTGAAGCTTTTGCTTTCCCAAAACTTTCACTTCGCACTAACACTGCGTTTTGTTGTCACGGTTGGTGCCTGGTGCGTGTTGGGGGGGTGATGATGATCTGGCTAATGGGGCCTTTCACACTATTTATACCACCGATTTTACCGCTAGTCGGGTGGAAATATAGCGTGTGCTCTGAACACGTGGCGGGTGATTATTCGTTCCCGTTTGACCCTAGTTTTTCAGTAACTTTGAATGAATGAGTAATTACAATCAGGTAGCTAGAGTACTCACTCCCCCTTCTTTTCTTACTAAAGAGAAGATGGTGTCCATGGTTTGGATCAATTCCGTGGAACAGTCCAAACCGATCATCGGTTCGAATTAGTGCGCAGTTTATAATTGAAATTTTAAATCGGTAGATTAAAAAAGTAAAAACCATTGAAGTCGGTTTGGTTTATATTTTGACACTATGAAATTAGAAATAAGATCAGACCATATATATTAAATAATAATAAAATTTAATTTATTTTTTACTTTCACCCCTTATTTACCTCTAAAACCCTACAATATAAATAGTTTTTTTTCTTTTAACCTCCCAATCCAAAACGAAACCACCAAAGAATCCACCCTCCACCGCTGATTTATCCACCTCCACCTTCTACCTTCTACCCTTCGGCCTCCACCAATCCACCCTCCCGATTTCTCTACCCTCCACCGCCACTGCAATGCCATCCTTAATTGATGTGGGCTGCAATATTAATCCGGTCCGTGAACAACCCTATTTTTCTCTATAAAAACCCCTCTTCAAAAGTTGTTAATTACAATCCATTGTAGCCTCGAGAGTCTAAAAATACATTTTAAAAACCTTAAAAAAACCATTTCACAAAATAATACGGAGTAATACTTTAATATAGAAAAAAGATGCACTTATAAAGTTCTAAGTGGTGATTTGATACAATCACTAAATCAATATGAACAACCTGCCCCTTTTGTGAGGTGATGAGGTTGTTCGAATACCTTCCTCTTCATGTCCTAAAAATGGTTATTTATTTGTTACAATACAGTAAATTGATAATAAGTTTTGTTTTTTAGCACAACTTACAATTACTTTTTAAGAATAGTTTGATAAAATATCAAGAATCACATTGAGCAACATGAACAGGAATCCCATTTTTTCAAGTTGAAGAGAACCCGGTGCCTTGAGGAAATTCTCTACTTTTCATTTTTTTTTTCTTGGTGAGTCGAAATTCTCTACTTTATGATCTGAAAAGCTTTTGATGACTTCATCGGCTACTTGGGCACCAACAAATTTGATGGGAATTGGGAATTTCATTTTTATCACAATTTTTATGATGAGATGCTTGCTCGTTGAAAATACAGTTTCTTTCATTTCAGAGGCCCTTGGAGAGAAGAAGGGTAAGTTGAATTTAAAAGGGCTTGGCCAGACCTTCACTTATTGTTCCCTATCAAAAAGAAAACCAATTAAAGATTGCTTGACTGATAGTTTGATACTACTCCTTCCGTCCTAAAAAAATAGTCCACATTGAATTTTGAATTTTGTGCGTATAAAACTCAATGTCGACTATTTTTTGGGATGTGATAGTACTAAATTTGTTTATTTTCTGTCATTTTGGAACTAATTAAGAGGCCAACGTGTAAATTACTCGATCTATATTTACATCATGATTAGTCCCTTTTATACCCTATTAAAGTAGAATACAGGATGTTGATATGGCAGATTCTTATTAAAAATTTTTGGCTCCAAATGCACCATATTGCATTAATCATTCTGCCACGTGTCATTCCTTTTTAAAAGAAAAAAAAAAATTCGTATTCGGAAAAACAAAATCTACTTTACAAAAATAGCTACACAATTTTAACTCATAACATTTATCATTTATCAATCAAATTAAAATAGCATTTAAATTTGCCCATAAACTTATCCCCTTTATTACTTCACATTATTTTGTATGATTTCTGTATCGTTGTACTTTTCAATATTTTTTCTCCTTTGGCAGATGATTTTTTTATTTTTATTTTTATTTTTGGCTAAAAACGGGAAAAAAAAACCAAATATATAGCTATTTTATTTTTTTCAAATCAAAAATTCATTTATCTATTAACACAAAATTAAAGTAGAGGGGCCTCCGGACATCTGCACGGGACAAACATCTAGTATTGATTTATAAGCACAATTACTTCGTTTACCATATGATGAGTAAGTGCTTTGACTAAAAAATAAATATGTATCAATAATCAACGCTGCACTTGTTCCAGAAACTAAGGGGAAATCAACACGGCATGTGAATCGCAAATATCCACTGGGGGCTAGCTCATTCTGAACTTGTATTGAAAAAAAACTTCCATGTCATCCTCAAATTGAGCTTTGAACTTTGAAGGCATTGCATAAGTAATCCCCCTTCAGTTTGTTCCACTGTGGACTGTCCCTTTTTATTTACAATGTCGGGGACTTTAAAACATTGGAGAGCGATACTCCATTTCATCAAATTGATCGATGAAGAGCGCATGAATCGTGATCGTTGGAAAGACATGGGGAATCAGGCCTTTTATAGCCTTTCACTGCTTCTATTAAGGTGGCAACACATGAAATGTGTTAGGTTAAACCGAGCATCCGCGATTTGCAATGGGAAAGACTTGCAAATACCATCAATCAACCAGCTCTTTGCCTTGTTTATAGTCCTTCCCTGCAGCCAACAACACCTTTGATACTGACTGAATTTTTACATTTTGCAGTCACAGTAAAACATAGGACATCTGGTATCATTAGAAAAAAAAAAATTTATACTCCCGTTATTTTAAAATGATTCTATGTGATATTATTTAGGAAGAAGGAAGTTTTTTTTATATATATATTATATTTTTTCACATTCAATATATTTACTAGCTAGTATGATAGTATGCAGTTTATAAGTAAAATTTATACCATAATTAGTGATCACGTAATCTGTCTATGTGTAAAATTCGAAAAAGCACATAAAATTTCGTATACACTTTTTTACTGACTAGTTATGTTCTGACACCTATGTGTTTATTTGTTACGTTGATAAGAATTTTTGTTTTCTAAGCTACTATAGTTTGAGCTAATTAAGTCATAATTTGAGCTCAACGTAGCTCACTAGGGGGGGGGGGGGAATCATGAAGACATAAAATTATGGCAATTTCTTTTTTTTTTTAAAGGTTGAAATACAGTTATTAGTTAAATAAAATGAATCTACAGGACAATCAAAATAGAGTGACATGGTTAACAAAGTGTTCTTCAACGAAATGAAAATGGACGGTCTAAGCAACTATGAACATTTTCATCTATTGCTTAAAACTTAACCTATGCTCTAATTAAGTATTCAAAGTTTGAGGCAATATTGTTGTTCGTGACTATACACAAGTGTATTCTTCATAAAGTTCAACTCACTAATCAGTTTGAAGAATACGTTATTGCTTCAAGATCAACTCATTACCGGGCTCGTTGAAATACATGTTCAAGCTTGCATGTAGCTTTTTTTCTTGGATTCTCGCAAGAAGAAACAAAATCTCAAACTTATGCTTTATTGGTACATGAACACGTCTGTATTCTTATTAAGCCTTATAACATGAAATGCTGCACTCCAGTCTATAGAGCATCCTTGGACAATTGATTGTTGGTTTCTATTTTCCGGGCATTGAATATAGCTCATCACAGGAATCGCCTCTTTCAAAAACAGCAGCAGCCCCCATTCCCGTGCTTATACACATGGTACGACCCCAAAGCGACAATCCTTTCCACGACGCTTCATTTCGTGCAACAATGTGGCAGTACGCAACGAGCTCCTGTTGCGCCTCCATTTACATTAATCTTTTCTGGATCAAGTCCAAGCTTCTTGCGGCAGTATACAAACTGCGATGCAAAAGCCTCGTTGATCTCAAAAAGATCATGCAAAGGCATCCTTGATCTCAAACTGCGATGCATGTAGCTTCATAAAAACACAGCCTACTACAAGATCGGATTCTAAGGCTCATCTATTTAGATTGGGATGTAGTATTAATTACGTTTCAAGAGAAACAAATCAATATGTCACGAAAAAGATCAGGAGAGACGTATTTTAGGATGAATCTTTATTCCATTTCGTTAGGATCGTATAAAATTGATGTGTAGGGGTGTCGTACTAAGGAAAATCCTTTTGTAATACTTCACCACTTTTTGCTTCCTAAATATATACGTACAGTACGTATATGTATTTATTTATTTATTTTAAAAAAAACGGGATGTATAGTTTAAGGTTACTTTGGGATTTGGGTTTAAGAATTGTGCTTCACCGCAATCGATTAAAAATAACGAGATTAGGGAGTAGTACTTGCAATCTGTAAATAGATTCAGGGGTTCTTTTTAAAATTTAATCTTATGATAAATTGGTCTCTATGTTTTGGTTGGAAAAAAAAAATTTGAAGCATGCCGGCTGGCTCGGTCAATATCTTAGATATTTGATCCACCATCAAGTGTTAAACCGTGATTGGAACACGACGCGATCGGAATTTTTATTCACGAAAATGAATATATAATAATTATACATCCTCCATTATATCCAAAAAAAATATTTATAGGAAAAATATCTACTAAAAAAATTCCAAATTCTAGAAATTTTACTTGGACAATCAAAATTATAAATGGCAGTACAATTTAAAATGGGAGAGAGGAGTATTCTTAATTACCATTTACCCCTACTTATGCCTTTGACATTAATTAATGATACGTCAAAATACAAAGAGAAATATCTTTTTTTTTTTTTTAAACAAAGAGAATATCTTAATACATTCAAAGTAAAAGAAACAATAAAATAATTACTGTAACCTGTTGCTTCGATACAATTTTGCTATTCGAATTTCATATCCAATTCATATTCATCCCAGGTCGAAAGGAAAAAAAAAAAAAAGAAAAGAAAGAGAGAGAAATTGTTTTTGAAATGTTTTGCAGGTTTGACCCCAAGAAAAGGTAAAGTCTGAGCGAGAAAGTCAACGGAAAAAACAAACGGCAGTTACAAAAGGTGTTACCATAATCCAACGGCTCAAACTCTTTTTCATATTTACCATTTCCTTTAGTGCAACGGTCACAAAACGCTGTGGTTTTGAAATTGAATTCGGAGTTTGGCAATTTGGGGATTTGGTAATATAGCCGTTACCATACTCATTGCAATCCATAATCGTCTTCATCATTATCAAAAAATAAGAAATCAAGATCCTCAAAGAATCCGCCATTACTGCTCCGAGATCATTACCAATTTTCACCGACCCTTTTGCTCATTTTCTCTGAAATTCCCGTTTTATGCACAAAAATAATACACCTGAAATCTGATTCTTGATTATGGCGGTTCCCTCCAATAGATCTCCTTCCCCACTCGCGTCCAGACGAATGTGCCAATCAAGAATTTCAACAGAGTCTAATTCTGCGGCCAGGAGAAGTTTCAGTGGAAACGGTTTTATCAGACCTTCAGCTCTCGCTAATCCCAGAAATCTTAACCCAATTACTCCGGCGAACAGCCCTGCAGGTTCTTATCTTCTCTCTTTTTCCAAGCTAAATTTATCTGTTTCAGTTCTTGATGTTCTTTTGTAAGATTTAATAATTTACTGATTTTTTTTTGTTTGATTGGTTGTGAAATTTTGTGTAGGGATTGTTAGGAGAAACTCTCTGAGTAATTTACAGGGTTGTGAAGAAAAGGAGAACGATAAAGATCAAAACTTGAAGCCAGTGGACACGGCGGCGAAGTCATCGGGAACTGGGTCTAAGAACTTCATGGCTCCGACTATCTCTGCCGCCTCAAAATTCACTCCTTCGCCGCGCAAGAAGGTCTTAGTTGAGAGAAACGACCCCGTTCGGACTTCAATTTCTTTGTCCGAAGGAAAAGCCACTTTCTTTTCTTCAATTTCTTCAGAATCTTTGGGAGATTTGGAACGGAAAGACGGTGAATGTGGGGGTAATATGGAGTCATCAATCAGAAATCCAGACCAGAAAGATGCCGTTCTTGAAGTCCCTCGAGTTTCCAAATCGTCTAAAAGGGTGACTTTCTTGGAAAGCTCTTCTGGTTCAGATGTTTTTACAGGGTTTAAGCTAGAAACAGCCACAGTTTCTTCTACTGATTGTGCTGATGTTGATTCAGCTTCTAAGAGCACCATTTCTTGTTTCTCTGCATCACCTGTTATAGCGCCTCTTGATGCTGATCCATCTCTTCCCCCTTATGATCCTAAAACAAATTTCCTTTCTCCTAGGCCTCAGTTCCTTCACTATAGACCTAACCCTAGAATTGAAGTTCTTCTGAACAAAGAAAAGGAGCTTGAGTTTGGGAAACCTAAGAGGCTTGAAGACAATTTTATGCTTGACCTTTTGTCTGAAAGCTTCTCAGACTCGGAGGGAACCGGAGAATCAAATTCTGAGGATTCTCAAAAGGGTTCTGAGGATTCATCTTCGTCAGAGAACTTAATTCCAGAAGCAACAGAAGACGAGCTTCCTGTTTCCGAGTCAGTTGACGCTTCCATTCATGTTCTTTCTGAAAGCGTTGTTGAAGGAAAAGGGGATGACGAGATCTCTAGCATCCCAATTAGCCATGGAATTTCTGAGGAACATCTTGAACAAGAAAAGGAAGATGATGCAGTAGTTCACATTGGCAGGCCAAAATCAGGTTCCTTCAGAGTGTTGAAGTATGTTTCTCTCCTGCTGGTTTTATTAGTTACCTGTGTCTCAATCGGTGTTATTATTACTCCTTCCATGGATACATTGGGTATAGAGTCTTTGAAGTCTTCCAAGTTCCCAGATACATCAGAAATTGGTCTTTTGGCAAAGGAAAATCTTAACCATCTAGGTTCCAGGTTTCAAAAGTATACACTGGACTCCATATCACACTTTTCTTTGCTGATTTACAAATTTGGGGGAGGGGATAATTTTGACCATATTCAGTTCATTAACCTGACTAGCATTGAAGACAATGCCGTTTGCCTAGAGGATCTGCAACGGAATCTACCACTAATAGAGGACCTTAAGGAGGAGGTTACGGAAGAAGAAGAAGAAGAAGAAGAAATGGAAGCCGAGTACGTTGAGGAGCCAACTCATCAAGACATGGTTTCTGATGACAGTTTTGAATGTGATTTAGATGATGCTAGTGACTTGGTGGGGAACGAAGAATTGGTAACTGCTCCTGTAAGCCTACCCCATGCATCTCTCTCGCAAAGCTCAGAAACTCTTTGTGGTGTGGAGGAATCTTCTTCATATGTTGTCACTGAGATGAAAGCTCAGGAAGGAGATTCTGAAAATGAGGAGGTGGTTCTACTCCCATTAACTTCTGCTGTGATAGTGTCTGAAACTTCTGATCCTGAAAGGACAGAAACAGATGCCGTTGAAGCTGATTTGAGTCACAGCTCTATGACTGAACTGGAGTCCTCCCCAACAGAAACTACTGCTCCTTCAATCCTAGAGGATGTAGCTTTTGAAATATTTCGAGGTTTGAGTTTGCAAACTCTGGGATCACTATCTGTTATTGGGGTTGCACTTCTAGTTTCTATTCTAGTTGCTGCAGCATTTATGTCTTGGAAGAAGAATACATCCGGCAATCAAAATGTTGTTGGTGGGAGTATGAAACAGGCTGAGAAGATGTTTCAATATAGGGCAGTCCATCAGACTTTTACCTCAGATGTTGATGTGGGAGAGGAGCCCTGTTCATCAGAAATGAGCAGTTACCGAACAAGGAACTCAGCTTCCTCCAGGAAAGATCGTGTAGTAGCGAATGAAGTCCAAAGCGAACATTGGAATTCAAGGAAGTACACTTCTAAGAGGGAGTCATTGGCATCTTCCTCAGAATTTTCCACTGATGTTTCAGCTTCCTATGGTAGCTTCACCACGTACGAGAAAATTCCCATGAAGCATGTGAGTTATATTCAACAGTGCCCTAATTTATACATAAGTGGATTCAACTGCTCCTTATAATGCATAATTTCCTTATTTTTGGTTTGGTTGTTTTTGCAGGGAAGTGGAGACGATGAGATCATTACCCCTGTCCGGCGATCAAGCAGAATCAACAGAAAGCAAGTCACTTCTCCGTGACTGAACTTGCACATCATCAGTCTGTCTTGTCCCAGGCAAAGCTAATGCACTTCTTAGTTAGGAACTGATCATCTGTTAATTTGGTGTGTGTTTAGATTGGTGAAATGCTATTCACTTCTTATTAGTGGGGAACTGAAACTTGTCACTTGGTATTCCGATGTAATTTCTCAGGTTTTCTGGCTTGGCTGTAGTGAAAGCCGAGGTCTACTTGTACTGTTGCTTAGTTGCTTTCTTAGTGGCAACATTTATTCTAACTTTTTCGCCTTCCATTCTATAGCAGTTGTCTATTCTTTCTCTTTTCTATCTGCTGATTTGTGCTCTTTACCCTTTCTGATGTCCCGAGGTCCTGCAAATGTAGCATTAGCAAGTTGAGAATGGGAGGCAAAGTTAAGTTTAGGGTGGACTCTCAGTGTCTGTTCCTGGTTGTATTACGAATTTTCGAATTGAAAATTCTTCTGATTACTGTCAGTCTATTTCATTTGAAGATCTTCTGATTCAATCAGCATAAAGAGGGTCAACATGTCAACACCATTTATGTTGGCCAAATCAATCAGCAACAAGTAACGGATGACCTAATGTAATCTACTATGCAAAGGCTAAGGAACAACAGTTATTCTAGATATGAAATTCTAACCAAATGGTTATGAAGACTTTGTATACACACCACAAATCCTTGTATGGATTCTCCCTGAGTTTTACTGTTTATCAATATGAAGCAATCAGTGATTCAAAATAATCAGATTTAGAATATTGAGTAATTTTTCAACTAAGAAGGAAGTCATGTGCTAATAATATAGGACTCATGCAAAATCTCTCCAAAATGAATGGTAAGAAAAGGATACAGTATTAAAATTGAGGGGCTATTTTAGTGATTCCGGCTCCCCGAGTTATCTCTTTCCCAGAATTTCTCAGTGACGCTTTCTTCTTCTTCTGCTCCGCCCTGCAACTCCACCAGTTGAGTCTAATAAAGCAGCCACGGATGGCGGTGCTCCTCCGCTCTTTACCAACCATAGCCTTTCGCAGTAAACCTTCTTCTTTAAGACCTCGTCCTATATTGTACCTGAATTTCTGCAACTCCTTTCAATCAAGGCAATCTCCCAGACGCAGCGTTTCAACCCTTCCTGTCTGTGCTTCTTCCACTGCTGCAACTTCTCCTTCTTCCCCTACTTCAACTGAAACAGTTGTTTCCCCTGCTCCAAAGCAGCAGAATTTTTCAATACCGCCACTTGAATGGGTGAATAGGACTGCTTTATGCGGGGGATTGTCTGAAAATGATGTGGGTAAAAGGGTCAGGCTTTGTGGCTGGGTTGCCCTTCATCGTGTTCATGGCGGCCTCACTTTCGTTAATCTTCGAGACCATACTGGTATTGTTCAGGTACATGTTGTTCATTGACTTTCAGCTGCGGTTTCACTTGATTCATGTATTCCCTCTGATAAAAAGAGTGGAACTTTAACTTATTATTAGTCTGAGCTCAACTCAATTTTGGTGCCAGCATTGCTTCAAAACACCAGAAAGGGGGGAAAAAATGAATGGTAGCATTAGTACGTTTGAGCATTGGTTGCATTAGGACTGCCATCTGTTTAGGAATCAAGTGATCGATAATTTGTTGTGTGTCTGACCGTTTTAAATTGTGTGAACAATACAATTTGGGAGGTCTTTTGATGAATGCTGGGTGGGGTGGGGTTGATATTATGATATTTTGATTGAATGTTGCGTGTATTTCGGGAGTTCTGAGTCATTTGGGCACCCCTGGTGTTTTTCAGATTACAACGCTTCCTGAGCAGTTTCCTGATGCTCATTCAATGGTTAATGACTTGAGACTCGAGTACGTGGTTTCTGTGGAAGGTGTTGTTCGCCCTCGACCGAGTGAATCAGTTAACAAGAAAATGAAGACTGGTGCAGTTGAGGTGAGTTATGCTTAGCTTGTAGTTTTTTATTGGAATTGAGCAGTTAACAAGAGATTGTTTGCAAAATGCTATCTCCATTTATTAGATGGTTTTCGTTTTTGTTTGAAATTCCAGTGCGGATGTTGGAAACAGATTGCTGATTTCAATAGAAATTTTAAGTTAGGAGATCAAAGCTCTTGTTAATTTCGAGTATGTTAAGATATAAATGTTCAAAGAACTGAAGGTTGCTATCAATGTGTAAGGTTAAAACTGGGATGGTTTTCCTCATGTGACTATGTTGTTTTGAATCCTCCTGCGCATAAATACATGTTAGATTACAGTTTTTGTGCAGTATAGTTGCTGAGTTACCTACCACTTTTCACACTGGAAACTTGAAAGTCTGCTTCAGTTTAATTCCTTATTCACCTTGGTCTTTCTTAAAGAAATTGATTAATTTTTAGTAAGGACCTTACAATGCATGGCTCTTGTTATGTTGTTGACTATGACTTTTTTGACAACAATTGAAGCTTCCAGTCGTGATCATACTTCATTGACAATAAGTGAAGGCTACTTTTCATATTGGCGCCATAAATGAATTGACCTCTAAGTGTCCTGAAAGTCTGATTCCTCCTTTAATATACATGCTTATATGATTCCATGTCTGGAATCTACTCCATTTTCCATATAAGTAACCACCCCTTCTTTGGTTGGTGTGTAGTACAAAGAAGGCTGGCATTCTCTATTGACACCTGAAAATTTAGAGGAAGAGAATCACTTTACATTTTTCTAAAGCTTAGTAATTAAATTATTAGGCTATCCATGTAGCTATTTCAGAGGAGATTTTTATAGTTTTTGTTTAACTATTCTCAAGTTATTATTCTAGTGCTTAATGAAGTAATAATGATGATAAAATCCTCTGGTTGTTTGAGGCATTATTTGTTTTTCTTAATCCGGTAGTTTTATGTATGTTGCTTATGTTTGCAGGTGGCTGCAGAGCATGTCAACGTCCTGAATACTGTGAGACTCAAATTGCCTTTTTTAGTTACTACTGCAGATGATGTGAAAGACTCTGTTAAGGAGGAAATTCGCTTGAGGTGCACTGTTTCTTATATTTAATTAAGACCGTATTTCTTTTTGCCAAACCTTACCTCTGATGATGCTTTATATTCCCTCACCAATTTCCTTCTTGCCATCTCTACCTCTACTGATTGAAAGGTCTTACTACTTATTACCAGATACCGATACCTTGATTTGCGGCGTCTGCAAATGAATTCCAACATGATGTTGCGACATCAAGTGGTAAAACTCATTCGAAGGTACCTTGAAGATGTGCATGATTTTGTGGAGGTATATTTCCTATCAAGTTTAACAGCTTATTGAAATTTTCTTCTTTGAATATTGATCTTACATATATTGCTGAGATATTGATTCTTATTTTGATGTTTGTAAGGTAGATTGAGACTCCGATTTTGTCAAGGTCTACTCCTGAGGGTGCTCGAGATTATCTGGTTCCTTCAAGAATTCAGGTGTTGTGATGTTCCTAATAAAATCTTTAAATTGAGCAATATCTTGATAATTGCACTTGAGCTTTCTGTTATTTCTCATTACCTTGGTAATTCATTGATTTTTTTGATAGTCCTGTCACTATTCCCGTGTCATACAGTAGCTGAGATTTTATCTGAAGAAATTCGTCCCAAATACCTTTTTCTTTACTCTTATTCTACTGGTGTTTCTGCATGTTTTATCCACTAATTTATTAAGTAATTACAGAAACAAAGACTTTAACTGCAATCTTCGGGCCCTTGTTGGCCTTGGGGAATTATGTTTGTGTATATAAAATCCAAACCACAGACAAAGTGTAGAAGTTATTTAATAACTAAGCCATACCTTGTTGTTGTTTTTTCCCCCCAAGTTCCTCCCTCAGCCCTGGGGGTGGGATGATTGAATTCTTTCTGTTTATCCAGCCACTTAGTCTGGCAATGATGAGGCAGGATCAGATTAAACCTTCAAAAGTTTGTTGTTATTCTTGCTTAAATATAAGGCAGTCCAATTTGTCTTTGAGTTAACAATATGCTGGGATAAGATTCATTTATACTCCCTCTACCCCTAAAAAAGTAGCCCACATTGTGTTTTGAAATTTGTACAAAAAATAGTACAAAGATGAAAAGTGTGGACTATTTTTTTTGGGGCAGAGGTAGTACTTCTTTTATTTGTGAAAGTCTAGTTATTTTGGGTTTTGGTGACTTTTCTGTGCTCGTTCAAAATATGCTCAGTAATCAACGGCACTTCCATTATTTTCGGTCATAAGTCTTCTAAGAATGGGATTGATTGTTATTGACATGTATCACGTTTCATCTGTCATATATTTCTTTTACTTACCCATATGTTTTATGAACCATAACTGAATTTTGATTTCATCATTCAAGCCAGGAACATTTTATGCCCTTCCCCAAAGTCCACAACTGTTCAAACAAATGTTGATGGTTTCCGGTTTCAATAGATACTATCAAATAGCCAGGTAATCCATCTTTAGCTTTCAATTATTTTGTTCAAGTGATGACTTTGTTGAAGCTCCACTTGTCATTTTTTTTTTCCACATTCTGAATCATGATTAGTTTGTGAAGCGATTCTGTTCTGGCCTTATGACAAGTTGAATTTAATTTATAGCTGGTCATGAGCGATAATCCTTGCAAGGTTGTAATCTATTGCAATTCCTCTGGTTCTGCTTGCAGATGTTTTAGGGACGAAGACCTAAGAGCAGATAGACAACCTGAGTTCACGCAACTGGATATGGAAATGGCCTTCACTCCTCTGGAGGACATGTTGAAGCTTAATGAAGACTTAATTAGGAAGGTTTGGTAAATTATCTTGTCTTGTTTTTGAAATTGAACTGATCAATAGACAAGGGATGATAAAAATTTCGTGTCAGGTTTTCCTTGAGATCAAAGGCATCCAGCTACCAGACCCTTTCCCGAGGCTTACATATGCTGAAGCTATGAGCTATTATGGTTCGGACAGGCCAGACACTCGATTTGATCTTCGATTGCATGATGTAATAAATTTTTTTAATACTATTTTCTTTTGGAAAATATGAAATACTAGTTCATTACTTTAGTCTTACCTACAATAGAGGCTAATTTTTTTGGGTAACTTTTCTTGTTTGCATTACGTTTTTTCCTAAAAAAGTTTCATTTCTTTTGGGGGCAGCGGAGGGTGGAGTATTTTGATGATATGTTTGCTGATCGAGCATAATGGTGACATATGATCCATATAGCCTACCCCTTTTTTGCATAGTGGGAAAAAGGCTTCTAGTTGCTGTTGTTGTGTGTGTGTGTGCGGTGGGGGGAGTATATTTTGACTCTCCATGTTCTGAATTAGGTCCTACCGGGTAATCTCACCTGTGCCCTTCTTATATGTTTGGAGTGGACCTCATTTTTATCTCTTAAATTATTTTGTCTGGTAATATAACCAATCTTGCTAGAGAAACCTATTCATGATTGTGGCTACGTCTGGTAATATAAACCAATGGCGCTAGAAAAAACTATTTGCAATTGGGGCTATGCATCAGATCGACATTGATATGATCTGATGATCTTTGTGTTTGCTTCCTTTGCCCTGTAGGTATCTGAATTTTTCCCACACTCCTCCTTCAAGGTGTTTTCAGATGCCCTGGAAAGGGGGGGAATCATTAAGGCCTTGTGCGTGCCATCAGGAGCAGAAAAATACTCAAATTCTGCTTTAAAGAAAGGTGATATTTACAAAGAAGCAATTAAATCAGGAGCAAAGGGTTTACCTTTTGTAAAGGTGCTTGAAGATGGTAGGAGAAATGCTTCTCATCTTACATATAAGTCCATATTTGGAGGACTATTTTCTAAAATGCTTGACATCTCCTTTCAGGAGGCATTGAAGGGATTGCCCCACTGGTATCAAGTTTCGATGACGAGAGAAGAAGCCAGTTTCTCAAATGTTTGTCAGCAAAATCTGGTGATCTTATATTGTTTGCAGTTGGTCAACCAGCATCAGTAAACAAAACCTTAGACCGTTTGAGGGTCTATGTGGCCCATGAGCTAGAACTAATTGATTCAGTAAGTCTGCAGGGGCTTATGGTTTCTAATGGCCTAATTTTACTGTTCTGAATAATAAATGAGAAACTATTAATTGTTTTTCAGTATCTATGGATTTCTTATATCACCGTGTTTATTTGTTATGCAGTCCAGACACTCAATTTTGTGGGTAACTGATTTTCCGATGTTCGAGTGGAATGATGCAGAAGAGAGGCTTGAGGTTTGTACAAAGCTCCGTCAAGTTTGCTAAGCTAGAATGGTGGTTATGTGATATTGTGAAAGCTAAATTTGTCGCTACTAGTCTGTTCCCGTAATAAAACGATTGAGTTGAACTTGGTTTCGATGAAGACATAAAAAAACTCGCTATATTGTTATGGAGGAAATATAAGAAAGCATTTGTGTCATCATATTCTAGTTCATGTCACATGATGACATACTTTGAGTCATCAAGCGCTTGATCCATACGAGTCATATCATATATGGTGATTCAACTCACGTGGTGTGCATATCTTTTCAGGCCTTGCATCACCCGTTCACGGCTCCTAACCCTGAAGATGTGAACGATTTGGCCTCTGCCCGTGCATTGGCTTATGACATGGTTTACAATGGTGTTGAGGTGAGTAAAGGATGAATATTCTCTGAAGAAATTGTGTTTACTTCATTATTATATTATACTTCTTCCTGGTGGGTTAGAGTTGTAGTTTATGAAATCGATAAACACTCAGAATATTGTTTTTACTCATATCCAGATTGGCGGAGGAAGTTTGAGGATTTACAAGCGTGAAATTCAAGAAAAAGTATTGGAAATCATTGGCATTACTCTTCAAGAGGTAGGTGATTCTCATCTATGTAAGATGTCTAGAAAATTGAAGATATTGGTTTGCATTTTGGCCATTTGATTCCCTGAAACAGTAAGTTTCTTACCTAGCAAAGTTTCAATAAACAAGCTCAATATGTGGTTTGCATTTTCATTTTTCTCTTCCCCGCTGAAGATGACTTGGGACATACTCCTCTTTATTTTCTTTCTTCATTGACTCAGATATGATATCTCAATTTGTAAGGATTTGTAAGGAACACGATCGTACGCTTAAATAGATATCAGACGAGATGAATGTCTCTGAAACTCAGAACTATGTTTGAGTTTTTCTTCTTGTGTTTTGATCTTTTTTTTTTTTTTTTTTAAAATTGATCTGCAGGCTGAAGCTAAGTTTGGCTATCTCTTGGAAGCTCTGGACATGGGTGCTCCTCCACATGGTACGGGTCCTATGGGATACTCCTGGTCCCGGACTAAAATGAAATTTGGTTGCATGCATTGCGTTGCATTCACATTTGTTTTTTCTGCAAAACATTCTTCAAACTAGGGTCTAATTGGGCAGTGTTTGTTGGTAATTGCAGGAGGAATTGCGTATGGGTTGGATAGATTGGTTATGCTGCTGGCCAACACTACTTCAATCAGGGATGTTATTGCTTTCCCGAAAACTTCAACTGCACAATGTGCCCTGACACATGCGCCATCAGAGGTCGATACGCAGCAACTAAAAGATCTTTCATACCCAGGATACCCTACATCAACTTAATTTCATTAGAAGGCTTTGATTACAGAGTTTCCATTGGCGAGGATCGTGTAACCTTTTATTACTTGAGGAACTGTAGGACATTTTTAACTTCCTCTGAACGGATGGAGACTGGGTCATACGGGTGATATGTTTTATTTTTCCTATAAATGAATAGTTGAATACGCAGGCAAATGATTTTGGGTTTGGGAGGGCTTTATTGGGTGAGGGTGATCTTTGTTGGGTTGATTGGATGAAGTCTTGATTTTAAGGAGCAAGTGGCGTTATCATAAATGCTTTTATTTTTATTATTTACTTACTTTTGACTAATTTGCATTTTCCTTCCCGCGCTTTTTTTTTTTTTTTTTTGATACACAATTATATCTAGTTTATTACATGTGAGTGTGATCTATGGGAAGGAGATAGTACTATTAGTGGATAGGATTTATGGGAAAGGGAATAGTACTACTAAGTGGGAGATTTTACGCACGTCTTAATCTGGTACTCAAACCCTAAACCACTGGGCCACTCTTTTGTTGGCCGTCCCGCGCATCTAATTAAATTGTGCCCTACACTTAAATTTACTCTTTCTCGGGACTTTGCCATTTTAAAATTTTTCCAACGCAGATATCTGAAAACAACATAAAAATCCTTAAAATTGATAAAATATTATTAATATTCAAAGAAAAATACTATAAAAATTCAGTTTTTTCCCCACGAAAAGTTAGCATTTAGGGCATCTCCAATCCTTCACCCCTCCATTCCTTTATTTTACAGTTTTTAAGTAAAATCTCTCTATCTCACAGGTTCAATAGTGCTAGAAACTCTAACCAATTCTCTTTATATCATTCCTTCCAAAAGAATATTCTTAGTAATATTCTTTTCTAATTTATAAAATCTAATAAATAGTTTTAAATATTAATATTTTGATTCATTTTACATGTAAAAAAAATATGTATATACAGATATTGTAATTAAATTAATCATCTAATTAAGTTATCAAATTATTTAATTTGCGGTTTACCTACAAAATTTTATTCTATTAAATTGTTAATAGTTAAATGTAAAACATTTGTATTTATACTAAAATAAACAATCCATTACTAATACATCATTAAAATAATAAAAATACATTACGTATAAAAAATGAGAAAATTTGGTGAAAGGGCGGTAGAACAGGTCAAATTAATAAAAGAGGTGTGACCTTAAAATATTTTTTATTAAGAGCGGTAATTTATTTATGAAAAATCATAAAATAAAAAAGATTTTGAATAGACAATACCACACTTATAATATTTTTTAACAAAAATAAAACAAAACCTAAATCTGATCCTTATCTCTTCATTCTTCCTCATCTCGCCGATTGAAATCATATCTCCATTCAGAATAGCAAATCAGATCTCGCGACATAGGGTCTTACTCATAAATAGAGACATGATCTCAAAATCAGATTTTTGGAAGTTTTTAAAAGAGTTCTATTTTGGTCCAAAACTATTCTGAATAATTGGTTTTAGTAGCATCCCCAAAGTTGAATATGGTGGAGGATGGGAGAGCAATCCAAGAGACAATTGCAATACCAATAGTCATCAAAACTATGGAGATAACCAGTTGACACTTCAATGCAGGCTCAATTTTCTTCAGGCCTTGATTTCAAAAAAATCGTTGGCAAAAAAAAATGGTTATCAAACATATATACAAGGATACACGCGACTGCAATGACGTGTTTACTCACACATCATCTTTAGACTACATGGAACTTTATGCATGGATATACATGCCCCTGAATTCTGTTTCTTCGACGATCTGATTTTGAGATCCAATCCCCACACCTGAACTGGCAGGGAGCCAAATTTGCACTGGATTGATGCAATTGTTGCATCAGTTCAACTCGGGACTAATAGTTGGCTGTGAGGGTTAAAATTGTTCTGGCCGGCTTGCGACAAAGGACATACCTGGTCATAAGTGTTCTGGTTGTTCCAAATTCATGACTGAGCCGGGAAATTTGAGAAATTTGTCGGCATATGATGCCTAAGTAACTGGAAAGTAGCACAAGGTAGCCTGATCGAAGGCGATGGATGTGAGAGGTTTCAATCAGTCGACAAAGCAAAAAAGAGATCTAGAGTTCGGCGATGATCTATTCTTGGATTCATTATTGATTAAACGGAAATCAAAACCACTGATTATAAGGGTGATTTTGTTTTATTTTTTTGGTAATATCGACATGTTTTCAATTCCGTGGAAGAATGAAGAGTAGAGGATTGGATTTGGTTCTTGTTTTATTATTTTTTGTTTGTGTAAGAAATTAGAAGGGTGTTACCGTCACTTTAAAGTATTTTTATTTTATAATTTGCTGACAACTAATTTAGTGCTCTTCATAAAAAATATTTTAAAGTCATACCCTTTTTATTAATTTGGTCTGTTCTACTACCTTTTAACCAAATTTTTCCAAAAAAATTATCCTCAACGATTAACAAATAAACATGTAATAATTATATATAGCATACAAAAATTAATCAAAACTACTACAAAATTTACAAAAGGCCCAATTCGGCCAATCAAATCCAACAAAAAAAAAAAGAAAAACAAAAGAAAAAAGAAGAAGGCCAAAACTATCGAACCTAAGCGCAAATTTAACCCTAAAAACTAATTTCAAAAATTGAAAAAAAAAAAGAAATGGGGACTGAACCCTGCCCGCCACAAAGTAGCGGGTGGACAGTCCTTAGCCCGGAGCACTTTAGAGGGTTGGCGGAGCGGAGTGCTAAAATGGAGGTGGCATTGCTGAGTTGGAGAAGCCGCTCCGCTATCCTAATCGGCCCTCTTCATTTAGAGAGCCGGTTGGTGATTCTCATCTTTGTGCCCGCCTACAATAATTTTTTTCCAACTTCTACCACACATCAAACTTATAAGAACTTCTAAAACTCCCTCTTTACCTACTAGCCCCACCAAAGGCTGTTATTTTTTTAAAAAAAGAAGTAATTTCTAGCTAATAACAAACTTTCTTTTGATAAAAATATGTATAAATGTCCCTCATGGAGATATACCATCAAAAGGTTATTGCAGGGAAAGGAAAATGATATCTATCTATCTATATATATATATATATATATATATATATAGTGAAACGATATAATAAAATAGAATACTACAATTCAGCGAGGGGGATTAGTCACTGTGGTCGACTGTAGACACCCTGCAAATATGAAAAAAAAAAAGAATAATAGCTAATGTGACACATATAAATACATGATTACCCTCTATTTTCTTGATAGTTATTTAGAGAATATTTTTTTTTTTTTTGTCTTTTCATTAGTCACTATTTTATTTCTCTATGAATTATGCATATCATTGCTCTTACTTAGAAAGATAAAAACTACCAGCCTTTGAGAAGAAAAAATATACAATGTAGTATTACTGACGCAAATGAAAATTTTTAACACATAAATTGAGGGATAAAATTTGGAAAAAAAAATAGCGAGACAAATAAAAAAGAGTGAGAGTATACTAATGTAGAAAAAGAGTGATGGAAAAATAATACAACGACAATAACAACAATAAATCTTTTTATCACTAGATAGAGTCAGTTATATGGATCGTATATTGCCATTATGCTCGGTCCATACATAACTCATCACTAAATATAAAAATTTCAAATCATTTTTAACAGTTTCTTCCAAGTTTTCTTATATTTACCTAATTCTCTTAATTTGGATTCTTGATTCTATAGTTTCTACCTTCCTAACGGGGGCCTCCATCGGTCTCCTACGCACATGTCCGAACCATCTCAAGCGATTTTCTCGTATTTTCTCATCTATTGGAGCTACCCATACTTTCTCTCTAATACATTAATTTTTAATCCTATCCAATCTAGTATGCCCACACATCAATCTTAACATTCTCATCTCTATTACTCGTATTTTTTTTTTCTTGCTCATTTTCATATTTAGTGGCTCAATACTCGAATTAATAAAGTATCGCCGATCAAATGACTGGTCGGTAAAACGTACCTTTTAAACTCGATGGTACCTTACGATCACAAAATATCGAGGATGCGCTACGCCATTTGTTTCACCCGATTTGAATGCGATGTGTTATAACTTTATCAATACTTCTATTTTTTTTTACAATTGATCTTAAACATTTAAAACTTTTATATGCGTTCGCTTCATCCTGAATATTTTCCATCACTTAAGCTATATTGATGGAAAAATATATTGAGAAAAAAAAATTAGGAAAAGAGTTTTGAGAGGGAAAAAAAAGGAGAAGAAAGATGAGAAAGGTGAAGTGAGTAAGAATATAAAATGTAGCATGAGAGATACAAATAAAAATTATTACAAATAAATTGAGGGAGAAAAATTGAGCAAGATACTGATAAAACAAGACAATTAAAGGCATCTTATAAAAGAAATTTGTTTTTTTTCGCAGAAGATGCACCAACTCCTCTGTCTCTCCCCCTCAATGGCTTACGTAGTGTGGAAGAGTATGAGAAGTCTATAAAAGTTTTCGATGATACTATGCATACTTCGTAATTTCTTATCTGGATAAGATGCTCAGACATGTTGAACTACAAGCTGATGTTGAAAGTTTGCTCTCGATTATATATAATTCTCCAAATCGATTAGACAGGATGATTGTGCAATAATAGAGTTTATGTGCATAAGTTAGAGGATCGTGTCAATAATACTACACTACCAATTCCGCTTAAGGAAAGATAGTTTTCAAATGTTGCGTGCTTTGGTATGATAATAAATAAGAGTAAGAAAACTACTCACTCTCGCAAGTGGTCTATTTTTGTAAGCTTAAGAGACTTCATGACAAGCCATCGTCACACTAGTCAAATAATTAATTACCTACTTAATACAATTACTAGCAGTAAAGTAGAAAGCAGGGTCGATCCCACAGAGAAGGTTACCAAGTACCGGTTAAAATTATTTCTTATTATTATTTAGATTAAAAATTTATCAATTTAAACTATTCTAAACCTAAAACTAACAATTGCAATTATTTAAAGATATAAATAAGTAAAAGAAAAACCTAGGGCAAAGGGTTCACCAACCGACTATTTAGTTTAATTTAATCTATAGATATGTGACTTTCGACTCTCATTAATCTCACAACGATTCACCTATTTAAGAAATATTCACTGTCGTGATATAATTCTCTTACTTAAACTAACCTTATGACTACTGTCGTGACTATAGGGATTAATAAAAGCACATTAAGAACTTTAGAATCTCTAGCTGCAAAGGCGGTGTACCTATTGTCGTGGCTCACTACCTAAGTTTAATATTCCCATGAACTAATGTTAACCTTCAACCGTTGTTCCTTCAGTTAAACACCTTTAAAGCATGCAAGTGGTGATCAAATACTCACATGGAATAAAAATAAGAATATTAAATATCAACTAATGAAAAAGTCACAATCATGAATTAAATTAAATTAAATAATACGGCGGCTACATCCAAAACCCTAGATTAAATAATTTAGCTACACATCATCTCAAAAATAAATAAAACAATGAAACCCGGGAGAAGTCGGCCAAAATCCGAAAGTTTGAAGTTCCTCCGATTGCGTGCTTCGGTCCGTGCTTTCCCTTCTGATGATCATGGTAGCGGAACGTGGGTTTGTGTGGTTGATGGAGTTTTTGTGCGTAAAAGGGTGAGAAGGTGATTTTTGTTTTTGTGGGAGTTAGGCGTGGGTTTTAGTGGTGTAGTAGTGGTGCGTGAGAAGGGGTTTTGATGCTGCGTAGGGTGCAAAGGTGATGAGGCCGTGTGATGGATGAGGTGGAGGGTGGTGGTTTGGTGCGTGGGTTTTGTGGGGTGTGGGTTCTCTCCCAAAAAATAATCAAAATCATCCTTTATATAATTGGCCGCAAAAGTCAGAACCAAAACCCTATGGAAGCTGCCAAAACCGACTCTTCATATGAGCTGCTGCCCAAGTTTCGGAAATTTTATTTTAATCTAAGGTTTTACAAAATTATAATTTTACCCCAAAACTTCTTTAACTTCGCACTTTAGTCCCCAATCCGTTTTCCCATGCAGGAATTCGAGTTTTTGGCTGAATTTTCTTTTTCATTAATTATTCAAATCATCAATCTTGATCCCATAAGTTGCTCTTTTGTCTTGATTTCAATCCAAAACTTTAACAATTCCTCCATTTGAGTACAATTCCTACAAATAAAGATAAAATCATATAAATAACATATTTGTACTCAAAATGTTAGCAAAACCTCACATAAAAGGATATTAAAAATAGGTAAATTATATGGACATCACTTCATTTGTAATTTTTCATGAAATCTATAAAACAAAATACTTATCCTTAGTATTGTGCAATCGGTCAACTATTGATTATAGAATAATTGTATGATATGCACGTTTGAACTATTCCATCTTTGCAATATACAGTAATTAACTTCGGTTGGTGTAAGTGATGTTAATATATTTGTAATTGCGAAAAACATCGATATTATAAAACATAGAAAATCACAGGCATGAGATTATACTATTGTATTATATGGTAGCACTTGAACAACCATATGAATCTCTTAATGAAGACTTTATAGTATTTAAACTATTAAACTAAAATGTTATAAATTCGAGCATCGTGTGTGGGTTTGTTTTTTCACCACCTAGTTTTTACGTATGGTCATTTTTTTGTTGTGGTTTTTAGGGTGAAATCCAAAAGTTTTAAAATTCTCATCTGCAATGAAGGAGAATTTCCCAGTCACACGACCAACGTCATTTACAAAAGAACGCATTATAACATTTATTAATCGAAAGTAATTCTCATACTTTTATTGTTTTAATTGATACAACAAGTTTTTTGTATTTTTCCCTCAAAAAAAATACTTACTATGACTATCATTAAGACTATGGTTGAATGTACTCGAGTGTTTTAATATAAAATTACATTTTCAATAATTTTCATAAAAATTTTATACTAAAACCTTTCATGGAGACTTAATATCATTTGAAATTTCAAAAAATAATACTTGAAAACGACAATGCAATTGCACGTGCATAGTATATTTATACTAAAAGTGAAAATTTAAATTAAACAATTATTTCAGAATGAAGATGTATTATTTTTTGTATACTCCCTCTATAACCCTAATTAGGGAAATAATCTTCTACTAAACTATCCGTGTTTTGTATGCTGGACATGTAGTCAAATTTGAGTCTTCTATATAATACGATGTGCATGATACGACACGCATCGATTTTGGTAATCTGATAATTTAGAAAGATTATATAGTGAGTAGTCAAACTTGACCCTATAATAGTGGAAAGATTATGTTGTCAAATTTGAGTATATAATATAGCACAACACTTGCACTACGATTGTGGTAGTACGATGCATATCTGTAACATAGGCACGTATAATACGACACATGCGTCAATTTTGGTAATATGATATTGTAGAAAGATATGAGTAGTCAAATTAGAGACTTTAACAGTCTAAAGAGAAATTTGAGTTCATAATACAATAATTTTGGTAACGTGATGTTGTAAAAAGATCGTGATAATTTTTTTATTTTATGAGTTGAACTAATTTCAATTATTTCCTACTCCAATTTACACATTCACAAGAATGTACATACACTACTTATTTTGAATACATATACGGAGTTTGAATGCAACATGGTCCCAAATTCACAGTATCGGAGCTAAGGCGTGAACTATTATTATATGATGAGGAGTATATATGTTGCTAGCCATTTCCATTAAATTGAGTAAATCATAATTGATTAAATTACAATTTTAGCATTGTGAGAGAGATTTAATATGGTTGTGATGAACTAGATTCAACGCATTTAATATACCTGTTTATGGACGTTATATATTGAAGGTCCATTTGATATTAAGAATTTTATTTTTAAATAATTTCATTCTAAAACAATCTTATTTTTAATTTTCTGTAGCATATATAAATGGGAGCGGCTACAGCCCAGTTGACTGAATGGTTTAGTCGGTGCTAATGACCGTACGGTGAGTAGAAGTAATAATAACCGTTAGATTAAATTAGTTGTATTTTAAAAGAAGGTAGAGCCTATTGCATTGAATAGTTGCCCCACAATTTCATCATCTCACGGATCACGATCAAAACTAACATTTATCAACAAAATTTAAATCTTGATTTCTGCTTAATATAAATTTATATTGGTTTTCCAAAAAAAATAAAACAAAGAAAGAAAAAAGAAAAGGTTTCCAATACATTTATGTCTTCTCCATTTTGATTGAAAATCTCCAACGAACACCTAATTAGAAGTCTCAGTCAATTACAATTTTATTTCTTCATTGTTTCAAACAGAATGATTTCACAGTAAAAATACAAAAAGTAGATGGGTAAAGGAAAGACTAAAGTCTATACATGAATCCAACTCCTCCTATCCACGACCAGTCAAGCTTATATGTGATGTTCTTTAGATGCGTAATTTTTCAATGAAAAGTAAAGTTTTTTGTTTCTGGGATGAAAGGATCCCATCTGAAAAACTTTTGATGTAATTGATTTATTTTTATCTTTGATTTGTTAAGGAATAAAAAAATATGGGTAAATTAGAAGATTAATAACAATTTAAATTGATTTAGATTTATTTGAATATTTTTTGGCCCACAATAACATATGTTCCTTAATCTTTTGATTGGTTATAATGTTCAGTTAAAAACTAACAACTGGACTCTAAAATTTCCATATATATATATATATATATATATAGAGAGAGAGAGAGAGAGAGAGAGAGAGAGGTTTTACCTTTAGAATATTATTGATATGTTATAATCATAAGGAGTTACGATATATGAAATAATAAAATATAAATTGAAAGAAAATGTAATACTCAAACTTAAATAATAGTCACACCCCGAGAAGGAAAAAAACAAACAAAAAAGTCAATCCATTATCGGATTACTAGAATACGATTGTGATTATTGTAGGGACGTATTATTAACGGAATTCATAAATGACATTATCTCGGACACTAAATTTCCTACTCCCAATGACCAAGGCCATTATAGGAAAAATATAACCGGCCACAACATGCAGTCACACATTGAACTTTCTATATATTTGTCTATTCTCCCGTGAATCTAAAACCATCCATCCTCTCAAACACGTATTTTCCCCTACCAAATTCCTACCGATTTAGCCATGGCAAGAAGGACTAGCCGAGGCCGCAAAAAGATCGAAATGGCAAAGGTGAAAGATGAAAGCAACCTTCAAGTCACCTTTTCCAAGCGCCGAACCGGCATTTTTAAAAAGGCCCACGAACTAAGCGTCCTCTGTGGTGCAAAAGTTGCCTTGATTGTTTTCTCCCCCGGTCAAAGGGTTTACTCATTTGGCCATCCTTCTGTTAACACCATAATCGAGAGGTTTCTCGAAAATCAAAAGAACCCATCCTTTGATTTATCATCCCCGACAGTTTTAACAACGATGAATGCAACCGAGCGAATCATTCATGCTCACAGAAACGAGCGCCTTCAGCAAATGAACGAGGAAATAATGCAGTTAGAAAAGCAATTGGAAGCGGCGAGGAAACGCGGAGAAGCACTGGAGAGAGCCAAGAAGGAGGACCCAGGAAAGCAGTGGTGGAAGATGCCTATTGAAGAGCTTGATGCAAATCAGCTTATGATTTATGCAAACGCTCTGGAGGGACTCATGAAGAAAGTTAAAAAGGAAATGGGTTCATTTTCCATTGAGGGAGGTCGTGCCCCTTTTACGGATCTTATTGGGGTTAATGATGTTTATGGCCGTATTGCCATTAATCTTGATAATTTCATTAATCAATTTGGTGGGAAGGATGACTGTGGACAGGTTCCCAGCCATTGTCGCTGCCCATCTACTGCTGGTGATGCCAATAATGTGCAAGAGGAGATTGATTTGAATCGTTCGGCCTCACTGTCTGGATCTGGTAGTCTGGAAAATGTTGATGATGATAAGAAATATGTTCGGATTCATCAATTTATTTAAGTTTATCTAAGATATGATGATGGTCCAGTAGCCTCTCTCATTCTTATTTTCTTTTGTTTCTGGTGTTTGCCCTTCTTCACTGTTATGTTTTAAGGGAAAAGCTCGATATATGTAGGTGTATAGGGCCTTTTTTTTTTCTTTCCACAGGGAGTAGATCTGTGTTGATTGGGAAAAAGTTTAAGTCATGATAGTTGTTTTCCTTTTATTTCGTGTTGTCAGTTTGTCTTGTTGGGGGTTCACCTTTGTAATGCTTTGTTATGGAGTTCTGACCATCAATCAGATTATAAATTTCATTTTCTTTTAATTAGAAAACAAGAGAAATTATATTAGAAATTATGGAAATTGCCTAAGTTTGATTGATAAATGGCTTACATCTATAGATAACATCTCAAACAAACTCCCTACTGTTCGTGACGTAGAAAGATAGTTCATCAATCAAATATAGTTTTCTTCATTTTTATGGGTGATAGTTGTATTCAAGTACAATACTCTGACACTTTATATCCCTAACCCTACTATTTCATCATCATGTTGAATCTAAATAATCTCCCACATGATTAACTATGACCATGGCCATCGTCCGATCCCTGTCAATATGTTACCTTGGTTCCGAAAGTTGAAACAAATAAAAATAAAAATGGAAGAGATAGATAGAACCTTTGATTTCATTAATTTTATGTAAATATTTTATATATTTTTTATTATTATTTTACAGATAATGATGTGACAAAAATCTCAAACTTTAAACTACCACATTAGCTGGTAAACTACCTCCAACACGATATTAGAAGCTATCTAATCGATTGGATTTAGTCTAGCAAGATTTTATGTAAAGCTTGCTGAAACTATAAAATTAATTTGAGCTCCATCATTGGAATTTTGAAAGAGTTTAATTGACAACTTTATTCAATATTTTTACTTAAAAATTAATTACTTGTTGAATATTTCAATTCAATTTTGCAAAAGGTTTTACTGATAAGTACATTCCTAAGAATTAAAGTAAGCTATATGTTAATTTTAACATAAAAGTATTACTGAATCATCCAAATATTTGGTAAAACTTATTTGTAAATACAGTGTTAGAGCTTGAAATTTTTATAATTAAGTGTAAAAATTTAATTAATATTTTTCTTGTAGGGGTGAAAATGAGAATTTCTTAAAATTTATTATTGAAATTTTTTCTAAAAAATATATTAGACATCCCTTGTAATTTCTTTAAGGAAGGGCCCTGACTGCTTTCACTAGCCGCCCTTGCTGAAATAAAATGATGCGAATATATCTTATTTGGAAGTTCCAAAAACAATTTCACAATCTTTTACACTACCATGAAAACAAAACAAAAATACGCACAAAAAAGTTATAATTCATCATAGGGATTTATAATGAAATATTCAATTTATAATTGTTATAATAGTTCAACTCATTTGGAATATTAAGCAAATTCAATGCAATAACTGTGTAAAATTTATTTTTACACCCATAAGTGGATACTACTTCAATCTTTGGATATTTTTTAAATTTCAAATATCAGAACAATGAACTTGTAAGTTTATAGCAATTAGAGGATCCACCTAATGCATGGATGCTACTCTAGTTTAGACATGATATAATTGAAATTCAATTACTATTTTGATTTTGTTATTTGACAGTTCATTCTTTACTCTCTCTTTTGTAACAAAAGAAGAATAAAATAAAGTGAACTTAATAGGTTCATGAACTGATTTCATCAAAACTGATATTGAATGCAGTGGCGGATTTAGGTTGGGGGCCATGAGGGCCATGGCCCCCACTGGCCCACCCTAAACCAATAGTATATATTTTAATTAATTTAATTTAGGTTAAGTTTTAAAATGTTTAATTAACTAATTTTATGTAATTTGAGTTAATTTGTCTTGGTATTTCTCACAACTTTACTTTTGGACCAATCAAAAGAGTCGAAATTCAACTTGAAATACAAAAAAAAATAGATTAGTCTAACTCATAAATTATTTTTAAGATCAAAAAATAAACTTTTGTACTTATAAACATTACAATTATATCGTTTCATAGAAACACATTTCCCTTATATCATACCTTAAGATCTTCAAATATATCTGCCAAAAGAGTCGTGGATTTATTTTTTTTTTAAAAAAAATCTTATAGGCTTATAGCAATATAGAAAGGGTTTTTTTCAAATTTAAAAAGTGAAAAGTCATATATACGATTTTTTTTTTTTATCAATGTCATATATACTTGATTGAATAAATTCTTGAACAAACTTGTTATGGTGAAAATGAGAAATTTTTTCGTACAATATATTTTGGCCCCCACTATATTTTTATTCTAGATCCGCTACTGATTGAATGGAATCTATCTTTTGAAAATTGGATATTCTCTTCGTTCTATATAATAGCTAGTGTTCTTTTTAAAATTTTAAAAATTACAAAACATGATTTGTATATAGAAATCAATAAATAATTATGGAGGTTTTTGTTTATTTAAATATGTATTTAAAATAATACTATTTTATGATGTTGCAAAAAGATTAGATTTGGAGGACCTTAACTTAGATTAAAGCAATGCCACCGAACCAAGTGGTTTTTGAAATTGTGTTTTCCTCCTCATCTACAACTTTTGTCCAATTTAGGAAGAAAATTTGAGTTTTATATTTTAAGTAAGTATTTTTTCTGTATTGCTAATAATTTATTGTCAAAATATTGAGAATAGATTTCGGAATTAAAGGCTTGTATAAGGACATAGATACTGGCGAAGGAGTTGGTGAATTAAATATCATCTCTTGAAAATCTGGCACTTAATAAACCTACTCAATATCACAGTTTATGTTAATTTAAATTCTCATATGACAAAAAAAAAATGATTTACTATACACGTCATTTTTATTCTTAGAACACCTATTGAACCAAAATCAGAATCGAAAATTGTCCATACTTATTTGGTATTATCGTACATTACTGTTTACTTTACAATCATTGATTGTTCGCAACTACTGGATCCGAATCCAGCGTTCGCGAGTAGTTCTATATATTTACCAATCCTTACGTCAACTATTCATACGAAATTGAGATTAATTCGATGCTTTTCCGCACGTACTTGATCTAGATACGGCGATTGGGAGTTGTTCTATTTACTAATCACGTCAACTGTTTGTACGCAATTGAGATGGTGTCGGATTATGTTATCATACAAATTCAATTATTCGAAAAATTAGCAAATTTCAATACATCAATTTGACACTACTAGTTGGATAAGTTTAACAACTAATGTGTATGAACTCCTTTCAAAAAAAAAAAAAGTGTATGAACTAAGTGATGGATATTCACCATATGAATGAGCTGGACTTAATTAGTGGTTCATTCTTCTTTCTAAATTATGAAGGCCCCCAAGACATTATAAAAAGAAGCATTTCTGTCGCAATTCAGACATAACATTCTCTGTTCCTTCCTACAAATTTGATTTTTTCTTTTCCGGTCCAAAATTTCAGCCATTTTTCTAATTTCTTACTTCAACTTTGTGAGCCATGGCCGCTAGTAACCGTCAAGGGCGCAAAAAGCTTGAAATTAAGAAAATCGAAGATGAGAGCCGTTTAGGTGTATCATTTACAAAACGTCGTGCTGGTATAATGAAGAAAGCGAGCGAGCTTTGCACCCTGTGTGGTGCAAAAGCGGCTGTCATCATATTTTCACCCAAGAATAAAGTATATTCATTCGGCAACCCGAATGTGGAGTCCGTGGTGAATGATTACCTAAGCGGTAACCCAGTGAGATTCTTGGATCCAAGGAGCGCTGCTGGAACCCAACAGGCGGCAAACCTCCAAGCGCTCAACGAGGAGCTCCAACGGCTTGAGGATCTGGTGGAAGCTCACCAGAGGCAAGCGGAGGTGCTCGATGAGGCGCGCCAGAAGCGCGTGGACAAGGGAATGTGGTGGGATCAGCCCATTGACAGCCTAAACCTGAGACAGCTGGAGGAGCTGTCCGATAAAATGCAACTCCTCAAGGTGAACGTTTGCCGGGAGATTAACAAGCAGAGGACCGAAGGTGCGGCAGCTGTTGCTGATGATATCCCTACGTTTGCGGTGGCCCCGATGAATACTGTTTACGGAGGAGACAATCTTCCGATAAATGTTGCCGGAACCAGTGGTGGCGGTGGTGCCGAAGGAGAGATAAGGGACGTCCCGTCCTTGCCTGATCGGAATCATTCCGGGGCTTCTGGATCTGGTCTAAATTAGCTACACCGATAGTTTGATTTGATGGTCTGAAGTTGCTAGTTGTCGTTTTTTTTTTTTTTTTCTCATTTTGTTCAATTTGTTTTAGGGTTTTTTTTTTTTTGTATTTTTAATAATCCGCAACAAGGCCATAATGTACCTCAAAAATTAAGGAAAAGAAATACCTCAAATTATTTATAACTATGAGAAGACTTTCAATTTCAAATAAAAGATGCGTAATAAAAAAAACCTTCAAACAATAAAAAAAAAAAAAGAAGAAGAACAAGAAGAAGAAAAGAAAGGGTAAAAAATTGTCCACTCCAAGATCTGATTACACCAGGGAGATCTTTCCGTCTTATGTCTTGGGAACACATTTTAAAAAAAATATAAAAAAGAAAAATTATACATGTATGAAATTCTAAAACTACAATTTGTCTATCCATAAATTATATAGTAGGAACAACTTTTCTCTTTCAAAGAGCGAATAAGATGAAATTAAGATAAATTACAATGTACGCATGAAAGAACAACGCTTTAAATTATGCAAAAATCGAAGTAATTAAGATTATCCAAAGAATTTATAATTTTCAGAAGTAAAACACTCTTACTTTTCACTCGTTAATATTAATGAATAATCTCAATTTTGAAATGTTTCTGAATCCAAATGGTTAATTTTACTATAGCTTTGATTTACAAAATCAATAATAATTATATAAAAATTTTAAAATTATGTGTGTAAAACTATTAAGCCGTTTTGAATGGTAACCTGCCATCGCATGCCCTGCTGGAGTGGACTTTTTTTTTCCTTTCATTTTTAATGTTTTAAGGTTTTCGTTTGAAATTGAATTTACCTTGTTTTGCTTCATAGTCAACAAAATATTAGGGATGAAACACAACACCACTGCCAGTAAACAAAATGTTACTGATGGTCTTCATCATCTAAATCCAAAACATTACGAAAACTCAAAAGGAAAAAAAGAAGAAGACTGTAAATGAAAACTTTTTAATTAAGAAGGCATACGTGATAGAACAAAACGCATCCATAATTATAAAAAAGAAAACATTAAGACCAATTATTTTTTTTATTAGAAAATGGCAATACTTAAACAATTAATGGAAAACAAGGATTAGAACCATGACCTTGTGAAGAAAAAAAATATCAACGAAAAAGACAACAAAATGAACAGTCAAGCGAGACTTAAACAAGTATGTAAGGAACATAAATCTCACTCGCCGACTTGCTTTTCTTTTTGTGAAAGCCTAACAGAGATAATTTTAATACGTTCTTGTTGCTTACACGTTTCAAAGATCTATCTTCGCGTAGGCGAGAGAAAATATTTAAGTTAGGAAAAATGTTGCTTCAATCAACTAGGCTCACATTCTGGCTTGAGATAAGGGTACAAGGAAGGTGGTAGCGGAGGTAAATAGCTCTTGGGTTGCTAGTGTTGTTCTTGATAGGGAGCAAGCGGTAGGGCTATGCAGAAGCCTCATTTTGGCCATTTGAGATCTTATGGATAGAGAGTGGGTAGTAGTCCTTGATCACATTTATAAGTAGGTCAATTATACAGCCAATTTTTATAGCTTCTTCGGCGGCGGCGAATCTGGGAAGGATACAAAGACTGGATTCGCCACGACTAAGTATTTTACTGTTTTTATCTAATGTTGTAATAGAGATGGCTCACCCTCACAACGTTTTAATTGTGTAATCTATAATTGAATCCATCCTTCACCCAAAAAAAAAAGAAGAAAAAACCTAGATTCAAATTTTCGCTTAAACATTGTTTGCTCACATTCCCGCTCACAAAGTCGGTCCTAGGGTTTTATTTATGTCCAAAAAAAAATAGTTCATTTTGAGTTTTAGATTTTGTCTTTAAAATAGTATAAACTTCAAAATGTAACATGGACTATATATCTTTTGGAACTGAGGTTCGATTTAGTTTCGATTTATAACCACTGTCTTTTCTTATTACAGATAATTTTATTTTCAATAATGACATAGAAAATAGAAAATGATGAGTTATTGATTATGAGTAACGCTATAAAAAAAATAATCAAGAAATGTAAATCTTAAAATTGGACTTATGAGATTGGTATAATATAAAATTAATTATTAAATTGATAAATAGTCATGATTTTTTTTCCAATTTTTCTTATTAATTTTTAATTTGCAAGATTAAGTCATCTAACTTTATATTTTAGTTTTTCAAATTGTAAAAATATTATGAAAGGGAGTTTGTAGCATTTATATCGTATTTCTAGGAGACAAAAATGAATACTATATAAGTTTTGAGATATGCTTAATAGAGTGATAAAGAAACATTATTTTGAAGAAATATTTGTGATTGAAACCATGCAATCGTAAAATGTTTTCTCTATATGAGTATATCGTTAAATACAAATAGAAAATAGAGGACACATATACTTATATACAATGTTATAAGAATTTAACAAATAAGAAAATTTAAAACTAAAACTATTATTATATAGGAAAATTCACCAAACTGGGGATATGGTTGTATAAATTATCACACAATTTAACAATCAAATAATATTAATTATAATTTAATTAAATAAGACCGGACATATATTGAGTTTTTTGATTAAAAAAGTTAAATTTTTGGATGTTGAGAATTGAGTAAGTTAAGGAGTCAAAATTTTCGTAAGAAAATGTGAATAATAAAACAGATTCAAGTGCCATTATTTTGCAAAACGACGGGAGAACATAAGATGTATGTATCTTGATCCCTTATGGTGGAGAGGAGGAAGTAAAATTTTCATATTTCTTTCTACACTAATAAAGAAAAGGAGGAAAATAAGAAAAGATATATATATATATATAAATATATTAAAATCTTAAATAAGGGTAATATTGATATTTGAAACAATTTTACTTTCAATCTAAAGAAATTATTTAAGTGAAAGATATAATTTTACAGAAAAATGACTACAAAATAGGAGGCCAACTCAGTCACTAATTATTCACTGTATATAGTCACTAATCATTTTCCTTAGACAGTAGGCTGTCATCTTGTTGTTGCTTACTAACTTAATATAGGATGAAATGAAACGACGCGTCCAATTTGACTATTTTTAATATTATGTTTTCTCATTTGAATTCTACAGTGCCGAGTATATATGTTCGTACCCTAATGTTGAATTTCGAATGCCATCTTCTATGGAAGTATTTTTTCTAATTTGCTGATAATTTAGTATCAAAATATTGATAATGAATACTGCAAATAGAGCTTCCTATCTAGAGGGTGATAGATGAGGGCAATGCTCGTGAACTTATTACAATCTCTCAATAATCTAGCATTTGATAAGCTTGGTTACTCATTTAATAATTTTTATTAATTTAAATTACATTACTGAAAATATATATACACAAAACATATATACTTTCGACATTCTTAGTACAACTTATTTGTTGTTTCACTTATTCGATCGCTAAAACTAATTTGTACCTAATTGAAACCGTGTCGGATAGTTTTTGTATAATTTTAAATTTTCAATAATGACACAAACTTTAGCACTTCGGACAATTACAATAGCAATTAGTATCTAAACTGTGTAACTAATTCCAATCATTTATCCACCTTGAACAATATTAGCTGGATTAATGTGGATTCATGATTCATTGTATATACATGCATACATTAATGTCGACAGCTGCGCCATTTAATTTGAGGATTTTGAAAAAAAAAAAAAAGTTTAAGGGTATAAAGAAAACAGCCTTTCCCTCGGGTCAAAACAACAATATTCCTTCCGACAACATCACTTTCCTTTAGTCCATAAAATCAGTTTCTCCATTCAGCTTCAATATTGTTAGCCATGGCTAGGATTCATCAAGGCCGCAGAAAGATAGAAATGAAGAAAATCGAAAAGGAAAGCTGCCGTAATGTGACGTTTGCAAAACGTCGTTCTAGTTTGATGAAAAAGGCGAGTGAACTTTGCATCCTTTGCGATGCAAAAGTTGCTTTTATCTTCTTCTCACCAAAAAACAAAGTTTACTCATTTGCCAGTCCAAACCTTGAGTCTGTCATTGATGACTATATCAAAGGAAATACTGTGAGATTCTATGGGGAAAAAAGTGTCCAAGAAACCCATCAGGCCGCCGTTATTCAAAATCTACACAAGGAATTAGAGCGTGTTGAGGATCTCCTGGAAGCTGAGCAACAACAAAGGAAATTTTTCGATGATCAGAAGAACAGCTGGTTGGAGAGGCCCATTGAGGACCTCAATCTTCAGCAATTGGAGCAATTGATGAAGGAAATGGAAGGCTTGAAGATGAAGGTTGGACATGAGATTGCAAGACAAAGGGTTGAAGCAGCTGCTAATAACCCTACTTTTGTCGCAAAACTTCCGGGGAATATTATTGGAAACAATAATGAGTTAGGTCATTTCACCCCATATGGTGTTCCAATGGCAAGATCAACTGTTTATGGACCTCTTACTAATTACATTAGTGGTGGTTGTCCTTTGGCTGGACCATCCTCTTCTGGACATGAGGTTCATTCTCCTGCTAATGGTGGTGTTGCTGGTGGGAGTAGTAGCTTCCGATCATTGCCATATAGAAATGATCATGTGGGGTCATCTGGATTGGGTTATCTCAACTTTCATAAAAAGCCCTAATGCATCAAATTCAGTTGATTGTTATGGTCACTTCTAATATGTTTATTTATTATTTATGATAATAATGGTTATCTTATTCTAGTAATTTCTTTTTTTTTAATGTTTGGAATAGATATTTGTTTTTAATTATTTTTATATTTTTATTCAGATATTGTAGCCATAAGCAATATTTTAATAAAAAAATTTTCCAAAAAGAAAAAAGAATTAAAGTATTTGCTTCCTCTCCTTGTTATCTTTTTACAAATTTCAAATAAAACTAAGAAAACAACTGAAAAAGGGTGAAAAAAGTCCACTCCATATTTATTTTTTGGAATATAGCAGTGGCTTTGTCCCTCTCCCTATTTAATTTTTATTATGTTTCAATTAAAACTAAGAAAAAAACTAAAAAGGGTGAAAAAAAATCCACTCCATATTTATTTTCAGTAGTGATAGAGCAAGTGACAAAATATAGCAAATTCATAGTGACTAATGTGTAGACAATAATCAAGGACAAAAGTATAATTTTAGAAGGGAAAATAATTTTTATGGCAAAATGTCAACAAAATAGGGGACCAAATCCGTCACTTTTTCTTTTGACTATATATATGTCACTATGTATATCATTTTTTTTAAATGTATTTTAGTTCGTTAATCAAAGTATATTACGGTAAGAACAAAATTGCATTCAGTGGGTGGATGATGCAAAATCGTAATAAATCTTGCTAGCTATACAGGTACATGAAAGAAAGAGTGATTATTTGCAAACATTGAGATCGAATGAATGTACAATATTTAAACGTAAAAAGAAAATGGTAATGACCATCAACAATATATATATATATATATATATATATATATATATATACTCATAATTACAAACACTCAACACCACTTCGAATATGACTGTGAAGTCGTCAATCTAATTGGAGATAATTATTTTATGTTTAAATGAAACAACAATTCATAATATAAGCAAAATAAATCATTATTTACCGCCTTGAATTTTTATTGTGTGTCAAATACGTAAAAGAAAAAAAAATGTTTCTAATGCTACACTGGTAGCCATCCTTCGACTCTCAACTACATGACTCTTCTGAATGTTGGTCTTTGGGTTAATAACTTTTTTAAACCATCGGTTCTTTTGATAATACGATTTTAGACGCGGATTTAGCCAATCGCTTGATATTAACGTACGGCTTGTTCGTAAGTTAATACTCCCTCCGTCCCATAATTATTGTCCTGTTTGAGTTTTTATTTTTAGTTCAAATTGTACTAAAAGTGAAAACCCAAACTGGACAATAATTATGGGACGGAGGGAGTATATATTATAAAATGCATCTTGAATGCCTTTCCAGGTAAACGTAAGAGAGCGATGAAGACACCTCAATTTGAACAGTATAAAAAAAATACAAACCATACGACCCTCAAATAATTTTTTTTTTTTTTCATACTACGTACAGTGTCGTAAGTGCATTACACTCAGAGTAATCCGTACCGAGTCGAGTTAGTCTCCTTTCAGAGGAAAAACTCTCCAAACATTACTCTTTCCATTCACGAGACTCGAACCCCTGAGATATCGCTTAAGAGAACCAAAGCATCTTACCATATTAATCAAGTAAGTGTTGGTTCAACCCCCCGAATAAGTTCTTTTATGAATGAACTGTTTATTTAAATTAACTCAATAAATGGTGAAAAAGAAAACCAAGCAAATATGAATGTTTTAAATTAATCACAAAACCAGCTCAAATCTGGATTAGTCGGAACAGTAATTTCGAACACCGAATGTATAATATACCAAAAAGAAAATTAACCACAAAACCAGAAGAATTACTTAAAGGTATTGTTGATTAACGAATCCAGCCATTACAATTCCATTTGTGTCTATAACTCTTCGGGAAGAAAAAGTGAAAAATACCCAGGATTTTACTCCATTGATGTCCTACAACTGAAAGACTGCAAAGGCGCAAAAAATGACAATATATAACTAATTATTCGGAAATAAAATTGGTAAATTTTGATTCAAAATAAATATGAGATTTTTGCACGTTGATATGAAGTCTAAGCTAGTGAGTTTTATTCCGGTAATGTTTTCAACAATTTTAAAATTACCAAAGAGATCTCATGTATTATGATTATAAAATGTAAATAGTATATTATTTTGTAAACACATTTCAGAAACTTACAAAAATTCAAAGTTGTTTCCAAGACACTTTTCATGGAAGATTTGCTCCATTAACACTGATACACTCGCATTGAACCTGAAACCATTATGGTTAGTTCATCAGCGATCCATAAGACAGTCAGCCATTCGAAAGAAAATATCTTCTTTTTTTTTTTTTTTTTTTTTATATTTGCAGGGTGTCCACTGTCGGTAACAATGACTAAAACTCTAGGCCATTAAAACTTATCCTCGAAGTTTGAAGGTCAAAACTAAAACCAAAACTTCTGCAAAACAACAAATTGATGCAAAACACAAGCAATAAAACATGGAGTTGTTCAAAAACATGTATATTTACTTGCTATGACGATCTATAGTCCGTTACTTAATTTGGACTTACGATATTTATTTATTTCTTATACCATATTAGCAAAGTTCATAAAAAAGAATATAATACCGATGAGCTCATGTATATATTTTACAACGAATCTCATAAATTTCCAAACGAATAACTTGTGTCCAATTGTTTTTATCCCACTGAAAAGGAAGAAACAAAAGAAAAAGATTTGTTGCCAGGTTAAGATACATTTATAAGCTGTTAAATTGAAAAAGGAACCACAAATTTGAAAGTATTCAATTTCGTTGCTACACTTCTTATGTAATTTGTTCTCATTTACTCCATTGAGCATCGACCCTGAATCAAAGTTTCAAGTACTATTGAATACAGTCAGCCTTACTTTTAACTAATTTTCTTGAACTGATCGAATTATAATAATGATGAAATTTGAATATGAAATTGAGACATTTTGAAGATGACTATATAATTAATAACCAACCTAACTGTCAATGAACGAAATATGATTACCGATTCATTTGAGTAAGGTGTGAATAACATTTTTTTTTTAACGATTACATTCCACTTTATGTAGTGGTTGACAATGATGAAATCTAATAAGGTAACCAAGAAGGAGAAAAAAAAAAAAAACAACAATCATGACTTAAATGGTCGCAAATACTTTCAAGGGTTCCAATATTACTTTGAAGAAAATAATCACACATGCATGTTCCTTTTGATCCACATTCATAATATAAGTCCTCATTCCATATTCATAATATAATTCCTCCACCGGTAATGTTGTGCTCTCATAATTTCACAAAACAATGACAAGAAAGGGTAATGGTTGACAGAAGATTGAAATGAAAGCAATTTACTTGTAACTTTCTGTCTTTCTCCAAGCGTCCCTGGCCTATTCACAAAGGCGTATGAACTCTATACATACCCTATGTGGTGCTGAAATTGAGATAATCGTCTATTTTTTGGGGAAAAAAAGTATTCTCGCTCATCGATCTTTTTCTGACAGGAAAATCAACTCCAGGTGCGAGTAGCTCCCAGCTAGTTGAGGCACACCATAGCGCTTGCATCCAGGAACTCAATATACAACGTACTAATGGAGATAGTACTTAATAACTAGAGATCAAATGAAAGCATAGGGAGGAGCTTATCAAATTCTGAAAGGGAGTGAAGGGAAATGTTGGTGGGAGGCTAGCTCCTGCTCATCTACTTGGATCGCCTGAATTGGAGCAGTTAAAAGTGGTGATGGATGAACTAAAACATGAATATTTTAAAACAAGTTGTGAAGTTGATGTTACATCCAATACAAGTCAATAACATTTCTAGGGGCATCAAGTTCGAAAAGAGACGGATTATCAGGAGGGCATATTGATCTTTAACATTGTTGTTCATCATCACCATTATCATGATGTGAAGGTTCCTCCGGGTCTTGGACTTTCTATGGCTCTTCAAGGGGTTTACCGGATATGGTCGTGCGTTTTTCAGATCAAATTTATTGTTATTAACCTCCTATCTTGTGGAAAAAGAAGGTCGATGATTTAGAAATGATGTAATTTTATCACTCGATGTTGATTTTATTTTCAGTCGACGTACTAAGAGATGTCTTGTGTTGTGTTTGAGTCATTGATCATAAATAATTTTTATATGTCATTCATGTCAATTATTTCATAATATGTTTTTTTTTCCTAAGAGTGAACTACTTAGAAGGTCATTAAACTATCGAAAAGTCTATGATTTGCTCGCTGTTACATTTTAATTCCCCATGAGGGAACAATGTTTGCAATTAGTCATTCTGTTACTTAAGTCCATTAGTACAAGTGATTAATGGCCCAGAAAGAGATTTTTTTTTATAATGTCAAATTAAATTTTTAATTAAAGTAACGTTCTCTAAAAAATATTACAAATGACTAATTGCAACTTCCTAATGACTAAAACCTTAATCTTAAGTATAAGTGATTAATGGCCCAGAAAGAGAAATTTTCTGAGTATTGAAACCAAAATCATTTTTCACTTTCATGATTGGATTTCAGAAGTTACAAATGACGTGCGTTTGTTAAAAAACAAAAACAAAAAAAAAACTTTGAATAGAACTTGCATTTATGTTCAAAAATTATTAGCATATTATGCACCAAAAATATAAATATATACGTAAGTTCTTTATATACTGAGCACCTCCAAACTTTAGGGCCTAGTTCGGTCCCTGCTGGCTGCCCGCACTAGTCAGCTAGACTACTGAGAGGATTATAGTGTCATAGCTCCCTGAATTCGTTCGTAGAATTAACAAACAATTTGGGTTTATCAAGTTGGTGTTAGTCCAAGGTATTTTACTGAATTCTAGACAATATTTTCTCAAGTTTTTGTTATCTTTGAAAGAATTGCTATAATGAGGTGTGGACTTTGATCCACGCAACTCAGAGAATCTCACATCAATTTTGGCATCCCACGTCCTTTTTATATCAATGTAGACATTGTAGAGAAAAGACTGATTTCAAAAAAAATAAAATAAAAATGTAGAGAAGTCTGTAGTTGGATTTCAATTTTTACAGGGTAGATCAAATTAATAGTGCTATATTAATTATATACTAGTACTTTATTGTGTTCTTCATACCATCTATAGTACTTACTTAAAACAGCAAACACGAAGGACACGTGTCAGCTCCAGGATTAAAATTTTCCCTCCAAAGCTTCTCAGCGCTTCTCAGTACAAAACAGAATCAACAAGAATACGCCACGTGGCTTCATATATATTCGGAAAATTTCAGTTGTGATTCCATTTTCAAATGAACAAATTAAATTTAAATATTTAAATTTGAAATCTTTATTTTAGGGAAGAAACTAATTATTCACGTGTGGTAATAAATACTGTTTAAATTACTCCTAGAAAACAGCAGTAAAACTGGTTTGTGCAACTGAATTTAATAGTACATATCGATCACAAAATAGGAACTAAAAAAAAGAGTCCATAAATATAAAAAAACATATTCAACCTAAATAAACTAAATTGGCGGATTGGGTAACTAAGATGTGCTCCTTAAAACTGTATTTCCACCAGCATAGTCATCCCATCAGTATAGTCAACGCATTTTTCAACCTTAAATTCCTGTGTTAAAAAAAGAAATGATCACATCTTATCCCTTATTCAATGGGATAATATAATCAGTGAACATAATATGCTGACATGCACATTACGTGTAGAAAATCACCATATCATTCAATTTTTCATAGTAACTTATGGAAATTTTAATGTATTTAAAACTCTAAAAAGATTCATATCAAAGAAATTATACTGGAAATCAAAAAAACCAATCAACTGAAATTTTGCACACACGTATATATCTGCAAGCTTTCTGTGCATATCATCAAGCACTTTCCAAGCACACAATAAATCTCAAAATATTTGCCTTTCAGTAACCATTATCATCACAAATATACTGTGAGCCAATGAACAACCTGTATAAATACATCTATTATCCTCATATGATCCTTCAGCAGACCATTCCTCCAATTCGCAAAAACCAGATTTGTTTTGCACAAACGTATATATCTAAAGCTTTCTATGCATATCAACAATTACTTTCCAATCACAGAACAAATCTCAAAATATTTGCCTTTCTGTAACCATTATCATCACAAATTAATTTACACAAATATACTATATGAGACAATATGTTACCTGTATAAATACAGCCAACATCCTCACATATCCTGCACCAAACCATTCCTGCAATTCGCAAATCTCAGATTTTCAGATTCTCATATTACCCATATCTTACTAATGGCTGAAACAAACCAAACTGCAATTTCAGTTGTTGAACCTGAAGATTTTGTTGAAACTGTGAATGAAAATGTTGTGGATAATCCAATTGTCATCCCATCTGAAGATGTCATTGCTACACCATCAAATGATGTTGGTGCTATTGGTGTTCCCATACATGCTGCACAAAGATATGTCGTTAACATCAATGGATTGATTAATACAAAAAAACAACCATTTCACCATAGTTGTCAAAGTGGTGACACTTTGGAAGGTTCCAAAAGTATCCAAAAAAACAAAGTCAAGTCTGTTGAAATGTGTTTGATCGATGCTCAGGTATTCACTTTTCCACCATAATTGGTTTTAGAGTTTTCTCATGCACAATTATTAAACTGTAGTATATGTTATTAACTATTTGTATATATTTATCAGGGAAGCAAAATTCAAGCAACCATTCCTGGAAGAATTGTGAAAGATTTTGCAAATTCTTTCAAAGAAGGTTGTGTTAGACGATTATTAAGATTTGACTGTTGTCTCAATATTAGTGGGGGATTCAAGTGTGCTAAGCACGAATACAAAATTGTGTTCATGTCAAACACAAATGTTGAAGCTGCATTTGATTTTGACATCCCAGATCATGTGTTTGAGTTCACACCATTGGCAGAAGTTACAAACTTTGTGGCCAACTTTGATTATTGTTTTGGTGAGATGATTTTAAAGTTGTGGTAAAATTTTCTTATAAAATTTGTATAAAAAGTTTAAAATATTTTCAACTATGTAGATTTGATAGGCCACATCATGGCTTACAGCGATCCAATTGTTGAAAATGGAAAAAAGAGGATTTCAGTGGAGCTTGAAGATGAAAGGTCAATGTTACTTGAAACTTTACAGTCTAAACAGAAATTATTCATATTGAATTATACTGAAAGAATTAAAACATAGGTACTAAAAAAATGTCTTCTGTTTTGTAAGGATGACAAGCTAAAGGTTACTTTATGGGGTGAACATGCTGATCAAGTCAAATACATGTCTAACAATCCTCTGTCTCCTGTGGTTCTCATTGTTCAATATGTTAAGTGCAAAAAATACTACTGTGAGTACTCTTTAGTAACTTATGTGTAACTCGATCTACTCATATTAAATTCAAGTTTTTGTAATTGCTATAATCATCATGTAATTTTTTTACGATGTAACAGCAAAAGCTTCTGTTACTACTAATCTTTTCAATGGGAAGATATATTTTGATGATATGTCAATACCCGACATATCAGAGTACAAAGACAGGTATAATTATTGTTACTAACTACTATAATTATCACCATATAGTTGCACAATTACTGTTTTATTCGTAACTACTGTTTCTGCATGAAACAGTTGCATAATTGTATAATTACTGTATATATTTTCATAACAGAAATCTCACTATATAATTCCATTCACCTTGAATGTAAAAGTCTCACATACCATATAGTTGCATAACTATCGTCTTATTCATATTGTAATTATTTGGAAACAATATATACAGAAGTAGTGCCATTGAAATGAAAGTTGCAAGTATCCAAAAAATTTCAATACTTTCACACGGTTCTGGATACACATCTTATGAAGAATTCATAAATGGAGCAAAACTTTTGTCATTGGGTGACATAGATGATCTTCATGAGGTAACATATTAATAGTGATAATTATTTTATCCTTTGTGTACATAACTATGTTATCTCCATGATCTATGAATGGTTAAACATATGAAAACTATATTTTTTCAGGCAGGGTATGTTGTGATTTTTGGCAAGATCACAGGCTTAACAAAAGAGTATGAATGGTCATACATTGGTTGCAGAGATTGCAACAAGAAGGTGGAGGAAATTGAAAAAGACAAAGGCACCCGTATTGTACCATCAGCAAAAGGAAAAAATACCAGTGACAACAAGAAATTTGGTCTTGAGAAAAAATGGTTTTGTGGTAATCATGGCCCTGTGTCTGCTGTTGGTCCAAAGTATGTTTCAATAATTTACAATCTATTTTTGTAATTACAATATTAAATAATATGTTGTTATCAAACTTTTTATACTGTTACTCTGTTATAAACTATTTTCCTCCATGATTTTATGAATAGGTTCAAGTTACAAGTGTATGCAATGGATGCTACTGGCAGCAGAATTTTGACCCTTTGGGACAGGATGGTCTACAATTTTATCAATAAGTCTGCAGAAAAACTCCGTGAACAGGTTTTATTCATTGTTTTTAATGTGTACATTTTATTACTAAAACTTTCTTATGTTTTTTTTATGACCATCATCATGTATCCAGGCAGGAAAAGATTACCCTAAAGTACTAGATGAGATTGTTGGCAAGAAATGTCTGTTCAGGTTGGATGTCTCTAGATACAATATCATGAATAGTAGTAGTGAGATTTCTGTTGCTAGGCTTACTACTGATGCAGAAATGATCAAGAGTACATTGATGATGTTTCTGAAGATCATGTTTGTTCACTTTTTTATATGGTCATATACAGTTTAATAGATTTGTACTTGATTTAAAGAAGATGCACATGATAATCTAAGTTTATTCCTATATTATAAACAGAAAATTGATCCGGAGATGTGTGCAGAGTTTTACCAAAATTTGACACCTACTCAGGATAGCATCGCCAAGGCATAATATACTAAACAAATATATTTACTACCTATGGGTTTGTGTGGAAAAAGAAAGAAAAAAAATGGACCCGAAGACAAAGAGGCTCAAGTATTGGTAGAATTCATGGAGTCCCTATAGCTGCTGGTAAACCTTACTACCTAAGGGTTCTACTTAACATAGTCAAAGGTCCTACATGTTACGAAGATATCATGACAGTAAATGAAACAGAATATTCAACATTCAAAGAAGTTTGCTTTGCAAGAGGGTTACTTGATGATGACAAGGAATACATAGACTACATAAAGGAGGGCTCTACATGGGGTTCAGCAAATTACTGCAGAAACTTTTTTGCACAATTATTAGACATTGTGTCGCAACCTGATCATGTATGGAATGAAACTTGGGACTGTTACACAGAAGACATACCTAAAAGATTGAAATGGTTATATAGGAATGAAGGTAATTTGTTTATATTATAATAATTTACATTTGCCATATATTTTTAAAAGTTATGCATCTAATGTTAATTATTTTCTTGCTTTCATGTTAATATACAGATTACAATGTTTCTGAAGACGAAATGAAGATGCATGCATTGAAGGACATTGAAATTATTTTACAATCTCATGGTAAAAGTCTAAAGGATTTTCTTGGTATGCCATATCCTGGAGACGTGTTCATTGATGATGGTACAAATCCAATGATCCACGATGAATTAGATTATGACAGATCATTACTAAAAAAAGAACATGATGTTCTTTATTCTAACCTTACTGCCGAACAACTGAAAATCTACAAAGAGATATTGGCTGCAGTTCAAAAAGGAAATGAAGGTTTGTTTTTTGTATATGGGTATGGTGGAACAGGAAAGATGTATGTGTGGCGTACAATTTCAACTGCAGTATGCAAAGAAGGAAACATTGTACTCAATGTGGCATCGAGTGGTATTGCTTCTTTACTGTTGGTAGGTGAAAAAACAGCTCATTCAAGGTTTCAAATTCCCATCAATGTGACAAATGATTCAACATGTACTATAAAAGCAGGAAGTGATCTATGTGCTTTGGTAACAAGAGCAAAACTTATCATATGGGATGAAGCCCCAATGGTACATAAGCATTGTTTTGAAGCTCTTGACAGATCACTAAAGGATGTACTAAGACGATCTAATCCAAATGCTCCATATCTTCCATTTGGAGGGAAGGTTGTTGTCCTTGGAGGTGATTTCAGACAAATATTACCAGTTGTTCCTAAAGGTAGCAGAGCAGATACTGTCAACTCTGCGATAAACTCATCTCATCTTTGGAGACATTGTAAGGTTCTGAGATTGACTGTTAATATGAGATTAGGAAGAGGAAATAATGTGACTGACACTGAGGAGATACTTGAATTTGGAGATTGGTTGTTAAAAATTGGGAAAGGCAAAATCAATTAACCAAATGATGGAGAAGCTGAAATTGTTTTCCCAGATGAAGTCATCATACAGACTCCTGGAGATCCTATAGAAGCAATCGTCAGTACTGTATATCCTGATTTGATTAACAGTTTGACAAGCCGTCGTCACACTAGTCAAATAATAATTACCTACTTAATACAATTACTAGTAGTAAAGTAGCAAGCAGGGTCGATCCCACAGAGAAGGAATACTAATTACCAGGTATAAATTACTCCTATTATTATCTAGATAAATAATGATCTCAGATTTATAAATTTAAAACTAAAATAAATAAATAAAATAAAAACAAATAATATTAATTCAAGTAATCAGACAAAGAAAATCTAGGACATTGGGTTCACCTACCGAATATTTGGTTTAATCCACTTCATAAGTATTTGACTTTTAACTTCCATTAATCTCACAACGATTCACCTAATTAAGAACTATACACTCTCGTGTTATAATTCTCTTACTTAGATTAACCCTATGACTACTCTAGTTACTATAGGGATTAACAAAAGCACATTAAGACCATTAAGAATCAAATATTGCAAAGGTTATAATCTTACTCTCGTAGCTTATAACCTAAATTTATTATTCCTACGAACTAACACTAATCTTCCACTCTCGCTACTTCAATTAGTATCTTCAGACATGCAAATAGTGGCCAATTACTTACACGAATTAAAACAAGAATAACAAATATTAATTAATGGAAAAATCAAATAATAATGAACCAAATAAACCAAATAAATTCGATGGCTACATCCAAGCCTTAGATTAAAGGAATTTAGCCACTAAACATTATTAAAAATAATTCAATAATATTTAGAGACATAATAAAAATAATAAATGCTAGACTTGGATGATGATGCCGCCGGTGGAGGAGATTGAAGGTGGTGATTGTGGTGTGGGTGCTGCGCGAAGGATGATGGAGAAGGTGCTGCTGCTGTGTGTGCGAAGGCAAGGGAGTAGGGTGCTGCTGGCTTTCTCGGCGTGAAGAAGCAGAGGTGGTGATGATGCTGCCGAAGAGAGGTGAAGAGGTGGAGGAGGGCTGGTGCTGCGTGGTGGTTATGGAAGCACAGCGGCGGTGAAGAGGAAGGCGGAGAAGGAGGAGGGAGTTTGGTGGTGGTCGGCGGTGATGGAGGTTTTAACCGTAGGGTTCGGTGGTTTTCGGTCAAGTTTCGGTTCAGTTCTGTTGTAAAAATAAATCTCTAATCCCCCTTTTATAGGCTTCCGGCTAAACCCTACTCCTTGAAGAACAAGAAAACTTGTTTCCCAATTAATATCGGGATTAAAATTCTTATCCAATTCCAATCCCAAATCGGCCGCATAACCATAACCTTCTCGACCAATTTTCCAAAAACTTAATTAACCAATCCAAAATTGCATCATTGGCCCTCTAATTCTCTAAAATCATTAATTTCCTCCCCATCAATTGCTCCAATCTTCAATTTTTTTCCCATTGAGTTGCTTTTAATTCGATTTTAGCTCAAAACTTCAACAATTCGTCATTTGAGTACAATTCCTACAATTAAAGATAAAATCACATAAATAGCATATTTGTACTCAAAATATATTGTAAAAATCACAAATTAGGGATATAATAAATAGGTAAAATATAAGCATATCACAGTTTAAATGAGACTGCATGGTT